CCTAGCCTGCGCCTGCATGTACTGGCCGTACAACCGCCCACTCGCACCGGCGTTATTTTTGTAAACAACACACCCCAAATCCAACACAGACAGACGAGCGAAGCTACTTATTTGCATCTGGCCCATTCTAGGATTAATGTAGGCCTATAAACTTGTTTTTATGTATGTGTTTTGACAGTATTTGATAGGTAATGTATGGCAATAAAATTTATTAAAATGTAAGAAATTCTTTTATGGTATGATTGGGTTATCAAGTTATCATAGATTTTTTGTAATTAACAACAAAAGCTAACAGTATACACCACAACGCTGTTAACAGTAACACAGACAAACAACAACATGAGCGAAGGTTTTTTTTCAATACAGCTTCTTATTTGCATCTGGGATTAATACATTTAATTTATGCATACAATTTGTGTGTTTATGTATGTGTTTTGACATTATTTGATAGCATACTGTCTTCTGTTTGGCGATTTTCGAAAGCACGTTTCGACATACTCCTCAATAAGAATTGTTAATCATAACGCATAGCCAGATTTAACCCTATCTAAAATATTCATTCAAAGATATTACAATCATGCAAAGATAAAGGAATAAACAAGAGGATGAGATTAAGTATTGTCACAGACGAAAAATGATAGGGGAAATGTTTGCTTCTCTCTCGCTCGCTCGCTCTCTCAACGCCATTTTCCATCTTTATCTCTCGTACTGCTTTTTGTTCCGCTTTTTGTTTTTATACCGAAATTATTTCTTCCGATTTTGAGAAAAAATATTATACAATAATTTTTAAATGAAGAAGAAAAGAAACCCGAAACGAACGGCTGATATCGAAATGAGAAGAATATTACTGTACAATAATACATTATTATAAAGTAAAAGTTAGGATATAAAAGCATCTCTTTTGCATACAATTAATATGAAAAAAATATTTGTTGACAGTACTAATATACGTCGGACGAAGGAGATAACTCCTTGGTCGGACATTATAATTTAGCGAAAAGATATAACAAACAAAAAGAAAGAAACCAAAGAAACATTCGGAAGGGGGGGGGGAGGGGGGGTGATCGGAGAGAGAACTAGCATAATAATAAATACAGTACAGACTATACGTCCAACTTTCCCCCCCCCCCCCCCCCCCCCCGCTCTCTCTTTCTTTCTCACTCTGTCTCTCACTCTGTCTATCTGCCAATGTTGATCACAGAAAAATGTCACAGAAAACATGATTATGAAAAATGATTGTTTCTCTCTCTTTTTCTCTCTCTTTATGTCCCCCTCTCTCTCTCTCTTTCTCCATCTATCTCTCGCTCGCTTTCTCTGTCTGTCTCTCTCTCTGTCTATCTGCCAATGTTGTTTCACCATTTGCTTGTATGCCGGCGACATTCCTTCTTTGAGCTTAATTATTATTATAACATTATCCCTGATGATGTACAAAATTATATATAGCGTATATTTATTATAGGGAACGAAATAGAAAACGAGCGGCTGATAATGTCGAAAAGGGAAGAATGTATACTGTACAATAATAATATACAAAGTCAAAGTTTGAATGTAAATCTCTGTTTCATCAAATTGATATTAAAAAAATGTTTATTAATATATATTGACGGTACTACTATACGTCGGACATTGTACTTTAGCGAAACGATATAATCAAACGAAAAAGAGACGGACTAAAGAACAAAATCAGAGCTTGGGGGGGGGGGGGGGATCGGAGTGACAAAGACAAAAATCATAATAATAAACACAGTACAGACTACGTCCAACTTTCTATCTCTCACCCCCCCCCCCCTCTCTTTCTCTCTCTCTCTCTCTGTCGCCCTATTTCTCTCTCTCCCTCTATCTGTGAATGTCGTTTTCCATGTTCATCTTTCATAATGTTTTCTATTCCTCCATTTGCTTGTACGCCGGCAGCATCCCTTCCTTGAGATTAATTATTATAACATATCCCTGATGATGTGCATGCACAGTATACCTTATATTTATTTTAGGAAACGTTCTAGAAAACGAGTGGCTGATAATGTCGAAATGAGAAGAATATTACTGTATACATTTCGAGTATATTATAATTGGACAAAATATGTATGATACTTATAATGCTTTTAAAACTGTCGTATGACATTTAACTGAATAATGACTGCCACCAGTTAAAAGCTGAGATGTTATTCTTTACTCTCATTAATTATGTCACATTCTGAAGCAAGTTGTGTGGGTCTTACTGTTTCAAATTGAATTTAGAGCTGAAACCGGCAAGTACGGGGTTTATCCGGGCATTTCGAGTATAATTATAATTGGACAAAATGCATTTTGTAATTTGAAGGTAATTAAAACTGTGTTATGACATTTTAACTGAATAATGACTGCCACCAATTTCATAGAGGGAAGAAAGTGAGCAATGCCATAAGAGAGTATCCACAAGCTATATAGGATAATAAGGATTGTATAGATTGGCTTTCTTAGCTTTTCTCGAGTATATTTTGTACACGCAAGCAAATTAGAGCATTTAAGATCCCTTTTTAATCCCCGGATTTGCGTTTCTACTACAAGACCCACACTAGAACGTGTCGTCATGATAAAAGCGCCGAAACAATAATATCGAAACATTGAGAGGCTTTACCGCTTTCAATGAGATCAACCCTCATTATACGACAAAAGCGTCACTGCAGGGGCGTTGCTAAAGGGGGGGGGGGGCGGGGAGGGGGCGGGGTGCGATACCCCAACCTGTCAGGATATTGTCGGTAAACTTGCCCTGCTGTCGGGAAAAATGAGAAAAGGGGGAGGGGGAAAATGAGAGGGAAAGGGAGGAAAAGAACGACATAGAGAACGAGCGGCTGATAATGTCGAAATGAGAAGAATATTACTGTACAATACTTATAAAAAGTAAAACTTTTTAATGTAAATCTCTGTTGCATCAAAATAAAATGAAACGTTTATTACATTATACTTAAGCACAAACTAGAAGAAGGTGGACAACATAAAAAGAGAAAGAATGAAACTTTCTCTTTTATTTACAAACATAATTTATAAATAGCATAAAGAATATTACTGTAATATTATAAACAGTAAAACTTTTGAATGTAAATCTCTGTTGCATCAAACTGATATCTAAACAAAAAATGTTTATTATGCTTCATTGACGGTATACGTCGGACATTATTATAAACAATCAAAAAAAGAGAAAAACAAAATCTGAGCTGGGGGGGGGGGGGGCCGGGGAGTCGGTGAGAAAAATATCATAATAATAAATACAGTACAGACTGCGTCCAATTTTCTATCTACCCACCACCCTCCTCCCCTTCTCTCTCCCTCTCTCTGTCTATGTCCATCTTCATCTTTCATGATGTTGTCTATTCCGCCATTTGCTTGTATGCCGGGCATCATCCCTTCCTTGAGATTAATTATCATAACATATTCCTGATGTTATACGTCGGACATTATACTTTAGCGAAAAGATATGATCAAACCAACAGAGACTAACTAAAGAACAAATTCAGAGCCACTGGGGGAGGGGGGGGGGGGTGATCGGAGAGATAAATATAATAAATACAGTATACAGGCTACGTCCAAATTTCTACCCCCCCCCCTCTCACATAATTATACCTTATATTTAGTTTAGGGAACGAAATAGAGAACAAGCGGCTGATAATGTCGAAATGAGAAGAATATTACTGTATACAATACTTATATTATAACAAATAAACTTTTGAATGTAAATCTCTGTTGCATCAAAATAAAATGAAACGTTTATTAAATTATACTTAAGCACAAAAGAGTTATCTTGAAGAAGGTGGACAACAATATAACAGAAAGAATGAAACTTTCTCTTATATTTACAAACATATATAGCATAAATAGCCTGATTCTGACCGCTGCACTAGCGCACTGCCTAGGGGGCGACTGTGTTTAGGAGGCGACTGTGTATAGGAGGCGACTCGACCACACAATTTGGGGGCGACTACGTTAGGAGGCGACTGCGTATAGGAGGCGACTGTGTATAGGAGGCGACCGGCTTGGGGGCGACCTGACCAGACACCGTAGAGGTTGTGCATACATTGTGTGCCGGTAAACCTGAATCCGATGACCGGGGTAATAATATGTATATCTGTATAGCGCTTTGAGAGGGCCTTCGGTCCTGAAAAGCGCTTTATAAGAACTAGCTATTATTATTATTATTATTATCTATATTCCCTCAGTTGATTTTTGTTGTTGAATGAAAGCCGATTTAAAAAAAAAAATCCCATTTATCCCTTCTCTAGTTCAAATATCAGGCTTTGAACAGATTGAAAAGGTATGAAATATCCAGAAAGAGTAACTTTTCGAGCTTCCATTTTTTTCCATTCCCAATGCAGGGGCGGATCTAGGGGCGGGGGTCGGCGGTTTAAACCCTCCACCCCCCCCCCCCCGGCCCCCCTTGGGCGGCCAAGTGAGAAAAAAAGTAAAACGGCGCGATTTAAAAAAAATCCTGGATCCGCCACTGGGTCAATTAAAGCCCCCCTTGCCCTTGTCAAAAAGCTAGATCCGCCCCTGCAAAGCAATTTACATATGCAATCTAGATTTTGCCTCGCCGATTTTAGCTACTACGAAAGTAAAGCAGAGTACATTGTCTCTGGTCTATAAAGTACTTCCGTACCGGTACCATACGTAAGCTTAAATCACCTGGGGGGTGTTTCACAAAGATCCTAAGTAGAACTTAACTCTAAGTTGGACTTAAAATTTATGGGAAGCCATTAGCATCCTTGAAAATATTTTGTAATTTTTTTTTAGAAGGTATAAAATGTTGATTCAAATCATTCATATTTTCTATTATCATGGGAGATTTCATGTACTTGATGTGGAATTGATGAAAAGTCTAAAATACTCCTATGTTTTGCTTATGAATATATTTCATTTTAAGGCTCCAATGGCTGTCCATAATTTTTAAGTCCAACTTAGTGTTAAGTTCAACTTAGGATCTTTGTGAAACACCCCCCTGAGCTGAGGTAACGTAATCGACGATAAATATTTCGTAATTTCTGTGTAGAGTAGGCCTAACTCAGCTGTTCTCGTTGTTCTCATCTCAGGCACTTCGTCTTCGTCAAACGTAAAATACGGTATTTTTTGTACAGTGCTGTTATTTGGGAATTCATTATCTCACTAACATTGAATTTCTAGCCAAGAATCTTCAGGAGCAAAGGAGGCAGATTAAGATTGCGACTAGTCTAGCTAGGTCTAGGACAAAGTGGGAGGAAGAAGAAGAATATCTAGCCCGACCTTGGCTTGACTTGAGCTCACAAGGACGTACAGCTACGCTGCCCCGCCGTCCACTGCACCGCCTACCGACCGGTACCGAAGGCGAAGCGAAGCTCACGCCGCGCCGCTGCACTGCTTCGCATTCAAGGCCAAGGGGTGGTATTCTAAAAAATCTTGTAAGTTTTATTGTAAGTTTTATTAGACCTCTACATCTTCTGGAGATAAAAGAGCGCAAAAATTGTTGTAATTCAACATTCTGAAAATTCTTTCAGTGGTCTATTATCTCTGGAGCTGGAGAGACCGCCAGCTTTCTCCATGTCATGTTCTCTGAGCTGCTGAGTCTGACTTAGACCGAATTTTCCGTCTCTTTCGTTCGTTAGCCTCTTATTGGGGTAGGGTCGGCTCTCTCTTTAGAGACGGAAGCCGTTTATACACATGTCCTTGCTAACGCCACGGCCAGTCCTGGTCGTAGCGTTTTGCCCCCAAAATCCCCCAAAATGTCATTTTACCTCGAGCATGTTATTGTAAATTAGGCCTAGAGTCTAGGCTATAATAAATCAGTTCCACTTACCAACTTGACTGAAATAATCAGTTTAATAGTCCCTTTTTAGGAAATTATGGGTCAAAATCGGAATCCATGTTGAAAAAGATTTTCAAAATGGATTTCGATTTTGACCCATAATTTCCTAAAAAGGGACTATTAAACTGATTATTTCAGTCAAGTTGGTAAGTGGAACTGATTTATTATAGCCTAGGCCTAATTTACAATATAACATGCTCGAGGTAAAATGACATTTTGGGGGATTTTGGGGGCAAAACGCTACGACCAGGACTGGCCGTGGCGTTAGCAAGGACATGTGTATAAACGGCTTCCGTCTCTAAAGAGAGAGCCGGCCGACCCTACCCCAATAAGAGGCTAACGAACGAAAGAGACGGAAAATTCGGTCTAAGTCTGACTCAGACTCGGACTCAGTCAGAGTCTAAGTTAGATCTGCAGATTGCACCACTAGCCATGCTGGCACTGCCCTGCTGACAGTGACAGTGACATGCTGATTTTTTTGAGATATTTGTGATTTGAGATTTTGACAAATTTGTATAAACTTCTTAAGTACCAATTGATTCAAGATCTGCGTGAACCAACAATACTAAGTAAGATTGAATGCTCTTAAGTTTAGGTAAAAAGACATGGATGGATGTACATTTCATGCTCTCGATCAGCGCAGACTTGGAGCTCTGTGTCAGTGTGTGCATATTTATTGAATATTGCCATGCATTAATTGCTTTTGCTTTTGGGCGTAATGTATACGCGCTAACGCGCTAGACCAAACGGTTCCTCTATGCTCCTATCCCACTCGAATTAAGTCACGTATTGATGTATGATATATTGCAGATGCTGAGCAAGAAAAAATGCCTCCATCATGAGATATAACAGCTCTATAGTATAGTCTACCCTATTGTACATATTTTTGTAATTTCCATGAAAGATAAGAGAAAATTATCATTGTGAAAAAATGAAAATCATGTTCTTCCATTTTGTCTGCATTATTTGCAGGAGTTAATTAATTCTACAAACACGTCCTACAGCAAGACAAGATGGTGAAGATACGATACACGATGCCATTTTGGAGATTCAGTACATTTGCAAGGTTTCTGGTGTTCCTGGATGGTGCGCTATCCCTTGCTCTATGGGTGACGGGTGAGTTTTCCCTTTTCATATTTTGCATTAAATTTTTTTTATTTTGTTTAAATTGTCATTTCACAATCACCAGTTTCTCATTTCTTCATGAAATTGATGTATTCCTATCACTATCACTTGCTTGTCAAGTTAAACAGATTCTATGTGTGGGTTGAATTGAACTTTTAATGATGATTATAGACTTTTCTCATATCCGCTTTTGTATTCGCATTTAATAGTAAGGTTGTTCCTAACCAATTTCAGTGTAGCTTAAACAGTTAAACATATTCTATATGTGAATTAAATTGAACTAAATAATGATTAACATAGACTTTTTTAATTTTCATATTTGTATACCGGTAATGTCCATGTAATAGTAGGGTTGTTTCTAATTCTAACCAATTTCAGTGTAGCTTAATCTCTGGCAAATTATTTTCAAAGTGATCGGTATTGTCAAGGTTATGACTCATGCGAGAGGAAACGAGACTTGCATGACTTGGTTTAATTCATACAGATCGTTCTGTAATAAATCTTTTAGATGAAGTTGAACAATGACACAGGAAAACATCCATAAAACATTATTTATGAGTAGTCATTTACTGCCTGGCATCAGGATAGGCCTATGTATGTAAAGAGGTTCCCTATTTTAAAGTCAAACAGGTTTGCCTGTAATGTGCATGTGGTACATGTAGGTGTTGTAGGGGGGTGGTTTAAAAACATTAAAATGAAGATAGGGAGGTCGTGGGTTCAATCCCTGGCACAGCATTTATGTCCTAAGCAAGGCATTTTATTGACATTGCTTCTCCCCTCCCAGGTGATGGGTTCTAGGTGGGATGCTAATGTCATTGTAGTTCAGCATCATGTACAGTACGTCTGTGAAACAGTGCCTGATGGAATTTCCCCCAACGGAGTAAAGATTAAATATGGACATGCATTTGACCGTGAAATCCTGATTCCGATGACCAAGGATTCTTTAATAGTACCAACACAGTTAGAGACATCGTAGATATAAATCCAGGGGGTTGTTTCACAAAGATCCTAAGTCGAACTTATCTCTAAGTTGGACTTAAAAATTATGGAAAGCTGTTAGCATCTATGAAATATTTTGGAAAATTCATTTTAAAAAGGCATAACATTTTGATTTAAATGATAAATCATTCATGTTTTCTAGTATCGAGGAGATTTCATGTTTTTGATGTGGAATTTTTAAAAAGTCTAAAATACTTGAATTTGTGTGTTTGAATATATTTTAATTTTAAGGCTACAAATGGCTCTCCATAATATTTAAGTCAAACTTTGACTTGGGATCTTTGTGAAACACCCCCCAGAATACCAATACAGTCTAACCTGTCCTAGTGGCCACCTGTCTACAAAGGCAACAGGTCTGTCTGTAGTGGACATCTGTATTTCCTCCCTCCAGGAAGAACCTGTCTAGAAAGGCCACCTCTCTACAGTGGCCACTTTTTGTTTCTCCTTTGTTTGGCGTTACTAGAAAACCAATCTCGGCTAGCACTTACAAGTGCTAACTTTTGGTTTTCTTTTAGCAACAACTTGAACTTTTGTCTAAATGTGTTTTATGTAAGCATTAATTAAGCTTTTGCAGTAATTCATTGTTTTGTATATTATGTACAGTTTGTATTTTATTGTTTTGCCTTGCATACTTTGTTTTATGATGTACATACATTTTCTTGTTGTTAATAAACTTCAAATTTCAACTTCAAACTAGACATGTTTGACACTTTGACTGTAAATCCTCTTTTCTGTTGTGTACACAGGCGGTCATACAGCCTACATGGAGAGCAGTGTCATGCACTGGACTATCCTGGGCTCCATCTTTGAGCTGGCCTGCCTGGGTCTGTTCAAGATGCTGTTTGTCTTCTACGCCTTCACCAAGATGGAAGACGTCTCCCTGGCTCTCCTGGACTTCCCCTTTGACGCATCTCTCAGATCCTGTAAGAAATCGAGCCATATCTTCACCATCTTCTTCAGTCTCCTCAGCTTGGCCTACACAGCCACCAAGGTAATCACTATAAACTTTTACCCAAACCTAAATTGAACAGAGTAAAATCATATTAAATTTTCCTCTGCATAGTTATTGAGACTAAATCGCTAGAAGATAGCTTGTAAAGTAATAATGATTAAGGTACTCATTTAAGATTTTAATTGCTGCTAAACTGTCTGATGAGAATCAGGCAGATGTTAAATAGGCCTGAGTCAAACCGTTTAACCGACGGTTATCCGACCGCATTCATCAAAACCGTTTGGCATTTCTCGCTCCGTTTAACCGTTATTTGTTTACATTTTGGAATGTGCTAATAACCGATAATAAAGATAATCAAAGAAACCACAGTGTAATGTTACACCCTGGCAGCTGGGCGCCAGTTGTCTGGCAGCAGTAATCTCTATGAATGAATTTGTAACCTACCATGCCCCAGGGACATGTCCCTGCATGCCCCCTTCTCTCTTAATCCCACCCTCTTTATTTCCCTTCTCTCTGTGTTCATCGCTCATGTACCTTTTCTTATTGTTGCACTTTCAGACAGTCAGATCCTCTCACTTACCTTCTCCCCGAGTGTTTCTCTCTCTCTCTCTCTCTCAATATTAATATCAATATTAATATCAATCCTTTGCCGACTCTGCCTCCCTTAAAATAATGTTTATATATATAAATAAGATACAAAAATAATGATAACAATAATAATTGCATTTTTAGAAATATTAATCAACAAAGTCTTGGACATTGTGAGTAATTTAAGTTTTTGATCATTCTTCAATTCACAGCCACCCTTTCTCATGTTCTATCTCACTTGTCTTACTTCTTCACTCTCTCCATGGTCCATGCATGTCACACACACACGTACACACACATACAGGGTTATGGCGTCAACCGTGGACCAAGTTTAGTACTTGTGTGTGTGTGCGTAGGTAATCGCCAGCAACCGCGGACCACTCCATAGAAAACTACATCAAACCGCGGACGTACCTCCTATGGGATGATCCAGGTAGCGAGCGCCTCTCCCGCGCAGTCATCGAAGGGGGCGCTGTGACATTTCGCAATACACATCGGACTGATCCAGTCGATGTTGCCTACACGCTGTGACATCTAATATTCAAACGCCCCCTACGTCGTAAATTTGATACGGCGGAACCGGTATCGCAACCGTGGACGGTCCCCCATTGCAGGTACGTCCGCGGTTTGAGGTAGTTTTCTATGGAGTGGTCCGCGGTTGCTGGCGTTTACCTACGCACAATGCACCTCAAACATCGGCGCCCAAATACACTGTACAAACTTTCATCATACACACACACACATATGGCGAACACATGGCTTTTTGACCTCGCACTGATTTGGGTCCATAACTCCATGCACGTTCGGTCACCAACCTGTAATTTATGCTGGTATCAAACTCCACCCACATAGCTAGAGATGCTTCCTGATTGGTCACTAACACTGATCAGCTCATTGCTGGGTGTGTCTTGGGTGTGTGTGACCAAGGAGGATACACAAGCTGGTATCATTTTGGTGTGATACACACATCCAAATTCATACGGCAATGATACATGCAAACATGATTGCAGAGGCATATATAAACACATCACAGATCAAGCCATCTTCACATGGACCTGACCTCAATTGTTTAAGGTAACTTTGCTAGGCTTATCATGATATCAAATGAGGAATACTAGGACATTTTTATGTTGTTTGTTATGGTCTCTGTTTACTGGGTTGACCCAGTTTGTGATGCTCAGCCCGACAGGCTGAAGACCGGCAGGTGTTCCAGCTACAGCACTATTACAAATTCATGTATTTTCAAAACGGTTAACCGAAACCGCCCGTATACTTTTAACAGTTAAACGTTTAGCACAAAAACCGTAATGACTCGGGCTTAATGTTAAATGTGGCACTTCTGGCACTCGGCAGACGATGTTGTATACATGTGTGATGTTCATTAGAAATGATTTCTTTTATTTAATTCAGAAATCATTTCTTTTATTTCATTCATGGGAGCTTTGTAGTGAGCTTTCCTAATTGTTATTTGTATTATTATAATTGTTACTTTTTTATGGTTTACCAGAGCCCTTTTTGAACTTGCAAGAAGTACATTATTTTCTGTTTCTCCCTATGTATTTTTTCACTGCTTGTTACACAGAATGGCTTTGTCTTGAATGCCATTCTCAAAGATCCTCATGTTAAAACTTACGCATGTCACCCACAAAACCTTGGTCGTCTCTTTAGTAGTCTTCTTGTTAGAGTGTAGAGAATGTGATTTTTCCTATCTTTTTCTATCTTCTTGTATTGTCGTGGGGCCTCATCTAGTTTAAATGCCATTCTCAATGACCCCAAAGATGAACTGATGCATGTCACCTACGACGCCCCGGTCATCTCTTCAATGGTGTCCTTGCTAGAGTTTAGAGAATTGATTTGTATCTTTTTGTTTTTTGAATTGCAGGGTGGCCTCGTCTTAAATGCCATTCTCAACGATTCATCATATGAACCGATGCATGTTACCTACAACGCCCTGGTCATCTCTTCAGTTGTGTTCTCCTTCTTGGAGTTAATCACAGCGTTGACAGGACCTCACTTCATGCGTAAGCTACAGCTCATCCGGATTGAACACACAGTCAATGACGAGGATGAGGAGAAGGAGAAGAAAGGGAGCTCAGCTAATCTGGGCAGAGTGTTGGCTCTCGCCAAACCTGTAAGTGTCCTTTGGCAAGACATTAATCTAGATTTGCCACACCATACCCAGGAGAGAAATTGGGACCTGGTAGGATGAAGAAAGCCTTTGTCATAGAACCTATCTATATGCCCTCATGGTGACCATATGGTAGGAATAGTCCCCAATGAGTGTAAATTGTACACACTGAATCCAATGTCGGGGAAAATTACAGTATCTGTAAAATGCTTAGAGACAGTACTTTGTATTAAGCATTGCATAAATCCAGATTTATTACTATCATCATAAAGCCCTAACCTAGTACGTACCTGTCAATGAGCACTGTTTCTGATGAAATGCTAGAAGTGTGGGGGAAACTAAGATTTATAAAAGAATGAACTAAAATATTGAAATCAAACAAATATCTCTCTTTAAAGATGTCAATTGTGGGTGATTTTAATATCACCTAAGGGTGTTTACAAAAAGCATACAGAAAAGAAGAAAAAAATCCAAAACATTCATGTTTTACTTTTAACAAAACCTTTTAGTATAACCTTAGTATAACTTTTAGTATAACCAACCTTTGATTAAAAGTGTGGTTATAGTTATTGATATTGGACAAATTACATTTCAGATTAGGGCTGCACAAAATTCTAATCCCAGAAAACAATCTGGTCTATGTGCAACATTTAACAAGTGTATCAATCATGAAAGAATATTGATTCAGAATGAAATTGAATTCGCTAGTTTAGTCTATTGTGCCACCGTTTTCACACATTTGTCATTCTACAATAGCTAACCCTTGCTTTATACTGATGAATATTCAAAATTGATTATTAAACTAATAAACCATAAGTATTCTACTCATGCATGTGGCTGTTATTTTCATTCAAAAACATATAAATACCTTGGGAACAACACAATGCTTTTTGTTTAATATGTTTTTCATTGGAAATCATATTTCATTCATTCATTCATTGTATGTATTCTTTGCTTCTGTGTTACTCTTGCAACAGAAAAAAACTCAACAAATACTGTTATTTAAAACATATTTGTGGCTTACACCCAGTAATTTATTACGTAAGTCTCGGTTCGAGACTACATGTGAGAGCCCGTTCTACGCATGCGCAATTTCGTTTTCGCATTGCATGCATCGAGGGTGAGATTACAATCTCATGCCTTATTCGATTGATCGATTTGTGAGCCACAAATATATTTGTAAACAATTTAAAATTCTCCCAGGAAGCAATGCATTTATACAACAACAAAAATATTGTTATGCAATGACCTGTTAAAGCCCATCTCTGCTTTTCTGTTTTTTAGGAAGTATGGTTGATTTCGCTAGGAATGGTGGGTTTGATTGGGGCAAGTGCATCAGCCATGGCAGCCCCCCTCTTCTTTGGGAGAGTGGTGGATGAGGCTGTCACTTCGACTTCGATGGGTGAGTCAGAAAAGCTTTTTTTTTTATTTTTGTGATACTCTGGAGCCCTGTTCATATATTGCAATATGATTGGTATACAAATAATGCACAAAGTTTAGTTAGTGCCCATAGTGATAATGCACGCACTCGCAGGGCACGTGCATTATCGATATCGCACTGACTAACCTAAGTGCTGGAACTGCCCTAACACACAAGCTCTTTATCTTACGGTAACAGGCAATTGAGCCCAAGCCTAAATCGTAAAAGTTGAATTATCCATCGGTGAAATGCCGCATTTATACTTGCATTTATTTTGTTTCCTCTGTGCCCCACAAACTAATGCGTGCCATTGAGCGGTCATCTTAAACTTTTTGGTCAAGTCTGATTTACGAATAGTTCACACAGTGCATCATGCCTTGTTTACGCCGAAGCTAATCATTGTTCATGCATTGTCATACATTGTTGTGCACAGCTATTCGTAGACGTTGCTCTTATGTCCAGTGTATCTACAATGTCGTAGTATGCAGATGATAATGATAAAAATAATAATAATGATAATAATAATGATGATTACAATGATGATGATGATGATAGTAATGATAATAATAATAATCCAGATGTACATGACATCTGTTGAAAAGAGACCTTGTACTTGAGATAATTGTTACGGATATTAAAAGTGGCAGATATGAACAGGACAAATGAGTCATCTGCCACAATGGAACATTGATGATTGATTTGTTCTATTTCCTTCTATGTCTCTCCCTCTCTCTTTCCCTCCCTCCCTCTCTCTCTCTCTCTCTCTCCCCTCTCTTTCTCTTTCTCTCTCTCTCTCTCTCTCTGTTCCTTACTCCTCCTTCATTGAATAGCCGGTGTGAACAAAGTCGTACTCATCTTATTCCTCATCTTCCTTGGGGGCGCCATTTGCTCTATGATCCGCTCGTGGTGCTTCACGCTCGCCGGGACGCGAGTGGTCTGCCGTCTGAGGAACACCCTGTTTGCTTCCATCATCAGGCAGGAGGTGGCGTTCTTCGATACGAACCGCACGGGTGAACTCACGAGTCGGCTCTCCTCCGACACTCAGGTGGTGCAGAATGCCGTCACGGTAAGCTCGCATTTTCTCAGCGAAGCCTCGTTCGTTCGTTCGTTTATTCGTTTCATTTTCATAAAAACACAGCAAAAGCAAATAAACATACAAGTATACATTCAAAGGCAGAGAATGTTCAGTTTATACGATAACTTCAAATGAAATAGGAGAACAAAGGAAAATCCCATGGTGGCGTTGGTTTATAAAAGTTCCCCCAAATATTATAATTTTTTATGCCTCCGCCACCGAAGGTGGTGCCGGAGGCATCATGTTTTCGGGTTGTCCGTCCGTACGTCCGTACGTCCGTCCTGTTTGACCGTTATCACGATATCTCAAGAACCATTTAATATTTAAACTTAACACTCGGGAATAGTATTTATCACCATAGGAAGACGATCTGATTAGATTTTGGAGTACGTAGGTCAACGGTCACAGGTCACAGAGGTCAACTTATGAAATTCCATACATTGAGATTGTTATCATGATATCTCAAGAACCACTGGAGATTTAAACTTCAAACTTAGTGATAGTGTGTATCACTATAGGAAAACAATCTGATTACATTTTGGAGCACGTAGGTCAAAGGCCAAGGGTCATAGAGGTCAACTTATGAAATTCCATACATTGAGATTGTTATCATGATATCTCAAGAACCACTGGAGATGTAAAAACTTCAAACTTAAGGATAGTATGTATCACCATAGGAAGACGATCTGAATAGATTTTGGAGCACGTAGGTCAAAGGTCAAGGGTCACAGAGGTCAACTTATGAAATTCCATACATTGAGATTGTTATCATAATATCTCAAGAACCACTGGAGATTTAAACTTCAAACTTAATGATAGTGTGTATCACCATAGGAAGACAATCTGATTAGATTTTGGAGCACGTAGGTCAAAGGTCAAGGGTCACAGAGGTCAACTTATGAAATTCCATACATTGAGATCGTTATCGCGATATCTCAAGAACCACTGGAGAATTTTCACTTCAAACTTAATGATAGTATGTATCACCATATCATAATATCTCAAGAACCACTGGAGATTTAAACTCCAAACTTGATGATAGTACATGTATGTATCACCATAGGAAGACAATCTGATTAGATTTTGGAGCACGTAGGTCACAGGTCAAGGGTCACAGAGGTCAACTTATGAAATTCCATACATTGAGATCGTTATCGCGATATCTCAAGAACCACTGGAGAATTTTCACTTCAAACTTAATGATAGTATGTATCACCATAGGAAGACGATCTGTTTAGATTTTGGAGCACGTAGGTCACAGGTCAAGGGTCACAGAGGTCAACTTATGAAATTCCATACATTGAGATCGTTATCGCGATATCTCAAGAACCACTGGAGAATTTTCACTTCAAACTTAATGATAGTATGTATCACCATAGGAAGACGATCTGTTTAGATTTTGGAGCACGTAGGTCAAGGGTCACAGAGGTCAACTTGTGAAATTCCATGTCTTCAGCTCGTTATCGCGATATCTCAAGAACCATTTGAGATTTTAAACTTCAAACTTAAGGATAGTATATATATCACCATAGGAAAACGATCAGATTAGATTTTGGAGTACATGTATGTCAAAGGTCATAGAGGTCAACTTGAAAAATTCAGACTACATGTATAGGACTTGTCATGATATGTCAAGAACCACTTGAAATATGTTCCGTTACTTAACCCGTACTTAACTGGGCTATTTTGAACTTCCCTGACTGGGGGGGGGGGGGGGGGGGGGGGGAGGGGCCGATTGCCTCGAAATTTGGCACGCGTCTTGAGAAATTGCGCAAAGGAAGAGACCTCACTATTATTTTGCTGAAAATTGCTTATTTTATCAATTATGCTAATTTATGCAATTGCATAAAGGAAGAGACCTCACTATAATTTTGCTGAAAATTACTTATTTTATCAATTATGCTAATTTATGCAAATCAAATTCATGAATAATGATTTTTATTAACAATTACATAAATAAAGCTTTTACAGAGTTGATTTTGTGGCAAAAAGTTTCTAAAAAGCCTATCGGGCATTATCACATAAAAAAATTGTCCATGTCTATTTCAATTCTTATGTATTTCATTGTTTTATGAACTTCTTTTGTATTCTATCGTTATTAATTCTTAATCTTATGTATTGTATTGTTTTAGGACTTCTGATACTTGAGGTTGTTACGTATCAATATTTTGCTTGAATAAATGATAACTAAACTCTAAAGAGTAAAATTATGCTGATTTATAGACCAAACTAGAAACTTCACTTTGCCATTCATTTTGTACACAAAATGACAAATTTCTCAATTTTCGGCTTGACCTTAGGTCACAATAGGTCAAGTAACTCTCTAGTTTAAATTGCTCTATGGCGGAGGCATCATTTTCGACTGCGCGCAGTCAAAATTCCATCTAGTTTATTATTGTCATTATTATGGCTGGTCAGAGTTGTCCAAAACATGTTTAAAAATTGAGTTGGAATGAGCCTTTTGGGACAATAACCTTTGGGAAAATAACACCAACTCAATTTTTTTACATGTTTTGGACAACTGTGACTAGCCATAATCATCAATAATAATAATAATAATAATAATGACAATTATAGTTATATGTCTTCTTTACCCAGGGAAGCCTCAATAGTATTAAAACTTATCTCCCTGAAGGCCCTGCAATCATATTATTACCCCGGCTTTAGCAGAGCTACCATGAAAGGTGCTCCAGCATTCAAAGAATTTCTTTCTACCAGGTACCCTTTTACTACAACTGGGTGGAGTGTGGCAAATGTAGATCACTACCTTGCCAAAAGTCATTATTCTGAGAGATATATGATAAGTGGCTAAAATTGCACTCTGTTCTCAAAGATGGCCTACTAAATCCTCTGCTTTGACTTATTTTATTTAGTTGCCAGGGGTAAGTGCTGATGTTAAGCTGATTATTTGCCCCTGTGAAGTAAATGTGTCTTTTATTGAAATCTTGAAAAATACATAATACAAATGTAATTTGGTACAGTTCTTTCTGCAATAAATTATATATATATCTTTCCTGTCACTCTCTGCCCCCCCCCCTTTCCCTCTCTTTCTTCTCCCCTCTCTCTCTCTCTCTCTCTCTGTCCTCTTATTCTTCTGTTCATCTCTCTTGCTCTCTTCATCTCACCCCCCCCCTCTCTCTCTCTCCCTCCCTCCCTCCCTCCCTCCCTCCCTCCCTCCCTCCCTCTCTTACTCCTTCCATTTCTCTCCTTCTCTGATATCTTTTACAGGTGAACATTTCTATGCTTGTGAGATACTCTTTTCAAATTCTGGGGTCGATCGCAATCATGTTCAGTCAAAGTGCCGCCCTTACTGGTGTGTTACTCTCTGTAGTCCCTATCATAGCAATTGGTGCAGTGCAGTATGGTAAGTATGGATATCATAATAGTAAAGTTGTTGCAGTTTATTGGCTGTGAGCTAAATATGTTTTATTAATGTAACAGTTGCTAGTGATAATAAGCTTTATTACACAGGACCCATGATGGTCGAGGGTTGATTTTCAAAAGAGAGAATATTTTTAATTAAAATTGACCCCGAAGCCTTTGTACCATGCCTCTGGGTATGACAATTATAACCTCAGTTTAAGCCCTGCTTTCTACTTTCCCTTTTTCTCCTTTTGTGACATTTGTACCAGTGATATATTAGAAATATTGATGAATATAAGTCGCAATTTCAGTTGTCTTCCTTGTAGGACTAATGTTGCTCTTCAGTTGTTAACCATTCAAAAATCTCTTTTATTTCAGGAAGATAGAGCTATTTTATTTCATTGGATAGGTTGGACTAGATGTTAAAGTGACTCGGTAACATTGCCTCAGATTCTGAAACAAAAACCTGGATTTAGCTCATGCTGCAATCATAATTATAAACCTTTAGGTCAGTCAGGAATCCCATGACTTTTACAAGCTGATCGCCTGTCTGATTATCAAGATATTTATGATTGGAAATCGAAACCAAATTTTGCGTTTTCCTAACGGTTTTTAATAACACTACAGTCTATTGGGGAAAATGAGTACGGTATGGTAAAACTGGTCACTCAAAAGATTTTTACTTTTTTGAGGTCATTTTGAAGTCCAATTTTTTTAGGGCTTCAATAGTACACCATATCACAGACACTGATAACACGCAAGTCCATGCATCTCACATGTAACATTGTTAAACGATGCCTTTCATACTCAGATTCCTTTATATATTTTCCATCTTTCATTAGGACGATATGTCCAGGCATTCCAGAAGAACTTTCAGGATGCCCTTGGTGATGCGGGAACTGCCGCAGAGGAAGCCCTGTCCAGCATCAGGACTTTGCGGTCTCAGGAAAATTCCCAAGTTGTCTTTCCCATAAAACTAATGTTGCTCTTCAGTTTTTAACCATTCAAATGTCTCTGTGATTTCAGGAAGATAGAGCTATTTTATTTCAGTGGGTAGGTTGGACTAGATTGTAATACCTGGAAACCTTTATTTGTCCATTTCACAGGACGATATGTCCAGGTAATCCAGAAGAACTTTCAGGATGCCCTTGGTGATGCAGGTACTGCCGCAGAGGAAGCCCTGTCCAGCATCAGGACTTTGCGGTCTCAGGAAAATTCCCAAGTTGTCTTTCCCATAAAACTAATGTTGCTCTTCAGTTGTTAACCATTCGAATGTCTCTGTGATTTCAGGAAGATAGAGCTTTTTTTTATTTCAGTGGGTAGGTTGGACTAGATTGTAATACCTGGAAACCTTTATTTGTCCATTTCACAGGACGATATGTCCAGGTAATCCAGAAGAACTTTCAGGATGCTCTTGGTGATGCAGGTACTGCCGCAGAGGAAGCCCTGTCCAGCATCAGGACCGTACGCTCATTCATAGGAGAACCCAAGGCCATTCAAAGCTATGAGAAAGAGATTGGCAAGAGTTATCATTACGGCAAGAGGATCGCTGCGGCAAATGGTGTCTTCAATGGCATCGTTGGACTAGTCATGCAGGTAAGGGGCAGGGAAAATTATCGGTGTCTTCAGCTCCCATAATATGCTAATATCGTTAGAAATTCCTCCATATTTGGAACGAGTTTTGAGGAAATAAATCACTAGTTTTAAATTAAGCGATCATGGTCATTCTCAGCACTGAACAAGGTATATGCAAGAGAATCTCTGTAGCAGATTAGATTTTTTTTAATGGCATTGTTGGATTATTAATGTACATGTAGGTAAGGGGCAGGGTAAACGAATCAGATATTGTAGCTCCCATAATGTGGATATAAACTCCACAAAAAAAGTTCTGCAATTCAATTCAATTCAATTCATCTGGAAGGATCCAAAAGCTAATGTGCTTAGATTAGCAAGTGTGATCTTGTAAAAATGACGCCTGGCTGGAATGCTCCCCAGGGAGTGGAGAATGTGCATACATTGTGTGCAGGGTAAGCCTGAATCCGATGACCGGGGTAATAATATGATTGCAGGGCCCTCAGGGAGAACAGTATGAATACTGATGAGGCTACCCTGGGTAAACAAGACATATTATTATTATTATTATTATTATTATTATTATTATTATTATTATTATTATTATTATTGTTATTTTTACTATTTGTTACTTTATTATCATATTGTCGCAAAAATGCATCGTTAATCTTTCAAAACACAAGCCATCTCCATACAAATGAAGAATTCACTATTGACAATAACAGTGCATTTTGCAACATTTCACTTTTGACTTGGCTCTTTATCTAGGTGTACTACACATACCATGATTACATAATCATCGCAAATGGGGCATCATTGTAAAGGGGAATAAACAGGCTTTTCAATGATACCAACGTCAAGTATGATTATATACCCACAATAGAGATATCTAAGCTAAAAATTGAATTGCAGAACATTTTGAGGGGATTATCGTTTGTCCAAATTTTGCATGGATTTTGTAGAATAAGTATCATTCTGAATGTATGCTTAGCCTAGCTAATGTATGGTATTGCATCATCACACACAATTTACACAGACAAATTGTTACTCTGTCAATGGCTGCAGCAGCTCAAAGCCAGTTTAGTTGTTTCCACATGGAAACATTGCTTTATGTGTAATGTGCAACATACAAATGAAAAGGAATATGGTTATATGAATGCAGACCTGTCAAGTGTCCCGCATTCTGGAGAGAAACACATCCTGAAAATGCGGGATGTCTGCAATTTCCGTTTTTTATTTTTTTATTCTGATATTTTGCCATACAGTAGTCATTTATAATCAGTCAATCAAATAATGCCTAGTTATTGTAAACTTAAGCATCACAAATTCTTATTGGTAGACCTCTGTATACCCTTTCCTACATGCCTGAGAGTGTCAAAAACCCATGAGCTTTCGGGGGCTCTGCCTCCTGGACCCCCGTTCTTTATACGCTCCTCTCTAATGGACTCTTGATTAGAGTTGTCCCGCATTGCAGTTTGGAAAAATTGGCAGGTCTGTGAATGCTCTTTTTCTTTCTTTTTTGTTTATGAAGGGAGCTATAGCACTTGTGCTTTGGTATGGTGGCAAGTTGGTGTTTTTGAATAATCAAGACCCTACACATACACAAGGCATTACTGTTGGACAGCTTACATGTGAGTATATCGTAAAACAAGAGGATTGTTTTTAAAGCCTGTGGTAAACTTGGCTGTTATGAGAAAAAAAAAAAAAAACCCTGGGTGCTCATGAAACATGCCAGGCCTGATAAAAACCTGATTTAAATACTGATTTTTCCCTTATTTTCTCTATTCTTCCCTATTTTTCCCTATTATTTCCCAATTTGTCTTACTCAAAAAGGGGGAATGGTGTTAGATGCCATTTTTTCCCCTGGATCCTCTTCTTCTTTTTTTTTTACTCAAGGGGGTCGTGGTTGAGGGGAATTTTTTTTTTTTTTAGTGCTCACTATCACCCCTGCACATGCTCTTTATCGTCTTACTCTAATAATTGTTCTTATCTAATGGTTCAGTCTCCACGATAACCTATCCCTGGTGGTCAACAGCTAAGAAAGGCTCCAAGAAGGCAGTCAAGGCCCCTCGGCCCAGCGGTGGCAAGAAGCTCCACCGGCGATTGCTCCACTTCGATTAAATCAATTTTTGGTTACCAAATTCTTCACTCCATCCCTGGACCCAACATAACTCTAACCTGAACCCTAATCTAAAACCCAATTGCAACCCTAACCCTAACCTTGTACCTTTGAAAAGGTAAAGTCTGGAGCAATTGTCACAGGAGCAAAGGTTGGGTCACCACCTAGCAACATATATATATATATGGGTCCATCCAGAAAGTTGGGGCACTTTTTGTGACAAACCAAAAGTGAGAAACAATGTCTGATATCAATTGTAACAATGTTTGCTCCAATCAAGTTTTGCATAAAAAGCATAGCCAACTATCTTCAGAAGAACTCAAGCTTCATGGCGAATCAATATCATGGACCCAAAGTTTATGCAATGTTATATGAATATGGTGTCCATGTAAGGCTGGTAAAAAGAGAAATGTGTATTAAGCAAAGATTTTGAAAAAAAGCAACTGAAACAGGAATTATTCTGGCAGGGCACTACTATATATAATCATTGCATAAAATCCTCACCAGATAATTTCATCTTCCATGTGTAGTAGAAGATCTCGTACCTATGTTACATGGACACCGTCATATTTTTGTTGCTTTATGGAGTGACGCATATTCTCCCTTTCTAAATTGCCATAGCTATGCGCGCGTACAAAGACATAAGACTAAGCCCGGTCAATATCTGTCGCCATACCGCCCCCGCAGTCCTTAGTGAATTTCATGACCGCAAATTTGACTAATCAGAGGCCTAGAATCAGACATGCGGTATATAACAACATAATATTCTCCCTCTTCATGATAGCTTTCATGCTTTACACTTTGAACGTGGCCATGGCCTTCGCCTTCTTGTCTGCCCTCTACGGTGACTTCATGAAAGCCGTAGGAGCGTCGGAGAGGATCTTCATGTTGATGGACAGGAAACCGGAGATCCCCGAAGAGGGAGGCCAAGAGATCATGGACTTTACCGGGGAGATCTCTCTTGAAACGGTCACTTTCACTTATCCATCAAGACCAGAAACTAAGATATTACAGGTCAGGTTATATGAAATTAGTAAAGGTTTTTTTGTTGTTTGTTGTTATGACTACCGGTAATTAAGCCAGCCATAAAGGTGTCACCCTTCCATCAAATTATTTTTGATGCATTTTGATGCATCTTTGAATTCTGATGCATCTTTGAATTCTGATGCATTTTTGTATTCTGATGCATTTTTGTCACTGTTGTGATTCTAGTAATGGTAATGGGAATGCTGATGTTTATGGTGGTGATATTGATGAGGATGCAATGATGATGTCATTGTTAATGATAGCATTGATGATGATGATTATGATGATGATAATCATTGATGGAGGAAGCTGGTTGCAAAATCTACAGTGGTGCCCCAACGGTCAGCCAGACTACGGGACAGATGAGTTGAGATGAGAATCATTGATGATAATGACATGATGATGATCATTGATGATAATGACAGTGATGATGATGACAGTGATGATGATGATCATTATAATAATGGTAATGATGATTTTATTGTTGTTAATGACACGATGGAGATGATGAGGATGATGATGACAACACTAATGATGTATTTCTCTTCTATGAAAACAGGATGTCAGTTTTGAGGTACAGCCTGGTCAGATGGTTGCCCTCGTAGGTCCATCAGGGGGAGGCAAGTCTACCATTGTCAATCTATTGGAGCGATTCTACTTTCCAGATTCTGGACAAGTCAAATTCAGTAAGTAGGATCCTTTCACATTTCTCAAAACGTAAATTAGCACAGTAATAGAAATTTAACTCATTGACTCCTGGAACCTAGTGGCTCCTGTATTAACCCTATGGGTAAGAGAGAATTCAGTTGTCAACCGGTTGGGAATTTTAATAATAGATGATTCACATTGATCAGGCTGTCAACTGAAGACAAATTTCCATATGTGCATATCTGTTGTCATGCTTATCAGCTTATTATTACATTTTTGGTAGCTTTTATAACTATGATAAAAGTTTTGCCTTTCCTAACTACCCATTTATTGCATACATATTGAAATGGACCAGAAGTGACTAAGGCACCAAGCTATCCCAGAGTCCATTTGAAATTGGGACATGAAATTTACATCTGGTCATTTTGGGATATTGGCAAATACCAAGAATTGAATTCTAGATGGTGTTGATCTAGCATGCCTCAATCCTAGATGGTTTGGATTCTTTTCAAAATTGATGTATTTGCGATTTTTCTTTGTATCTTTGAACCTTTCAACTTTGTAATCTTTGTTTGTATCAGTTTCCCGACTGTTTTAACAAGGAATTTTGATTCAATAAACAGAAATGAATGAATGAATATTAGACAAAGGATCTCATTGCTCTCTTTGCCTGTTCTATGGGAGATAACGCATCATATCCTTGTTTTTGTAAAGGTGGTGTCGATTTTGCAATCCTCTATTTTTGTATGGTCTAGACAAAGAATTCTCTTTGCCTGTTCTATCAGAGATAACATATCATATATCCTTGATTTTGTGAAGTTGGCGTTAATCCAGCAAACTTTAATTTTAGATGGATTAGACAAAGGATCTCATTGCTATAAAGCCAATTCTCTTTGCCTGTTCTATCAGAGAAACATAGCATATATCCTTGATTTTGTGAAGGTGGTGTCGATCCAGCAAACCTCAATTTTAGATGGTTTAGCAGGGGTCTTGTTAATTATTTTTGAAGGAGGTAATTTGAATTTTATAGGAGGTACCATCACTGCGAGGGAGCGAAGCGACCGAGGGGGGGAGGGTGTGGGAGGGGGGTGTCCCCCTACCACGGTAGGGACCTTTTGGGATTTTCCACTTGAAATCGTGCAATCTGGTGCATACCTAAGAAGAAAATTTGTAGTTATCTTTCCTACCTTGTATTACACATATATTGTAATAAACACACATATTGTTCATGTTTAATATTACATGAACAATCATAACTCATAAGAAAAGTTATTAAGTTGATAATTATTTATCACTTTGTACCATTACTTTGTAATTTTTAATTAAACTGAGATGATGCACCATACTCAATCTTTCTACATCATGATTTGTTGAATACATGTACAGTATTTAAATAATGGGCAGCAGAGGCTAGATTTTGATTTTTTTTGTTTTATTTGTGACTTTTATTTGGCTCCCCATATGAATTCTCATTTAATTAATTTTTTTTGACATGAAATTATTGAATACATTTAAGAATTTACTTCAGTTCCTGTTCATTTTATAATGTTATATCACTGTTTTTCCTGACAAAGTGAAGACACTGTATATTTGTTTATTCAACTTTTTTAAGGAAATAAATGAAAATAAAATAAATGAATTAACCGATTGGCTTCCGATTGCGATCGGAAGTTAGTTTTGAATATTCGCGGAGCGCGAGCCTGCATATATCATGCGAGCTAGCTGCGGGGATCCGCCGGGGACGGCCGTGGCCAGCCTAAACTCAGCCGAGTTCAAAACTCTGTTGCCGATTTGCGCATCTCAGAATCTAAAGTACGTTGTCTCTAGACATGGCACGCACGTGTATAGGCCCCGGTTTCCGTGATCTTCAAATATCAAATCGGCAACGGATAGTTTGGTTACAGCGAGCTAGCTTCAGTTTTGTTATGATCAGTGTGTATATATTTTGTGCAGTGCATGCATCGTCTTCTCGCGTGCACATCGGGATCGCAATGGGGTAGGGACGGGCGGGCTTGGCCGCCGCGCTGCGGGGGGAGAACTGCGATGTAACGTTAGATAGATGGGTCTAGGTAAGTACGGACAACGTCGCGTTCGTGATCGTAAGGGATTTCGTCGACTGCGGCCGTGTATGTGCGGCACTAATTATATCTTGGACGAAATTAAGGAAATTTTGGATTAGCATTGATTTAGATCTACTTTCTGTGATTTTTGCAAGGTTTATTAGAGGTCTATAGGAATTATAGCCGGTAAGAAACGAGTGAATAGGCGGCAAGTTTTACCGGTTACCGGCTTTAAACGACAGCCCTGGTTTAGACAAAGGACATCATTGCTCTCATTACTCTCTTTGCCTGTTCGATCAGAGATAACATATCATATATCCTTGATTTTGTAAAAGGTAGTGTCAATCTAGGAAACCTCAATTTTAGATAGTTACAGTAATACAAAGAATCTCATTGCTAAGCCAATTCTCTTTGCCTGTTCTATCAGAGATAATATATCATATATCCTTGATTTTGTGAAGGTAGTGTCAATCTAGGAAACCTCAATTTTAGATAGTTACAGTAATACAAAGAATCTCATTGCTAAGCCAATTTTCTTTGCCTGTTCTATCGGAGATAACATATCATATATCCTTGATTTTGTGAAGGTGGTGTCGATCTAGCAAGCCTTGATCCGAGATGGTTTAGACGAAGAATCTCATCGCTAAGCCGATTCTCTTTGCCTGTTCTATCAAAGATAACATATTATATATCCTTGATTTTGTGAAGGTAGCGTTGATCTAGCGAGCCTTGATCCGAGATGGTTTAGACAAAGAATCTCATCGCTAAGCCGATTCTCTTTGCCTGTTCTATCAAAGATAACATATTATATATCCTTGATTTTGTGAAGGTGGTGTTGATCTAGCGAGCCTTGATCCGAGATGGTTTAGACAAAGAATCTCATCGCTAAGCCGATTCTCTTTGCCTGTTCTATCAAAGATAACATATCATATATCCTTGATTTTGTGCAGGTGGCGTCGATCTAGCTAGCCTTGATCCAAGATGGTTTCGACAAAGAATCTCATCGCTAAGCCGATTCTCTTTGCCTGTTCTATCAAAGATAACAAATCATATACATGTATCCTTGATTTTGTAAAAGGTAGTGTCAATCTAGGAAGCCTCAATTTTAGACGGTAATAGACCAAACATTCTCTTTGCCTGGTCTATCAGAGATAACATATCATATATCCATGTATCCTTGATTTTGTGAAGGTGGTGTCGATCTAGCAAGCCTTGATCCAAGGTGGTTTAGACAAAGGGTCTCATTAGTGAGTCAGGAACCAGTACTCTTTGCATGCTCCATCAGAGATAACATCTCGTACGGCAGGAGCGCTACAGATGATGAGGTGAGATATATAGATTGCCGTTATGATGAATATTATACAAATATACACTACCTCGAGAGGTTCTGGTTAAAACTATGCGCAAGAGGTGACTCCAATAGTACTATTTGCTGAGGGGCGCAGCCCCGAAGCAAATGGTACTTCTGGAGTCGCCAAGGCCCATAGTTTTAACCAGTACCTCGATTTGAGGCTTGGTATATTTGTTTTATATCCTGCAATCAAAAATTTATTTTATAAAAAAAAAAAAAAAAAATTTTTGGGAAGAAAACAAATTTAGAACAAAAAAAATGTCAATTTTTATCTAAAAAGATTTAGAATATTTTGTTTTCATTAAATTAAGATTAAAAAAAACAAAAAACAATTCCCCCCCCCAAAAAAAAATCACATTTTTTTTTCAACTCCCAAATAGTAAACCAAACTAGTACTCTCATATAGTACTTTCTAAAAATATCTCAAATATTTTTGGTCATGTGACGAGCTCTCAACCAATCAAAAGCCAACAAATTTTTGATGCAGGATAAATATATCCTGCATCAAAAATTTGTTGGCTTTTGCAAAAATCAAAGTATATATATATTTTAAAATATATCATGAATATATTTATGATAGGAAAAGGAACAATATACATGTATGTGAGGAGAGGAAAAGGAATAATGTATTTGGGATAGGAAAGAGGAATGAGATATCAAGAAAAGGAAGCCTGATTGCTCAGTGGTAAAGGACTGGGGGGCGTTTCACAGAACTTGTCATCAGTCACATATGATATTTTTTGTTATAAGCTACTGAAATCCTTGCTTCTGATTGGTTATCGGCAGATTTGTCACTGATTTTTGTCATTTGTCATCGAAAAAAGGCTTTGTGAAACCGGTCCCTGGTCTTATGAACAGGAGGTCTAGGGTTCTAATTGAAGTATGTACCCATAGTATGCCCTTTGTTACCGGGTATACAGATTTATTTGCCCCTTTGCAACCGTGAAGTTCTATGTAGAAAACTGTGTACATGCGTCCGATGAAAGGGGCAGTTAAAAACCTCATTGGCGTTGAATTTGTCCTTCCTTGATGCCCAAAATATCTTGAGATGTACAGTGTATCTTGAATGTTTATTTAGGTGGTTGCTATTAGAGGGGTTTAGTGTCGGCAATTTTGAATCTTTGTCTATTTTACTTTCATCTTTAACCATCGTATCTTCTTCTCCCACAGATCTATGAAGCAGCTAAGATGGCCAACGCACATGAGTTTGTGACAGGTTTCGAGGAGGGGTACGACACCATGGTCGGTGAGAGGGGGATCATGCTCTCGGGAGGTCAGAAGCAGCGACTGGCCATCGCTAGAGCTCTTATTATGGATCCTACGGTACTATTGCTCGATGAGGTGAGATTAATCGCCTACTTGTGACAAGGGCACCTATTAAATCCCCACTGCACTCTTCATAGCTACTTGCGCCCTCTATATTGCAAACAATGCCTAAGCGGTACCCGTTGGTCCCCCATGATCCCCTTTTTCTTATGTTAATTGAGAGCTGATGTGGTGAGATAACCACCTGTCAATGACCTCACAGGGTGGTCTTATCCCTCCTGGCCAAACTAGTGCAGATGGGCTTTAGCACTTTAAGTGAAAAGAAAAAAGAAACTGTAGAGTACAAGGCATATGTGTCTGTGACATTTCCTCTCTGTTTATCAAGAACAAATGAGGCACTACCTCTATGTAATTTTTTCTGCATGTATGGTTCGTGAAATCAAGGACTAATTTTCATCAATATAAATTTTAGCAACATATTTCATACAATGAATTGATTACATTTGCATGTGTCTTCTTGCCATAACACATCTCTTTTTGTTTTATAACCCCAAAATAGCAAGATATCTAGGAATTGATATTTAATGATTCCCCACTCCCCCCCCCCCCCCCCCAAAAAAAAAAATAATAATAATAATAACAATAACATTAATAACGCTAATAAATAAGAAGAAAAAGAAGAAGAAGAAAATATTAAAATACTAAATTAAAATATAAATAACTATATGATAAAAATACTGATTTAAAAAAAATAATGGTAAATAAATGAATAAATAATAAGGAAAACCTTTTGCAGATTTTTTCAACCATTCTCATCTACTGTGTTTGCCTAATGTAAACAATGGACAATAACATGCCATGTGATTCATGAAATGAAAACATCCACTACCATCAAGTGATATCTGCCCTGTGTTGTTTTGTGTTGTCTAGGCAACGAGTGCCTTGGATGCTGAGAGTGAGCATCTGGTGCAGGAGGCTATCGACAGGGCCATGGTAGGGAGGACAGTGCTCGTCATTGCTCATCGACTCTCCACGGTCAAACATGCATCTCAGGTGAGTTACGGCAGAGACTTCCCATGTTTGGATTATACAGTAGGCTTGCGGGTGCACCATGTGAGAGAGAGGGAGGATTGAGGAGTCCTGAAAAAGGACTCTCTGTAATCTTTCTTGAGGGTTTGTAGTCCTGAAAAGGACTGTTTGGTATAGTCTTGAAAAAGACTGTTAGTTATCTTTCTTAGCTTATAGTTCTAAGGAGAACTATAGCGCTTGGAGAGGATGAGTGGCGGGAGTGGCTCGACGTTTCGAACAGGTTGACTATTCGACAAGCCAACACTTACAAGCAGCATCTAAGTGTGGATTAGTCTTCTGGTTTTACTCACGTTTCAGGCGTATGCAAGCTATTGCTATTCTACTGTAAAACCTGTGACTTTCTCAACATGAAACATTCTCAAATTATCATATTATTAATGCATTAAAGGGAAAGTCCACCCTGAAATTAAGTTAGTTTTAATAGGAGTAGAAAAATGAGAGAAACAAGTCAGTGAAAGTTTGAGCAAATTCCGATTAAAAATAAGGAAGTTAGGATTTTTGAAGTTGTGATCAATCAAACACAAATTGGCAACTCTATGACGTATCATGCGAGCTCAACTTCCATTTGCTCAGTACTAAAAAAATCTAAAATTTTCATTTTCCCTCAAGAAAAATTTCAACCATACATGCACCCTAAATATAATAATTGCAAATATGTTTCTATACTCCCCCTGCAAGGAACAAATATATATTCCGTCATCAATAACGAAGAAAACATGATTTTATGGAATATTATGCACAAAGCAAATGAAGGAGAGCTCGTATGATAAGTCACAGAGTTGCCAATTTGTATTTGATTGATCACAACTTCAATAATTCATAACTTTCTTATTTTCATTCAGAATTTGCTCAAACTTTCACTCACCTGATTTTCTTATTATTCTGCCTCTATCGAAACAAACTTATTTTGGGGGTGGACTTTCCCTTTAATAATGCGAGACACATTATCTATGTGAGAAGCTGATGTGTGTAAAACTCAAGAATCAATCGCTATTTTTATTTTACAATCATCTTCATCATTTGAAGAAAAAAGGAAATCTAATGGCTTTATGGTCTAATGCCCGTTGAGGCGATAGTTGAGGTGTCCAATTTCCATTCGGTCAAATCTCCAATACGTCTACAACCCATTTGGTCTCTCACTCATTTGGTCTAATTGCCCGTCAGTCCAATTGCCAGTTTGTCTAACGCCCATTTCATCTACCATCCACAAGGTCTAATAATCATTTGATGATTATTATCGTTCATGATTAAATGATTATGAGACCATGTGGATAGTAGACAGGCTGGGTTCAGACCATATGGGGATAGACTAATTGGATAATTCACTGTTCTATTTCATGTTCCTTCAATTCAATTTTCAATTTATTGTCCAATATTGGAAATTCGTTTTGAAATAGACCACAGGACACTCAATATTTGATACAGAGCGTTGTTGATGCATTGTCGGGTCTTTCACACTACTCTCCTTCCATTCTACCAGGTGATCGTGATCAAGAAGGGCAAGATTGCTGAGAAGGGTACCCACCAGGAGCTACTTGACAAGGGCGGGGTCTATAAGAAACTGGTCCTGAGGCAGCTTAGTACCGGTGGTGGGGGCGGGGCCGAGATGGTCTCCAACGAGAAGAATGGTAACATTGATGAAGAATTGGATGATGTAGATGAGGCGGATGAAGATTAGATTAGTTCTCTAGCTTTGATGTCTCGGGAGGACAATGGACCAATCGGGGAAATTTTTATTATTGAAATTGAAATGTTGCTGTGGATGAGAGGAAGATTAGGTGTGAAACTATGAACCAGTTTGGCAAGTTTGAAATTGGAAATGGAAATTGGAAATTGAGATCGAAATGTAGTGTGGACAATTTGGATGAAAATTGAGAAATGGATCTTTGATGTCTTGGGAGGAGAATGGATCAATATAGCAAAATTTGAATTTGAATTTGAATTTGAAATAAATATGAGATGGATTACGACTGAAAATGACATATCATATCTAATATCAAAATAAACAAAATTTACCATTTAAATTTAAATTCTAATTCAAATTTGAATTAGAAATCGAAAATGTTGCTTTGGGTAAAGATTGATGAAGATTAGAGATGGTGCAATAAAAAAAAAGAATAAATATGGTTATTTTGAAAATAGAATTTGAAATTGAAATGTTGCTTTGGATGAGATGAAGATTATCAAATGATATCAAATGATAGAGGAGAAGGGACCAATATGGAAATGTTAACATTGAGACTTGAAATTGAACTTGGAATTCAAAGTTGAATTGGAATTGGAAATGTAGATTTTGATAAACTGCATGATGATGAGAGATGGAGGAGAATGGACAAATAATGTAATTATAAGATTGAAATTGATAATGAAACATAACAAAATTTAAATTTAAATTTAAATTATAATGTAACTCGCTTAGGAATGTCAGAGATGCAGCTATCGATTTATCGAGAAGAATGAATCAAATAGTAATTTTGAAATTAATTGAAATTGAAATGAATAATTGACATATTTAAGTATTTGTATGTAACTTCGGATTGAATAGAGGAAGATTTGAAAATCGACCTATCATATGTTTAGAAGAGTGGACCAATATGCTAATTTTACATATGAAATTAGAATTGAAAAAATTAAATTAAACTCTAGCTGTGTATCAGATTTATTAACTGGTAAATTTGAAATGATATCCAAGAATTAATTTGATTTGGATTTAGGTTAACAAAATTTGCTGCCTTTTAGATCGATTGTTCCAGGGTAAAACAATTAGATTTCGGATTTCAGCAATTTGTAATTTAAGTAAATGTTAATTTTCCTGGAATAGGTTGTGGGAAATTGTGCTGCATGTAAGTAGATTAAACATCTGCATATTTTTTAATTTTAATGAAACAAAACACATTCTCTTGAAGAGCAGTGTATAAAAGCTCATTTGCTTAAAGGAGTGAAAGTACACTTGTATGCAGTTGATGATTATGTAACAATAGCAGGAAATATTTCTGATTAATCTCTGATACTTTGCCTGTAATTGATGAACCTGGTGCAATAAATTACACAGCCAGTGAATGTAAAAAGGAAATTATATTAGCACTGTGAATTTTAAATATATAATTGCTCTCATGAGAATATTGTTACATACACTGTTATATCTGATGTAATATTATTTACAAACACTGTTAAATTTTTACATTCACTTTTACATGATTGATATGTGACTTTGTTATAAACAGTGATGGACAACACTGTTGCATGATAAATCTGATGTAACATTGTTACATCTGATGTGACATTGTTACATCTGATGTGACACTGCTACATCTGATGTGACATTCTTACAAACACCATTACATCTTACAGTATGTAACATTGCTACAAACACTGTCATATCTGATGTAATATGTTTACAACCACTATTACATCTGATATAACATTGCTACAAACACTGTCATATCTGCTGTCACATTGTTACATACACTGTTACATCTGATGTATTGCTTTAGATAGCTATGTTAACAATTTAGGAGATGAGGTATGACCACTGGCTAATTGACAGTATGAAAGCATACTAGGTCCGTGATGAAAGCGTGGTTAGGAATGACTAAATCGAGTTGCCAAGATAGAATAAAATTATAAGTAGGTTTTGCTCTTTTATAAAATAAACTGATATACCAGTATGTTATGAGTTTTGATTAGCCAAGTGTTTTAAAGACATCTTTGTGGGACATGTGAACCAAAATAATTCCTTTTTTGTTTGTTTCCATATTAGGTGGAGTTTTTGTAATCGCAAAAGCAGTCTGACCTTTGCAAGTGAATGTCAGAGTGATGTGGCAGGTTACATGTGATTTTGGGGATGCTTCGATTATTTTGATGGGATAGAGTAAGGTAGGGTATTTTTAATGGAAGTTGCGCATCAAGTAATGATGAAGCAGCAGTTTTTGGGAGGTGGTGAATCATAGATCATGCTGACCCCTACTCTGATGATAATCAGCCTCGGGTCAACTTCAAATCAAGCCACAAACAGTTTTACCTACCATCAATATTAAATTAACTAAAACTCAATCGCAAACAAATCCCTAACCCTAAAGCTTGGAGAACGTGTCATAACAGCCAATGTAGGATCATCAGAAACACTGATCATAGTGCAGTTTTTCATTTTAGGCTTTGAAATAAAAAAGAGAGGTCATGAAAAAATAATAGAGGTCTTTAAATGTTTTTAAAAGCCTGGTTCTATCGGTACCGTCTCATCAAGCAGGATCTTTATCGCAATACCCATGCCTTCTCTGCCTTGAGAATTGATGTTGCAGTGGACCGGGGACAGTTATTTTATCAAGGGGGTGCGAGTAATTATGCATGTACATGTATGTAATAAAAAAGGCCGTCTTTCAGTGTAATCTACACACACTTTTGTAGCTTGTGGGTGGTATTCTCTAGACTAAGTAGACTAAGTATAGAATGCCAAGTGTCCATATGAATATGATTTGAATAATTTAATCTGTCACTAAATTTAAATAAAATGTTATAACATAACTCATAAACAAACATATAACTATGATATAAATATGTTATCATGGTAATTTAGGGACATATCAAATTATTCAAAAATATATTCATATGGACACTTGGCATTCCATACTTAGCATACATGCCAACTGTTCAGATTAAAGAGGAACATTCCTCTTTTTGGAAGAAGATAATTATCATTTTAATGCAGGTGTTCCTCTTCCTGTACAAATTTGTCTGTAGTATTGAATAGGAGAGTTAGGATTGTTCCTCTTTTTTTTTTAATAGCATAATTTGTACATGCAGATTTCTGATTTTCAAATGTTGGCATGTATGACTTAGTTGGTGGATTAAACCATGGATTAAAGTTAGTCCGCTCTCGAGAAGTGTGTTTTGGTATAGATCCAGCAATACCAGGTGATGTATTGTTGAATTAATGTAGTGTGAAAGTCAGATTGTCAAGTTCCTTTGCTTTATGATTGGTGCCAGTCAATGAAAAGATATATTTCCTTGTGTTTTCTCGTGCAGCTTATCAGTCATAACCTTTTCTATGTACACTGCAGTAGTATGTCTGGAAGACTAGAACCATTACTATTGTGTTGAATTCTTTGAACGATGTTAGTCAACCCACAAAGCACACTACACGAACCGACTACGATCCGAATTTGGAAGAATTTGTGATAGCCGCTTCTTAAGAACGTATATACATGTAACATCTTAATGATCGAATTTCTGAAAAGTCTGAAGTTTGTCGAAAAATTACTGGGGAACTATTTAGAAAAAAACGTTTAAATTGAAGTAGTTTTAGACTTCCTGGTACCTGGTATGAGAGTATAGTGAGCATTTTAATACTCAGGAGCACCTGTTCATGTGTTACAATGTAGGAACTAACATGTACATGCAAGTTAACAAGAAAAATACTTTTTTTAGACGTTGCCTCCTTTTGTCGAAGTCTGCCAGCATACATGCACCAGGTTTTTGTAAGCACAGGTATCCATAATCGATGGTACGCAACACTTCTTGCAGAGGAGAAAAAATTGAATGCCTTTATTGCTAATGTTCAAATTTGTAAATTGGTAAAACGTGATCTCTCATCATTGCATTGTAACTTGTATTCATACATTGTTTACCTTTATAGTGTAGCATATTAATAAATATAAGAATGTAGGTTCAATTTGTTTAAACACTGTATCTACCGTACATATAATCAATGATATGCAGAGAATTCTTTCATAGCTGCCAAGCAATTGTGGGGATTGTCTTACCGAATGAAGAAACTGGCAAGCCATGACAATTATTATTAATTATGATACCCGTTAGATTGATTTCTTCTTTTTGTCCCCCTTTTTTGTAATTTTTCAATGAAGACCAGTACTTGTGTTATTATTCTTTGATCAATTTGAATGCTGATGAGTGAATTAAATATGTTATTGAAAGAGATTAGCATTCAAAAAATGTATTTTTAGTGTGGTATTGTATTTGCTATGGTCACATGTATTCACCTGTTTTCGTCTGTCTTATCAAGCATTTGTCAATGGTGTATGTTTGCTACTGTCATTTGTAAACTCATTTTGTTGTCAAATCATCAAGTTAACATATTTTAAACAGGTTTTCGGACTTACTATCGTAAGTAATTGTATTTTGCAATAGATATTGTTGTTGATATTTTTAAATTTTATAGATTTATATCTTGTAATGGAATCAAATTTTCTTGATGCAGTTTATTCATAATAATAATTATTAAACGTCTTTGTACAGCACATAATACATAGGTATACTTGCATGCCTCTATGCAGTATTGGGATGCATCTATGATTTTGAAATAATGGAATGGGATAGGTTTTAATTATCTTGCTTTACCTACATCAGGATGCATGCCACTGAATTTTCATGAACTGTATGTACATTCTTGTAGAAGCTTAGGTGCAGGATTAAACAAATCAAAATGTTTGTCATGCAAGTTTGAAAAGATAATGTCTCATCAACATGCATAATTTATAAGATTTCTATCTTGATTTCCAATGTAGGATAAACACAGCACTAGAGTTCTGGTAAATATAGACAATTAATTCTCACAGAATCCAATGAAACTTGCACTGAAAGTTCAAGATTACAAATAAATGACAATTATCACATGTGCCAAACAATTGTAGAACATGCATAGTGGCTGCGTAATGAGCATATAGCCAGAAAGATGAGGAAATCCAGGTATTAATGTTTAATGCCAAATTTAATGTATATGTCTTTGTCAAGTGCATAATTACAGATTATTTCACTCACCTGTTACAAATAATTGTTTTTCAAAAGTCATTATGCAAACTGCATATATCATATGTTGTTAGTTAGGGCAAGTCATGTTTGTCCTACCTAGCAACAAATACTGTACAGGTGTATGTACTTCGCATTCTGACTAATTATTGAGATACAAATAATTGTAAATAATTATAAACGGGTGAATTAAATCATTTGTATCGAGGCACTTTACAAAGATGTATGCATTATATTTTGATACATTATGAAATTAGCATATAGTGTCTCGCCTCTTCGTGCTTTTTATATTGCACTTGAGAATGAGGGAAAATTTCACGGCAGCTTAGTAATGCAAGTATCTTTGTTTTCATAGTCTACTAAAAGCAAAGAAATCTGAGGAACGGTTTTTGAGGGCATACACAAACTGCTCATAGGCTTTGAAATTAGGTGCATGTACTGGTAGATACTGGTAGATCTACATGTATACTACAGTCTGTTTAATATAAACTGCCACTTTTGCCATTTTGAATCTACTCTCATCTTTGATCTGTGTATGTACCAGTAATCATATTCAAAAATCTTATTCAATCTTCTTTTTGCAATAGATAATGTTTGTGTGTATGATGTATTACGTAGACATTCCATTGTATCCTTTACATGTTCATTGTGAAGAAAGATACGGGAGATGGAGGAAGGGGCGAAATTTAATGCGAAACATCCCACAAGTATCCTTTATTCATATTGGCTTGAAGGTAAACCTGGTATTTAGTCTACTGGTTTAGGCGTTGTAGGACCACCAATTCATGGCATTCTAAATGTCAAGCTCTAATTAATTCTGTGCAAATAATTGTCATGCTGTGACAAAATCATAAAAAACATAGTGAGTCTAGTCATGAAGAAAACGATCTCATTATGCAATGATATTTTGTTTGTTCATGAAGTTATGGAATAGAGCAATTTCATGTTCATCCTGACCCTATACATTTGACAAAATAAAAGACAGAGCAATTGTTGCTGAAGCAAATGTAGGACCACCGAAGCAAATGTAGGACCACCAATTCATGGCATTCTAAATGTCAAGCTCTAATTAATTCTGTGTAAATAATTGTCATGCTGTGACAAAATCATTAAAAAAACAAAGTGAGTCCAGTCATGAAATGAAAGTGAGAAAATGATCTCATTATGAAATGGTGAATTTGTTTGTTCATGAAGTTATGAATTATGGTAATATTAACAAGATGAAGGGGTTAACACTGCCTTGGTGCTCTACAAATAAATAGACTAACTCTACCCACTGAAACCTGGACTAGATTTCACAATTTTTTATGAATACTGGCCTTGAAGTTCAAGAAACTCTACATTTGACAGAAAACATCTTTCCTGTCTGTTTAGAGCCAGAAGTTCGTTAACTCTAATACGATCGCAACTATTTTGGAAAAAATCAACTCGATGGTATTGTACATCCAGTAGAAAGTCGCTGGGATTACGTAATACCTCATCGTCACGTTCACACATTTCAATAGGCGACAGGCCAGGCCATGGAAATTGCCTTAGGTAGTTGCAATCATGTTCTCTTTAAAAACGTACAAGTTAATCTGGCTCTTAGCAAATAATATATAGAGATCGCCACTTTTTAGGTTGTGTGATCTCTCTGTTCAGGCTTTTTCAGGCTTCATTTTGTACAAAACATATATTACAGGCTCCAACAGCCATGTGATACATGTAGGTTTTTTTTCTTCATATTAATTTAAATAAACAAAACATATCTTTGATTTCATATCTACAAATGCGTTTTTTGTATTTTTGGAAAGATGGTTGTATTTATGTATGTTTTTATTCTTGTAAAATCTTATCCATTCATTTCAGTGTTTTTCATTAGCATTAAGTGTTTGTTAGCGTCTTGATAAATATGTTCTAAAGTATTGGTTCTCATGCGTAGTTGCCATTAATCCATAGATGTTACATTTGTGATGTTTTCTTCAAAGAATCCATACTGATTGGGACAACATGAATTGTTTCCGATAATCAAATCATATTTTTATGTTATACTAGCCAGATGTAATTATTGTGTACTATTTGGGGGTTAATAAAATGATTTATTACAATTTTATCAAGACTTGCTCTTTCTATCATTTTGTTTAATTCTCAATTGTCACCATTATTAAATTGAATTTAGTTAATCAATTTGAAATTGCTGTTTGTCACACGGTTCCCAGCTTTCAGTGTAAACAATTCTGGTTTTGTTTCTTGATTTATATACCACTATATTACCAATCATCCGGTGTACTCACTGTTTGGACATCAGCAAAAATACCTGAATAATTAGAGAATCCTTTCTTTGGGGCCAATACAACCTCTGCATGGGCAGATAAAGGTAATTTTTGTTACTTTTGGAATAAATTTGCATAAATTACCATAATTAATTAATGGAGAACAATTTCAAAATTCTGTGTAGAAGTTTAGTGTACCAAAGTTAGCTCTACGATATAAAGCAAACCTAATCAAAATCGGTCAAGAAATGAAGGAGATGAAGCCTTTTTTGTGATTTTGAATAAATTTGCATAAATTAGCATAGATAATGAATTTCACGATTCTGTGTAAAAATTTTAAATCCCCCTTCTAGCCCTATCATATGAAACAATCAGAATCAAAATCGGTTGAAAAATAACGAAGAAGCATTTTGAAAATCTTGATGTTGATGCCACAACAAAGTCTAAGTTTGTTGACCTTAAATGACCTTTGACCTTAACTTAGTGACCTGAAATTCTAATCACATGATTGGGGAGACTTGATAACCCTATAGTCCAAGTTTCATTGACTAAGAACTTATACTTTAAAAATTATATCAAAAATTCAAAAACTTAACCTTAGGTTAAGTTTTCGATGATGATGCTACAACATAGCTAGTCCAAGTCTGTTGACCTGAAATGACCTTTGACCTTGACTTTGTGATCTAAAATTCTACTCACATGATTGGGGATACTTGATTACCCTATAGTCAAAGTTTCATTGACTAAGAACTTATACTTTAAAAATTATATCAAAAATTCAAAAACTTAACCTTAGGTTAATTTTTTGATGTTGACGCCGCCGTCGCCGGAAAAGCGGCGCCTATGTCTCGCTTTTTGCTACGCAGGCGAGACAAAAATGAAAGAAATATTTAGGCCTTAAAGATGAAGTTGAGTTCTGGTCATGCGATTGCATTGTGAAAGAAACGGTGTGGAACCGACCAGAAAAGGTTGATCATCTAAGCATATAAGAATTTGTGTGTATTGCAAGGTTCTGGAATCATCAAAATGATAAGAAATTTGGCCAAGTCTTGGTAAAGTTACAAACACTTGCACAGAAAGATGTATATGGGACTACACGAACACGTGGCATAAAAAGCCGGCCCCCCGATTTTTACGATGTTACATGCATATTTAGAATATGAAGGCATTTGAAGAGCCATGCTTCTCAGGGAACATGTCTTAACTGATGTTCTTCCACACTTGCATAATAAGAATGAGTAATGCTCACAAATTATTTTTCACCTCTTCCCAGAACTCAACCTTCTCTTTAAAAAAATATTGATGAAACAAGCAGTCTAAGAAACAATGTATTTGTTTGTAATAGTTTCTTTTATTCATAGTTACAAAAAAGCTTACTCAATGAGCTTCATATATTTTATACCTTTAGTACTTTCTATACTTCTATGCTAATTCAATGCTAGACAGAGGAACAAAATCTCAATAATACTCGTGAAATATAGACATTGTAACATCAACCTATATTTGAAAGTGCCCATCAAAGTCATAAAGAAAAGAACAGACTCCAATTTGTTGCTAAGCACTGAAAATATATTTTAAAAAATAGCCACCTTAATGCATCATTATCCAAGAATTTTCCAAAGCCTAATTTTTATATGCTTATTTCCATACATGCACACATTATTTCTCTATTTACATTCATATAAATATGTTCTGAAAATATATTGATATATTTGAAAAATTCTTCAAAATTTTCCTGAAAACTAATAATATAATGGTTATCTCTTTGAACAACAAAAGTACTTGGTATATAATTCAAGATGATCGAGAAGTACATTTCTTCTTTTTTAATTTCAATAGCTATCCCTTCAATTTTCAGACAATGTTTTTACTTTGTACAGTGTATAATGTTTATTGAGTCAATGTAGTAGTATCCGTAAAATATTGTTGCCCATTTAAATAGCTACACGTTATCAGGTCACTTTTATGTTAATTGAGAGTGTATGTTAAACTTTATTTACTCGAAAAAATCTTTACAGAAATAATATTTGACGCTCATATTTTGAATGTAGTTTTACGACATGAAACTACTCGCAAGAGAAAAAAATGTTGATTGGTGATTGGTATACTTTAGAGAAAGAGCGAGAGAGCAAAAGAGAGAGAGAGAGAGAGAGAGAGAGAGAGAGAGAGAGAGCATTAGCCAATACAATTACTTTTCAATTGATGTTTATGATGTCATTACATCAAATATACATAGCACAAAGATGCTATAAATAGTTTTCAATGTTTTTAATGAGGGATCGATAGTGAAAGTAAATGCAGTAGAATGACATTACATGCACAGCACCTGACTGAAATCTGATAAGAAAGATTGATAAAAATAGAAAAACAAAGTTATGATCTATATCCAGTGTATCTTTCCATCTACGTGAGGACAAAATCAATTGACCACATGATAAGTGAACATCAAGTACACTTGCATTATTATGAAATAGAATAAAGAAATCCTTATCACTCACTCAAATATTCATTCAAGTGTTTTCAAAGATATCCTGGCAGCATTTTTTTTTTCCTTTTGGGTGAATCCTAATTGCGGAAATGGTTATCAAAGTTAAAAGTGCTAACAATCGTTGGACAAAAAAGAGAATAAAAATCATAACTTGCAAAAAATAGAACTTGCAAGATAGGTTAACATGTAGGACACAAAATTATTGCTTTGTGGGAAAGCCTTGTTGAAAATAGATATAGGGCTCTAGTGTACTTGCATTCAGAAAGAAAAAGTTGTAAGATAATTTATAACAAAGAGTGCTAGTAATAAAGATAAGTGTAGTTATATTTGAAATGTTACAAAAAGAACAATAGTTATTTATACTAGTTCCAGACTTGAAAAATATACCTACATGTAAATGGTACTGTGATTAAGAATTTCAAAAATTCTTGAGAGTATGTAAAAAGAGCAAATTATTCTATTGCTCATTCTATAAAGACTTATTACAGACCAGTGGGATTACTAGAATGAATTATGACCTTACTGTTTACTACTAATAAATAGTAATATCGTTCATTTAGGATCTTTAAAAACAAAAAAGTACCATATTGCTTTAAAAATTACATAATATGAAGAGAAACATGAAAAAATATACTCTTAAAAAATATATAAATCACATAGTTACTGAGGAGAGAGAAGTATGATCTTTTGACGTCTCGAAACTATCAAACAAGGTCACCAAACTTTAACTACCGGTATTACTAATAAAGCAAACAGTGAATTGAACATGATTTCAGCTTAAAATGGAAGAGCATATATGAAAGGGATAAATATATTTCAATAATATAAAGAGAACACAGCAAAGGGAAAGATAACAAGAATATATTTCATATGGAGCTACATGGAAGCTATATATTTTTTCCTATAGCGATGTAAAATGTATAGAGTTATACCATGGAGATAATGGTTATACTGGTAGTATAATACGTTTAGGATACATGAGCTGATACATACGAGCATACATTTAAAAACAAGGGTCCCCTTACACTTTATGATCAAAATATTCCCACGTATCATTTGCTTTATCTTCTCCTTTCCAGACACCACTTTCAATTTGGTCTCATTATTTTGACAGACTCGTGAATAATAAGGGTTTTAGTTTTTGACAAAATATTTAAATTCTCATGGAATCTACATGTAGTGAATGCTAAAAACTACAAACAAATGAAATCTGCTAAAATGCAAAAACAAGTACTGAAGATGACAAATGTGATACTAATTGGTTCAAAATCAACTTGCATTGTTCTTCATTTGTGTTTCAACATCACTTTTTTTCAAAAGAGGTTGTGCATTCATATTGATGCATTACATTCTACCTGTATTTGATTTTGAACCAATTTCCACGATGGCTATGATCAAAACAACTCCATACAAATACAAAGATCATATTTATTGAGTTTCTGTAGAAATGCTAGGTTATAATACTATATCTTTACTTTTGGCTAGAGCACTCATCAGAAAATAGAAAAAATATGGAGCATACTTAGCTTAATTTAAAAAACTGGCGTAAACCCAACAAAACAAAACCATTTGCAATTTTGCATACCGTATACATTAACAAGACAGGTGAGATAATGTAGCATTAGAAGTTCCAGAACCATTACTTGCAGCAGCTGAATAAAACTGAAATAATAAACAGAAAAGAATGTCGGAGGGGAAAAACAAACATATCTTCACGCAACGAGGAACCACAAGGGAACGTTGGGAGATGGAAAGTGGTCTTTCAATTATAAACAAGCCACAAAAATAATATATATACCGGTAGCAATTTGCCAATTTTTACATCTTTTACATTAAATTCTATATACGGGTAAACATGACTAGATATTATGCACCTGTAAACGGTCAAATAGCTACCTGACATGATACATAGAGATATGAGCACCTGACTATTAATCTGTGGACTACTGAATTCTCTCACTCATAAAAGGCTTTATACAGGTACTACCAGGTTCCAGTAGGCAATGGGGTAAATGCACAACAAACCATCTTGAATTTTACAGAGACTCTCTATATATATATATAATGCTACGATCACAAACGTTCGTACGAACGATTATTTCGTACGAATCATTGTTTTTCCATTGTCTTCCCAAATTTCCATTGTCTGAAAATCGTTCGTACGGCGTTCGTAGCAGTTCGTAATGGCATTTGTGACCGAGGCTTAAAGCAAAAGTACAAAGAACCAAATGATACAGTTAATGTCTTCACCACAGAGTGGACGTTTTCTGATTCTATTAACGTGAAAATGGATAAAAGTATTACCGGTAGTCTTCATTTAATTTTGTGATGAAGAAAGTATTAAAATATGGAGTAAAGGAATACAGCAAAGATGTACATGTATTTGAAAAGATAAAAGTTTGAACCTTCATCAGAACTTCAAGGGGTGAATATCGTATGTATGTTTTTCATCACACAATCAATATGGGTTCTGACTTTATAAAATCCAAACAAAAATGAACAAAAAATGTCATTCTAGTAAATTTGAAGAAAGAAAACTTGAGAAAATACAGTTTAAATGCCCTTTCAAACTGCCATCAAGTATTATTTCTGTACTAAAACTGCAAATGATATAGAATGGTATGGGAACAATTTTTTGAGCACACTTAAGCTTCAGCTAAAAGGTCCAGAAAAATATAATATGTATATGAAAAGTATACATGTACACTATAGCCCATATCAAAAGTTGGAACAATGTGTTTCCGCCTCCTATGTGAAATGATAGTAAGAGTACGATTTATTCTGCTGGATAGATGAAAGTTCTGAGCAGATATAAACTTGATCTATAAAATCATATTGTCACAATTATTTTATGAAAGAAGGAAAGTATAAACATTATTGAAAACAAGAAATTGAAAGAAATTGAAAACAATAAAATTGTGAAAACAAAGTTATGATTGAGCTCTAGATGAAGTGAAGTATGCGTGTGCAACATTGAATTGGCAAAAGAATGATGAAGCACAAGATTAATAAAGAGAATTTCTCTCGCGTAATATCAGATTAGACAGCAATAAATTATTTTGAATTTCATAGAATGAGGGAGGGTAAAAGTAAAGAGAAAAAAATTGAATCTGAGATGAACTCATGATTAAAGGCAATTAACTAGCAGTATCAAAATTTGAAGAACTTTTTTATTATCTTAATTATCTTATTATTGTTAGATACCTTTTACTAAATTCCACTGACTTTGGGCACATGACCGATTTGAGTCAAAAAGTACTTGAGATTCTCTTCGAATTTCACACACAGCACTAAAATAATTAAAAAACAATTTGATCAAAAGATGACTTCACTACTGAAGCTAACTGTGCAATTATGTACAAACTAATAACTTTCAAAATAAAGTAAACCCAAAGTGAACAAAAAATAAAGCAGATAACTTGACCAGCAAGCTGAATTTTCTAAAAGAATGTATGTAACATTAAAGCCTTCTTGTAAATGTTTTGACAATAGCAATTTGACTTGATTCTATTCAAGTTTTCATCTGAGTTGATCCTACGTATACTTGTAGATCACCTGACAAATACGATGTATCAACTACTATTAAAGTGTAAGGAAAAAGAAAGAAAAAAATTGTTGTTAAATAAGACTGAAAATCTATATTAAACTCATATCAAAATCAAGTTTTCTTATTGTTAAGTTGTACGATGTCAAATTTATTTGGGGCATCATTAGTCAGATAAAAATTCCTATGAATACTATTCCTAAAATAATGCTTTGAATATTTAATTAGATTTTCACTTTTTAGTGAAAAATCAGGGCTTCAAAATCGGTGTGTGTATCAAGTGATTATTTCAGAATATAATGATTGCTATTGAGCATGGCAGCTGAAATTCTAGAGTAGCTCTTGGAACCCAGAGTCATGAATATAGAGACCTTCAAATCCAAGCTGAAATCTCTTTTTTTTTTTACAATACCTTCGCACTATGACATTCATCCAAACTCTCTTAATCTTTCTATTTTTCTTATGCGTCCCGGAATAGAATTGTTTAGATAGACAGCGCTACATATTGCCTATTATTACTATTATTATTAATAATCATTCATGACAATGGATAGCAAAAGGGTGGCAGAAATAACAGGTGTAATGCACAGTGGCATCATTGTGATCTGAACTAATTGCTGACACACATATATTCTATAGCCTTGATTATTTGAAGAAAAAAGACAATCTTATTCAATATTCAGAACACTGTTTTGAGAAGAAGAGTGTACACAGAAATCTCACAAACTTAACGCAGATAAATTTGACACCCTTCAACCTATCAATGTCCAAACCTCAGTCTGATACAAGATCTAACTTTTGAGTTATTAATGATCAAAATTGTCAACATTTTTTCTTCTACACCTAGTACAATAGCTAAATGCCCTTTAGTATTTACCCAAACTAAACTAAACTTACCTATTCAACCAAAAAAGAGTTTGAGACAAATCTTCAAGCGTAAAATATTGCGGAAACAATATCAATGCAAGGCATGAAAGCACACTCTCAAATAAAGTATATAATTTGCTTTTTACCTATGTGCAAATGACCAAAGCTACAAAAGACATATTAGTATCCCAATTATTTTTTATGGTAAACATGACGTTACAATAACAAGACATTTGGTAAAACTGGTGTTAATGTACTCAAACCACAAGAAAATATATTAAATGATCTTTCCGATGACTTGACATTTCATCAGCACAGGTAGCACATCTATGCACGATTCTTAAGCCTAGTTTAGAAATGAAGCAGTAAGGGGCATTTCTTTTTTCATTATGTGTAAAAGAATGGCGATTGTGCACAACAAGGGTCCAACGTGTAGCTCTCTGTTATACGATACAGACGTGTAAAGTGTTCTACGCTTAAGTTTACTGCATCAAATCTGAAGGAGGCTTTATAGGTGAGTCTTAGGGGGAGGAACCAAACACTTCTGTGTTCTTCTTAGCTTAGCATTAGTACGGAGCTTTCGATTTGTCGCAATCGGAACAAGTGCCACGATGAGCGACATCACTTTCAGGCATTTGCCTGCAAACAGGAAGGCCCATCGCTGCATTGCATGCTCTCAAAATCCTACAACGTGAACTGAGCGAAATTGGGCCTGTTTGCATTGATTAGAACGACAATGCAGTGGTAGTAAACCCCTCCACCTATCATTTTGATGCATTTCTATGTCAAATTATTGCTTTAATGGCTGATAATGTCACAACAAGGACTTAAGCATGACTGAAGGTTCTAAATAACAATTAAAAGCACTCATGCAACTTGACTCATAGAATCGTCATCATCACAGAAAACTAAAATCTGCAACCACTCGCACAGTGGACGGGGGTCTGTGGAAATCTCCCTGCTTGAGTAACTTGTTTAAGTCCTTCGCCATGAAAATCCATGAAAACGCCCCTGTATGAAACTTGGCAAGAGCCACATGCGGACAGAAATAATCGTCTTGTACGCAAAAAAAACTCTTTCATAAAAATGACCTCTGTCAACCTTACGTAGAGGTGGTCAGTAGAGCCAGAAAGAGTCCGAGTGGCAAAACCGTCGAAGCAAGAGGCCGATCTGATCGTGTCCGATTAGTTTTTCCCTATGTAGGGCGATAAGGCTCATAACATGTTCCGATGCTTCAAGAAGTCCCAGAGAAACCAACTCAGTTGCAACATCCAGCTTTTTTGTTCTTATATCCTGGCCCACCATCTATATCATCAGGTGTCAACTCTGGAAAATAAAAGAAGGAAAAAAGTATTTGATAGTAGGTCTGTCTAAGATGAACATTAGACATGTAAAGCATAAGAAAAGGATAAAAACATAAAGCTGAGGTATAATATCTAGATCTTGGTAATCTTGGGTTATGGTAATGACTAAAAATTAATCTCATTAAAGCTTATACTAAGTTTTCAAGCACATCTCCCCCCCCCCCCCCCATTTCTGGAGAAAAACAGATTAATAGAAATGATACATGAAAATCAGTCATATTAAAAAGCTGGTCACATAAATCTATATTCTACTAATTAAGTTCAACCATTTAACAAAGGAAAACTTAAACCTCAAGATTTTCTTTTGTTAAACCCAATTTGGAACAAAAACTAACCCCCCCCCCTCCCATCAGGTCTACATTGCAGTAGAATACCAGCTTTAGTCTTTCTAAGACAGTCCAGTCCAATCGTTAGGTGTCTGAGCTAGTAGGTCTAATAATAAAATTCCCGTAACTATCCTTCACAAAATCATCTGCTGATCCGTCATTTTCCTGTCTATGTTTGTTTTTAGAAGGAAATATAAAGTTTCTAAATATACGATTCCATATCAGGCTCTTTTGTTAAGCTTGTTTATTAGGTTAGGTACTTCATTTCTTATCTTACATGTATCTTGTGTTCCTTTTTGATATCTTTTAAGTTTAATGTTACCTATTATATCTTGTCTTCTTTAAGGGTTGGCCTCTTACAAGGTTTGTTTCCTTTTTGGCCACTGCCTTCCTCACTTTGTATAATTCATCTTTTGTATTGTCATACATTTGTCTGTTTATATATGTATTTTTATATGTTGATCTCTTGAGGAGAAATAAATGAAACTGCAACTGAAACTATCTATGAAACGTTTCTCTGCACTTACTTATCCTGTTTTCACTGCTCTGTGCGATGGCGATCTGCCTACTAGCTGACTTGGCCTCAAGATCATCCAGGGCTTTCAGTACTGATGCATTGAACGTTATTCCAGCAAGACGGTTGAAAAATTCTTCCACGTTCTGGCCTGGTATGAAGAAAAATAATAAAAAAGTTTGAATCAAATCATCAGAGTGTACTGCAATCAAAAACTATTTCAGTTTTCTTAATTTCATTGCCGCGACTAATATTACTACGAATACTACTACATTCTTCACCATCAACATCACCATCGTCATCTCCATCACCATCAGTATCACTGTCACCATCACTATTACCATCAGTTTCACAATCACTATCATTGCATCATTGCCATCATTACTGTCACCACCATCATCATCACCATCATCATCATCATCATCATCATCATCACCATCATCATCATCTTCATTTTCATCATCATCGTGTTCTCACCTGACAATGAAGACACAGACCAGTATTCAGCCTTGATCTCTCTAGCTACCTCCATAGCAGCCTCTTCAACCTTCTGAACCTCTTCATGTGATTCCTGGATAGCAAAAAAGAATGATCAAGATGTCATCCACTCTTTCAGGGAACCTCTAATGCACTGTTCACACATGGTCAACTACCCTCTAACAAGAAGTTTGAGTTCCAAGGAAGAGAAGATAAAGTAGTAGGAAAATAATGTTTTAATAAAGAAAGAAGTTTGAGAAGAGGAATAACAATTATGAGTAGATCACGTAGAGTTACATCCCTTTTGTTTCTGTGAACAGATGATATTTTCTTGGTCGTTTGAATGTTTATACCGGTTTTAGTAAACCGGTCTATTGCTTCATGACGCAATATTATTGCAGGACCGGTTGTAAACTATATCTTTAATCCGAAAATTGGAGCTCATTTTATATGAAAACAGTTGGGAAGAGGGTTTTGGAGGGGCATTTTTAGTGGTATGTTAACAAAAAGGAGAAGAGATGCATGCTAAAAAAGGCTACAACATGTAGATCTAGAATAGTATACAAATATTGAATGGTCATGAGTGCAATGGTACAAGATTTTGCACGAGGTGAAAGATAAGAGACGCTATATTCAACGAGGCGCAGCCGAGTTGAATGGCGTCTCATCTTTCACCGAATGCAAAATATTGTTCCATTGCACGAATAAAGACCATTCACTTTTTGTTTTATACAACACCTCGGACGTTAACCGGCTTAAAACAGTTTTCCTAGGCCTAAATCTCAGCGATTTTTTGTTTGTTTTCAATTGATGAAATTGCTGATAGTGAGCGCGCACTTTTAAGCAGACAGCAAACCACGCGCGTACCATGCGCCGCACGTACCAACCTTTATGTTTAATGTGACGCGGAGTGCAATTTTGTTTGATCCTTTCGCACCATTGCACTCTGACGTCACTTAGCTCACCATATACTTTGTACATCGTTAGTGACGTCAGAGTGTAATGGTGCGAAAGGATCAAACGGAATTGCACGGCTGGAGAATGATGCCGTTCAATGGTACTTTTAGCGCATGTCATGTAATCAAGAATTGACCAATGAGGTTGCAAGAATCTTAGTAGGCGTTGTATAAATCCAGATATGTGATGAGCACTATACATTCCCAATGTCAATATATTTTGAACAACCAAAGCATTTTAGGCAGCTTGCCATAATTTCAAATCCGAATGAGGCATGTGACTTATTTTGTCAACCCTCTGGGAAACATAGAGACCGTTGTCAAATATTATTCCACATGAATAAACAGCATTTCAAAGTACATGTAGATGTATATGGATTTGTTTTTTTGTTAAGAGCTACATGTACATGTATGTTACACTTGTACACTATGTGATTCTTGCATTGATACAATGTACATGACCATGCTGCACATACTACACTGCTGTTGTATAAGGCCTAAACAAATGTTTGGTATTTACATACATGTACGTGTTGTTCTGTCTGTAGTTTGTTTCAGATTGTTTAATAATCAACGCGACTGGGGATTTCAGAGAATTTTGTGACATCAGGAAGCAAACATGTGATGTGTGTTAATTTATAGACTCGGTAGCAATAAAACCATTTACACGTAAACACACTGTATACGATATGTACAGGTAACAGTGTAGTAACTAGTTGTCTATTTTATTCAATTCCATCTTTAAATACATTTTTTACAAAGGTAAAAACATGCAATTTCATGTAAAATATAATACAGTAATTGGGATAACATACATATGTACAGTGAATTAATAAAAAGCATAGAAAGGCACAGTTTAAAAAAAAAACAAGAGAAGGTTTTGTCAGGACAGCTTCCTATCAAATTAGATTTAACAAATATAGTAAGAAACAAGTAACAGGTAAAGTTTTGGATAGTATTATCAAGAAATTGCATAGCAACCGGGAGAAAGGAGAAATGCGAGGGGGAAAAGAAAGAGAGAGAGAGAGAGAGAAAGAGAGTAGTAATGTTTATTGCTTGTTACATGTACAGTACAGGTTAATGTGCAATGTATCCTCCAAGTCTATAAAATAAGGATCAAAAGAGTAACCAATTTTACATGTATTTCCCCTTGAAACGAAATGGAGACAAAAGTACCAGGATGTACATCAGGAAATGAATATTTTAAAACACCAAATGAAAAATCATTTGTAAGTACCCACTCAATAAATTGTAAACATACTGGTATTACTGGCAATAATACTGTACTACGAGTACAGATAGATGAATATATGTCCCACATACATGTATGAAGATTCTAGGTAAATTATTATATCTATCCGGACTGGATAGATATCACATACATGTAGTACATCTTTCTGTGTACAGTGCTTTTAACTTATCATTTTGATGATTCCAGAACCTTGCAGTACACACCAATACTTATATGCTAGATGATCAACCATTTCTGATCGATTCCACAACGTCTCTTTCACAATGCAATCGCATGATCATAACTGGACTATACCTTGAAGAATGAACATGGGAATGCAGTTCAACGACTTACACATAAATCTCGCTTGGTTCCGACCAGGAATATGTGAGGATCATGACTGTTCTCGAGTAGTGATTCTTGATACCACCTCTTGGCATGGTCTAACGTGTACGATTCCCTCATGTCAAACACGATCACAACAACTGAAAGTAGAAAATAAATAAATAAAAGTATTATTAGTTTGAAATACTATACATGTATCACAACAACTTAAAGGGAGTGGGTTGTCAGTTTCCTTGTGCAGAAGGCCATAATTCGCTGACACCATATTCGGTGAATATACCATTAATGTGTGTACAAGTTTGCACGCAGCAAACTTGTAGGCCTATCAAGAAATACCACTTGTCTCTTGGAGAGTCTTTGTGTGAGGGGAAAGAGAGAGAATGACTTAGACACGTGGGGGTATGGATGGGGTTTAATGCAGGGGAAAAAATATTTAAAACATTTCGGGGGCTTCTTTTCAAGCTTGCTTGCATGAAAATAACACTCTTTAATTTGTTTTACATTGAACTCTATGCAAATTTTTTGGGGCTCTTTTTGGCAATTTGGGGGTTAATTCATCCCTAGGCCCTGTGTATTTTTCCCCCTGGTTTAATGCAAAGCATTACATAAGGCCTGTTGATCATAAGACTGAAGGCTAATCCTGGTGACTGACAACACCTGATATTGGTAAACACCTGAATGGTGTCAAATTCCCCCATGAGAGCAGGCCTCTCGCCAAGAAATTAAAAACGCGTGGCGCGACCCGAGGGAAAATTTGACCCCCCCCCCCCCCCCCCCCCCAAAAAAAAAAAAAAAAAAGTAAAAATTTGATTTTTTTTTTTTTTTTTTTTTTTTTTTTTTTTAAATTTAAATTAATTTTGTACATGTATTACAAGTAATTTGATGAATTTTTAATACCATACCTGCCAACCCTTACGAATAATTCAGAATATTCTGTTTTTTGGGGATTTCTAGGACCAGAAAATCTGGAATTTTCTGATTTTTCAAAAAAAAAAAAAAAAAAAAAAAAAAAAAAAAATTTTTTTTTTTTTTTTTTTAAAGAACGCGTGGCGCACGCGCCACGCGTTATCTGTGTACGCGAGGGCCATGCATGAGAGTCCACTCCTATGCCTCTTTATAAAATAAAGACAGAAATACACACATTATCAACTTAATAATTATCAACCCGGCCTTTGACTACTGAAGTCAATCCCACAAATTTAATATAGGACCCACCTTGTTTCCCTAGGCAATGGGTTAAAAGTTTTTAAAAAAGCTTTAATACATATTAAAGGGATCGTTTAACAATGTTAAATCTGAGATACACGGCCCTACGTGCTACCAGTGTCTGTGATATGGTGTAATATTGAAGCCCTAAAAAAATTGCGCTTCAAAATGATCAAGAAGTGCCTCAAAAAAGTAAAAATCTTTGAGTGACCGGTTTTACCATACTCGTTTTTCCCAATAGACTGTAGTGTTATGAAAACCGTCAGGCGAACGGTTTTCAAAATTTGTAATTCCAATCATAAATATCTTGATAATCAGACCGGCGATCGGCTTGTAAAAGTCATGGGGTTACTGACTGACCTAAAGGTTTATAATTATTATTGTATCATGAGCTAAATCCAGAATTTTGTTTCAGAATCTGAGACAAAGTTACCGGATCCCTTTAAACATTGGCAGAACAAACACATCTCAGAACATGCCTACAGGCAACTCTTACAGGTATAATTTTCAATCCTTTACAAAAAAAATCAATGAAGATGGAATGTTTCTGACATTTAATTTTGCTGTAGTTATGTAAATGTCAAAATTATTGACATATGATTGTGGGAGCCACTTGCATTCATCAATCATACTAGATCAATAAAGAAGGCATTTATTATAAGCCTAACTGAATTCTGCTGATATAGAAATAACCATCTGACACTCAACTTTGTGATACCAAGTACAAAATGTATTAATCTAATTGGAAAACAAAAATCTTTAATTTCTCACCATGTGCTCCTCTGTAGTAGGCAGCTGCTATACATTTGAACCTCTCCTGCCCTGCCGTGTCCCACCTGATAAAAATACACACAATGTCAACAAAGAGTCACATGATTACTTCATATTTTCAGAATGATCATATATGTACAATGTACATCATAGCACAACACAAGAAGGACATATGTACACTCAAACAGAGTAACAGAGGCTATATATATATGCATTAAACAATTTGATGAAGAATTAGTTGAACAGAAATTGCTTTTAATTTTTGTTTGTTGCTTTGCATTTATTTAATTCCATGCCCCACCACAGGAAACACAAGGGTTATTGTTTTTTACTTCTTTTTTGTTGGGGGGGGGGGGGGGAGGCGGATGCCTCACTTGTAATATTTGTTTATACCATTTCATCATACATGATGTTGGTGTCGTTGAAAAGTTTGTTTAATCCCCTAAAATGATGCTCCATTTGTACTAATTATGTATTCATGGAATGTGCAGTAAATATGGGGCCAAGTCACACACAAAAGTGAAATGTACATACATGTAAATGGTTTGTTTTATTGAAAAATCATCTCGCAGCCTGAAGGCTGAATTGTGTGACTTTTTACAAATTGATAACAAAATTACAATACAATAAATACATGTGAAATCAGACATTGCAAGATATAAATTCAAAATTCTTTCAAGTTCATAGTAAAAATATAAAATACAAAGATATATACATGTATGTATAAATGTGAACATGCAATATGCATTGTTATTGTCAAGTGAATTCTTCATAACTTTTTTTTTTTATATATATTTTGAATGATGTTTGGGTGGTCACCATTGACAATATGTAGGCCTATTCAGGTGTACTGCACATTCCTTGATTATCATTCCACAAATGGGGCTTCATTGTAAAGGGGAACAGGCTTTTCAATGATCTACATGTACATGTATATCAACAACAAGTATGATAATGTAGTAACCAGCGAGATTTCAATGCTCAAACTTGAATTGCATAACCTTTTTTTATTAGGAGTTTAGTAATGAGCACCCTTGATGGAAACTTACACTTGATACATTGTGTAAATGTATAAAGCTTTGTGCTGGTATGGTGTTACAAATTGTGCAGGGAAGCAAACATGGCAACAAGGCCAGCTCCATAGTTTGTATGCATATAATCATTTTAAGGGTTCAAATTACTTGGGTACCAGTAAGCTAAATTACATGTACATGTACATGAATGGGAACCTATTATTAGAGAGGACACTTGGTGCATTGTTTTCCATCATGAAAGATATTCACTGTTCATGCTTCAAACAAAAGAGTAGTATGTTTCCTACTGGCGTCTATTGTTTATAGAGACAGTTAATTTCTACAAAGGGTTATCACAGCAAGCTTACTGTGAAACATACTGTACATCTCCTAGGTTCCTATATTTAATATAGGCCTACACTGCATGTACACACTACACATGCTTGTTTACACAATGACATGACAGTATTACAAGACAGCATTACCAAGATCTCTGGTATTGGTATTTACATTTCTATGGTTTATTACACTGGTCCCTAAAGGCTTGTTAAGATATGGCATCGTAAACTGCAGCAAAAAAGCCACCATATTTTGTTAATGTGTAGAATAAATGACAGCTGCGTGTACTATTAAATTAAGGATTTGTGCATATTTCCTGAGATCTGTATTATGAGATACTGAAACCTGAAGTGCATTGCACTTTCCGTCACCACTTTAAAACAAACAGCAGTTTAGTAGCTTCATATCTGAACGAGCCTTAATTAATAGTGGCAAATAGGGAAGTAACAAGTACTTCACGCATTGGCTCCTTTATCATACTTCCCAGTTCATCACAAGGATAAACATTCTTTCTTTGTTGTTGCTATATTAAACTGCCATGTTTTTGATGAGTTGAATGTACATTGTTGTGAGAGCTTGGAAACGCTTGTTATTAAAGCTCCTATAGCTCTACTCTAGCAAGCATACTCAAATTTTTACATGAACTAAAATTTAAAAGAAATATGTGATATATGCCTATTTATGTTCATGATTCGGGAAGTACATCTGACAAACTTCAGTGTTTGTTCAGAACAGAATACAGCTGTAGGAGATGTGAAAGAATACCATTATTTTGAAGTCATTTACATGTACCTGTATAGTCATTGTGTTTTTACCAAATGATATATACTACAATCTGTATTAAGCTTCATCTAGGCGGGCCTGGATTAGGCTCTCAATACATTACATGTCTAGGAATGCACTGTATACAAAAGTTACATAATATTCCTTGAATATACCTTGAAGGCCACACCTTGCCATCATGTGATGAAGATACATAACAGTAGATGGTGTGGTGTGGCAAAATTAAAGGGGGTCCCATAGGACCCATTTAAAAACATTGCAGACATTTTGCAGACATTTTTGCAGGCCTTATAATGGTCAACAAGGAGCTCTACGCTCTACGCAGAAGAAAACACTGTCAGAATTCCCCTAGTGATACCACTAGTATAGGAAATAATAATGCCACCAGCAACACCTTCAGTGGTCAGGGGTATACAGAGTAAAAAAGGTAGTTTTGTTTTGTTTTTTTGGTACATGTACAGGTATGTCATGATTAAAAACACATCATATTTCATTATTGGCAGGTTTTCCAGTAATTTAGTGACTAGTATGGATGCTATAAATTGTTACTGTATTGTTTAATACAGTAATTGTGTTCGCCTACTAATTTTCCACTAAATCGCTATGAAAAATTATAATTGCTAATGTCAAGAGTAGAGTTACTGTGAATGGCCAGATGTATTTCCCTTGATGAACATTACCAAGTCCACTTGTTACTTTTAGCTCATTTCGCATATATTATACTCCCTAGCAAAGCAAGATTAGTACATCAATTCAATTCACTTCCAATTTTGCAAAAAAAAACATGCATACTGTACAATGTGTAATAACATGACAATACTTTGCTATGTGGGATATTTGTCAATTTAAACATTGACCTTCAAAGTTCAAATGTTTACAGAGCATTTTTCCACACGGAATAATAATTGTGAGGACTTCCTCTTAATATCAGACTTTTCCTTCATTCAGGATATTGCTACAACACACTGACAAAATCATGACTAGAAAACAGGGAAATGGGGAATTCTACAAGGTAGCAATTTAAGGAAACTGGAAAATATCTAAATTTTACACCTGAAAAACTTGTTAAGTATGGTTTAACAGTTGTCATTACCTCATGACTTTAGATTTGATTACCCTTAAAAGGGAAGTAGATCTATGTAAACATTTGTTGAAGGAAAATAATCTAGAGCATTGTTTCACTCTCACAGAGTAACTTGATCAACAAAAATCAAAACAAATTTAAAAATAAAAGGAAAATACACACATAAAACCCACTTCATTTTTGTTTTAAATGAATAAGGTATTGACAACTGTGGTTGCCAACTAAAACCAAATTTAAAGCCAGGCTTCATCAACTTCTGATGCTTACCGGTACCTGGTAGATGAAATGCACTGTATGAGCTTTGCACAGCGTCCTGTACGTCACGCAGCACATTAATTACATTAAAAATTAATTAAAAAATTGGTCAGAACTAAAACTTTCCACAAATGAACTAACCCATAATAGCCACAGACTCATACCAAAAGATAGCCATATAAATAATTTCATCTGTTGTTATTTCTTGTTTAAAGTCTCTAAATGTCCCGTACGTCACAATCCAAATAGCTTGGACCTGCCCACTCATGAAATATATAATTGAAATTTAAAAAAAAAAAAAAAAAACAACATATTTTCATCTCTGTTTTAAGTTCTACAAACCGATGACAGAAAACCATTCAATTTTTTTTTTACTGGTAGTGAAAGTATCAAACTTGCACTACCGTATATGACTAATTTATACAGTGTAGTTACCTTGAGCTGAATGAAACTTGTATAGAATTGACATACTAATTATCAATGATAAGCAATAGGCCATTTTTTTGTTGTAATTTAATCAAATCTAATGCACAATTCATTATTAAGTGCCTTGTTACAAATTATTTGATGCACCTGTTATGAATTTTAAAAATTGTATTTCAATAGTCAGGTAGGACAACTCCAATGTTTGTTCCACCTAGCAACAATTGATGTACGCAATTCACATTTTAACTATCTAAATACAATTACTTGTAAATGACATTATGAGTATATGGCACTTAACAAATATCTATGCACCATATTTAATTACATTACAAGAATGGTCTATACGGTGTTGTGAGCAATACTAAAACAAAGGCCTGTATGCTAATAAACTTGTAAACATGATGCAGAGTTTAATAAGGCTTAAAAACAGGTTTAACCCAAAGGAACTTTATAAGGAAGTTAGTTTGAGGTCTTAGTTTTGCTTTTGTTAAACATGACTTTAGACCCTGAGACAGGTTTAACTGCATTAACTGCTTACATGCCACATAAAATAATCTCTCTGTGCCACATAGTATTTTTATCATGGGATAGATACAATGTATATAGCAAAGGCTTCATGATTATTTAACTGTTTCCTGTGCAAGATCAATCTACACATACCAGTGTTTAAAGACTTTAAAGGGTTGTCATGAAGATAATGAAGCCCTGGGCCCCGTCTTATAAAGAGTTACGATTGATCCAATTCAGTCGTAACTTCGTACATGTAAGTCCTCCAATCAATCGCAAGTTTGCAGTCTCCTATAAGTACATAGTTGCGACTGATATCAACTCTTTATAAGACGGGGCCCAGAAATGGGTAATTTTGCGAAGCCATTGCGCAATGTTGTACCATGGACCATGGTTGCACAAAGCAATCCTTCCCTCACATGGTGCCTATTGTTTTGTGCAGAAAGTCAAAGAAAGCAACTAAAAGTGTTAAAAAGAATACAGACCAATGAAATTTGAAAGGACTTACAGCTGAAGGTTGAATGGTATCCCTAAAACGTCAAATCTCTCCACCTCAAAGTCCACTCCTATGGTGGCCTTGTAGTCACGATCGAAAACCTCGTGGCAAAATCGGTTGACCAGGCACGTCTTGCCGACCGACACATCTCCAACAACTATCACCTTGGATACCTGAAGTCTGGAGACAAAAATAATAAGTAATAATTTTTTTTTATGCATTTTTCTGCATTTTTCCAAATATAATAACTGAATAAAACAAAGAACATACATGTACATGTATGGTATATTACAATTTTAATATACAAACAATAATAACTTCATGTCAAAATGTTTTGTTTGCATATAACAAAACTTAACATTTCTACAATATATTATTATAAATTTAAAGTATTATCCAAACTACCGGTATCTGTTGAAAAAGTGCAGGAGATCGCAATCATAAAGCGATGCTTGACTAGGATGGCGGCCTCAAACAAAAAACATCTTAAGGTTCTGATAAAATGATTGCACAGATAAATAAAAGAAACCGACTCGGTTAAATATTTTCAAATTTACACCTACTGTACGGCACTTCAAAAAAGCATTGTATACTTCTCATGTTCATACAAATTTATTGTTTTAAAATGAGAGAAGATGGCTCTTAGCTCCACATTACCACATTAATATGTACAGTTGTAGGGGATCCAGATTGCATATGTTAGGATCTGTATACCAAAGTCCTATGGAATGTTAAACATTTTTTTTAATTCAGAAAGTTTGTACTTTTGTGCATGGGTACTTACATGTTCATCAGCCTTTTCATATCTAGAGATTAGTATAAACATGCCAACTCAACAGTTTTAAAACATTTTTTTTTTTTTTATAAATGTAATGCTTCCAGGGAGAAATTTCAATTATTTAAACATATTTGTGGCTTACACCCAGTAAATAAGTTTTAAACATGTTTATAGAAAATTTTCCCAGTGTGAACATCGTTTATACGATGTAGGGATAGATACAAAGTCGCGATTCATACATGTACGCCCCTAAAAGCAAGCTGCAGATACGAAGTTCGTATCTAGAGAGCTTGACATCTTGTGTGTGAAAGGTTATTCGTGTTTAAACGTGTTTAAACTGGATGGAACGCGCGCTTTGTTTGATATGACATGACCTTCAATGCGCAATGGCACTATACTGCGCATTTTAAGAGCAGTAGTTAATCACGAAACGATTAACGATCGCACCGAAATTTCTGTGTGTGAAAGTCGTATGTACAGATGATTAGTTTAAAGCCCTTTAAACTAATCATGTTTATGGAATTTTAGCTGTGTGTGAAAAGGCTGCATGTAGTACCTACATGTACATGTGTGTCTTTATAGGTATGTTATTATCAAGCCCTGGAAAGTGGAAAATATTTCTATTCTGTAGGAAAATGCAATGAATGATTCAACACTTCATGAGTACATTTTTTTCTATGGTACATTAGATGATTAGAGGCGATATAGAACTTTCAAAATAACAAAATGTAATTACTTTCATTTCCTTATGGTGTTTAATGAAGCCAACCTTATAAAGGGAAATGCAATGTGTTTTAATTAAATACATGAACTGTTTTTTGCAGAAAATGGAGAGCTATTAATAACCACTACATGTAGATATGACTCAAAGTTCAAACTTGCATTCAGAGTATTTAAAAACATAATGGACCATCACCACATTCCTTTGACATCAAACAATAAACATCATGGAATGTTTACTTTTTCCCCATGGTTTATCCCTTATAATTTTCACCATACAGTACAGACTTTAGTCAAATCTTCAAGGGGGAAAAGGACACCAATGGTACACACAATGGGCCTGTATGGTTCAGCAGTAAAAAAGTCACACAGACATCAAGATGGGACAGAAATTAAAAAGGATATCTCTTCTACAAAAAGGAAGTACATACAGTACATACATTTAATGTACAAATGTAAATGATATTTAAGTGTAACATGTTAAATTTCAAAACTGGTTTTAGGGCTGTGTGAATGGGTCTACAGTGAAATCTGTATACAAGGATAATTCCAGGGAGAATAGAAAAGTTGTACATGTATATTATAACAGTTACATGTACTGTACATATAAACAGGTGTTCTCAGGTTTTCAATGAAAAACATAATTCAAGGCAGGAAATTGAAGGACAACAAAAACATACGGGTCCATGTACGTATGTTGTCTTTCCATACAGGTAAGTTACAGTCATTGAACTGCTCTCCTTTCATTTTAAATTGAAGACCCCCCCCCCCCCCCCCCCCAACCCTCCAGCCCCCGCAGAAATAAAACACTCCCTCAAATCACCCCTATGAACCCTGTAGATGACCTGTTGATCTTGAATACGATTTTCAGCACAGGGGTTCTATCAAGGCAGTGCTCATCTTCTTCAAATTTCACTTTTTTTCCTTTTACAGACAAGAAATCCACTGTGATCTTTATTTTACTCGTAACATTGTGAATTTCATATTTCTTAGAAGAATCTCACCATAATCACTGATTCACCGTGCACAATATAAAAGGTGCAATTGTTTGTACCATGTTGACATACAGGTGTACAATATTGGCTACTTTTTTGTCAGATTGTAATTTCCATTTAAGCCATTTCAATTTATGCCATCAAATTAATTACTTTGAATAAATCATTATCCAAATTGGTGACTTACATATAAATCAACAGCAATTTACTTGAAAACCAGTTTACAATTGCAATGCAAGTATTAAATAAAAATAAATATTATATGGTTACATATTTTTTACATGTATTTAGGCAAAAACCTAGCCAAGCTGAGGAACATACGTCTCAAGGTTTGTTGGTGTTCAAAGTAAATAACAAAATACTTTTGAACAGGTGTTCACTGACAAACAAATTTGATGGATTCACAAATAGATCAACATTTTAAAGACATCTCAACTACTCTGAATGACAGTTGGGCAATTCCACGGTAACGGAAGGACACTCAGACAAGATTTTTGAACTTCAGGTTCATACTAAAAGAACTGTTTTATTAGTATAAGATGTGAAACAGTATAGATATAATACCTATATAAGTGCCTTTAATTTTCACACAAAAAATTGTCATTATAGTTAAGTAGTTTAAGAATGTGCATATTAATTATCTCGGTAACGGAAGGACATAAAATGGACATGGTTTTTCCAGTTAATTAGTGTTTATCCAAACTTTGTGAAGTTGATGAAGCTTCCCACTTGACTGAAACACATTTTGTTCCCCATAGTTTAATACATACTAATAAAACATTTCTTTTAGTATGAACCTGAAGTTCAAAAATCTTGTCTGAGTGTCCTTCCGTTACCGTGGAATTGCCCAGTTCTTATTTACAATACGTACATGTACATGTATATCTATTCTAAACTTTACTCGATTTTTTTTAATAAGAATATATAAGAAAATATATTAATATCATAATAATGATAAACTGAAATTCATGAACTGTATTAAAACATTATCCTCATGACCTACTTTTATCCAAGGGGTCAATTGTCATGACCCTGAATAGGCTTAAAGCCTTGGGTGACCAGTAAAGATCATATGATATATTTCTCCAGGAATTCCGCTGCAATTTTATAGCCACAATAACCGATGGGTTCAAATAAGTAGGGCTTGTCACGTTTTGAAATTCGAGAGATTATTAAAGTACATGTCTATATAATACACCAGTTTACAGTTGTGTGCGCCATTTTAAACAAAGCCAATGACCTAGAGGTCATGTATTTATGCGTAAATTAGGATTGCGCCCATGCAAATTTTGATGATATCACTGCCTACGCGCTGCGTTGTGCGCACACATCATCATTTGCATGGGCGCAATCTTAATTTACGCATAAATACCAGAGGTCAGAGGTTATTGGCCCCAATTTTGGGGCCAATGACCCAAGGTCAACTCAACTGTCTGCGCATGCGCACTGATACAACTGTAAACTGGTGTATTGTAGGTTGGCCACTTATAAGGGCCACTTCCTTTCTTGCTGCTACATGTAGTACCTACTGCACCATGCATTTACATGTATTTTCATGTACTGGTATGCATTTTATTTGTAATTGCTCTGGTGAAATAAATCTGAATTAGATAATAAGAGAATTCTAACCTCTAGAAAATAAAATTGTTTGTAATTATTCTTCAATGAATGAATAAATGACCCTGATTTGATTAGTAATCTTATCTGTCAATAACATTGAACATTTCATGAATAATAATTTTGATAGGTTACCATGGCAACCAAAGTTTATGAACATTCAAAATCTGAACAATATTGTGCCCAATGCTCTTCACAACAGAGCCTTAACAATCTCGCAACAATTCATTAACTACTTTCCCTCCAAGTTCCACATTTCAAAATTTGCCTGTAGTCAGATAGTGATCTCTATTTTTCTGATTTTGAGTTGAAATCTTGAAATGGATTACCTGTATGGGCCCCATTGGCATTAGGCCGACATATACATGTGTGCAGGAAAAATATCAAACATCAATTATAAATAACTACATTTTGTTCTCCTCATAAGTTTTATCTGGACAAGAAACAGAGAATACTGTTCAATCTCCATAGTTACTTACCCTACTGTTCCAGTCTTATTGGCAAGACAAGCATCTCTAACTTTTGGTTCAAAATCTCTCTCTTTGTAGGGTGTTTCTTCTTTATAAGGCTGCAAGTGAGAAAGATGAGACATGTAAAACAGTAAATAAGGTTCTATAAAGCCAAGACTAATCTGATTTCTTCTTCTTCTTTTTTCTTCTTCTTCTCCATCTCCTCCTCCGTCTCCTTCTCTTTCATTTTCATCATCATCATCATCATCATCACCATCATCATCATCATCACCATCATCATCATCATCATCACCATCATCATCATCATCATCATTATCACCATCATCATCATCATCATCATCATCATCACCACCACCATCATCATCATCATCATCATCATCCTTATCATCACCACCATCATCATCATCATCACCATCATCATCATCATCATCATCACCACCACCATCATCATCATCATCATCATCATCACCACCATCATCATCATCATCATCACCACCATCATCATCATCACCATCATCATCATCATCATCACCATCATCATCATCATCACCACCATCATCATCATCATCATCACCATCATCATCATCATCATCATCATCCTCATCCTCATCATCATTAGCATCATCATCATCATCATCATCATCATCATCACCATCATCATCATCTTCTTCTTCTTCTCCTCCTCTTCCTCCTCCATCTCCTTCATCTTCTTCACCACCACCACCACCACCTCCTCGATCCTTCTCCTTCATCGTCTTCATCTTCACCACCTCCTCCTCCTCCTTTTTCTTCTCTTTTTTCTTTTCAGGACTTCTCTCTTATATTTATTTTTCTCCTTCCTTTTTATCATCATCACCATTTCTCCATAATGATCATCATCATCATCATCATCATCATCATCATCATCATCATCATCGCTACCATCATCACCACCATCATCACCACCATGATCCAAATCGTCAAAATCCCTAGTGGCAGGCCTGTAACAAAAGTGTTTGTATTTGAAAGGTCATAAATATATAGGAAAAGGGAAGCGATAATTAAAAATAATAATGGCAGCAGCCATTAAATATGTTTACCTTAGGCTTGAATAATTACACTTTAATATAATGTCAATCAACATTAAAGACAATAGCAAAATAGAATATATTGACACACAAAAAATAGTACAAGAAACAAGCAAGTAATGCAAGCCAACATCTGGCATAAATAAGAAAACAGCTCAGCTCAGAGTCAGAGTCTCTGAACATTGTGATTATGTCCTTTGTCAGAACTTCACGCTCGGGTCAGAGACCGACACATGACTCTTGTGGAGTTGGGAGAGAGAAAGTAATAACGATAACCCTTTGTTAATTTTTGTCTGTCCTAAAAAAAACATGAGAGAAGAAGAGTTAGAGGTGTAACAAAGTTAGAATAAGAATTAAGATGTAGATCTAGAGTTATATAGAGAAATGATTGCCAAGAAGAATTCTACTGACCTGCGGAAATTTTATCAAATTTCGATCTCTTGCAACTTGGCTAATCCTCATTTTGGAATCGGATGCAACTTCTAACTAGGTTTGATAAACATCAGTATATTAGGTCCAACTTTCTAATTCTATAAAAGAGAGTTTACTTCAGTCTTCAATCAGCTTCGTTCATAGACATTGACCATGTTGACATAACTCAGAAGAATCACCACCATTCATTCAATCACCACCACTGCACTGAGCTGAAGTGACTGATCACTGCACTTGACATCGCCTGCTAACTTATTTAGTCTATTGCCTGGCCTGGCACTGGTTTTCGTTGGAAAAAAAGCATTCAACAGATGATGAGCATTTAATTCTCAGTTGCAGGTGCAGCAGCCTTCAGGCTCTAGTCTAGATCAAGAGTATGGTGTACTGTAGTGGCATCGCATGAACGTTGCCTAGGAGTAGGAGAGACCAACTGGTGGTGGATCGCTACCATCGGGGTGGGGTATAGGTACGGTACCTAAGCAGCTCTCTACCAGCTGCGAGTGGGAGCTCACTACAGTGCAGTGGATAGATCTAATACGAAGCGCACACGTATTTCAGCGCTATGTATCCCAATGCATGATACCGGTTGCAGGGAAGATAACCACTGATCTATACACCCCTAGATAAAAGGCTCTGCGCTGTGGAAGGGCATTTTCTTCTGTGATGTCACCTGAAGTTGAAGGCTCCACCTGAGGCCCTCCACTCCCCACCCACAACACCCACATTTCTTTTCTATTTTTCCTTTTTTAATATTAATCAATTATGAGCAACCCCAAACTACATCAGGATAGTGAAAAACCTAAAGATCGTGTTTTACAAACATAATGATAACATCATAAACACCATCAGTGTTGTTGTATTGGTATTGACAAATGATTATGATCCCAATTAACTATAGCCCGCAATCCGTGAGCGAGGCAGCAAAGAAGGAAGGATAGAGAGAGAGAGAAAGAGAGGGGGGTGCAATTTTTCAAATTTTCGAGAAAAAAAATATATTAGTGCTCACTACCCCCCCCCCCCCCTACGATTTTCATATTTCAGCACACTAAATTTCAAATTGATTTCAAATTTGGGCCCCCACCCCTAAGAAAGTCCATAAGGATCTATAGAGCGAATCATCTCTTAAAAACTTATTCGACGTTTACTTGCTGTTTAACATATGCCCAATAAAACGAAAATTGTAGAGGAATGGGCGTGCAGTCACTCCAGTCAGGCCAAGATAAAAATAAAAGACCTGTAATAATAATGAAGAAAATGATACAATATCAATCATCATCATCTTCACCAATAATTACCACCATGCAGTAATTTGCATGTTGAAGTTACACGGTGCCCCCCCCCCCCCCTTATAACTATAAGCTATAACATACTGCCAACGATGCGGGGCAAATTTCACCGGTATATCAGTGGCTAAGAAAAAGTTTTTAGAAGAAAAATGGTTGAGTATTTTCTAGATGCATTTTTGTGAAACAATTTCATTCGTTTTTAATATGGCAGTGCTCCTTGCAGAAAATAGCGTATCAGAGTGTAGTTTGAGAAATAAGTGCCTGAGGTTTGGGCAATAAACGTTCGATTGAACACATCATACATTCCACACACTTTTTTTTAAAGCCCGGTGTATCTATTGTAACAAATCAGTGTTTTAGTATTGGACGAAGGTTAAGCATTTTCTGTTGTACGAGCATGCGCTATAGCAATATGGTGCATCGTTGATTTAGCAATTACCAAACTGAAGGAAAATGAGCATAAATTACATATTTTGATCATGTTGGTGCAATTATCATGTTTCTTTTGGGGATATTACTTGTATAGTAGTGATCTAATCAGGAATAAGGGGTTATACTGAAGATTATATGTGAAGATTTTATGGGATTAGCAGAAATATTGTGTTGAAGTGTTGTTTTACTAACGAGGACATAATTGTTCTTTTACACGTTTATGTATAGGGAAATTGTTACGATGGTTAGGGTTGTGCATCTAAAGCTTTCCACTGCACTGTATCCGATACAGGCCAGCCTCACCGAGGCTGGCCTGATAGTTGGCCTGATAGTTGGCCTGACAGTTGGCCTGATAGTTGGCCTGATAGTTGGCCTGATAGTTGGCCTGATAGTTGGCCTGGCCTAAATCTCTAAGCTAAGTCTCACATAGTTTGCACCGTACTTGTACTGAGTTTACCCAATTGTTGAATGGATCGCAATAAAGACTTTCAACCTACACATCATGATTGGTTTGATTTCCTGGAGCAGTGAAACCAAGGGACGAGAACCTGTGACAAGTGTTGACAAGGAAATTGATTGTTCGAAGGATGCTCAATTGATTGATGCTGTGAACGAGACGTTTAGGTGACCGATTGTAGTCGATGGACGAATGATTGTTGAGATACGTGTGAGCCAGGGGGGTTCAACTCCGCTTCTGCATCCGTCTAGCCATGGGGAAATTTTGGAGGGTCAAAAGTGCACACTGCTTCCATTTATCGTGTATTAGCCTATGAAGACGACAAATTTTTAGTGCACCAGCGAAATGGGGATTTTGGACTGCGCGCAGCGCGCAAAATATTTAAATTAAAATTTTGAATATTCATGAGCTCTTTTCCACTTATTAGCATATTATCGCAATGAAAAAAAGACAATGCGCATGCGTTACTATATCGAACAAAGGTCAGAGTTGGGAAGGTGTGTGTGGGGAGGGGGGGGGGGGGGGGGGGGGGGGGGGGGGGGGGGAGACTTTTAAATGGTTGACTTAGTTGGGGCCACAAACTTCACTGTCACCAGGATGGAAAGTACATTTTTAAAAATTCAGTTCAGTTAAAAGGCAAAAATAATGACCCCATTTCACTCAATTCATTTTTTACCTCTTTTTTTTTGTTCGTTTATTAACTTAAATATTTTTTTAAATCAGACAAATTGCACTGATCATTTAGCCCACTTAACAAGTGATATTTTCATTTTTTAGTGTCCAATTATTGAATCATTCTCACCTCGACTTCAATGATCTTCATATTGTGCCCCATCCCCAATGAAATTTCAATTTTGTCTCGTTCTTTTCATTCTTGCATTCGTCGCCACTGATTTTTTTTTTAAATTCCCCCCCCCCCCCCCAACAGTAACATTTTCAATACAGGGACCCCTTCTAATAGTGACATTTCCATAGGCTCTATTACCCCAATTACCTATGCTTTCATCATTTCGGCATCGACTTATTCTTTATTTAACCCCCCCCCCCCCCCTCATCTTTATTGTAAACCATTTTTTATACTGCATTTATTCATTAGTCTTGCCCACTCTCTTGTTACATTTCCGCTTTCTCTCTCATTAGGAAAGATGGTTAAATCTATCTCGCTGATGCAAGATAAAAACAAACATCAAAAGGTCAAACACCATACTCAATTCTACACAAGACTGCATCAGCCTCCATCTCACCTCAGTCATAGAGCATTATCATTACAGAGTGCCTACATCATCATAATCACCAGCATCATCACATATATTTCACAAAATAAGAAAATGAAAAGAACAGAATTCAGCAGTATTAACTGATTTATTAACATTTATGAACTCATTTATCAACATATTTTGTTTCTATAAAGTCTTTTTAAATCCAACATGACATCAACAAAAGGATGAAAAATGGATTGGGGGGGGATGCTGTCTCTTGAATTCAAATCTTTCAGTTGTAAAAATTTACTGTAGATTTTGAAGAAAAAAATATTCAATAATATCAGCATGCTATTTTATTATGTAAAGCACAGGTATATACTGAGTTTTATGAGTACTTTATCTAACATTGGACATTACTATTGTTGTTTTTACTACTACCTGGATTATCATTATTATTACTGCTATTATCATGATCATTGTCATTATTGTTACTATTTTTAATATTGTTATTATTATTAATATTAATTATATTAATACAGTCTTACTATTGAACTACATCATTTTATCCCCCCTCCCCCCCTTCAATTTACTATCCAGTTCAGCATATCCCTCATATTGTTGTCAGAACTTGATTAAATATCAAAAAACTATGTTACATGTACACGCATTTAAAAGAACAAATGATTACTTTCATGATCCTCGATATATCTTCTTCTTCTTCTTCTGGTAATCTTCAAAAGGCGTTGTAGCCTATCACGAAGATGAACTAATACTAAAGATTACAAGTGGTGTGAGGAAGACAGATTGTTTCTAAGTGGGATAAGGAGAGTAGATGCCTCAGAAGTAGTCCCTGGCAGTTCTCTGGACTGTCAGCATGCACTGTATTTGCTGGAAGTCAGTTCCATTAACTTTGGGACAGAGTGTTGGGCAAATGCAAACTTGTCTACCTATGTCGCTTCTGGCTTGGTGCAACTGGAGGGTCATGTCATGGTACTTCCTGCTCGTGATTTGTTAAAGCCCGTCTGTACTAGTTTGGCCAGGGGGATAAGACCACCCTGCAAGGTCACTGACAGGTAGTTATCTCATCAAATCAGCTCTCAATTAATATAAGAAAAAGAGGATCATGGGGGACCAACAGGCACAGATTAGGCATTGTTTGCTATATAGAGGGCGCAAATAGCTATAAGTAGTGCAGTGGGAAAATTTTCAAGGAAGAGCGGAGAGACCATTGACTATCTTGTGCACCATTCCCAGTCTTCTTGCAGAGTGCCTTGTAGATGTAGATATAGTAGGCAACTAAAAGGTGCTGATCATCTCAGTCAAACTGCTGCTTCTCTTGTGGTCCCCATTGTGAAGAAGCGTCCTGGACATCTGAGATGTTGTAGGGATCCCAGACACCGGAACAGTTCTCAAGATGAGGGTGGACTAGGGACTTGTACAAAAGAAGCCTGGGTATCAAACCTTCTGGACAACCTGAATAATCAAAAAAAAAAAGAGAGAAATCAAATAAGATTAAAACTGCTGCATTATATTGGATTTTCAAAAATAGTACCTCCCCACTTTTTTTAGGTCTTGCATTTTAATTTTACTAAAAAATGATAAACGTATGTTTATCTGAGTGATAGGGCCTTTTTTAAAGAGAAGAGTAAAGGTTTAGATGTATTTCCAATTATTTTAAAAGTAATTTCCAATTTATTTTAAGTTATTATTTGCTAGACTTTTGTGAACAAAAGTTTGTTAGATATAATGTAATATTTAGGAAAAAATGCCTTTGAGTGTGTCTTTTAATATGCTGAGAGAAATAAACTGTAGCAACACCATAGTTTGTCACCTAAATACAGCTAGAGAATAAATGAGAATTACAAGATATAATGCAACACAAGATGACAGTTCCCCAAATCTTTGTATATAGTCGAGTGCGGTGTTCGCATGGGCTTAGATTATACAGCCTGAATTTTTTCGAATTTCATACAAACATACCTTGCCAGAGTTCAACTTAGGTGTTTATTTTTAATATTATTAGTAGACCCTACTAGGGGGCTTTAGACCTAGATGTAGACCTGTCCCTATGCCACATCTGAATAAGGGGGCACAGAATGATTGTGCACCCCCCCCCCCCCCCCCTCCATAACTTCCACATTGACCCACCTAAACCAGGCATTTATTTAGTCTTTTTTTATTAGAATGCATTAGGCCTAGGCCTAGAATCTTGCCCTAGATCTAGGCCTAGATCTAGTAGATGCGGGGTTAAATGCTGTACTTAGTTAAGTGCTAGATCTAGACTAGACGGTAGACCTAGCCTAGCCTAGGCTCTGCTTAGCCTTAGCCCGAATTTTTCTGTCTCTTTCGTTCGTTAGCCTCTGATTTGGGTAGGGTCGGCTAAAGTCAAGAGAGGAGCCGACCCTACCCAAATCAGAGGCTAACGAGGCTAGACTATGTAGATCTATACTAGCCTAGAGGTCTAGGCTTTACAGTAACACACTGTAAAGTTATAGCCACGCCAGCTCAGGAAACGCAGTCGCTTCTTGGTGGAGTGTTACAGCCGGCTGGCACCGGCGAATTGAAAACCATAAACCGCTCGACGAGATCTCGTCGGCTTGGACTAGCAATGAGCCATTTGCGCAGTCAACAACAGGTCCACATCTACGACCGATTACTATCGGTAATCAAGCTATGAACTGAACTTAAAATTATGAGATGTGCTCTAATGAAATAACCTACGGTAAAATCCTGATTGTTTCTAAAAATATTACCGTCGATGGCTTATATTAGAGTTCATTCAATCAGTTAATATTCTTTGGTCAGAAGAAAGAAAAGAGGATGGGGTAGGGGGTTAACCGGGTAATACGTTGTGACAATGCGGAGAGCCCCTCACTGCAATGACGAACACATCACAATCATTTCAGAGACCTTCACACAAAATGGATCTTTACTTACTTTTCTTGATATCATAGGGTATCACTTCGATGTCAATGTTCGCCTGAAGATTTTCTGCTTCACTGAGATGTACTTGACAAACTTCTATTATAATAGAAATTCACTTAAAAGAAAAATGTTTCATTGTTCGTAATTGAATAACTTGAAAGTTGCAGTTCATACAACCGCCATTTTCGTGGTCAAATCGTAGGGAATTCTGGGAATGCAAAAAATGTTTTATGCATGATCTAATACATAAAACATTTTGTCGATGGCCAATCAACAAACAGTAGTTGGCGTATTTTTTACGTCATTGCTCATGAATATTCATTGACCCTCCAAAACCGTCGTTCAAATCGGACAAAACCCCCATAATGCATCCAATGCAAAACCTATGGAATGTCAAAGGTCACGATTTTAGTTGGCCCTCTAGTCCTCCTACGGAGGACATACTGTGTATGATCGAATCTCTTTGGTGTGAGCAGTTAATAACTCCAGCCATTAAGCTACGGGCATATATTTTGTCCAAACGGACGGAGAGCGCCTGGCCGACACGGGGCATCCTGACAAATATTCCGTGTCAAGCCAAGGTGGCGAAATCGTGTCCGCCACACTATTTATTGAATTGTTAAACACTAACAAATAATAAGGATGTTGAAAACGCAGTTAAATTGTTAGTGGACAAATTTGAACTCCTATACCTTGCGTTACAAAATGCTCTTTAAAACGACTTCTCTACCAATGAATTTGTTAATCCCCTAATTGGTATCATTTTTCATGTAAAAAAAGATTCTCTTTCAGCCAGTGAATTTGACCCTTTATTATTGATAGTATGCTATTCCATTTTTTTTTTTTTTAATAATAAATTTATTATGTTCCACTGTGTGTAAAATCTCATTTGGGGGAGCTAACATGGCGGATAATAGATAGCGGCGACATCATACAGGAAGCATCCCCAATCTATGTCACATACAAGTCAATGGAGATAACCAGCGTGCGCTGATACTATGGCGCAGATGCAATCATGCTCACAGACTGCAAGCTTTGAAGATGATAAAATATTTTAAAAATCAAAGAATGAGCTGGGGAAAAAAAAAAAAGCAGGATGAACATTTTCTGTAAAAAATAATCCAAAAGTTTAAATATATTTACTGAATGATGTTTTACAACAGAAAAGTATTACATTTGTTTTTATTTTTCTGATGCTACTCAATCTTCAAATTGGTTCGTCCTTTTTCGTTCAACATGGCTCCTAAGTCGAGAACCGACGGTATTTATCGATGAATTTCCATGATAATAAATGGATAAAATAAAGATTTTTACTGAAAGCCACAGAAATCAAACTAAATGTAAACTGTTTGAGCATTTGATAAGTCTTGTTTTTATTCATGAAAATGACGCCTTCTGTGTAAAATTAACCTTTATATGCAATTAGTTGAAGTCGTGAGTGTGTGCGTGATCTTGGGTGCTCGGTATCGCGGTACATGTGCACGTAAAACGTGTGTAGACCCTACAGTAGTGTGCATGCACATGAGCTGAAGGGGTGACCACAGTTCGGGGAGATTTTGCAAATATTAGGAAATGTGATATTCGATCTTTGGTTTCTCATACTCGAACAAAATGTCCTAGAAAATTAGTATTTAGGGTGTCTGATCGCGCACCCGATGTTGTGTGCTAAAATCTTTCCCATAGAGATTGCACACATCCCTATGTGGTCTACATGCATTGCGCGACCAAGCAAAATTGGTCAATGGTTTTATGAAAAATTTGAAATTCAAACCTTTATAACAAATGATCCTGAAGGTGAAACTCAATAAATGTGGTGTCATATGAAAGAGCAGGTTTTTCTCCATATTCCCCATAGGGGGCCACCCCCGGAATTCTAAAAATATCTTGCTCAAAACAGCGATTTAAACATTGTTTCCATGGTAACTCGGAGATTTACCAATTTCACGAACTGCTCCCCCGAGGGATAAGTTGGGCCAGCTGTAAAGAATATATCCATGCACTTATTTTTTCTCTAGTCCCAAGGGATCATTTGTTACAACAGTTTGAAAATACCCTTGCTCCACACTTTGCATATCGTGCTGTGCATTAGCTGTGCAGCTTTTGAGCAGAAATTATAACTCTGCGTGAACCACTTTTCTGTCCATTCTGACCAAAATGCTATGAATATTGCACAATTTTTGAGGGGCTGTATCTTTTGATAGAAACATCGGTGAGTCTTGAAATTTGAAAGGTATTATTCTGATTACATTTGTTATTCCAATATCAAACAAAAATGGTGAAAAACGATCCCAAATTGAAAATTGAAAAATCGTTCAGACACCCTACTATTAGTAATAGGTTCCTTTCCTAGTTGGGGTATTTGATTTTGAGAAATATCAGGAAGTTTCAAACAAAAGAAATCTGGAAAGTGTCTCTTCTTCAAACTCAAAGACATGTTATTGTCAAATATGGCTTAGACTGATGAAGGTCTAGATCTATTTCAAATTAGAGAGAAAAGTGAGGCAAAACAATCTAGAATCTAGATCTAGACCTCTAATGTTGATTCTGTAAAGTTTGACAGAGAACGAGATGCACAGAGACGAGAGAGAGGGATGGTGGCGATGGACATTTGTAAAATTGTACATCTATAGTCTATCAATAATTGCCTTGTCGTCAGAACATTTCTTGAACAAATTTTTCCCTTAAGGAATTTATATGTAAATTTGGCACAGCTACAAACGAGAAGATGCAATTTTAGGAAAGCAAATTTTACGAGGTAGAAAATTTGAAAGGAGTTCTCAATGTGCCTTGATCCTGTGCAAGTACTTGTAAACCTCTAGTTTACTTTAAGAATGTCATGCTGCAATTACAAAGTAAGAAGACAAAAATACAATATATTTACGAAAGTTGAAGGGCTTTTTGTATTTCAAGGAAGTATAGAAATAACTACAGTTGTTGCATCAATGTAATTTACTTTATATTCATGATTTTTCCTTCATGTACTAAAGTGAACCTATACACCATCTTGTTTTACGTACAAGATGAAATCAAAAAATTAACATGGCTTGTTTTGATTTCTTTGACTTGCAGCTCAGCGAAGGGCTGGCAAGAAGGGCCCAGCCGTGCGAGAATCTGCTGCCAAGGTCGAGGCCCGTGCAGAGGCCAAAGCCAAGGCCAAGGCCAAGCAAGATGCTCTCAAGGTAAGCATAAATGTTTATGTTCTTAATGTGTCAAACTCAAAGCAAGAGAGATTTCATACTGTTGAGTAGGTTCTTTCTATCAAATGCAATAAATTTGTTATATAACTTGATAAATGGAGACATGTGTAACTGATGTAACCATGTTTGTTTTACCGATATGTCACAACATGTACTTTGTTTAAATCTATTGGTTTGTTCTTGCTCAAGAATGATTAAATAAAATAAAACATTGGGGGGGAAATCGCATGTTTTGGATGGCTGCACCCAAATATCTTGGTAATGGGAATCAGTTTAAGGAATGTTATTGTCACAACTAGTTATGTCCAGTTTATATTTCAGGTCATATTGAATTATGGTGATGAAAAAGGATTTAAGAAGGGTAGTTGGCTGAAAGTAAATCATTTATCATTGAGTAATTGAGCTATTTAGACCAATAAACTAACAAACATTGAGGTCACTGGCAAAGCGCATCATTAGAACATATGGGACCACTTCTTTTGCTTATGGTCAAAGACTATTAGCTTGATTTACATGCTATCATAACATTAGAATGTTGGCTGGGTTTTACAATGCTGGTACAAGAGAGATGCATTCAGGTTCATTTGCTTCAGTTGGGATACTGCTAAATGAATATGAAGCGCACTTTGGATTGTATTTTAAAACTCTGGAGATCCTAAGAAAATATTTTTTACATCATGCACCTAATGCAAGTACAGTCAAACCTGTCTTTAGTGACCACTTAAGGGAAACACAAAAAGTGGTCTTTGTAGACACGTACCTTTAGTACATGGTTCATTGAGAAGCCATTTTCAAGGGAAACATAACATGTGGTCTTTGTAGACAGGTGGTCACTAAAGCACTGTCAAACCTGTCTATAGCAACCGCCCAAGGGAAACACAAAAAGTGGTCTTTGTAGACAGGTTCCTTTTACATGTTTCAATGAGAAGCCATTTTCAAGGGAAACAAAACATGTGGTCTTTCTAGACAGGCGGTCACTGAAGCAGGTTTGACTGTATTTGGTTTTAGATTGCACCACTCCATGGGAATTACTTTGTGCATCTTCCAACAACTCCTTTTGTCCTCTTCATCCACAGACTAAGAAAGCTGCCCTGCGTGGAACTCATGCAACTCGCAAGAGGAAGATCCACACCAAGGTGACCTTCCGTCGCCCTAAGACCTACAAGGCTGCTCGTGTGCCCAAATACACAAGGAAGAGTATCCCCAAGAGACCAAGGTAAAAATTACTTTAAATATCTTCATTGCGATCTAAGTAGGAATTATGTTTTAGGGATGCTAGGTTTCATTCGCTTGTTTTAATTTGCTCAATACCCCACTCATTCTGATTAAACCAACCTGACCCAAAAGTTCTTTCAACGTAATGTTTGTAACTGTCTGTTTGGGTGAATATAGAATGACATCATTTCTTCACAGTAATTCATAGTCATGGTCACGTGCCAGTTGATAATGTGCCAGGGGAGTGCTGTTGAGCTCTGGCAAGTTCCACAAGAGCCTCTTGAAAATTCATACCTGTGTAGAAAGATTTGGAAATGACTGAGGATATCTCACTTAAATTTCAGCAGATAAAAAAAGGGCCCCTATTAAAAAAAACGTAAGTTTACACTGTCTACTGTACAATCCGGGTTGTTATTTGAAACAAGATCAAAAGGATCAAGCAAATTGCTTGTTGCTTATCTCCTTTCTATGTGAATGTGTTGCATACTTTTGAAAAGAAGTTCAGGGACCTGTTTCACAAAGTCTTTTTTCAATGACAAATTACAAAAATCAGTGACAAATCTGCTGATAACCAATCAGAAGCAAGGATTTCAGTAGCTTATAACAAAAACTGTCATTTGTCCCTGATGACAAGTTCTGTGAAATGCCCCCCTGATCACAGTCTTTTTTTTCATTGTCGCATTCATTTCTAAGGCTTGACCAGTTCAGCACCATCAAGTACCCCCTGACAACCGAGAGCGCCATGAAGAAGATCGAGGAGAACAACACCCTCGTCTTCATCGTTGCCCTCAAGGCAAACAAGTTCGCCGTCAAGACTGCGGTCAAGAAGCTCTACGACATCGATGTGGCCAAGGTCAACACGCTCATCAGGCCAGATGGACAGAAGAAGGCCTACGTCAGGTTAGCACCGGACTACGATGCCTTGGATGTTGCCAACAAGGTGAGCCAGAGTTTTAACTGAAGATTTGGGATTGTTCGTATGGCAGGGTTGATAGTATAGTATTAATGACTGCTTTGAGAGAAATGGTTGTTTTTATACGCTCAAGGGAAGGTTAGAATTGTGCTATTACCCGAGCCGTGCCGAGGGCAATAGCCCAATTGTAACCTTCCCGAGAGCGTATAAAAACAACTATTTCTCGAATATTAAAGCAGTCATTAATACTTTTATATGCCCCCAAAAAATAGACTAAAAAATAAAAATAAAAAAACTTTTGTCGAAGATGGGATTCGATCTCTTGCGTACAAAAGGTGATGTAACTAAAATCACAGCCTTAAACCGCTCGGCTATCGCGCTCTGTTACCATACATATAAGTTTTTTCTTATATATACATTAAAATGGATTGAAAACGGCTTCGCGTGGTGGATGCTTCGCGGCTGCTCCATTAAACAGGCCCTTCTTTTACTTTTGCAATGCATATTGGCACAAATTTAGATCAAGATCTATCGGCAGATGTTGTTTTTTTTGTTTTTGGAAGTTTATTTTCGTCTTCATGTCAACAATGCAAGATAAAATTGTCGGTAAGATCGATCGAGATTCAATTGTATTGAAATTACCGACCAATTCTTTGCACACGTACGGTATCCTCGATCGCTCAGACCATTTTTTAACATGTAGACCTATGGGGTAACCATGGAGACTGAACTATTTTCCCAATAACCATGGTTACTGGGATTATAGAACTGTTTTAACCATGGTTACTGGGAATTTTACAGAAATAGTTGAAGTTTATGAATGCAATTTCGACCAATCAGATGGCTGGATTTCTTAAGTGAGGTATATAATAAAGAACTATGTGATTGCACACGAAATCACATGGCTGAAAACAAGGTAGTAATGTGTGTGTGTATTGGGTTTTACAGACGTTTATCAATTAGATATGATTATTTACGTCTGGGGACCGACGTTCAACGCCACGATTCGAAAGACATGACTCTGTTTCAAATTGCGTCCTTGGCTGAATCAGTTTGTAACTTCTATTGTTAGCTGGATTACAGGCACCCAACGCCCCATGAACTTCCTTCATAGTGCACATGTCCACTCCGTATAATGTCCTCCAAAATGAGTCATAGCTGGCGGCCAAATATGAAGTGCCCTGGCATATCTGTTACTCATTTACACCTGAGTGGAGAGTGGTTAAGGAGGTTTCAGGTCATGCCACCAAATGTGAGTCCTGGGCTGGTATCAAACCCTCGACCTTTGGATGGAGAGTCAAGTGAATGAACCACTATACCACAACACATCCACAAGGTGTATCGTTACCATGGAAAATGGCTACAAAGTGCAGCAAAATGAAAGAAAATGGAAAAATGGAAAGAAGAGAAGCAAACCAACTGACTTGAATGCTTCTCAAAGACAATATCAAGCACTGAAAGACCTAGACCTATTCTCTTAGGCAGAAGTGCCATCAGCAAAATGTTTTGTTCTTGTTTTTGTGGAGAAATGAAAGACATCTCCAGTTCAAAAATCGCATATTGATATTTTCTGACATTGAATATTAGTGCACCTTAATGAAGTTCTCTTGTTAAACGTGATAATAGGCCCGGGGTCATTTCATATTAAACAAGATTCTTCTGATGATATCTTCTGCTCTTGTGAACCAATTAATATTTATTGGGTACGATTCTTACATAACAAGGCCATTAAGAGATAACCCATTTAATTTGTGTATTCTTTTTCTCCCATTTTTCTGTTTTTTTGATAGATTGGTATCATCTAAACAGCCGTACCAGCCTCAGGTTTGTGAAAGGAGACAGTAGCATTACGATCATTGGCACTGTTAAGAAAATAAACAGTGTATATAGGTAACAAATGATGCATTGATTTGTGTTTTGTTGTCTTGTGTCGGTATACAAATCTATGTGTTTTTCGGTGTGTGTTTTTTTAAACCTCTGATGGAGGGAGTTGCAATTGATGTCAATGTTGAGTTACAGATAAGGTTGAGTCCTGGTCATGTGATTGCATTGCGAAAGAAGGTGATTGGATAAGATTGAACATGTAGTACTTGAGTATTGTGGTATACTGTGAAAAACATCAAAAGTGGCCTTGTCTTATTAAAAGTCTCGGGCACTATACACTGAAATGTGTAAATGGGACTACACAAACATGTGGCATGAAAGTATGGACCACACACTGAAGATATTTCATCAGAATAAAAATACGACAAGATATTTCTTGTCTTATTTTTAATCTAAGGGCATATGAAGAACCATCCTTTTTAGTGGATATCCATTCTATCATATTCTTCCACGCTAATGTTAATATAGTGATCAAGCTAAACAAATTAGCTTTCATCTTTCCCAGAACTTGACTGTTTTCATTAAAGTTGAGACCGATGAAAAGCAATTGCAACTCTTAAAGAAAGAGAGGGGAAGAAGAAAGAAAGGAATAGATTGAATATTGAGGTGTAGAGAAAGAGAAGTGGGGAGTATCGGGGGCAAAAAAAAAGACGAGAACGAGGATTGAACGAAGCTGTATACAGAGACATGAGAGTGTGTAATGTCTTGTAGTGAAGAAGAGAGACGGACGGTAAGAGAGGGGAGAGAAGGAAGACGGGAATAGAGTGAAAGACAAGAGATGAGTATATCGGGGCAGAAAAAAGATGTATAGAGACGGGAGAGAGCAAAGAGATTTAAAGGGAGAGACGGGAGAGTGTGTAGTGTCTTGTAGTGAAGTAGAGAGAAAGAAGGGAATAGAGTGGAAAATGGGGGTAGAGAGAAAGAGAAGAGGGGATTATCAGGAGCAGAAAAGGAGATGAGAGAGCAAGGATCAATGGAAGATGTACAGAGACGTGAGAGAAAGCAAAGAGATTTATAGAAAGAAAGGGAAAGAGAGAAGGGGGTGAAAAGCTAAAGAGTGATCGATTACAAATTCTGGGTTAATAGAATGTGTTGACAATTTTCTTAAGAATTAATAAATGTCTTACTTCATGCTCAAAGTAGCGTAGGTATCAATCATTTGCTCACAATACATGCCCAAATTACTTAGTTTTTATGACTGAAATTCAATCTCCCTGGCTTCTGAGATGGGGATTTAAAAAAAACATTTCCAAAATCAGACTAGTTTGTTAACACTTTTGACAGGATTTGGAGGGTACATCTTTCTTTCTTTCTTTCATCCTTTCTTTCATTCTTCTCTTTTCCTTCCTTTGTTAATTTCTTTTCTATTTAGTCTTCGAACAGAGCATTATTAAACTCCTTTTGAAACATGTTTATATTTTTGATATATATATTAACATTTATTCCACCAGGGATGTATAAAACATGAAATAAATAATATATGATTTACATAAATTCTTCATTTAGATATATAACAAGTAGGTTATTTGGCTCATATTAAAAAGTTATAAATACATATATGGAGACAACATGATAGGAAAAAGGTGACATAATTCTGTTTTATATTGCAGCCAATTACCAAACATGATCGGCAAGTATTTGCATTTACATGTATGAATATTGAATTTGTCAATAAATTCATACAAAAAAATACATGTATATACATTTGCATGTGAAATTTTCATTTTGGCAATTGCAATTTTTAGAATACTGGTACACGGTTTTGGGTCTAGCCCTTGTCAAAATCTTAAATATGCTACACATAGATGCTCATCAAGTGAATGCCTTATCATCATATTACAAACATGGTCAATGACCTCATGGTTCCATCTCTAAAATTGTTTTTTATTATACATCTACATAGAATATTTGAAAATTAAAGATTGTTAATATAATATCTTTACATGTACATGTATTGTCGAAGGCTCTGCTTTATATCTGTATTCATGTATTCACATTCAGAAGCACATGTACTCGCTTGGATGTAAATTGTAAAATGCACCTGACACTTGCAAGTATACATACAACACAGATTTATAAACAAATGATTTCACACTAAACAAAGTTGTTACCCTTCTAACATTTACAAAAACATACATTATGTAATGTATACATCATATTGCTTGTTTAGATATACAATCGTGATAGATTTGCACGGATAAAACATATTTGGTAACCTTTGCATAAGTTTGCAAAATAAAAATGATTTACGGTAATAATATTGCAGAATGCCAGGCAGCTTGTTTTTGCAGCTTATCGGTAAAATAACAATCACAAAGACAAAATTTGCAGCTAAGAATAGGATAAAATGAAACATTTACTCTTAAGCCCATCTGTACTAGTTCGGCTAGGAGGGATTAGACCACCCAGGAAGGTCACTGACAGGTGGCTATCTCATCAACTCGGCTCTCAATTAACATAAGAAAAAGAGGATCACAGGGGAACAATGGTCACCAATTAGGCATTGTTTTCTATATAGAGGGAGCAAGTAGTACAGTGGGCCTTTAAATACCTGTATAAACTAACTCAATAATCTTGAAATAGTTCTTAGAAGTGAGAATATGATTGGAATATATCTATATAGTTTCTACAATGACTGTCCTGTTTTCATAACCAAGTCCAACTTCAGTGTTTAACTAAACCAGAGTTATCTCTAACCGTAGGACTTTTTCATAATCTCATATTGCCATTTTGAATGTTTTCGTATAGCTCATTATCTAGCAAGACATACGTTTCTTGAGTTTGGTCCCACACAAAGATGGGTTCGGACACCACTCTTGGGTCAAAACCTTCCTGTACCAGTCTGGTTTTCTTCTGCTTGAAAGTAGCTGTGTGCTCCAGTTGTTCCATGATACGGATGAATCGTGGGCATGCATAGTTGGGTAGGCGGGAGGTGATGTGTTTAAATGTAACAGCTGGACTGAAGTCTGATCCCGGGTTGAGTGATATGGCAGCCATGCCCGCTTTTCCATAGTGACCTATAACATTAGATAACGAAGGAGGAAGGAAAAAAAAATGAAATATGAAATGATGTTCAGGCAAAAAATTATATACATATCAAAGATAAACATCTATAAATGCTCAGCAAATGAATGAACAGGACGGACACGTCCCTCCCCCTATATTCAGTTGGAAGATCATCCCATATTAAATGAAATCAATAACACTTATAAAAGATGTACATTTATATTATTTCGTAGAAACAAGAAATTTGCTAATCTACTAAGAAACCTGCTCAAATTAAGATATGTTCTAGAGATATATGAGCGTGAGATGGCCAGCTGTGAACCAAAGTGATAGTGTATTTCACACCCAGTTTATCAGTTTCTCGACACCACAGCGTCGATTGTAAAAGCATCTACAGAAAATAATTGAATTTCAATCGACGCTACTACCTGCGGCTTATTAAAGAGTTGAAAAGCAACTAATAAAACCTTTCAAGATATATTAACAAAAATATTGATGTAGTTTTTCCTTTCAAACAAACGACACTCTATGTTTTAATCATGCGTTATTTCATGATTTGACTATTGTAATAATGTGAGTGTCATACCTGGTACTTCAACTCCATACACGCTGGATTCCAGTATTTCTGGCAGTTCGTTCAGGGTTTGGGAAACCTCAGTTGTAGCTACGTTCTCTCCTTTCCATCTAGGGGTAGAAAATCAGACACAAATTACGGTAGATTAATAATGCTGTTTAGGCTGCTATCCTGCTGTATCTTCCATTAAAGGTACTATGTCCCATTTGCAGGCCAAAAAAATGAAAAGGTTAAATTCCAATGGCATTTGAAAGATAATACTAATTTAGAACGTCCCTAAAAAAGGTGGGGCTTAAAAAAGGTCTTCAAGTGGGAAATAACGACTATTAGTTGTCAAATCGACTTAGGAGCTATAGAGCCAATAAGTAATAGTCTTGATGTTCAGACCATTGTACCGAATGGTCATACGTTTTATGCTGCGCAAAGATTCAATCAGTTTAATTTTGGCCATCACAAGAAGTGGGTTATTGATGTAGACAAATGCTCATGTAGGCTTTACAGCTCATTTTGTGTATGTTATTTCCAAAGAAGGAAAAAGCCAGTCAGTCACTCAATAGTGTCTGACAGTGAAGTCTAGCAAGTAAACAAGTTTCCTTGCATAATTGGAATATTAGATCACTGCTAACGTTTACATTTCACAGATATGACATACATGACATAATCACAATTTCTGCAAAGTTCTACAGAATTTGAGGTTGGCTGCAAAAGGGACATAGTACCTTTAACCCACTGACTACTGAATTTTCTCATTCCTATAGACTCAACACAGGGACCACCCGGTTCCAGTAGACAACGGTTAAAAGATGCGACCGAACATAAGTTTACATTCGTCCAATTAGAATTGCGTAGATATGACTTATGACAATATCGTCAAACTATCGACTATAGGTGTTAATCTTTATTTTGATAGTACAAAAGAACAACCCAATAAATTCCTCGGACACAATAATATTAATCCCTCTACATAAAACACTTTGTAGCTTCACAGAAAGGAGCTATATTATAACATTCTCCCATAAAATAAGGACTTCGCAAAATAAAGAAGTGTTTTAATAAATTGTGTATCAACGACCGAGTCCATCTACTTGAAAAACACTAGAACTAATAGTCTGACCATGTTGAATATCTAGCACACGTGAGAACAAAAATTGGGAAATGAAAAAGAGGTAAAAATATAGTGTATCATTTCATATTCAACGAAGTAAATCTAAAAACAAATGTGTCGAGTAGTATCGGATTCAAAGGAAAGTAGAGTTTTTGAAAAAATCAGGACATCGACAATTCGTTTTTTGTTTTGGTACAGAATCGAAATAAGGAAGACAAATTATTGCCTACCTGAAAGTGTCACCAATCCGATCTTTGAAGTAGAGATTGAAGTTCTTATCTCGAACCAGAAGATCACCTGTGTTGAAGAAGACATCGCCTTCTTTCCTCACGTCTCGTATAAGTTTCTTCTCCGTGAGTGACTTGCATCCCACGTACCCGTCTAGAGGGAAGATCCGATTGACGGGGCATACCAGCAGACCAGTTTCACCTGGAAAGATGCAAGATTGATATTATATCTCTCTATATAAACCCAGATTTAGTCAAGGAACCAGCGTTACAACCATCATAATCAACAACAACACCATCACCATCATTTCCACCATAATAATCATTGCTATCATCATCAGCATCATCCGCAGCAGAATCATCATCAACATTACAACACCGTCATCAACCGGGACATGCCAGCAGACCAGTTTCACCTGGAAAGATCCAAGATTGAGAGTCTGATATTATAACTCTCTCTCTCTCTCTCTCTCTCTCTCTATATTATAAACCGAAAGTTAGTCAAGGAACCAGCAGCACCACCATATCATCATCACCATCAACAATTACAACAACAACAACACCACCACCTTCATCATCATTATCATCATAATAATCATCATCATTACTATCATCATCACCGTCATCATCATCAGCAGCAGCAGAATCATCATCAACAACACCATCATCAACCACGTCATCATTTCATGTAACCATGGCAGCCGAGATAAGGGGCACATATCCCTGACAATCGACAACAAAATCTGAACATATTTAATCTTAGGCCATTGTATTAAGTTTTTTTCAGGTAATTTGGTTTGGTATACAATCAGCTTTTCCCGCTTGACCCCCCCCCCCCCCCCCCCCTGTTATCACAATATATGAGATTTTCTTTTTAAAGAGGACTCTTAACAAATTTTTAAAAAAAAGGATTATATAGAGATGTGACATCTGTACATAATCCTATTTCATAATCATATAATCCTATTAGTACATTGTACATACCTGGTGTAACTGGGATGCATCTGCCATTGTCATCTCGAATGGGTTGTGTTGTTTCATAATCATACTGGATAAGCTCAATCCTACACACCGCCTACAATAAACGTTCAATAAAAAATAAAATATGGTCAATTGATTTCTAATCCGCATTTCTTATACATTGTGTTGTACTAGTTTTGAGTATTTGATGACTCTATCTTCAACTTTGCGTCTAAACCATATTTGTGGTCTATTTAGTTTATAATGTCATGGACAACTACAGGAGGATTATAACGTTTCATCTGGGACATCTTCTTTTTTTTTGGGGGGGGGGGCGGGGCATAATGTTCGTCAGAATCAAAGGTTTTTTATTTTTTATTTTATTGTTTAATTCCAGTCGACGAAGTTGAAAAATCCGAGGACTTCCAGCAGACCCGGCGGCAAATTTTGGTCACGGTCACCCGCCCTCCCGACACCCCTCCTAAACCCCCATTCAAATTCATCTAGCGATATACCCCTCCCTGATAAACTGGCTCTTAAAGGTCTTTTTTATGTTCCGAAGTGCCTTCAATAGCTCGTTGAAATGAGTTCAAACATGGAGATACCAGCTTTAATCACGTCCTTTTGGCCTGGTCGAATGGGTTCTGTACAACGCATCTATTTTTAAATACCAATGCACTATGAACATTTTGCCCAAATTACTCACCTGCAGAATTGGGGGCCATCTTCCTACTGACCCGACGGTATTGTCCAAGTTCATGAGTCCGAAGTTGGCCTCGGTCGCTCCGTAGAGTTCAACGATTTGCTCGATGCGGAAACGGTCGCTGACCTCTTTCCAGATGTCGGCACCCAACCCGTTACCGATGGCCAGGCGAACCTTGTTGACAGCGTCGAGATCATTCTATAAAACACAAATCAAAGAAAATCATATTATACAAGAGATAAATTTACTTGGATCTGTATATGTCAGAGAAGAGCGATATAAGTTACACAATGTTATTTTATTTGTTATAAGTTATGTTATTTGTTATATTTCCGGACGAGTATTTACATGATAATTGTTTTGAAAAAAACGATTATTGTAAATTAGGATAATTATTGGAAAGAGACTTGAGAAGAAATATTATGGAACGATTGGGGAGGGGGATACGTAAGAGACAATATGATAACCTTTTCTCACTTTACCAGAGAAACTATCTTTAATTTGACTTTCCCTGCTTTTGGCAAAAACGTCGTTTTCACTAACTTTTCATAAAGAAGAACAAGAAAAAGTGAGAACTTTCATGAACACCTTTACAAAAACAATTGTCGAAAGGTACTCTTCACATAGACGGAAAGCAAATGATACTGAATTGGAAAACGAACTCGATAAATTCGAACTTAAATACAAACCTTTGGTTGTGCAATTAGATAGCGGAAGAGCTCGCCGATGTACATGAACATTGTGACGTCATTTTGGCGGCAATCACTCCAGAAATTTGATGCAGAGAACTTGCGTCTCAAGACACATGTAGCACCTAAATGATATAAAAATCAAAGGAATGTAAATGGAATTGTAAAACCACAGATGAAATAACTTTTACTATTTTTAAATGAATAATTACTGGTTTGCGCTTAGTTAGACAACTTTAGCCTAAGATCTCTAATTACTCGATTAGTAGTATAACCTGATTCCAAACAATCAGAATACTATTTTGATTGACATTTGTTATTTAGTTATTTTTGCTAGGTCGGAAATTCTTAGGTAAATCTGATTCTGCTGCATAGGGCCAAGTAGATGATCAGGCACGTAGCCAGAGATTGATGTTTGGGTGGGGGGGGGGGGGCAACTTAATACATGTAATCGATCGAGGTCAAAAAAGGGGTCTAGAGAAGTTCAACCGATCTTGGAAATTTGTTGGGGGCACGTGCCCCCCCCCCCCCCCCCCCCCCCCCCCCGTGGAGATGACATGACATCTCCCTGATAGGGCTTTTGTTTTTTCCGAAATAAGATCACTGAAATGTGAAAGACAATACAAAATGGAGGGGGAAAAAGACCTATAATGAGCGGCAAAAAGGGTGGATCCATTATTTTTGCAAAAGAGAGGAAGGGGCACAATCCCCCCTAAAAATAAAAAAATCTCTCAGAAGCAAATTAAAAGTTGCTTATTTTCAGATGCCTTTATTATTATTGGGGTAGAAAATTTGAAAAGGGGAGGGGGCATTTTGGTTGTGTACATCAGGTTGAATGGTTGTGACCCCCCCCCCCCCCCCCCCATCTGCCCACTGATTGTTTTACAGGTTGCAATAGTGATCCTCTACCCTAAATACTAGTAAACAAACGTAGTCATAATGAATTTCACAAGATCCCTTTACAGCAAACACTATTGAAAATCGCAAAAATGTGTTACCATTTTAAAACAATAATTTGTCTCACAGAATGATGATCATTCGTTTCTTACCTGCGTTAATGACGTTACTCAGTCCAATGAACAGTGCCGACACGTGGTAAAGAGGCAGTGTGATATACATGACGTCATCACTGCTCATTTTGAATGTTTCTAGCATGAATCCACCGGCCAACATCTTGTAATGAGACAAGCGAGAAGCCTTGGGTAAACCTGAATGATGAACGAGAAAACAAAAACATAAGTTAAGAGGTGTGTGGCCATGAAGTATGGGCAATATGCAAGTAAACATATTTATCTTCAAATTTGTAATGGAGCATTGAAAGTAGCTGGCCCGGTATATACTTTTTGATTTATTGTTTGTTTGTTTGTTATTTGTTAACGTTTGGTAAGCAGTCATCCTCCCTTTCCCCTCTGACGTTTGGATACATTGGCGGCATCCCTCATGTCAAAGTAATACAAATATTGAGGATGACTGAAATTAGTTATTTAATGTTTATTTATTTGATAACAATTCATATACAAACAACCCACCCGTACATAATTATAAATGTACGCCAGAGAATCTCTAATGCTGACGGTTTCTCTCATAGTTATCAAAATGATAATGAGGATAGTTAGTGTAATTTTTGTATGTTTATTTGTTTGCCCCTTTTATATGTCTGTTTGTTTTGTTTTAATATTTTTTCTATTTGTTGTTCTTCTTTGGTTTGTTAAGACTTTTGGCCCCGATCTTAAGTGTATATAGATGTACACCAGAGCAACCTCAAAATGTTGACGGCAATCCTCATATACAAATGTTACGGTGTACTTATTTTGTCTGTTTTTTTTTTTTTTTTTTATATGTTTGTTTGTTGTTTATGGTGTTTATACTACGTCATCCACCTGCTTTTCCTGACAAAGTCATGTAGATATACGTCAGGGCATCTCAAATGTTGACGGCATCCCCAATATAAAAATGATACTGCATGAAGAGATGTTTATTTGTTTATTGTTTGTTTACTTGTTTGTTTCATTATGTTGATTAGCCTACTACGTCACTCACCCGTTGTTCCTGACGTGTAGATGTACGCCAGGGCATCTCGAATGTTGAGGCCATCTCTGACGTCACGGGGCGGGTTAAGGTCATCCTCTGAACGATCAGCTGGGACGGGGAATTCGGGGTCCAGGCTCCACACCGAAATTTCCCTCTCTTTCAAGTCCGACATGACCTCTTCCAATGCTTGCTCCGTCGAGTTGCCTGTGCGATGGAGACATAATTAATAGGAAAACTGATGAAACGAGGAGAAAACGAGGAGAAAATAATAGGGGAGAGAGGAGCTAGGGGGGGGGGGGGGGTATCTGGGTTCAGGCCCGAGACCGAGATGTCCCTAGCTATCTTTCAGGTCTGACATGACCTCTATAATACTTGCTCCGTTCTCAATTCAATTCAATTCAATTTCATTTCATTCAGTTTAAAAAGACAACATTTCATATATCAACCAGCTATATAACATAAAATACACATTAAGTTTATTTGACATATTAAAATAAACTGAATAGGTTGCAACCTGAAAGGAAAAAAATAATCCTTATATAGAGGTTGACCTTTTTTTTTTTTTATAATAAACAAATATGAGTCGCTGTGCGATGGAGACATAGCCTAATCGAAATACTGATGAAGTGATGAAAAAACGAGAAGGAACTAATTTGTGAGACAATATTACATAGAGAGAGAGGGGGGGGGGGGGGGGGGGAGAGAGAGAGAGAGATAGTGGCAGGAGAAAGAGGGAGAAATGGGGTTAGTTTGCATGGAGAAAGAGAGGGGGAGGGGTGAGGGGAGTGGAGTGGAGTAGACGGGAGAGACAGACAGAGAAACAAATCTGAAGTGTAATAACAAGTAACCTTTAAATGCGGGACACCCTATAGACCGACAGCCCAAGAGACCGACAATGCACGAGATCGACAATTTCGGTTTTATGAGCCTCAACACAAAAGTTGGCAAACGATCCGTGAGACCGACGACGGTATCTTGGACCGTATAGCCGTTTTCATTCGGCATGAAGCGATGACAAATTGAAAGCAAAAAATGAGATATTAAATCTGGACTTTCATAACTATGTTATATCTAATCTCCTTCCCCCCCCCCCCTCCCCTCCCTCACAGCTGCTTGTCTATACAAAAAAAAAATCAGCAATAAACACCAGCGTTTGAAAGAGATGGTCAAAGGAATAGTCACATAACGTTAAACTATACAATTAGAGGAATGTTTAAATATATCTATTTTCTCTCGTATACCAAGACAAGTATAAGCAAACCATGAAGAAGAATGATAAATGGGAATAATCAAACCCCAACAAAATATTATGAAATGGAGTTTTTAAAAGGGCTCAGAGTCTTTTGATCATTTAAAAATAGATAGTACCGCAGTCAAGAAAAGAAAACAATTGTCCCGTTGGTATCATTAGCATATATCAGGTTTAGTTATGGTCCCTGCACAGTCGTAACGGGCCATAGACCGAGAAAAAGTTATTTCGAGCTTGTTCTATTCGGTCAAGAAACCGTCATGAATCATCTTCATTTGATTTGATTGTACTATATACTCCAAGAATGCAAGCGCGCATAAGCAAAATGTTTTCGCAGCGCCATTTTTCATTTATAAGAAAAAAGAAAAGTTTGGCACACCTCCGCGGCTTGCATCTTTCTCATTTATTTACGTCAGTCACGAACTCTTGGGTAGCAGATTTAACGAGTGGAGTGGGGATTGAAACACGAATACCACTCGCATTTAGCCGTCACTCAAGCTGGGCAATAAATTTGTAGCGCGCGGCATCATCTTCGTGGAGCAATTTCACCCACGGTGCATTGCTCGAGAAATATTTCACTACGAAGAAAGATGATCCATCAAAATAATTTGCGTGAATACAATGCGCCAACACGTAGCTGAAACTCCCCAAGCGGTTTCGGTGAATTGATCACTTTCTATCTCTTGAAAATAGTTGATGTCCTCGGGTTATTTCTAGCTGGCTTGTTAGGGGTATACAAAATAGCAAGGAGTCGCTGTGGAGTTTATTGGTATGTCTGAACTTTGCGATGAACCTTTGAAGCTGATATTATGGGGACAACAAATCATAAACAACTTTATAATTCTAAGAAATCATCCCAGGGTATCCAAAGTTCAATAGAAAGATATGCGATAGATGTGAGGTGTACTATTTGTGTGTGGTTCAATTAGGGTTACAATCTGTTTAACCCCCTCCGCTCGTTTGCTCCGCTCCCTCGCATGTCATCTATATTTTTAGACAAGTGCTCAAACCTTCATAAAATGTTGAGTTTAAACCTCACTAAAACAATCATTTTGTTTACGAAAATTCCAAGAAATAGTTTTTTTTCTCTCATTTTGGCTGACTGCTAACAGTATAGATTCTTCTGCTTCAATTCTCGTTAAATATCAAGCTCTCCTCTCAACAAAACAGAATGCAGCGAATAAGAGCGAGAGTGAATGGAGAGAGAGAGAGAGAGGGGGGGGGGGGGTTACAGACAAGCATCATACACACCCGCACGCTCGTCTACACAATCACGAACACCCACACACGCCCACCCTCCCAAGAAGAAATGTAGAAAGGGAGGGGGAGAGGGAGAGTCAGAGAGGGACAGAGCCAGAGGGGAAACAAAGTGAAATAGTACTGAATTGTGAATATCAGATCATAAATCGGGTATTCAAAATAATATGGATTCTGAATTATTATGATTCATCATCCAAAAACTTAAAGTTGCCCGACCTTTTTCCTAATCCATTCCAGCTCCCTGGTCTAAACATGAAAAATGGAATGAAAAGAATTTGAGCTGGATTAAAATGCATCATCCATGTACACTAAAATGACGCACAACAAACCAATAATACCAGGTAAGTAGGCCCCGATGAGTATGTGCTGCAACTATCAACACACTTCGGATAAGAGATGATTAATACAGGTAATACAAAATTATATATCCAGGGTGTGTTAAGCACGGCACACACGACACGATACATTGATTACCAAACATACTTCTATTAGTTAACAGATAATGCCGGCCTAAACAAAAATCAAATTCTGAGCAAAATTCATCTACCTTAAAGTTTAAAAGAGTTTATGAGGTTTTGTTATTGTTAGATCCATACAAACTGATGACGTTCTATCTCCTAAAATGGAAATGAGCGAGATGGCTTTCAGCTGAATTATAATTATACAATGTATTATCCATGGCCTTATATGCCAAGAATTGGATTGCATCTTTCGCAACCTGATGATACGCATGCGTAACCAATAACACAGGTAATTATGCCCCAAGGAGCATCTGCTATGCCAGAAACACCTGAAGCAAGTATCCAGCACGATCAACACACTTCGGGCAAGAGCTCATCCAGAGAAAATATCCAGGGTGTTATAATTGGATATCGTTCGTAATTTATACGTATATTCATTATTTCATCTATAATAATTATGCCGGGCCGTAATCATCAGATTCTGATGTGAATTTTTTTTTCTCATAATGATTTCAAGGAAAGCGTTATTTTGTATAATGTTAAAATGTGGTAATACACTGTCCTTGCTTATCGCTATATTTCTTGGAAGGGCTTCATTTATGTTTGACGGACAACAGAATTGCTACTCAATAAAGTGAATAGTCATTGTATTGTAAAGTTGCTTCCCCCCCCCCCCCCCCCCACGCACACACACGCACACACAAAAACACTAATTTTCGAAAACTTGTTTCCCCTTCAGGGACTCTTTGAAGCAAAAGCAACATTATAATGCGTCCTCTCTTGCTCAAAATAGTAGTCGAAACAACAGAAACAAAGAAGTTAAAATTTCAAACCCAGGTCCATGACATTAAAACACAAATGTGTCAATAGTTTGCAGGGTACTCAAAATAAATACAAGATAATTATACAAACATGGAAAATAAATAATAAATCACGAGAACCATTATTTTAACGAAACAGAAAAGAAAGCATTATTGTGTATTAGTATGTTCTGTAATAATCGTATGACCTGCCATGAGTTCGGAATGGGACCACCCTCTAACTGTTTTAACATTTAAAAGAAAAAACTTAAAAACACAGCATTGAGCAAAACGTGAGGAGGCAATATAGACTTCAATTAATTTGCCAATATCTTTGCCCCAAAGTGGCCGATATGGTACTGTGCTGAAATGACAATAAAGAAGATGAACAGTCATATCCAATCATATCTTACCAGTAACTGTGATAAGAGTAGCGGCTTCGCTGATCTGCAAGCAATGTAATAGGGCCTTCGATCTCAGGTTGACATTCAAGAGCGCGCAGGTCACACCTAGTTTACTGAAACCCAGTAAGGTCCAGATGAATGCAGGTTCGTTTCCGATGAAGAAGGCCACCTAATATTAAAATCAAGAGGAGAAAATTTTATTTAAAATAAATGTATACGTTGCCTATAGCTATGGGGTTGCTCCCCCCCCCCCCTCCACATCGAATGGCGACAACAAAATGAGGGCGAGCAGGGAGGGAGAGGGGGAAGGCAATAACATGGTGTATAAGGCAATATTTGAAAACAAACGTTTGCTCCGATAGTTTCACCAATGAATGCCAACTTAATTTCCTCTATGTAGGCCTGACGTTAATAATAGTCCTTGACCCAGCACTTGGCTATTGCGAAGAAAAAAAGTAGAATTTGTGTGAGAGAGTATGAAAAAGGAATGGAATACATGATAAATTACACTTAGAGAGAGAGAGAGAGAGAGAGAGAGAGAAGGGGGGGGCAGAGATATTGGTTATTGTGTACTAAATTATTTAGTTTGACTGTCTAAAAGTTGACGTTGAGCTTATGTTCGTTCTTATTCGGTCATTTTACCATTATCCAAATAAGAAAGGTTATATGTGGTCGATTTGGATTTTCTAAAGCCGCGCAAAAATCAGTACTATTTCACTTTTTTGCTTGTTGAAAAGAAAGGAAATCTGTTGGCTAAATTGAAAACAAATCGTCGACGACGTTTTTGTCTTGATATGGGACTGTTTCCAAAGTAGGCGCTATAATAATCTGATGATTTTTATTGAATTTAGGCAACATGAAAAATATTTACCTTGCCAAGAAAAAAGCGTTAAAAAGCATGTCTGATCTTACCTTATCCCCACGTTTAAACCCCATCCGTTGGGCGATTCTTGCAATCCTGTTGGCTCTTCGATTGACGTCGTCATACGTGTACTTCTTCCCCTCAAAAATGAGCATGGTTTTGGCGGGAGACTTCGTGGCGTGTTCTTCAAATTTATCAGCTATCGTGAACGGTATCTTCATCTTCGCGTACATCGATAGAGTTCGCTGTCTGCGAAGCTGAGTTAAGATGAACTGGACGTCGCAATAGGGCGTCGGGTATTGAAGCCACATGCAGATAACGAGACAAATGGCCACCAGAAGGAATATTGCGATGATGAACAACATCATTGATCACAATATTGCAGCTGTGAGAAAGAAAGAAAGAATGAATGTGATACAACAATAAGAATAACATTGCACTTGGGCTGGGCTATTTTTCACAATTTTCTTCCTATACTTTTATAGGAAATATTTACAATTACTTATAAGAATATATCGCTATCATCACTGTCATCATGCAGAAAATATTTTGTTTAATATGTTGAGATAAGGTCGGTCATAAATATACATAAAAACTAAGCCAGTATCTATATGTCTCAGTCATTGTCATAGAAAAAAATTGAAAGAAAATACACAACTGATGATAAAGTAAATAAGAAATCAAATCTTTGCCTACCTCTTATAACGAAATAGAGACGAAATGTCAAGCTTTGGAGATCCTTAGACAGTCTCAAAGAAGGTATGAAATGTCGATGAAGAAGAATTCAAAGAAGGAAAATCCAGGTACGATGATAAAGCGAAGTCTTCTCGAAATCTGCATGAGCGTATTAAACAGTCCACTTGATGAAACCCATCCAGGCATCTTCTGACTTTCTCCAGAGCGGTATAGACATATTTATATTATTACCGTTTCTCAATACTATATAAATAAATATTTGAATACTATATAATGATGCTATATTCTGTACGACCTCAGTTTCAGTTTTTTCGTACGTCATTGCGGTTGTATTGTAGTACATTACCAAGAACAGCGAAGAAAATTCCCCGTTCGTCTATTGGATAAAACCTTCGAGCCAATTAGAGGCTCCGAATAGCTCTCGCCAAATGTACGTTTTACGGAGAAGTGAAGGTCAGCGAACTGTGGGATTTCGTCTTGGGCAGGTTGTGCTATGTAAAGGGAAAATGGGTCAAGTGCATTGGCATTGCGATGTGGTTCTCGCTCGGCACATTCCAACGGAGTTCCCTGTGGACAATACGACTTCATAAGTTGACGTCATCCAATATCTATCCAAGAGTCGTCATCGTCGACATCATCTTAACCGAAGGTCATGGCCTTTGATTATGCATATTTTACTACGTCATCAATTCATGATGAACATCTTATTCTTGAGCAATATCACAGATATGGTGCCATAATGTAACGGTATGCATCTTAAGAAATAAAGTTGAAGCAATATAAGGTCAAATAACCAAAATAACGAGTTTCTCGTCCGGACTTTTTCAAAAAAGGAGAATGCAGGGCATTACCAAACTATTTTTAATTTTTTTTTTTGCCAATGATGCTTAAATATAGCTGGCCAAGGTATATTTATTCACAGATATTGTGCTATTTGAGTATATTGATGCAATGTATAACAAAACAAATGATTTAGTAGGCCTATCATCTTATAGCTAAGCAGGTCTAAAAATTCACAAACAGTGAAAATGTGTACATGACTGTGTTCAGTTTGAATTAACTATAGAAGCTATTGATACAAAATGTATCCATCACAACCTTTTTATTTTTTATTTTTTTATTTTTTGGGGTAATTATTTTTCCTTTTTTTTTTGAATAAGAAATAGTAAGAATTATTTAAAAAAAGGAGGCGGTGGCCTAAAAGGAGTCGGGCGGGGATGAGAAATTCGTTATATTTTTTTTTTGGCCTAATCAATTTCTGAATGCCGTTTCTTATGAAAGAAAAACGGTGATAACAGAGCGTAATAACGAATCAGATTAAACAATCAAAATAATGAGTTGCAAGCAATAACAAGTGTATCTCCATCGATCATCTTTTGTTTCAAATATTTGTAGACCTACATTAGCCTATAATCCATTCTAAAACTTAAAAAAAAAAAATCCTTTTAGTATAATAACATTTGATGTAGTCCTATGCTATAGGCAGGGAAAGATCTATAGGAGCTGGGGGAGGGGCATTGTCAGAGATTTGTGTTTGATTAAGTATAAATTTGAATAATATCTGAGGACACATTCCCCCTCAATTTGAGCGTTAACCTTTTAATCTCGGACCCCCCCCTCCCCTCCTTTTACAGTCCTGATCCTGGAGCCGCACCCCCCTCAATTTCTTTAGGGGGGATCCCCCCCTCAAAATTTGAAAAAGTGCAAAACAAAATGTATAGCAAATACTGACTGAAGACTGCAACACACTTTTAGGCTCTGGATCTGGAGGGCCCAAGAGTGCAGCGTTTAGAAAAATAAAACAAAATCTCACTCGGCAGCTACGCTCCCTCGCATTATATCCTTCAAAATGTACAAGTAAATACCGAGAAAAGTGAAGTGTGAAAAAATATATTGCTTGTTTTTATACTATAGTTTTGCTAAGGAATGTATTTTTTTAATACAACCAAAACTTCAAAACCTGTGACGGGGTAGTCACTTCCGTCACCTTCACCCTTCTTATTCACTATGCTCCCTCGCACTTGCGTATTGATTGCCGGGGGGGGGGGGGGCTTGGGGGAAGTTCCCCCTTCAAAAATAAAATTCAAACGTGGTTTATTTCTAATTCGATACCAGTGATTTACAAATGTTGCTGAAATGGCTTTTTCCCTGAGCTTCCGGGGGCTCTGCCTCCTGGACCCTACCAAATGCGCTAAGGCGGGCCTCTGGTTGCTCATCTGACCGTAATTAAATGCATAAAACCCCTTAGTTTAATGGGACTCCGCCCCTTGACCCCCGTCGGGGCTTTGCCCCTGGACCCCACGCCAATTTACCACTTGCTTCGCTCGCTTTGCTCTACCTGATCGTAAATACTTTACCCCCCTCCCCACTTTGAAAAAACGTTGCCAGGGCCTGCGTAAAATGTAAGTGTGGTGGTGATGCGGATTTTTTTCTTCTCCCCCATCATTTTTGCTCATTACGCCACTGCTCCCTCGTCCCTCACATTTCGTCCGTCCCCCCCCCCCCCTGTTATGAAAAGAAATCGCCGCCCTGGTGTCGATGGATATCAATGGCGTACTTGGAACAAACAGAAGTAAGTAAGGAAGGACAAATAATAAGAAAAAAAAAGAAGAAAGAAACACGTCATCCATTTATAAGAAATGACATAATTCAACTTGTTATCATATAAATTGATAAGCATCTTGTTGATTAGTATCACGACAACAATGATGATGAAGATGGGAAGGTGGCAGAATGAAGGGGCCTTCAATTTACAAGCCTTTAGCTTTAATGCCGCCACTTTCTTATTGCCTTGTTTTGTTCAATTTTGTTTGGTAATTAAAAAAATAAAATCTAATAGGCCTATTATGTATGTCATTTCTCATGAATTATGTGAAATAATATGTTCTTTTATTTATTCATTTATTCATGGTGTTAAGCAGCTAATGGCTGTATTGTTCACATTTTCAAGCAAATTCAAAAATACATATAGGCCTAATACAATATTGCACATGGTAACAAATATACAAACACCAGAGGATGATAATCAGGGTGCATAGAACAAAAATGAAATGTTTAACGTTATTGTTACTGCCTATATTTCAAGTCGTGTTGTATTTTTATTGTAAATTTGTTCAAACTGATTATCTACCATGCCCTGCATGTTTAATTTTATGTTTGAAAATGAAAAATAATGGATTGGAAAAAAAAGAGGGCGCAGAATTTTCGCCCTAGAAGGGCACAGTTCGGTTTGATATCATTTCACGCCCATAACAACAATTTGTATTTGCCGGCGGAGGGGGGGGGGGGGGGGAATTTGTTAGACGAGGCTTGCGAGGGAGCATAGCGACTATGCAGGATGGGGTGTCCCCTCTCAAAATGATTATTTAAATATTTGAAGAAAACTAATATTTTTCATCATTATTTTAGGTAAATGAGCGAAGAGGGCTAAGAAAATAAATTAAGTTCCATAGTATTATTCCAAGTTTCCGAGTGGATGTGTGTGTGGGGTGGGGCGTTCCATGCAGCGCCAGGGAAATTCCTATTGCAAACTTTAGATCAGAATTGTACCTCATGTTGTGTAGCGGCGGGGGAGACACTGTAAAATATTGGAGGGATAACTCTTGGACTATCATCCCTAAAAATTTGGAACCTTAACTATACCCGAAAATCTAAATTCTTTGCATACTCTAAAAAGCATGGAGGATCTCGGTCTGTGTGCCGTCCAATCTCATCGAAATGTATTGCAGTTTTCTAACCCAATATTCATTGTTGTATTTCAAAGCGACCGAGCGAGGGGGAATCTTATATGGGGAGTTTAATTCACCACCTCCCAGCCCCCCCCCCCCCCACCTTCTTGCCCAGGGAAACATGCATCAAAGTTGTTGTTTTTCCATTTTTAGTTTCCCCAAGTGATCTATCGACTTCGTCAGCCAGCTCGGAACATTCCCGGTGCATGGATGCATCGGGGTACTTTGATATGCATCGGGGTCGTGCCGGGTCGTGCTCAGTGAAAAAAATACACGGGGGCTCGGGGCGAATTAGCCCCCGAAATGCCCCAGAGAGCCCCCGAAAATCAGAAAAGAGCCCTTGTAAATTTGCATAGAGTTCAATGTAAAACAAATTTTAGAGTGTTAATTTCATGCAGGCAAGCTTGAAAAGTAGCCCCCGAAAAATGAATATTAATTTTTTCCCTGGTCGTGCTTTGGATCCCAAGAGAGCACCGGGGCTAATATTGTTTGTTCCCTTTTTTTTTGGTCATTTTCCTTTAGCGAAAATAAATGTGAAACTACATTAATGACTGATGTTTGTGAAACATAGGTATTTTCAGAGAGATATGTCATGTACTAGATCATCTTTTGACACCAAGGCGCCTGCCTGTGTGTTTTGCTAATGCATGTACTGTGAGCGCGCCGAAAAATAAACGAGGTCAGCAACGGACGCGCGCGTACGTGTCCGTATCCATCTTGATATCAGCTGGCGACGAGTCGCCAATTGTTTTACGGATAAGTCGGAAACGACTTAAAATTTGGTCTTTTTTGGCCATTCTGATCGCCCGCGAGCCAAGAATTTAAAAACTTGTGCTACAAAGCACAAGTTTTGGATAAATTTACTTGATATCTTCGCTTCTTTTACCTCACTTTTCAACCTTGCATTTAGTCCACGGTTGACATTTTCTTTCGTTTCACCAATATGGCGCAACAGTGAAGAGTTATCATGTCTTCAGAATCGTACAACCTCAACCAAGCTTCTCTTGAAGAAGGGGCGTTTTATCGCTCAAATATCTTCCAATTTTACCATTTAGTGGATGGACAAGGAAAACAACGATATGGAAAAGAAAATTACGTCATCTCCAGCTCGTCTCACTTCGTGTGAGACGAAGGGAAAGGGTAAGAATTTCACTTATTTATTCAATGACATAGAAAATCGTCTTTCACACCGGTACCCTGCCGTCGGGCCTAGTTACGGCGCACCCGCTCCTCTCGACCCGCTCAGGCCCCACCAGTGTTGCGCCAGCCAGCGTCTATCACGGGACTTCTTATTACGACATATCGAGCACAAGGCGCGGCGCACGCACAATTTTTCATAAGACAGGAAAATGATGCCGTCTAGACTTGTTTGTTGTTACCCCTGGCCCTGTGGTTGTTTTTCTTTATTTTAGTCGAATTTATGACTTTGATTAAGTTTTGCTGTTTAGTCTAGGTCTAGAGTCTAGACCTATAAGGCTATATTGGTAGAGAGAAAATCATGTTAAATGTTAGAGTCTATTATTATTAGTCTATAGACTCTATTATTACATTTACACAAATCTAACAGTAGTCTACACCTCTTAGTCTTACTCTTAGTAACAGTTTTATTGAGGCTGAAAAGTGAAAGCGAAAGATCCAACCAAAATGGGCAAGACCCAAAAGTGCAGAGGCCAGAGCAGCTAGCAGTGACCAGTGTAACTTTTTAGCGTCTATTTTCAGTAGAATCGATAGTTTGATTATTTATAGAAATCTAATGATACCTTTCTATTAGGCCTGAGTCATGTCGGGATTTTCATAAACCGGGTCCCGACGGCCTTGTACCGATCGGGACCCGGTGTCCCGAAATCAGCTCGCAGGATTTGTCACTTGCCTCTATAAAAAGCGCATATCATCAGTATGTCCCTTAAAAGTGACCTTTTTTATCAATCAAATTAATAAGCACATGCATACCTCGGCTCAGATCGGTATATTCTTCCATTTGACATTATTTTCATCCATGATTGGCGATGTTTAGTGCCATTTTCGTGCCTCTAAAAGTAAAAAAACTGGGGCAGAAATGTAAAGACAACATTTGAGCCGCCATTCGATTTATGCAGGTTGAATAAATCTGGTCAAAAAATATGAATGTTAGAATAATAAAACGGCTTTCTAAAAATTTCTTCTGTACAATATATCGATCATATAATATTTTAAAGACAAATAAAATATTTATCTCTTATTTCAAACATCGCATGCTTTTTTTTAAAAGCTGAAAATTACTTGGTAATCAAGAGTTTCGATACGGATAGCGTTGCAAGGCAAGTTGAGACTAGTCTCGGAAAAATGCGCAGTGCTCCTCGTAATTAACTGTAATGCGTGCCAGAACAAACCCCCAAAAAGACGTGATCGTAACGAGAAAAAAATCATTAAAAACTACGAGAGCACGATTGGAAAGACAACTACTGCTCAAAATTACCATAATCAGATAGATAACTTGGACAAAGAATTCATTAATCGCCCAAGAAATGCCACAGAAATTGTGATAATCGAGGAGTAACTGGGTACATTTTTATCGCAAGCAGCCTGCTGCAAATACTTGAAGCCTTTGTTATACTGCTTTTTACCGTAGAGGGCGGTATTTGCCTCGTATAGCCTCGTGTTCAATTTAAACACCTGTAATTCGGATATTGCAGCAGGCCCTTCCGATAATGATTGTACCTATAGTAACTCCTTAAATATCACTATTTATGTGGCTTTTCTTGGACAACTATTGTTTTCTTCCTCCAAGTTATGTATTTGCTTACGATAATTTTAAGTAGTTGTCAATCCAATTGTGCTCTGGTAGTTTTTAATGATTTTTTTCTCGTGACGATCACGTCTTTTTTGGGGTTCGTTCTGGCACGCATTACAGCTAACGAGGAGCACAGTGCGCATTTTTCCGAGACTAGTCTGAACTTGCCTTGCAACAGCTATCCGTATCGAAACTTCTTGTGATTACCAAGTAATTTTCAGCTTTTAAAAGAAGCATGCGGTGTTCAAAATCAAAGAAAAAATATATATTTTGTCTTTTAAAAATTATTCGATCGATATGTTGTAAAGAAGGACTTTTTAGAAAGCCGTTTTATTATTCAAACATTAATGTTTCTTTCAACCTGATTCCTGCCGAGAGACCCGGCCAGTACAGTAGCTAGCTAGTAGCTGGCAACAACAACCCCATGGGGCGAACTGCCTAATTGCAACCCATATCTATATCAGCAGTTCGGATTGATTCAGGATGAGCTAGAATATGATTGGTAACCATTAAATACTTAAGTTTTAAGGTGGATTGATTTTAGTGGTGTGCAAAACTGCAATTTCTTACATAGACTATTTCGTTATTTTTTTTCGGAGCGTCGGTTCTCAAAAAACGAAACCGGGACCCGACGGCAACGGTCGGGTCCCGGTGTGATCGACCGTACCGACTCAAGCCTACTTTCTATGCAACCAGATGGATTTACTAAATCTAATGCAATTAATATTTCTGTTGCTGAATTGCTTGGCACTTTTGTAACAATAAAATTGAAAGTGACTGTTCTTCAGTATGTCAATCACAATTTCATTATTTTGTTATGTTTTTTAATTTTTACACAGAGAATGGACGTAGTCAAAGATCTAATAAAAACAGGCGCGAGCCGCCACAGGTTCGTGCTCCAGGTGATCCTAACAACAGTCAGTCACGCCGACCAGTGCCGCAAAAGAGTAGGGCCGTGGACAAACGGCCACGCAGCCGAGGTCTTCCTGCCAGCAGACGCGATGAGGTAACAGTCTTGAGGATTTAAACAATATTGAAATAACACTGTGTTATGGTGACTCACAAAATACTATACTGTTAAAACATGAAACGCTTATGAATTTAATGAGTGGTTTCAAATTTGCATACGGGATATTTCAGGCACTCAGGAGACACCATTTTCCTGAGGACTGGGCCTCATTTCACAAAACTTGTCATCAGTGACAACAGACAATGACAGTTTTAGTTATAAGCTAATGAAACCCTTTCTTTTTGTCATTTGTCATTTAAAAAAAGGCTTTATGAAACAGGTCCCAGATCACTGCATGTATTTTTTAGCACTGTGCTTGTCCTAATCATGTTTGCTAATCTTACAGGTGACAGTAACTCAAAGGGCTGAATTTGGTTCAGCCCTTCCGCATGGTCCGAAGAAACTCAACATGAATCACCTCCTGAACTTCACCTTCGCTGCGAGAGAGAGTGAAGATGCCAGAGGTGGCTCTGGTTATCGTAGCAGGTCAAGATGGGGTCATAGACGCTTCAACAAGGAACAGTTCTTGCAAGCAAAGTGAGTTGAAGTCGTGGCTGTATGAAGGACTCCACAGTCCACACTTCATTTTATTTGTGGGATGTGAAGAAAGGGATTTAATCTCTGAATGGAATAGGTATAAAAGTTTCCCACACTGATTCTTCATTCTTGATTATTTCGAGCACAGTTGGCCTGAAAGTTCTGCAATGAAAGTTCTGCAATGGATCTTCATGATCAGTAGTGTACCAAAATCGTTTTACTTTAAATTATTTTACATCAGTACTGTTTTCTAATTTTTTAATCAGACAAATGTAAGTTCTTCTGATGATTTGCAGAATTGAGGTGTGCTTGTTTCAATTTGGAGCATCTGACATATACGTTCAGTCAGTAGATATGATTTTGAAGATAAAGACATCTTGGAGCGATACTTGTTATTTATAGATCGTTGGGGTAATGAGCACATGAACTCATATTAAAAAGGAAGCCAGTTTTCTTTTTTTAAATGGGAACAATTGCATGCCATGAAAATCTATGATTCCATCAACTTCCTTATTTTCATTTCAGTTGTCAGTTTGTGGTAAAAGCCAAAGGCAACTACAAGCAGCAGTCTGTAGACCCCGATGCTTTGGTGGAATGGGATTCGATTGAACAGATCCGCATGCTTGGCCATGAGATGCCCTCCTGCCCCATCTGTTTATATCCACCAACTGCAGGTGAATAAATATTTCTTCTCCTTTAACCTTTGACCTTTTGAGTGTTAAACACAAGGTAACTTTAAAAAGCTAGAGGCTATGGAGATTGCTTGTTATAAAAATTTGTAATCAGTTCCAAAAGGAAAAACAAAAAAAATCCACCCTGATTTCAAGTTAGTTCTAAAAGAAGCCAAAAATCAGTGAGATAGATTGATGAAACTTTACGGTTTGGGTTAAAATTCATAGAGAATGGGAAATGGTCAAAGTTTAAAGTTGGAAAAAAGAGTTATGTTCATGATATAGACAAAAAACATAGCAAGCCTCTTTTTTTCTACACATGAAAAAGCAAGATCTAAGCCTCAAGAACCCTGTGTTGAAAATTACACATTGGACAGTGTGTATCCTTTCACATTTACCAAATTCTCGTTCGTGGCATTTTCTAATTGACCCAACTTACAGCTAAGATGTATACACATCTGTTCAGTTTATTTTGATGTTTAAAATGTTTAAATAGTCATTCAGTTGTTCTATCAATGTATTTTATAATGTCACTGTCATCATTCATAGTTTTATTATCAAGTGTCAGATACACGTAATGTATGCTTGACTCACATATTGTATGCTTCACTTGTTTTCCTTCTCAGCCAAGATTACAAAATGTGGCCACATTTATTGCTGGCCATGCATCTTGCACTACATCTCCCTTGGGGAGAAGAGATGGCGCAAGTGCCCCATCTGCTACGAATCAGTGATGGCAAGCGACTTGAAAAGGTGAGCTAGATTGAAGGTACCAAGGTCTGTCATAACCATGTATAGTTGCTTGACAAACTATTGCGAAACTGGCCAAGGCTTGTCTACAAAGGACATATATTTTCTTTTTAAATTTCAAATTGCAGGCTTGATTTACAACCAGGCAATGTCCTGATGTCATGTATAGTTGTAATACCCATATTTTAGGGAAACATATCCTATGCACTAACTTCAGTTTCATGTTTGTAGCAAAAATATGAACATTTGTAAAGTAAGTAAGAGTATTTTATATCAAGACTTAAGACTCAAGCTTTCCCCACTTCTGGAAAAATTGATCTGTATTGTGACATTTCATCACTTCTTTTAGAAATACCTCAACATTACTTTGTGATAAACTAGACTCAATCTTAACACAAGTTTTACTTTCCACTACCCAGCGTGGTTGCCAAATCTCTGAAGACCTTCAGTGTTGGTGACACCATCACGATGCGTCTAATGACGCGGGAGAAAGGATCCATTACCATTCACCCTCACTTCCCAGACAGTGCTCCTGTAGAATTGCCAGTGTCTCCATGCATGACGGATTCATCGGAGGAAACCTGCTTCGTGAAGCTGATGATTGCCAGCCCAAGGGAAGTTCTAGATGAGGTGAGAAGAAAAGAGTTGTATTCTGCAAATCAATGGTGTTTAAAATCACATTATTAGAATAGCAGTATCTTGAATTATAAACTATATTGTTAAAAGATATATTCTAAATACAGTCAAACCTGTCTATAGCGACCACCCAAGGGAAACTGGCCTTTGTAGACAGATGGTCTTTGTAGACAGGTTCCTTTAGTACATGATTCAATGAGAAACCATTTTCAAGGGAAACAACAAATGTGGCCTTTGTAGACATATGGTCATTAAAGCAGGTTTGACTGTACTACTAGAATCTTGTTCAATTAGTTTCCTGAAAATGTCATCTTTATGAGAGATAAATTAACTTGATCCATGACTGAAGACTTACATGACATGCACAATTTAGAAAGTGCTATTGGCAATCGAGATCTAGATTTTGATTTGAATTTCTTAATTTGAGGTATTACTTATTCACCTTTAAAAGTGTATTTGTCTTGGTATATTTCTTTTAAATAATGGTAATTGAATTTATATTTGAGCAATCAACTAATTGTGTATTCCCAGATTTATAAGACCTGTTTTTGTGAGATTAATTGTTGATTTGATGTTTCAAATACTTTTATTTCAGATATTAAAAAGAGAAAGAGGAGAATTGGAAAAGCAGCTGAAAGAAGCAGTCGATGTAAGTGCCATTTAACAGATTAAGCTGTATTTTGTCAGTGTATAGAAAATAAAAATAAATAAAATATTGAAGGGGTATTTTTTGTCGATTCCAGTAGTCAGCAATGAATGAGTTAGGAACCTATTTATCTGTTTACCTATTTATTAACATGGCTACACATAGTTCATATATTTCGTTAATTCCTATCAAACATTGTTTTGCAATATTCTAGTTTGATACTGCAGATCAATGAATTTCCTTAAATAATTTTAGGATGTTGCCATCAGACCCAATCTACCTGAAGAGTAACTTTATTGAAATCTTTCAGAAATGTTTTCTTAACCCGTTTGCTACTGAATTCTCCCATTCCCATAGGGTTAATACAGGAGCTACCTGGTCCCCGTATGCAATGGTAATAATCTAATTATCTCTTTTTGTTTTAGGAATTTGAAAAATCATTTGTCCAGAGAGCCATGGATTCCTTGAAGGTGAGCACCATCATGTTTCAACATAATAGGCCAATTTCTTAACGGTATCAAATTACTGCACACATCTGTGTGAAGTGCCTCGTTACAAAAATTTTCATTCTCCTGTTAGGCTGTTACAAATAATTGTATTTGAATAGTCAGAATGAGAACTGTACATTTTGTGTTGTTGGGTAGGACAAGCCATAATGTTTGTCCTACCTAGCAACAATTAATTTATGCAATTCGGATTCAGACTATTGAAATACAATTATCTGTAATGGCCGTCATTTTTTATATTTTTCTTACGAAGGCTCATTAAACATTTATCTCAACTAAAAAAATGAAATAAATACTATTATAAATATAAGTTTGAAACTAGAAACTTTCGCTGTATGGGCATTTTAAGAATTGTTTATGATAGCCGTTTTCTTGGTATGAAATTTTTGCAAAAAGCCGAGATACCCACTTGCAATAGTTTCTGGTTTTTCTGTTGTGCTGAGAAATAGGTGCTGTTCAGATACACCCATGTTACCGGATGTTTAAAGCACCATTATAACCGTTTCCTTTTATATGTAATTGACACATTTTTAGGAAAGAGAGGATGGCCTTGGTCTGGATAAAGCAGTTACTGAACCATCAACATTAGTCACAGGTTGGTTTGCATAAGGAGAAGGTCGAGTTCTGGGAAGAGGTGAAAAATGATTTGAGAGAGTTATCATTGTATAAGCAAGTGTGGAACAACGTCGGATAAAAAATGTTCCCTGAAAAGCATGGCTCTTCAAATACCTTCATATTCTAAATGTATGTAATAGCATAAAAATTGGGACAGATTTTTATACCACATGTTTGTGTAGTCCCATATACATCTTTCTGTGTAAAGTGCTTGTTACTTTACCAAGACTGGGCCAAATTCTTATCATTTTGATGATTCCAAAACCTTGCAGTACACACCAATACTTATATGCTAGATGATCAACCTTTTCTGATCGATTCCACAACGTTTCTTTCACAATGCAATCGCATGACCAGAACTCAACTTTATCTTTAATCCTACACTTGCTCTGGGCTTTATTAAAAGAAATATTAATACAAATTAAATGAAAAGATGTATACAAAAAATAGGCAGGATGAGGGTAAAGGTTGTGATTGTATTTTTATAGGTTTGGGTTAGGGGTAGGTGTAGTGTTCAGGAATTGCATGACATTAGAAATCATTATTGCTGGAGCATGTGTCATGACAATGTTTGGTGATTTGCAATTGTAATCTATGTTTTATTTCTATGGTACTTCATAACAAATAATTGAAGTCAGAAAGCCAGTCTATACTAGTTATTTCTGATTTCGTGCTCTCCAAGGGTGATTATACATTTAATCTAAAAATGACAATTTTGCTGACTGCCATTCTGCAAGTCTAGACACTGTCATAGGGTAAGCCAAAAATTGATGTCATTGTTACTAGAAATATCAATCAGTAATCTTGTAAAGGTTTTTGTTAGAATTATATATGGTAGAAGTGTCGTAGTTGAGTGGTTTAAGCACTTGACTTGAAATTCAAAGGCCGTGGTTTGATCCCTGACAAGGCACTAATGTCCTTTGACAAGGCATTAATCCACATTTGCCACTCAATACCCAGAAGAGAAATGGGGACCCTGTAGGATAATGAATGCATCTTTGTGTTAGTAATTGTCTATGCCCTCATGGTGAACATATGGTAGGAATACTCCCCATGGAGTGGAAATGGTGAACATTGTGTGTGAATGAATCCTATGACCGGGGTAATAATATCTGTGTAGCGCTTTATACAGACAGTATGCCGTATTAATCGCTATATAAATCACGATTATTATTATTATTTACTTCATTCCTTACATTTTCAGATGAAAAAAGACCCTCCCTGGACCAAAAGGGGGATGATAATGACATGATGATGACAACGCCTATTCTACCAAAAGGGGTAAGAAGTTACAAAGGGCATTTGGCTCTTCATAGGCCTTATTTTAATTCCATTTCTAAGAATTGGGTACCGTATTTGCCGGCGATAAGGCCGCAGCGCTGCATAGGCCGCACCCCCAACTTTGACATTTCGTATAGGAAAAAAAAAAACGAATAAAAAAAAAAAAAGAGAGAAAAAAAATTCTCGTAGGACACTCTTTTTTTTTTACCAACTGATACCAAATTCATCAATATTCTTATAAATTTACAAGAAGTTTACCCCCAAAATGATCGTAATTTAGCAGATCTTCATCGACTTTTAAGCTAGAACTGTATCGCACTCAGATTTGGTATCCTACAATACCCTACCACGATGTGCAGTGTAATCCGGAATTGCGTTTTCGACCTGCGCAGTTGCGTTGCGCAACATCTGCTAGCTCCGTAAGTAACGGTCTGTCCCTTCTTTTACTTTTTTGGCGATGCAATGGTACAGACTTAGATCTAGATATATCGGTAGATTTTTATAAGAAAAATAAGTTATGCTTCTTTTTTTCGTCTACATGTGAACTGTGCATCGTAAAATTGTCGGTAAGTTGTGTGTGTGAGTTATTATAGAATTGTCCTGTACCATTGTCTAGTCATCCTACCGTTCATAGTCCCATATGTTCAAATGGACGTGCTGTTTTGACCGCTGGATTTTGTTGTTGTAGCGTAAAGGCCGCACCCCAACTTTTTGATATTTTTTCTTCCAAAAACACTGCGGCCTTATCGTCGTCAAATACGGTACTATAGGTAATGGAATATTTAGTGTTTTTTTAGTCGGTAAGTTGTTTTCCACCAATGCTTATAAGTGATTGGAATGTTATTTGTATCATGATAAATATTAATCCAACAAATTGTAGATATCAACATTTTGTTTGTAATGAGGCAGGGTTTAAGTGGTATAATTATTGAGAAGTAAAGTTTGCATATACTTGTTTTAGGACTCTCTCACTTTTCTGATTTAAAAGGAAGAAGGAAGGCAAAAGTGATCTAACTGCTTGTAAACACACAAGTACATGGGTATTAGGCTTGGGCGGTTCCCTTGTTGATGAGAACCGACTCCGGTTCCCACTCTCGGCCTCGGTTCCAAGTGGAATCGACTCCCGCTGGCTACCAGATACAGTACATGTAATTGAAGCCACAATGCTGTCAAGGCCACACACACACCAGGGAGGTGTTTACACACTGTACGTTATGTACTGTGCATGTCGTCTCCACTCAGCAGTGGCACTGATAGCAATAGATGATTTTCTATGATATTTTTTGGGAAAACTTTACTTTGAAAAATGAGTATAAAAAGTATGACTGTATTTGTGACTTGTGTGTGTAAATTGATGTTGTGTTTATATCTGTTTCATCTCATGTTATCTCTACAATTACATGCAAACAATAAAGAAGATCAAAGTGCAGACCTTTATAAACAGTTATGAAATGATTTATTTTACTACTTTCGATCAAATCGAGAAAAAAACATGACCACTGCTAATAAAGTAATTAATTATTTAATAACTCATGGTAACTTGGCAACAATGTAAACAAACAAAAACATGTTAGACCCTAGGTCCATTTTAAATTCTAAACTTCAACGTAGAATGATGGAATGATTAACTCGTACTTACACTGCTAAAATGTAAGACATGCAGAACAATTATTTCCACTATTACAGTAAACAATCCATTTTCAGAGTAAGAAGTCGTCATGTAAAACTAAAGATTCTGATTCCCTGCCTAAAATAAATGAAATATATCCGAAATATGCCTGGCCCGCTGGCTCTCCTCCCAGGGACCTATCTTTATCTAAGAGCTAAGTGTAAACCAGCCCCAGCGCGTGGCACTCCATTCCCATGGATACTGCTAACCACGTGCTCTCTAAACAACAGATAACAGCGCTAGATCGTGGTTTTGGAATAACTAGTCTGCATTTTCAGCCACTATTAGAGATGGCGCGAGGAAAAAAAATAACTGAAGGATACAAGAGATAGGGGGTGGGGGAATGTACATGTAAATTGTAGACCAGTCAAACTTATTTTTAAGAAGAAAAAAAACCCGATGAGGAGAATTCAAGGGAGAGAAAGGAGGAGGAAATTGTGAGTTGTGTGGTTTTAGTTTATTTGAGGAAGAAAACTTAACGTCTGATGTCTAGGGGAAGGGGAGACTAGGGATAGAGAGAGAGAGAGTATACACAAAGTCACATAAATCAGTTTGCGCACGAGAGAAAACATGAATCAACTTGATCAGTATCACCATAGACCTGGTAGGTCTATGGTATCACACACGCTCCAAGAGGAGAGAAAATGGGGTCATTGTTCCAACACTCTTGCGCAATTCATCAAAGGTCAAACGTTCAGCTGGGGGTGGGGGGGGGGGGCAGTTACAGGGGGCAACACACAGCAGTGCTACACACACCTCACTCACTCTGATGCATAGTACTACAAGAAGGTACACACACAAATGTGTGTATCAAAACAGCATGCTGTTAGTGCGCCCATCGCTCGCATGCATTCTGCTTTGATAGAGCTGATTTTGTTCATTCTCTATGCTGTGGAATCACTCCAGTTCGTTCGAGCAATGTTTTTTTGCAAAGTATCTCTTTGATTTGTGGTGCTGTGGAGTCGACTCCAGCGCCAAAGACTCGGTTCTTATCTTGGAACCGAGTCTCCTTTTCTCGGAACCGACGTGCTCGAGTAATCGACTCTCTAGAGATTGGAGTCGACTCCTCGGTTCTGGATTTCAGAATCGGTTAGAGTCGGGTACTCGGCTCTCGCTCCCAAGCCTAATGGGTATAGTGATCATTCATTCTGTTATTGTGGATATGCTTTATTGGCCTGTGGAGTAGATATGACTACCAGAGTACCAGTACATTCCTCATTTTATATATATATAATATTTTTTCCCGTAACATGAGAGTAATTTTAATAGTAATTTAATGTAATGTTAATTGTTATTATATAATTGTTTTAAATGGGGGCACGCTATAAGAGTCCTATCTCGCACCCCGGGGCAACGTGTCTAACACAGCTGGTTGTAGCAACTACTCCGAAGATCAAGATACATTAATCTTGATCTAAGGAGACACTAACGAACGAACGAGTACATTCCTATAAATGAACGCTCCATCTTATTTTTATGTATTTGAAACGCAGGATTGCATTGTTTATGCTTCTGCCTTCTCCGATGAAGAGCAAGATGAAACCATAGAGGAACCATCCTCTCCACCAGGAGACGACCAACCACCACCTCAAGAACCATCAAGCACAGACGTCACCAAAGAACCGAAAGAAACTGAAGATGGTACCGACGATGTCTTGGAAGAAAGCAACAGTAGCAAAGCTACCGGTAATCCATCTCCCCAAGAAGATGTCGGTGCTCCTGTTTCGGGGAAGACTGGAGAGGGAGAGGAAAAGAAGGAGGAACTTGGTGGAGGAGGGGAGAAAGAGAAGGAAGGGGTGGACTACATTGAGATGTCACCCAGTCACGCTGACAGTGCAAGTGGTAGAGAGAGGAAGATTCCCCCTAGTCACTCGAGAAATGTCTTTTTCTATCAAGGTACAGTTGTCAGTAAAATTTTCCCCAAATTATCTGTGAGTCTTGAGTAAACTTATTAATTGATTTTAGAAATTCAGTAAAATTGATAACTTCTATGAAGCAAGGATAAATGTAATCTTTCTGTACTTTTAGCTTGTACATTTTGGCATCACATTATTTTATATCTAGTACACTTCGAGAAATTTAAGTTTTTCTATATGTGAGATATAATTGAAAATTGGGCTAGTCTTTAATGCTGACTAACTTCTTTCTCATTTTTGTTTCTCCTCTGTCTGTCTCACTTTGTCTCTTTCCTTCTTCTTTATCTGTTTTTTCTTTGTCTGTCTGTCTCTCTTTCACTTTTTCACTTCTCTTTCTCTCTTTCACTCTCTCTTTCACTCACTCTCTCTCTCCCTCCCTTTGCTCCTAAACAGCCGAGGATGGTCAGCAGCTATTTCTGGGTTCCCTCAATGCCCGCTGCTTGATGCACGAATACGGTCATCTAGAGCACTCTCCCTTGACCATCACAGCCAAGATCGTTGAGATAGAACACATCTCCGTCACCCAGGTAAATTTCCCTTCATTCTGTACAAACGGTATATAAAAAAAAAAGCGTATCCGGACACCTACCCACTGGACGTCCTTCCCCCGGTTAACCACTCCCAGTCAACTACCCTCTAGACCACTACCCCTCAGACAGGCCTGATAAAAACCTGATTTAAATCGGTTTTCCAGATTTTTGTTTTTTTCAACAAAAAAAGTTACCCATTTTTAAAAATATTTTTACCGATCTTTTTTATTTTTTCTTCCTGATTTTTCCTTATTTCTCTGATTTTTCCCTTTTATCTCTATTCTTCCCTATTTTTCCTTATTATTTCCCAATTTTTTACTCAAAAGGGGGGAATCTTGTAAAATGCCATTTCTCTCCCCCCCCCCCCCCCCCGAATCCTCTTTTTGTTTTAACTCAAGGGGGCCGTGGTTGAGTGCTCACTATCACCGCTGCCCTCCAGACAACTACCCCCTACGACAACCCTTCTCTAGGACAACAACCCATCGGACAACTTTCTTAAGGGGTAGTTGTCCCAGGGGATAGTTGCCTGGGGGGGGGGGGGGGTAGTCGTCCTAGAGGGTGGTTGCCCTAGGGGGTAGTTGACTGGGGGTGGTTATCCGGGGTTCAGATGTCTAGGGGGTAGGTGTCCTAGAACCAAAAAAATAAGAATTAAACCATTCTTTATTCTGACTGTTGTAGGTTGTGTCTCAACAAGCTTTGTCCTAGGGGATAGTTGTTTGGGGGGGGGGGGGGGTAGTCGTCCTAGAGGGTGGTTGCCCTAGGGGGTAGGTGGCTGGGGGTGGTTATCCGGGGGTCAGATGTCTAGGGGGTAGGTGTCCTAGAACCCCCCAAAAAAGAATTAAACCATTCTCTTATTCTGACTGTTGTAGGTTGTATCTCAACAAGCTTTTGACATTGATGATGGGAGAGACAAACCGTTCACCAACAGATCATGGATATTAACATTAACATTGTTTGCCCTAAACAGTGTTGATAGTCTTAACCAACAAGTTAAAATCATACTACGATGTATGCGAGTGTACTGGTTGAATATCTGTTCTGTGATTTTGTGCAAATGTTAACCGGTATGCAACTATTCAAGTTTGAAATGTTCTGAATTTTGAATTGTCGACATAAAATAAATACCATATAAGATAATACTACATTGATTCTGAATTGCAGTGGATTTGAATAAAATTCTGTCCATTCTCTTCCGTTTTCAGGAGATGCGTAACCGGATGCGTCACCTCCAGCACCTGCCCCTGACCTGTGATGTCAGCGTCTGTGAACTTGCCCTCCGACCTCCGACCCTCTCGCCCAGGACCCTCGCCTACTTCTCTGCAGAGATTCAGAGGAAAAAGCAGAAGAGGGACAAGAAGGCTCGGGAGGAGAAGCGTCGGGAACGCAAGATCAGCCAGGAGGAGGATCGCAAGAATGGCATCTGTAAGTATCACAATCCAATACATCTGGGCCCCATTTCACAAAACTTGTCATCAGTGGCAAATGACAGTTTTTGTGATAAGCTAGTGAAATCCTTGCGTTCTGATTGGTCATCAGCAGATTTGTCACTGGTTTGTGTCATTTTTCATTGATAAAAGGCTTTGTGAAACGGGTTCCTCATATTGGTAATCCAACATTTGCCAAGGTGACATTTGCTCCAGGGTCATTCCATGTCAAATCACCCAATGGTTTTAACCCGACCATTTTTGATTTTGATGAAACTTAGTGTACTTGTTGAGTGTGATCTCACAGCACCAAATCCCAAATTTTAGGTCAATCGGGTGAGGGGTTTGGGAGATACGGCCCACCAAATTTTGAGATTTTTTCAAAAATGGGGGTGGCGGGCCTACCTTTGAACCCTTGTATCTCGGGACCTAATGGGTCAATCTTCACAAAATTTGTATTGTTGGAAAGGGTATTCAATAAGGATTCCAAATATGCCGCCATTTTGAAAATTCGTACATGTTGGGGTACTTTGACCTCCTGACCTAAGATTTGACCTTGAAATTGACCTTGTGGATCTCATGACCTTGACAACATTTTTCATGAAATGTAATCTCTGACATGTTCACTTAAACATATAAAAGTTTCAGAGATATAATATTTTTGGTTTAGAAACAATAAGGATTGAAAGTATTCATACTTACAGATATTCACAATAAACCCTATTATAATGTATACAATACATGCAATATGCACAGTACAACATACATCTTCCACATGCTTTTTTGTTCTAGGCATATCCATTCTAAATGTCAGCGGTACTTGAATAGAAATAAAATGACAAGTTCATTATAGGCCTAAAGGGTTAACAGGATGTATGGCTTTAGGCCTCTGAGTCAGTTCTAGGATAATTACCCCCCTGGAAATGTTTCCCCCCCCCCCAGGACAATTACCCCCTGGAAATGTTTCCCCCCCCCCAGGACAATTACCCCCCGAGGACTATCACACCCAGAGGACAATTACCCCCAGAAAATTACCTCTTAGGACAATCTGTCCCCCCCCCTCCGAGGACAATTACCCCCCGGACAATTACCCCCTAGGACAACTACCCCCCCCCCCCCTCTATTAGTTGAAGGGGAAGTTTATCCTGATAATAAGTTGGTTTTAATCAAAGCAGATTTTTTTTGGGGAGGTAATTATCCTTGAGTAATTTTCCAGGGGGGGGGGGATGGGGTAATTCTCCGGGGGGTAATTGTCCCGGGGGGGGGGGGGGGACAAATTGTCCTAGGAAGTTATTTTCTGGGGGGTAATTGTCCTCTGGATGTGATAGTCCTCGGGGGTAATTGTCCTCGAGGGGGGGGGGGGGACATTTCCTGGGGGTTAATTTTCCAGGGGGGTAATTATCCTAGAACAGACTCAGAGGCCTAAAGCCATACATCCTGTTAACCCTTTAGGCCTATATGAACTTGTCATTTTATTTCTATTTAAGTACTGCCGACATTTAGAATAGATATGACTAGAACAAAAAAGCATGTGGAAGATGTATGTTGTACTGTGCATATTGCACGTATTGTATACATTATAATAGGGTTTATTGTGAATATCTGTAAGTATGGATACTTTCAATCCTTATTGCTCCTAAACCAAAAATATTATATCTCTGAAACTTTTATATGTTTTAGTGAACATGTCAGAGATTACATTTCATGAAAAATGTTGTCAAGGTCACGTGATCCACAAGGTCAATTTCAAGGTCAAATCTTAGGTCAAGAGGTCAAAGTACCCCAACATGTACGAATTTTCAAAATGACGGCAGATTTGGAATCCTTATTGAATACCCTTTCGAACAATATAAATTTTGTGAAGATTGACCCATTAGGTCCCGAGATACAAGGGTTCAAAGGTAGGCCCGCCACCCCCATTTTTGAAAAAATCTCAAAATTTGGTGGGCCGTTTCTCCCAAGCCCCTCACCCAATTGACCTAAAATTTGGGATTTGGTGCTGTGAGATCACACTGAACAAGTACACTAAGTTTCATCAAAATCAAAATGGTCGGGTTAAGATTTTCAGATATTTTGGGTGATTTGACATGGAATGACCCTCCAGGCTTCATTGCATCAAAGATAAAGGGTTGCGGTTATTTTTTGCAATTTAATTTCAAAATAGATTTAGGGGAAGGTTTAAGATCAAGGCTATGGGTAGTTAGAGTGATGCAGGGTTTGAGGAATGTGGTTAGCATAAGAAATTGACTGCATTGTTGCTGGAGGATGTAACCATTTTCTCTCTCTCTCTCTCTCTCTCTCTCTCTCTCTCTTTCTCTCTTAATAGATCAGCTAATGCATATTTTGGAAAGTCAAAGAAAAATAGATCAAAAGCAAATATCTTGTCATCCTGATGTTCTGACATATTGTATGATGCCTCTTTGCCCTGCATTTGCTAATAATCATTCCAAACTTGCTACTTTGATATGCTAGTAGCCTAAAACGTTGATATGTGGTTTATAAATCATAACAAATGATGATTATTTTGCATCCTTAAGATCCCACAGCAAGGTATTCCCTCAAGAGCACCAACCAGTTCCCATCCTTTAGTCCAGGATCTGTTCCAGAGAACCCTGGTCTGCCCAGACCCATCTCGCCTGCATCCGTAGACTCTGGAGCATCCTCTAACTATAGCGCTGTCCTGTCAGACAATCATGATGATGATTTCATCTTTAGTTCAACTTATGGTAAGCATTGAGTATTATCGTTTAGATTTAAGCTTTAAATTTGCGAAACCTTGAAGTTTTAAACAACATCCAACAAGGACATGGGGTTACACAGGAGAAATCAAAGTTGTTGGAAGTTTTAAACTGCAAGCCAAGCAAGCAGGAACAAATACATTCTGGTGAAACTCAAAGTTGCTTGCTCGGCTTGCAGTTTGAAACTTCAAACACTTTGTTTTCTTGAAATTCATATGATTCTCTCAATCTAATTAAGACATGTATTATCTGTAATATGTAAATTTGTATATGATAGTACTCAATCCAGGTAGCACACAAAGAAAACAAGAGAAACAGTTTAAGTTATTAGTCTAACAAAGATTTGGAGAAAGTGAGAGTGACAAATTTTAAAACAATAAACCCAGTTTCGTCTATAATGATTAAAGGGCAGCGCTCAAAATACACGGGGGCGATGGGCGATTCGCCTCCGTGAGCACCATAATCGCCCCCGTCAGGTTGCTCACGGGGGCGATTGCAAAATTAAAGATCGCCCCTGTGGAATTATAAAATAAAGATTATCTTTTCTGATATAACTTTAAGACAATATTGAGTAAAATTTTTCAAATCTTAAACCAATGAAATGGAACTTAGATGGCGCTATCTCTCCCATCTCTTTGAGTATTACCGACACTAACAATGGAAGCTCGCAGTGCAGCTAGTGGCTATACTGCGCCGGTAGCGTCTCCCACCCCCCCCCCCCACCCCCCCCGTAAGGTATGACCCTGTCGCTGCATTTGATTGGCTCAATAGGACCTGTACGTCATGCGCTAGTCATCAATATTCGTGATACGCACGCACACATAATCTGATGCGATAATTTATCAAATATAAGATTTCATACAAAAATTACAAATGCAAAGCTAAGTTTACTTTAAATAAGTGACATTGCGACAAATCGGGAGGCTTACCGTAAACGAATGACTTCCCAGGTCGTAACTTGTCCATAATCATTGCAAAAATCTGGTTAATTACCAATTTAGTCCAGAATCTGGCCGATTTAATTTTGAATTTGATCTCCACTTCACCGTACCAACGCAAATATTCATATATTCAAATATCTACCTTACGGAAAGAAAAAAAAGACGCGCGCCGGTAGTACTGGTGTGCACGCTGACGCCCAATATCTGCTGGAGCTGGAGACGATCGTGCAAGGACTAAAACATGGAAGGTTTTTCGTTGTGAAAAGTGTGAATCCTCTAAAATCTGGTGATCCTAAAAGACCAGCAAATAATGTAACTCGACCAGTAAAACAATATTGAGAAGAAGAAGAAGAAGACCAAAGATGTTGCAGGGGCGGATCTAGGCGGTTAAGGAGGTTTAACCCCCCCCCCCCCCCTCCCCCTTGGGCTTCCAAATGAAAATGTGATGTGCATTGAAAAATGCTACCATGTTTCCAGACCTACACAGTATTAGTAGATGTCAGTAGATGCCAGGAAAACATCTCTAACAGGGGTTCAATATAGCCTTTAAAAAATCGCCTCGCGGCTCGTGGACGATGCTCCGCATGTTAGTAGATGCCAGGAAAACATCAATTACGGGGGTTCAAAATAGCAACAACTAAGCTCGCCTTGCGGTTTGTGGACGATGCTCAACATCGTATTTAGGTTATCCCCCACCCTTAGCAAAAAGCCAGATCCGCCCCTGTGTTTTGAAATGGAGAGAATGTCATCACGGGGATAAAAATTCAATAATAGCTAGGCCTATGTAACAAGTAAATTTCTAAGAGGGAAAATACCGACTTAAATAAATGATAATGATAAAATACCGAGGAATTTAGGAGTTTCAATGGAAATTTATATCAAAATAAGAGCCCCCGTCAGCACTAAAAGGCTCACGGGGGCTCTTATTTTTTTGGAAGAGCCCCCGTGGACAAAAAATTAATTTGAGCCCTGTTAAAGGGGCTGTAGCATGACGGGACATTGCGTCTGTCCCGAGGCCCGTGCGGGGAAAATTGGGTATACTACAGCTACGGACTCATGTGCGTGCATCATACGCGAAACCGAAGCGTAAGGAGAACTTCGGTACTGTCAACCAGTATTTCCCATGCTACTTCTCCTTTAATGTAGGTAGATAAATGCAATTCTTTTGAATATTTAACCTTTTTTTTATGAAGCTGAGGGGGAGTTTGTAAGCTCTCCGGTGGATGTCTCCATGTCTCTACCAGGAGGAGGGGCTACCGGAGGAGGAGGAGCAGGGGGATGGCCATCTCTCAGTAGTCCTGACAGCCAGGGAGGAGGGCATCGCTCATTCGCACAGGTAATGATATTCTTTCTTGCTCTCTTCCTCTTTCCTTCTTTCTTGTGTTCAAAACAATGTATTAAAGCCCCACTGTACTACTTAAAGCTACTTGCGCCCTCTACATAGCAATCAATGCCTAATCGATACCTGTTGGTCCCTCATGATTCACTTTTTCTTATGTTAATTGAGAGCTGATTTGATGAGATAACCACCTGTCAGTGACCTTGCAGGGAGGTCTAATCCCTCCTGGCCAAACTAGTGCAGACGGGTTTCAAGCACTAATTTAGTCTTTAAATGTTATGTGGTTATTATTATCATCATCATCATTACTACATTGCTTCTTGCCTCTCCTTCAGATGTTGCGTGATGGAGCAGCCAAGCCATCATCCCCTATGAAGTCCAGCAGCAACCCAGCATCGGCTAGTCCCCAGCACTACACCACCGCCAGCTACGGCCGAACCCCTGGCAGGGAGCTCACCAGTAGCAATGACAGTGACAATGAGGACTATGTACCTGTACCGCAGTACAAGGATGCCTTCAGTAACGCCATACAGACTGCACTGGACAAGGCTGCTGCGTCCATGTCCATCAAGAAAGGTAAGTCCATGATTTGATTTGATTTGATTTGATTTATTGATTTCTATATCATATTTCAAACATATATATTTTAAACATACATAGTGTCCATCAGTGTGATATAATGTATGTTTGAATAGTACAATACATGATACTCATACTGTATAAAATATAGACAATATATAGGAGCACATTACTCACTTTTACAATTAACATGATTTAGGAGGGATACAGTGTAAGTCCAAGATGTTAGGTTAAGGGATCTAAGGGTCACGTAAGGGGACACCCCCCAAAAAGAAAAAGCAGAACTAGAATAAAATCATTCAAAATGGTACAAATAAAATTCTAAAATCAGATGGTTATTAGACCTGTTAAATAATGTATTTCAATTTATGCATGTTTCTCCCCTGAACCCTTGGTTACCAACTATTTGATTCACCTCCTTTGCATAATGGTGTCTCCATTGATGGAATTCACTTTGCATACATTAGTTGTTGCTATGTCAGACAAGCCTCGTCAAGCTCAAACCTATTTAGTTGTCAAGAAAGAATCTTTATTAAAATGGATATTAAAAAATGTATACTTAAAATAAATAAATGGGTCTAATATCGCATCCTAACTTTATTTAGTTCCCTGTATCACCACATATGCCACTGAAACAGGACTATTTGAATTAAGGTAAATGAGTTTGCATAGTTATAACCAAAAACTATTATCATGTTTGGCTTTTAACAATTGTTTTTCCATCTTTTGTTCCAGGTGATGAAGCAGATGGAGATGCTGGAAAAGGAGGAGGAGGAGGGCGAAAGAACAAGAAAGGTCGCAAAAAGCAACTCCTTTTCTCCACCGCAGGTCCTCGCTTCAAATAGCACCCTGTTCTTAAACTCCCTATTATTCTAAGAAATGCTATATTCTGATATTGTGTGGTAGTAATGGTTATAAAATCATTAACTTTGCATACAATTTATTCAACCTTGTGATTGGGCTGTAGTTGGAATGCATTGCATGAAGAGTTATAGAAAAGCTTTGGAGAGAGAGTAAATTGATGCAATGTTCTTGTTACACAATAAAGTTTATCCCTGTAAAGCCCGGTGTATACAACTATATAATGTTAGATAAGATGCATCCTAATCATTTTGTTTACTTCATCTATATCGAAGGGATTAGCACGACTATATATTCTATGAGGCATGACAAATTTACTTTTTCCCAGTTTATGTGTAGGATCTGTAAGGTATATTGTAATTGTTGATATCCATGTGATGTTACTGTTTGACAATCACCCACAAGGCACAATGAAGTGAAGTAAAGTGAAGTGTGACGTCATCAAAAATCTTATTTTTAGAATTTCTCAATTTTGTCTTTATTTTCCAAAAGGGCATAAAAAATAATGTCCAAATATCAAAAACCAATTGAAAATGTTAAGTATTGGCTGAGATATGACCATCCGAATAAAAAGATTTTCTATTCTATAGGAGCTCAGTGTTATATTGCTCTGGCTCATAATGTCATGAACCAGAGCATTTTCAACTGACTTTCGACATTTGGACATCATTTTTTGATGCTCTTTCGGAAAATAAAGAGAAAATTGAGAAATTCTAAGAATACATTTTTATGATGTCACAGCTTCGGTACTCTATGCTTGCTTTGAGTACTGATGTCATAATTTTAGACAGTTTCAGAAGAAAGGAAACTTCTTGTACATTTAGATTTATATCATTCAGTGATTTTCAAATTGAACAGTGGACAAGTTTGTCAACAATGATCCAGAATTCAATTTCTAAAGGGAAATGTGCAAGGAATTTATATGTATAATTCTGTATTTAAATCGTTTTTTGTAGCATATCATTTATTGCTAAACGTAAAAATAATGCCAATACCCCCCCCCCCCCTTTCTGTTGCTTTGATGAAAAGACAACTAAATCATTTGAATATTCAGTTATATTTTGTTTCTTTAGCTCTCCAAATAAGCATTGTAGTCGCCATGATTTACAAAAGTTCATGGAATATGCACAAATGTATTGTGAGCAGCACCAATATCCATTAAAAAGTGTTATGTAGCTGTTTTATTTTGTTGCACTGCCCAGAACTTTTCACTTATTTTTCTGTTCCCATTTCTCATCACAGCCGTTATTGTTTTGAATGCATACTAAGTTTGCTTTGATCGTTTTATGCAGGAAGAAAAGTCTGACAAGCGATATGAGAATATCTTTCCAGACTTTGATACATTTGCAATGTTTCTTTTACAATTTGCCTGTAAATTTATTTTTGTTTGATACTGCGACTTGTCTCTTATATGCTCATGCTATAGAGTGGTAAATGTAAAGAAAGAAAAAAAGATTCTAAAGAAATGTATATTACAATACAAAGTCAAATTAACATTTCTAATCTAATCTTATTTCACAATTTATGTGTATTTAAAGGTACTATTTAACAAATTTGAAAGTTCTCAGTTGTTGAGTTACACAAAAAGCTATATAAAAATGGAATGAAAAATGTAAATTTTCATACAGATTGATTATTTTCAGTGGGTTGAATTTTTTTTCATAATTTGATTTAGCTTTACAAATTTACCTTCCTTTTCCCAATTGGAAGAAGAAGAAAAAATTGATAATAATACAAATATACAATTGAGAACTATTACTGTTCGAAATGGAGTGAAATGGCATTTTGGCTCATTGGCTTAATATCCTCCTATGTTTGTAAATTGAACCATTAAGTTTTAGTATTATTGATGCCTGTCATCATCCACTTTAAATCATTTCTTTTTGAGCAAGATTTTGTCATCTTTGTTGTATACTTTCCTTCAGCAAAATTCAAGCAAAGTCATAATGTGCTTACATTACTTTTTGGAAGCCATGTACTCCATTTGCATTTTATTTTTGTTTGATAATGATTTGAAGTAACACTTCAATATATTAGCCATTGACGATTATTTGTTGCCTTCCAAGAGTTATCTGTGTTACAAAAAGTTGTATGTAAATAAGAGATCCAGTTGCATGAAAGATGAACATATCTTCCATTGCTGCTCAATGTTTATTGACTATTTCAATCCTTCATGATTGTTATGGAATCAGGGTCCTGTTTCATGAAACTTATTATGAATAATGACTTAGAGTGACTTTTTAAGTTACTGATATTATTACATTTGATGTGAGCCGTGGCTGTGAGCAAATTTGTCACAGAAAAGTGGCACTTGTTAAAAATATTGATAAAGAGTTTTATGAAAAAGAGCCCAGAATAAGATAAAAAGTGAGAACAGTCGCAAGACTTCAGATGTATAGGGTTTGGTCTTCATGCGTAGTCACCACCTTTCATGTCTATGTGAAATTTGATTGTACATTATGTCGAGAGTGCATCTTCTAAAGAAAGTATGTTATGTCTTGAACTAAGCCTAAAAATCTTCAAAGTAATAGCGACACAGTAATCAACATTATAGGTTCTCTTGGATGTAGTCTGTTACACAGCTATTCCAGACCCTGTGTTATGCGGGCTTTGGGTCAAGTTATCTCGGGACCCCAACACTTGACCACACTCTTGACCTTAACACTTGACCACAGGAGTGATCATATATCCTTGCAAAACCATGAAGCAAATTCACTTCCTTATTCACCTCGCATTTGGATATGTTAGCATCACAGTATGTCAGATGATCCTTGATTATGTCTTTATAAAATTGTTTTTGTTTATTAATTTGGGGGTTCTTATGTTGGTTCTTATATACACCCATACATTGGTCATTACAGAAGAGCTCACCAGAAAAGTGTTCCATTTAATCACCCATCAAAAGTATTTTTTATTTGGTTTCAATAAATCTATTTGTCTTGAATACCCAATCAACTGATGAGATTATAATGTGATCTGTGTGTGCAGGTGCGTACACAGGGGGTATTTTTATGTGTGTAAACCCCCCCCCCCAAAAAAAAAACCCTAAACCCCCCCCCCCCCCCAACGGAGCAAATGTCAAATTTTCAAATTTTGACACCAAAAAAAAAAAAAAGTGTCCTCTTACCCCCCCCCCCCCCCCCCCCCCCTGCTTATTCAGCGGCTGGCTGAGTCATTGCGAAATTTTCGGCCTGATTTATTAATGTTAACCCCCCCCCCCCCCCCCCCCCTTGAAAAAATCCTGTGTACGTGCCTGTGTGTGTGATATTTGTTTCTTAATCAGAAGGGAGAGTGTATGCAAATGAGAAGCAACAGCATAATCTAGGTCAGGGGTCAACTTTCAGCACTTGTATACAACCTGCGGAATATTAAGACAGACTGTAAAATTGGGAACCGTATTTCTTTGGTGTGGACCGAGTGGGCTTGTCGGTTGTACGAATTAGTAAGACATTACGGATGGAAGAGTGACATTCCCACGCTAATGTCTTGGGTTTCTTTCCTAGAATAGGCCTAGCTCCTCGGGTTGTCATATTTCTCCATCACTTCTAACAGTAATGATTGAATGGATGAATGAAAGAATACAATATTGAATGGAGGAGAGAGTGATTAGATGCTGGAATGATGAGAAAATGAATGAATGATTGAATAGATGAGTGAATGAGCAAATGATGAGTGGAGCATATATCATGTATATATGTGTGGGTTTATTGAAGGAATCTTGAAAATTTAAAGAACAGCAGAAAGAAGAACTTGAAAAAAGTAGATTCAGCATTGTTGAAATATGAAATAATGAATACAAACCCATTGATTTAAAAGAGATAATCTCTATCATTTTTTAAGCATGCTTGCTTATTGAAAACAAAGGACTCAAACAAACTAAAGATCTGAATGAGCCAAAAAAGCATGGTTTTCGATTATATATCTTCTACATCATATATTTTACATTTTATAATGCAATTTACTTCTAGTTTTAGTAAGTGATGAAACCTGATGCAGAGAACTTACATTACAACACCCTATGTGTTCCCCTTCTGTTTTCAAAGCATTATCCTATATGCCTAGTAATATATGAGCAATATGTGATAAATTTGTATGTTGATTCAGGGCTTGTAATCCTGCTTGTCATCCAGTTTTGAATATTTTCGCCGAAGATTTTCATATAACATGGAAAGAATAATATCGGATTGTTAAAATCTTCAGTCTGATTAAAATATCAATAAATATTTTGCTTGATTTGTGCAGGGATATGTGAGTTAATTTTCCCTGATTTGTGTGTGTTATGCAATTTGTGGAAGATCCGTGACAAGCAGCTGTCAAGAAATGGCTACTCTTGGTAGTCTGGCTACAAGGCAACGTTAGTTTTGAACTCTGAAATGACCCTGGTCTAGTCAGGGATATGTGAGTTTAGTCAAGGGTTAGTCCACACAATGACAACATTCAAAGGAGTGAAATCCACTCCCCCAAAACGAAATATGCTAGTTAAGCTGTGTTGGCTACAAATTTAAGACGTATCAGCTATTCTCTTGATTAATAATATTAAAAGGTACATCATTTAAAGACTACCAAACTTTGACTTGTATAAACATTTCCTGTCCCCGAGCTATTTTTGCCAATATTTCACATTCATAATGTAGATATTTTCGAATTTGATAGAAGATGTGAAATAATGAGTGAAGATGAGCGAAAGCCTTTATTGACGAGTAATCTGAACAGGGACGATGACGAAATTTACAGCGAAAACGGTGTGTTACCAAGACGCCGCGACTCAGGAACAAGACAGCGGGAGGCCACCAGATCGCAAGCCGGAGAGTCGGGGGAATTGAAGCGCAGGGGTTCGTTAGTCGACAAAAAGGTATGGGCTCTTGGCCATATGGCTATCTTGTTATTTTGTACTTAATTCATTTTTCGAAATTTTAGTTCCTAATTGGCATCGTTATCTATTTCAACGATTCATTCGGAAAGGAATGTACATACACATTAATGATGATGGTAATGTCTATAGACTTGATGGTTATGAAAACTAAGAAAGATGAAGACGAAGATGATGGTGACACGTATACGTACTAGCTACATGTAGCTGAGTGTGATGATGTGTCGGTGATGATGATGGTACTTATGAAGATGATGATGATGATTACATGATGATGAATGATTATAGATAGTATTGATAATGAATTTCTGTGAAGGATGAAGAATAACGTTAAACTGCAAGCACGGATGCTCGTGCGGAACGAACACAAGTCAGACTTTGGTTCTGTGCAGGCTTGTATCGGGTATAGACTAGTAATGAGCATTTATGTTAATTGAGTGCATTAAAATGTACAGTAGACTATATCTCTTTGTGGAAGTAATATTTTTTATGATAGCCATTAGTGCAACCCCTAACATAAAAAACAAAATATATTTGGTGATAAAACTTTAACTAAGACTACTAAGTTCTTGTTTAAGACCCCAATGCCTTCAAAGTGCATGGCTATTGCCCTTATTCTTACTTACGAAATTCTAGTGCCTTTTCAGAACCTGAAATTGCTATGAAGGTAATTTTAGACCCTAAATTGTGTGAATTTAGATTAAATACGATCGTACCAATTCATCTCCACTCTCAACAAAATATGGTGACCGTTAATTAATTAATAATAAAAACAATACATCTTCTGGTTGTGCGCACTATAACCAACACAAAAAAGCCAACAAAAATCAAAAATTGGCATCGGCTGGAATAAAACGCATAAGGCGCTATTCTGCTTTCAAGGGCTGGTTCAAAATTAGTGAATATTTGTGGTGGCCCACAAATATTAGAAATGGTTATATTTACACATATTTCAGCTGTCTCTGAACTGATTTTGATCAAACAGATGATTTATCATTCAAATTGTTCATTCTTTCAAATTGGACACTAATTTTTCCATTATCTCACAAAAGCGCCCTCTGCAACAAAACTCAACTATTCCTTAAATGATCAATGCAGCAAACATGTCTTGATTGGAATACCGGTAGTATGAGTTGGAAGGGGAGTCATTATATATTCCTATACTCCCTCTGCCCCCATTTTATCCCCCAATAGATGGAAATGATCTGACATTTTCGGCTATAAATTTCATCACTTAACTAGTGGTAATAGTAGTAGTAGTAGTAGTAGTAGTATCATTATTATTATCATCATCATCATCATCATCATCATCATCATCATCATCATCATCATCATCAACACCCATCATCATCATCATCATCATCATCATCATCATCATCATCATCATCATCATCAACACCCATCATCATCATCATCATCATCATTATCATCATCATCATCATCATCATCATCATCATCATCATCATCATCATCATCATCATCAACACCCATCATCATCATCATCATCATCATCATCATCATCATAATCATCATCATCATCATCATCATCAACACCCATCATCATCATCATCATCATCATCAACACCCATCATCATTATCATCATCATTCCTGTTACTAATACTACTCAGATAAAAATTACTTAAGATTTCTTACAGTATTATTATTCTAGATGAAGAAGATAAAGTAGGAACTTTCTTTGAAGAAAGAGCACCTAAAATTTTCAGGAAATAATTCAATTTTTTGTTTTAAAGTAATTCCTCCCAAACCAATATAACACAGTACAGAAAATTTTGTTACCAAATAAAAAAAAGGATTTTGTTGTTGTTTTGTTGTAAATAAAACTTAGGGCACACAAATTAATACAAATTATAAGAGAAAACAACATTTGTTTTTCCATTTTGGAATGGATGCTTACCCATTACAAAACAGGCACATTAATTTGAGTCATTCATATATTGCTAGTTTGGCAAAAGTCTTGGGAATATGCCTCCCTGATCGCAGGAACTGACATCAACTGTTGAATTTATCAAGGGCAAATAAAGCAGGTTTTGGGGACGTCTGTGATAAGTATTCATTGTTCCAGTTAACATGAGGTATTAGAGGTTAAAGTTGCTTGATATTGAGTCATTTATTTCTTAGTAAAATTGTAACTGTCTATAATCACTTTTAATCAGTGATAATGACCTGACAATACCCACGTCAACTGCCACTTGCTGCTACCTTCCAAGGTAATTCCTTCTTATTAACAAGAACAGTGGCAGTGTATTAAATTTGTCAACATTGCACAAAAGGCTACTTACATGTAAATTTGCATTTAACTTGAATGGAGGAGATACATTGTATCTTTGATAACAATATAATGTACCGTAACTGGTAGCCTGCCTGTTCTGACTAGAAGAAAGTTATACAAAACGTGTATCATGATAAAGAAACGTTGTATAAAGAATCATCACATATCAAACGATTCGCTAGTTTATTATTTTATGTATTTAGCCATTGCCTGTAATTTGAATGGTGGATATATCAGTGATCAAAGTACTGTATGAGGCAACTGGTACTAGCCTGTTTAGACTTTAGAAGTTTAGACTAGAAATTTATACAAAACTGGTATAAAGAAACGTCATGTAAAGAATCATTGTGTACTTTTAATAGCAAAAGCTACACACGTGAACAGGGGCATATTACAAAGAAACATCGTTCAAAGAAACTAATCTTGAAGAGGGCAGTTGACATGACAGCTTATTGGCACGACAGCTGAGCTGGCCAATCATCTATCGGCGCTCATGATAAACCCCACCCAGTTATACAGTTATCGTGCGATTCAACATTCAGATGCAAATAGGACCTTGATTCTTCATTAACGTTTCGTTAAAAACAATACTGAGTCATGTTTTGTTATCCAAATGTTCATGATGTGACTGTACTTTACTCATATTATATGTATTCTTTTTATGTTTTTATTGTTCTTTGAAATTGGCACCTTGACAAAGTTATGTCCTGTGTGCCAGATGCGGAAAGGCTTCAGAAGTCATGTTTATTAATGTTTAATTTTTTTTGTGGTTAAATCATTTGATTGATATTACACATGTAAAGAATCCACCAGAAAGTTTGTGGACCTGAGTAGGCCTGGCTCCATCAGACCGAAATTGCAAAATAACCCGCTATTTTAACTAGCCCAATCTCAACTTAGCTAGCTAAAATGCGTGTTATCAGCCTGCACTTTGCAATTATCGCGTTATTTGGTCTAGAAAATATCCCGAAAAAATCTTGGTCTTGTTTCCCAAATATCTGGCACATTTATGCTCGTCCGAGCTAGTTGGTGATGAGCGTATCAGTCTGGTGAAGAGTCTCGCAATCGCAAGCTCGAGCTTCGAGAAAATATCCGGAGTCTGAAAGTAGCGGGTTATTTTGCAACTTCAGTCTGGTGAAAACAGCCCTTATAAGTGGACCCAAGTGTGGTATTAAAGGATCAAAGGACATGTAAATATGAAGAACCACAGTTTTGCTGACCTTTAGCCTATCGTCCAAGAACCATTCCTGTTTTTATCAGTTGGAAAACAAAGCTTTTGGAGGGGGCGTGGCCTTTTGGCTCGAGTTGAGGGGAGTTTAGTTTGTTCTTGTGTCAAGGTTAGTCTGCACGCGCAGACTCTAATTTGACACTTAAACTCAATTCCGCAAAGTCTTGAGCCCAGCTCTGTCAGTCTCTGGTTGTGCCGAAAAGGAGCAGCTAGAGTACAGGGCCTATCGAGTGCAGTAAACTGTGCAGTCTTGTATAGTCTCACAATTCAGACTGTATGTTTATGCACTTGACTGATAACAGGTTTGTGCTTGTAGACTAGGCCATGGTTTGCTCTGGTTTCTGCAGAGCGAGAGAGAGAGAGAGAGAGAGAGAGAGAGAGAGATAGGAGAGAGAGAAAGAGAGAAAGAGAGGGGTAGAGATAGAGGTAGAGCTGCATGCATGGCATTGGATAAAAATTTACTCGCTTTATTAGTTTTGCCGATGTGACATTTTCACTCCTCATTCCACCTGTTTAGCTTTACCAGCTGAATATTAACCATCGAGGAGGAGGCCACTATCTACTTTTGTTTCAATTAAAGCAAGAGAGCATTGCTTTGGAAAATCAAGGGATTACATGATATTGATTGCTGTTTGAGCAGATGATATGTGTTGAGACTTGAGAGGATTTATTTGTGTATTTTTTCTCCAGGACACGGATCTCCATTCTGCTGCAATGGACACGAAACCTGATCATGCTGATCAAGTTCAATATAAGTAAGTTTAACAATTACGAACACTTAGTTTGTTTTGGATTGACTTCCATTCAGGAGATGTCATTGTTCAAATCATTTTTTTTTTAAAGTTTCAAACTATTGCACAGTGTTATAACATGATGAAGATGATCTTTTATGACATTTCATGACACGCTCATGTTCATTGTTTGTTTAGATTTGAAATGAATGGGTTTTTAATTTTTTTTTAATTAAAATTGTTTTTGTACCCCGAAGTAGATATAAAAGCATCATAATGAAAGAAATAATTAGAAGGAAAAAAAATCCAGTATTTTCACCACCCAATTTCTTCCTTCCTTTGAATTTTTTTAAAAGGTTATTTAACTGTCTGGAGGTCATCAGAGCCTTAATTATTTTTCATTTCATAATAAAATATCAAATAAAAATGACAAAGGAAAGGAGGGGTTGAAAAGTAGGAATTAATTTTAATTCTATTCATATATTAAACAAATGTTGAATAGATGTGATTTTTTCAAAATATTTGAAACTGGAGAGGAGCAGATTCCATGTTATTTGATATTGATCAATTGTTTTTTTTTGTTCATAGAAAATGCTTTTGGATAAAATTTTAGTGAAATTTTATTTAGTTTTGATGTACGGTAATAGTTTTTGTTTTTTTAATGACCCTGGCTATTATTGGTCTCATTTTGTAAGCTTTTGTATTGAAACCTTGACAAAGTAAAGATCTGGATGGTTTGCCAATTTGCAGGACAATCTGATAACCGCTTCACATGAAATTCTATAAAGATCTAAGCCCGTTTTTTCACTTTACACAATATCTTGGGAGTCAGAGACTGAGAGTGCATAAATCAACTACATACTTTAAATGCCTTTTTCTCTAAAGTAACATTCTTTGTAACTGAACAGTCTCCTTCCTTTTCAATTAGTTAGGGAAACCCAATCGTGATGAGCTATATATCATTTTAAAGCTGAGAATCTGCTCTTTTAGAATCTACCTAAACTACTGGTATAAAAAAAAAAATCATATCTGGCAACTTTTTTGTTGTTTTGAGATGTCTTGGTCGAGTGGATAGGTCTCACCGGACTGTGGATCACAAGGTCCGCAGTTCTGCTGCAGCACCAATGTTCTTTAGCAAGACATTAATCTACATTTGCCACACCCGACCCAGGTGATGTAAATGTTACGTGGCAGGAATTAATTCTTTCAAATGCTAGAGCTCGGTAATGGCAGCCATCTAAAGCCGGGGTAGTAATTGTCGAGCGCCTGGAGTGTCAAGTCTGACAGACATGAGCGCTATACAAGAACCCACTATTGCTATTATTATTATCTATTTCTTTTCTTCCCGCAGAAGTTATAATGTAAATCTCCTGACCGTCCTATGGGCCTATCGGAAGACCATTATACTCATAGCAACCCCTTTGCTATGCCTTCCTCTCGTTGTAGTCATTGGAGATGGGGTGAGTTGAGTTCATATTTTTCCCTTTTTAAAGGGATTGGGTAGCTTTGTCTCAGATTCTGAAACAAAATCCTGGATTTAACTCTTGCTGCAATCATAATTATAAACCCCATGACTTTTATAAGCTGATCGCCTGTCTGATTATCAAGGTATACATGTATATGATTGGAAATCGAAATTAAAAATTTGTTTTCCTAACAGTTTTTGTAACACTACAGTCTATTGGGGAAAGTGAGTGTGGTAAAACTGGCCACTCAAAGATTTTTACTTTTTTGAGGCACTTTATGATTCTTTTGAAGCACAATTTGTTTAGGGCTTCAATATTACACCATATCACAAACACTGATAACGTGTAGGGCCATGCATCTCAGATTTAACATTGTTAACCGATGCCTTTAAAGCTTGTTGTACCTACTCATTCATCCATTTTCTGAATGTTGTTGCTTATTTTCGATAAGCTTGTTAACTAATTTTTATGCATGTTTTTGTTGAATTTAGTTGCCGATAGTTTAATTATTTTGTGAGCATTGTGATAGTTGAAATGTCATTCATTATTACATTAAAACAATAATTGTTTTTAGCATTATACAATGCGTATTAAAACAAAAGTGGACCCAATTTTGGTCGCTCCTAATTAAAAAGTCATAACCAATATGACTTTGAAATCTATTTCATGATGAAGAGTAACTTATTTTCTGTCCAATGATACCCTATTTATTATATTTCTGGAATGGGTGACTGAGTACCAGGGTCTTTAAAAAGTGTTGTCAAAATCGCCTTTTAAAGTACCACGTTTGGGCTGAACAAATGAATGTGGATCAAAGGCCATTATGTGTGTGTGTGTTATCTCATTACCCAAACGATAATTGCTCCCTTATTTACATTGATTGTTACGCAGTTGAGAAGAAAAGGTGTCGATATCAAGTACCAATTCAAACTCAAGGAAATGCCTATTACAAGCAAAATTTATGATATTCTCTTTGTTATGATGATTACAATGTTGAATTCATTATTTATTTATACATTTTGTTTTATTTCAACAGGGTAGCCCCATCAGTAGTTAAAATACTGTTATACTTGGGGGCCCTGCATAACATAAAAATACATAAAAACATACATATACATGAAAACATCATTACATGGTGAATAGTAAACATGATATACCAGAAAGAATACAGATTAAATTTCAAATGTAAATGTGAACTCAAAAATCGTAAAAACAAAGATCTGGAGGGGCTCTTACACCCATTTTTGGCCTCTTTTAAAGTCTAAGTAGTCTGTTCATAGGCAGAAGGGCAACATTATTTTTGCTCCAGACAGCTGAAATATTAGAAAGAGCAACAGGGGCAGAAAGCTTTACCCTTCTGCATCTAAAATCCATCTTGACCTTAGGCCCAAATAAAAAGACGTTTTATTGCAATAAAAGAAATCTTCTTTTTTTTTTTTTTTTTTAATTTTTTTTTCTTCTTCCTCTTTGGGCTGATATTTTTCAGTTTTGAATGCTTTAATATTTTTTTTCTCTAGAAAACGGTAAAATAAAAATAAATTCTTAAACAGCCGACCGTAGATTTCAAGATTTTGGGTTCGGTCGCAAAGGGCAATACAACATCTTTTTTTTTAGGTCTTCTTGTGTTTACACCTAGCTCTTTGGTTTCCCTTCTTATCTGAGGTCTTCCTCACTTCCTCCAGTGTTTATGAGGCGTGAAGAATTTCCTTTCCTTTTTATGCATTCTTTCCTAGCCATCTGAAAAAACAAGTTCAGGATTTCATTTCTGTTTCGATGATATCCAAATGATTATTGTCTGCGAGTGCATATACATTGTAACTCATGAAAAAACTTCAAGACATGATTATCGTTTTTAGAAAAAACAGGTAGGCAAAATGAATATAAAGTAGAAAAAGAAGCAACAAACCCGATCAAAATGCCAAGTGTTGCACAGTCATGGAGGTTGCCATTTGCTTTATTGAATGATATCATGAAGTGCAGCCACAAAGTACAGTGCACATCTCAGTGCGCACATCAATACATTTTATTGAGTCTTAATTTTGTACATGCCAGAGAATCGCATGTATGCGCTTCAATTTTTTAAATATCCATGCATTGACTATATCGGATTTCCTTTGTTAAACCTGATATTGAACAAAGGCTTATATTAGATTTTAAATTTTAGTAGAATATGGGCCATAGTGATCATGTATTTCAGCAGGAAAATGCTTGTTATGGGCCTGGGTTTAAGAGGGCAGTGGGGACGGGAGACAGGCCAGCAGAGTGAGCAGACATTGGCCTCCATGTACCACATCTTTTAATATGTTTGCAACCATTAATACAAATTAATTAGCATGACTACTAATTTATAGCATTAACCAACACAAATATTTTGAACAAGTGAAGCTAGCAAGCATAGTGATTGAGCCAATTTTTTTGGAGACTTTTCAGTGAATTGACAGTATTAAGATCTGATCACTATTAACATTCACCTGTTATCATTCAATTTGCATCAAGGTTTTGTCTTTTTTTTGTCAGATACACTCATATATATGTTTGAATTTGATTACTTTGTCTGTTTCTGGTGTTTCCTCAACAATTCAATCATAATTTATGTTTCAGATTACTTGAGATATATCACTTGGTTATGCATTTGCAACAAACGTACCGTCAGAAAAGTGGTATGAATTATCAGGGCATTTACTTTTCCATATGGTCTTAAAGGGACTTGGTAACATTGTTCAGATGAGAGAAAATGGTGCTAAGCCGGGTAGTGACTTCAATGATAGATGTACAATTCAAGATAATCTGAAAGTTTGAGTGAAAAACAGACCACTATTAATGATAACAAGTGGGAAAAACTGATCTGATCGATTCCTTAATTCTCCCAACTATATGATTACAATTCAATTACAATTTAGGTGAATGTAAATTTTCACAAAGCAATGAATTGGCTCTATATACCATTCCAGACCTTGAAGTGTTGAAAGATTTTTAAAAGCCTCTCTTAAGACTTTTTTTTTTTTTTTCATGGAAAAAAACGGTTGGGAAAATTAAAAGAAAATTGGGAAAATACTACTAGAGGATGTTGCACAGTGATGCCTTCAAAGAAAACCATAGATATATTTGGGGTTGAGAATTTGTTCAGGAATTTTTGCATGTTAGATGGTTAGTACAGTAGCAAGAATATGATAAGTAACATTTCATGTATACACAAGTCACACAGTTTTTTTAATCAACCTTCAACAATGTTACTGAGTCACTTTAAGATAATCTTCAAATTTATTATGAACAAAACTGTGTGATTTTTAAGCCAAGTCCCTGTATGGTAGGCTACTGAGTACTGACACTACTTCAGATGTAGAATAGAATAAATGAATTAAAACATGCATAATGTTTACTTCAGAAATATTACGTTCGTTTTCATCTTTCTTGACATAGAGAGGGTGTATCTCGGGGAGCTTTAACAGAAAATGGATTTCTGAATTAAAGAAACAAACTTTTATGGCACAAACTTTGAAAGTTCAAGCAAATATGTACCTTACTAAATTAAATGTCAATCTCCAACAGTTAGTGAATAGAAAGCTTAGAGCAAATCAAATACAAAGAAATAGCAAAGCAAAAAAGAGAAGATAGAATAATTAGAGAGGGGGGGGGGGGGGGGGGGGGAGGGAGGAAGGAAGGAAAGATTGGAGGCAGGAGGCACATGGGAGAAATGTATTTATAAAGAGAGACTGAAAAAAAAGGTTACCATTTCTGTCTCATCAATTACAATTATTTGGTAAAAATGTCAACAAAATTAGTACCAGCAGGATTCAACATGTAATTTCATCACCCACATGCTATTGTCATACTTAAGCTACTATTTCAACCCTGTATCATACTTATATGGCCTGGGGGGGGGGGGGGACTTTGCATGCTCCTCAAGAGTGCTTTCAAATTATTTTGACGTACGGGACCACAGCGTCCCGTACGTCACGCAGCACATTAATTACATTTAAAATTAATTAAAAAATTGGTCAGAACTAAAACTTTCCACAAATGAACTAGCCCATAATAGCCACAGACTCATACCAAAAGATAGCCATATAAATAATTTCATCTGTTGTTATTTCTTGTTTAAAGTCTCTAAATGTCCCGTACGTCACAATCCAAATAGCTTGGACCTGCCCACTACCGGTCTGCTAAAAACCGACATGTCTTAAACATACTTTTTAATATACTTTAATATCTACAGCTTTACTGTAAATAGTAATTATTTCCGGTTATTTATAGGAGACTAGCTGACGACCTTTTTGGACACCATCTTTGATTCGCAGGTTTACAGGTCGTCATTTACATTTCAAACAGTTGGCCCAAAACCTACATCAAACTACATCAAACTACATCTCTTAGATGAATATATCACAATTTATGGCTGATTTCACTTTCTAGCAGCCACATTGGATTACAAAATGGCGGCCATCTTTTGTATTGTTTTGAGTATAATTCTTCTCTAAACCTTTATGATAGTTTTAAGCATAGCAGTGGGTCTCCTGATCTCTAAGACATATGTTTAATATAGCTAATTACAGCTTTATCGTAAGTAGTAACTCACTTCAGGTTAGTGTTAGGAGACTGGTGGCTATTTTGGATGCCATCTTGGATTTCCAGGTTTCCTGATGACCATAATCCATTGTAAGTGGTATGAATAGACTTTTTGACCCTCAAAACATAGGTATATACACCAAAATCGTATCTCTAAGATGGGTATATCAGGATACTGTTGAATAACCTTTTGAGGCACTTTTTTTTGAGGGGGGGGGGGTGTCAAATCTTTTATCAACCTGACTATAACCCTATAGTGAGGTTCGCAACATGTGTCAGGTGAATTTTTTAGGATGTATGAGTGGCAGGCTCTTGAACTTTTTACAGTTTCCGGTTCCCGATTAAACAGGAAGTCCATCCTGATATTAAGTTGGTTTAAATAAAAGCAGAAAGAAAGAGAGAGAAAAAGTAATGAAAGTTTGAGCAATATCCAATTAAACATAAAAAAGTTATGAATTTTTGAAGTTGTCATCAGTGAAACACAAGTTGGCAACACTGTGACGTATATATGGCTAGGTTATCTCCTATTTTTCTCTGTTAAAAAAAAATGTCTTAAACTTTCATTTTCTTAGTTATTGATGAAGGAATATATCTATCTATATATATATATATTCGTTTCATACAGGGGTTCTTTAAAAACATATTTGCAATACTTACATTTAAGGTGCATGTATAATTGAAATATGTCTGAAGAGAGTATTTTTTCAATATATATATTTTTTAGTACAGAACAAATAGAAGGGGGTCTTCCAAGATACGTCACAAATTTGCCAATTTTTATCTGATTGATCACACCTTCAATAATTCATAACCTTCTTATTTTTAATTATAGCATGCTACTAAAGGTCCTCTAAAAAGAACAGACCCTCCAAATTCATACATTTCAGCCATTTTGCTTCTTCAGAACAAATGGGAAGTTGTCTGGCACTACGTCACAGTGACATTTACAGATTCAGCCAATTCGAAGTGCTCCTAATGTCGTTTCGATTACAAATTGTTTCTAAGCTTCCCCAGAATTCCTTACTTTAAAATCAGAAACTTTCATGTGCCTGAAATATATCTGAAGTGGTTCAGATTAAAAACAAACTTATTTCATGTCACTGAGTCACAACTAGGGTAACAGCAGATCTTTTTATAAATGGAGTGTAGCCTGACGAGACTACGTTTCTTTCCTGTAGCCTGACTCGAGGCCAATTGGTTATAATATGACTACGGATGACGCGAAACCGAAGCGTGAGAGTCTGTTTCGTAAACACTGATAATGTAGAGATTAAGTCGCTGACTACCGTTAATCAAGTCCATTCGTTCATGTGCAGTTGTCCAAAAGAAGACGTAGAGGGCGTTAACCAGTATTTGCCAAGACACACTCCCTTTAAAATATCAAAGGCACTTGCTATGAAAATGATTGTTGATTACTGGTTGTGAATGTTTCACGCTGTAACACATGTATTATTTTACAATAATCAGGCTAAGAATATCCTCTCCATATTTTGCAGCCTTCGAGGGGTGCCTTCGTCATCATCATCATGGCGGTCTACTGGATCCTGGAGATCCTACCCCTGGCCGTCACCTCCCTCCTCCCCGTCGTCCTCTACCCGCTGCTTGGTGTCCAGGACTCTGACGACGTCTGCAGGAACTACCTCAAGGACACCAACTTCCTGTTCGTCGGCGGGCTCATCGTCGCGGTGGCCGTCGAGCACTGGATGGTCCATCGGAGGTTTGCTCTGGGCGTGCTGCTTCTGATGGGTTCCAAGCTAAGATGGTAAGAGTTTTTTTATTCTTTTAGACTTTGATACCGAAGTTTGCATTGAATGTGCTGAAAAGAACCTTTCCAAGAACCTTTCCAATGTCCCCTGAGGATATATATATATTCTATATTTTTGTTTGTGTGTTTTTTGGTACAACCTGAAAGTTTGCTATATCGAGCTAAAGTTACAGTGGTCTCTGTATCACTCTGTGTATACTTGTGACTGGTTTAAAATAAAACTCGGGCCTTTCCCTCACTGTTTTCTCTCCCCCCTTCTCCCCCTCCTTCTTCCCCGCCTTCTTCCCCCTCCTTCCCCCTCCTTCTTCCCCCTCCCCAAATGCTCCTCCCTCTATCTGCCTCTGTCTGTCTATCTCTCTCTCTCTCTCTCTCTCTCTCTCTCACACACACACACACACACTCACTATCTCCCTCTCCCCTCCCTCTCTCTCTTCCTCTCCCTTTCCCTCTCCCTCCCCCTCTTCCTCTCCCTCTCCCTCTTCCTCTCCCTCTCCCTACCCCTCTTCCTCTTCCTCTCCCTCTCCCTACCCCTCTTCCTCTTCCTCTCCCTCCCCCTCTCCCTCTCCCTCTCCCACTCCATCTCCCTTTCTCTTACCCTCCTCCCTCTCCTTCTCCCCCTTTCACTCTCTCTCTCTCTCTCCCCCTCCCCCCTCTCCCCCTCCCCTCCCCTCCCTCTCCCTCCCCCTCCCCTCCCCCTCTTCCTCTTCCTCTCCCTCTCCCTCCCCCTCTTCCTCTTCCTCTCCCTCTCCCTCCCCCTCTTCCTCTTCCTCTCCTCCCTCTCCCTTTCTTTTACCCTCTCTGTATACAGGTTGATGTTTGGGTTTATGTTGGTGACAGCGTTCCTGTCGATGTGGATCAGTAATACAGCTACCACAGCCATGATGGTTCCTATCGCTCAGTCCGTCGTTATGCAACTTTTAGATCAAAGGAAAGCTGTGAGTTTTAATGTCATGTCATCATCTCTTTACGGTACCATTCAAAAGTCAATCAGTATTACAGGCACATACCGGTAGTAGTGATAATAATAAGGATTTATATAGTGCTCTATACAAATTACTGTCTCTATAAAGCACTTTATATGATATCTGCCAAATTATTTACTTAATGAATTTATAACAGCCGAGTTATGAGCAAAGAAAGGTTAATAAATAAAAATAGTCACCCTGATATGAGTATAATAAATTATTAACCCAATGCTTGCTGGAACCAGGTGGTTGCTGTGTTAAGTCTATGGGAATAAGAGAATTCAAGAGACAATAGGTTAACACATGTTTACATATATTGTGAAAATGCAAGTTTTGGTTTTAGTGAGCTTAAAGGTACTACGTCCCATTTGCAGGCCAAAAAAATGAAAAAGTTAAATTCCAACTGCATTTGAAAGATAATACTAATTTAGAACTTCCCTAAAAAAGGTGGGGCTTGAAAATGTCTTCAAGTGGGAAAATAACGACTATTAGTTGTCAAAACGACTTTAGGGCTATAGAGCCCAAAAGTAATAGTCTTGATTTTCAGACAATTGTACCGAAAGGTCATACGTTTTATGCTGCGCAAAGATTCAATCAGTTTAATCTTGGCCGTCACAAGAAGTGGGTTATTGATGTAGACAAATGCTCATGTACCCTTTACAACTATTTTCATGTATGTTATTACCAAAGAAGAAAAAAAGCCAGTCAGTCACTCAATAGTGTCTGACAGTGAAGTCTAGCAAGTAAACGGGTTTCCTTGCATAATTTGAATATGAGGACACTGTTAACGTTTAAATTTCACAGATAGGACATAAATGACATATTCATAATTCCTGCAAAGTTCTACAGAATTTGAGGTTGGCTGCAAAAGGGACATAGTACCTTTAACATTGCTCATTTGTAAATATTTCACAGGTCCGAACAATTTACTTTCATCACTTTAGCCAGTTTCTCATGAAAAAATGATTCAATTCAGTAGATCTGGAAATCTGCAAGTGAAAATATACATATATTGAAAGCTGCTTTAGTGACCACATGTACATAGAAAGATCACTTGTTTATAAAAACCACATTTTCTGCTCAGTTCCCTTCACTATTGTTTGTAATTGAAACATATGCAAAAGGAGCCTGAACTTAAAGACCACCCATCTATAAAGACCACAATTTTTGTTTCCCTTGAATATTGTTTGTCATCGAAATGCGTTCAAAAGGAGTCTGCACAGAAAGACCTGGGACCTGTTGCATAAAACTTACCACGGCATTGATGGTAACTTTGCCATCAATGGCAACTACCATGGTAACAGGGCTCAACAGCCAATCAAAAACAAGGTTTCCATGGTAGTTACCATTGATGGCAAAGTTACCATCAATGGTAAGTTTTGTGCAATGGGCCCCAACTATCTATAAAAACTGCTTTTCTGGTCTTTTAATACAGGTTTCACTATACTTTTTATCTTCTTGTTCAATAGCAAAAGAAGAAAAGGGAGGCCCAAACTGAAGCAACTGTGAACCTTGAGGAACCCACGAAAGAGATTGGAGTGAATGTTGATGAGACTGCATTCAATGGTCACATCAACACTGCTATGGATACGAGTGGCGAAGAGGATGGCAAGATGCAGCTGAATGAAATGTGAGTGAGCTTCTGCCTTCATCTGATCTTGGGCTTCTTGCAACCACCTCATCTTTTAACCAATCAGATTCCTTTATTTGGGACTTGCATTTGACCCAATGTACTGTCATTTCATCAATGTACTGTCATTTCAACTACAGGTTGGGTAACATTTTTTGCAGGATCATTAACCAGGAAATTTTCAAAATATGTGGAAAATATTTGTTAAAACTGTTCTTTCAGAAAAATAATTTGACATATAAATGTGTGTAAGGAGTTAAAGCCCCGGAGAAAACAGTGGAAATAAATCACCATCCTCGATACCATTCTATGAATTTCATCCCTAACCAGTTACGTGCAATCAATAGATGTAATTGCAGAGGCTGAAGATGTGGAAAATATTTGTTAAAACTGTTCTTTCAAAAATATAATGTGACATATATACATATGCGTAAGTAGTTAAAACCTGAAGAAAACTGGAAAAAAAAATCACCATCCTCAATACTATTCTATGAATTTTATCCCTACCCAGTGATGTACAATCAATAGATGTAAACGCAGAGGCTGAAGATGTGGAATTTTTTTTTTAGAACTGTTCTTTCAAAAATATAATGTGACATATATATGCGTACGGAGTTTAAACCTGAAGAAAACAGTGGAAAAAAAATCCCCATCCTCAAACCAATTCTATGAATTTCATCCCCACCCAGTGACGTGCAATCAATAGATGTAAATACAGAGGCTGAAGATGTGGAGAATATTTGTTAGAATTGTTCTTTCAAAAATATAATGTGACATATATACATATGCGTCAGGAGGTAACACCTGAAGAAAACAGTGGAACAAAAATCACCATCCTCAATACCATTCTATGAATTTCATCCCCACCCAGTGACGTGCAATCAATAGATGTAAATACAGAGGCTGAAGATGTGGAAAATATTTGTTAAAACTGTTCTTTCAAAAATATAATGTGACATATATACATATGCGTATGTAGTTAAAACCTGAAGAAAACTGGAAAAAAAAATCACCATCCTCAATACCATTCTATGAATTTCATCCCTACCCAGTGACGTGCAATCAATAGATGTAAATACAGAGGCTGAAGATGTGGAGAATATTTGTTAGAATTGTTCTTTCAAAAATATAATGTGACATATATACATATGCGTAAGGAGGTAACACCTGAAGAAAACAGTGGAACAAAAATCACCATCCTCAATACCATTCTATGAATTTCATCCCCACCCAGTGACGTGCAATCAGTAGATGTAAATACAGAGGCTGAAGGTGTGGACTTCACAGAGGAGCCAAGCGATCAGGTCGACTACGACGCCATGAGCAATGAGGAGAGAAAGCTGTGTAAAGGGTTGCTGCTCTGCGTGGCCTACGCTGCCAACATCGGGGGCACCGCTACCCTGACAGGAACGGGACCTAACGTGGTACTCAGCGGAGTGGTGGACGAGTGAGTATATATGGGGCAAATCCAGATTTTTGTTAAAAGGGGAGGGGTAGGGGGGGTGTTCAATTAAAAAACATTATGACAAGCAAAAAATGAAAAATTATTGGATGCATTTTGAGGTTGCATAATTGAAATTATGGTCAAAATATGTTTGGGGTCACAGTATTTGTGCTTTATATTCAAGGTATTAAAGCAACATTGGTTTTAAAAGGGGTTAAGGTTGTACCCCTCCCCTACCATCCACCAGTGATTACATACAACTATATGATGAGGAAGCTGTTTGTCTTTTCATCAAAATTTTAGCAAGAACAGCATAATATTTAAATAATTTTGTGACATTGTAAAGACAAACATGCCTACCCTGTGTACACTGTCTGTGCAATCAGAAGTACTCTAAAGAACATTTTCTACCTATGTCTGTATTTGTTTTGCATCAGTAGTATATGTCTTACTGTCAAGAAAAAGATTAATACTTGATGGGGCGGCATGCATGGAGCCGTCAGATTGGCCTCCCCTTGAAAGAATTTATTGTATGAATTACAAATAAATCTTAGTTTACTAACGTACAATTAACAACTAAATTATTCATACCCTTACCAAGTTTTCTATTTTTGTAAGTACCGTACGTGAAAAATTGATTTGTGCCGATTACTGTTTCTTGAGAACGTGACATATTAAAAGCTTACATCTAAAAAAATTCACCCAAGGCCTGATTTATCCAGTCCACTTTTCATTCTTAAGTTACTAAAAGCACACACACAAAGAAAATTAAATTTACAAGGGGTATAAATAATTTAATTGGTACATGTACCTGTGTGTATCATCTGAATTGGTAGTGACTGTTCATCACATCACGTAACAAAGAGCAAAATCAAAGGTCGGGAGAACAAAGGGTTTACACCCCTTGTGTCCTCTCCTTTATCAATATTTGTCAACATCGTAAAGGAACAGGAGACCTTAAAGTGTCATTGGAGCTCCTATTGTGCTACCATGTCAAACTACAGTCGTAACTTGATGTGATGTGAACTGTCGAGATTTTACTGCATTGTAAATGAGAGGAAGACGTCATTACCCTTTCTATTCTAATTAATGCACAAAGTCAATGGGAATATGTCAGTAATTGTTTTAGGACTGAAACAACATTCTGTAAGAGCTTTTGGCCCACATTCATTGCTGGTACATGAGGGTTTTAATTGACAACACTTTTTGAAAAGGCTGCTGCACAGTCATTTATGGCAGTGATATCATTCAAAGTCATACAGGTTATAACTGGCAAATCTGGCAAAGTTGGGTGTACTTTTCTGTATGCACTGTATAATAGTAAAATCTTTTCTTTTGTGTCCAAATCTTTTTTTTTCTTTGCCACTTCATCTCTTCCTTTCTTTTTCTCCATCTCTTCCTTTTTCCTCTCCAACCTCTTTCCACCTGTCCTGTCTTTACACTCCTCTCCCCCTTTCTCTCCCATTTCCATTTCTCTTTTCCCCTCTCTCTGTATCTCTTTCATCCTTTCTCTTCCCTCACTATCCTCTGTCTCTTTTCTCTCTCCCTCCATTTCTTGTTCTGTCTCTCCCTCTCCATCTTCTTACATCTCTCTCTCTCTCTCTCTCTCTCTCTCTCTTTCCCTACCTCTTTGCTATCTCTCTCTGTTCTTTCCTCCTCTCCTATCTCTCTCTCTCTATATATATATATCTCTCTCTCTCTATATCTCTCTTTCCCCTCCCTCTAACTCTCTCTATTCCTTCCTCTTCCCTCTCTTCCTCTCTCACTCTTCATATATACGCCACTGTGTGGGTCTTTCTCCTCTTAATACCTTTGCCATGGTCTTTTGTTTTTGTAGGTTGTATGGAGACGAAGCCGGCGTAACATTCGCCAGCTGGATGCTGTTTTCTATTCCTGGTACCATAATTAACCTCGTACTGTGCTGGTTGTGGCTTCAAGTCATCTTCATTGGATTTAGGTAAGGTTGGATGCAATGATCATAGTGGTGATTAAAATGATGATGATGATGATGGTGATGGTGGTGGTGGTGGTGGTGGCGGCAGCAGTGATGATGATGATGATGATGATGGTGGTGGTGGTGATGGTGGTGGTGGTTGTGGTGGTGATGGTGGTGACGGTGGTGGTGGTGGTGGTGATTAAAATGATGATGATGATGATGATGGTGGTGGTGGTGGTGGTGGTGGTGGTGGTGGTGATGATGATGATGATGATGATGATGATGATGATGGTGGTGGTGGTGATGGTGGTGGTGGTTGTGGTGGTGATGGTGGTGATGGTGACGGTGGTGGTGGTGGTGATTAAATAATGATGATGATGATGATGGTGGTGGTGGTGGTGGTGGTGGTGGTGGTGGTGATGATGATGATGATGATGATGATGATGATGGTGGTGGTGCTGGTGGTGGTGATGGTGACGGTGATGATGGTGATGATGATGGTGATGATGATGATGGTGATGGTGATGGTGGTGGTGGTGGTGGTGAGGGTGATGATGGTGATGATGATGATGATGAAAATGATGATAGTGGTGGTGGTGGTGGTGGTGGTGGAGGAGATGATGATGATGATAATGATGATGATGATGATGTTGATGATGATGATGATGATGATGATGGTGATGATCATGATGATGATAAAGATGATGATGATGATGATGATGATGATAGTGTTGGTGATGATGGTTTTGGTGATAGTGAATGGAAATAAGGAAGAAAAATAAAGAGAAGAAGAAGAGGGAAGAGGAGGAGGAGGAAGGGGAGGAGAAGAACAAGAAAAAGAAGATGTTTGAGAAGGAGAAGGAGGAGAGGGGGAAGGAGAAGGAGACTAGTAGTGATGATAGGGATGATGGTGATATTAATCTTAGTTTTTAGAGGGGATACCAGTACCATAACACCTTTCATCCTACTTTTATTTCAGACGGGAAACTGGTACTACCGATGAACAGACCGATGAGGAGGAGAAGTCTGCTAGGGAGGTAATCAAGCGGGAGTATCGAAAACTTGGAGCATGGACGTAAGTACTTAAAGCCCATCTGTACTAGTTTGGCCAGGGGGGATTAGACCTCCCTGCAAGGTTACTGACAGGTGGTTATCTCCTCAAACCAGCTCTCAATTATCATAAGAAAAAGAGGATCATGGGGGACCAACAGGCACCGATTGGGCATTGTTTGCTATATAGAGGGCGCAAGTAGCTATAAGTTGTGCATTTGGGATTTAACTCCCACCACAATTTCTAAAAGATAACCTTCCATATACATATATATTAAAACCTACATGTACATGGACTGGTACATCATGTTTGCAAAGACTTTCAAGCAAACAAGCAGGGGGCGTTTTTAATAGGCTAATGCTCTCGTATTGAAATGTGCAAAGATTGCAGTTACATATAGCTGTATCGTATAATCAAAATACACTATTTATAGACAATATGCCACAATAATTATTCAAATTGCCCTCAGATTTATTGCTTGAAAATCTCTGTGATTTGTGTTTGTTGGTGTACCTTATAATTATGACAAGACAACTGCTGGTTCTACTGGTCACAATTAATAGCTGTGTTTCGTATCACTAGGTGTAATGTAAAAGTCATTTTGTTTTGTTCTACCGATAATGATTTTGATGTTTGGTCTCTCATGTTGCTATACAAGTACTCAACTCGTTAGGATGTGATGATATTGATGTTAATAATGATTGATTGGTTGATGATGATGAGGAGGAGGAGGATGAGAATGGTGGTGATGATGATGGTGATGATGATGGTGATGATGATGATGGTGATGATGGTGGTGATGATGGTGATGATGATGGTGATGATGATGTTGTTGATGATGATGGTGATGATGGTGAGATGATAATGATGGTGATGATGATGATGGTGATGATGATGGTGATGATGGTGATGATGATGGTGATGGTGATGATGGTGATGATGATGATGATGCTGATGGTGATGATGGTGATGATGATGATGATGATGATGATGATAGTGAATGATGATAATGTTGGTGATGATAATGAATGATGATGATGATGATGACGATGATGATGATGATGATGATGGTGATAATAATGATGATATTGAATGATGATGATGATGATGATGATGATGACAATGATGACGATGATGATGATGATGATGATGATGATGATGCTGACGACGACGACGACGACGATGATGGTGATAATGACGATGATGATTTTGATAGTGATGATGACGATAATGATGTTGATGATAATAATGACTTATAATACTGATAATTCATCCTGTCCATTGATTATATCTTCTAGGTGGGGTCAGATTGCAGTGGTGTGTCACTTCATTGTCTTGGCCATGCTCTGGATATTTAGAAACCCAACATTTATTCCTGGATTCGCTGGCTGGGCCGGCCTCTTCCCAGTTCCAGGGTACGTAACTGTCTTTATTTCTCAGTATTTTTCTTTTATGTACAATTAGTAATAAATCCTGCTCTAATTGTGCAATTATGTATGTCCTGTTGCTCGTAGTATTTTCCTGCTTCTCTTTTTTATAGCCATTTTTTAGAAGTCAGTAGATTTTATTATACTTATTTATGTTTATATTTTTCTCAGTTCTTTAGTTAGTTTGTAAGCACTTTAATGTATGCAGTATTCTTATCTGAAGAGTTTGTTCATTTAGGACATACTCATAAGCTACTCATGAGGGACCTTAATTCCGCAAGCCTTGCTTTCAACCAAGGTCACCTCATCTTTCTGTTGTATATAACGCCATGTTCTGTCAACTTGTTATATTCATGTCACATTTGTAATGTGTGTTATGAAAGAAAGACAAATAAAACTTGAACTTAAAGGGGAAGTCCACCCTGAAATTAAGTTAGTTTTAATAGGAGTAGAAAAATGAGAGAAACAAGTCAGTGAAAGTTTGAGCAAATTCCGATTAAAAATAAGGAAGTTAGGATTTTTGAAGTTGTGATCAATCAAACACAAATTGGCAACTCTATGACGTATCATGCGAGCTCAACTTCCATTTGCTCAGTACTAAAAAAATCTAAAATTTTCATTTTCCCTCAAGAAAAATTTCAACCATACATGCACCCTAAATATAATAATTGCAAATATGTTTCTATACTCCCCCTGCAAGGAACAAATATATATTCCGTCATCAATAACGAAGAAAACATGATTTTATGGAATATTATGCACAGCGCAAATGAAGGAGAGCTCGTATAATAAGTCACAGAGTTGCCAATTTGTATTTGATTGATCACAACTTCAATAATTCATAACTTTCTTTTCATTCAGAATTTGCTCAAACTTTCACTCACCTGATTTTCTTATTATTCTGCCTCTATCGAAACAAACTTATTTTGGGGGTGGACTTTCCCTTTAAACTTGAACTTGTTATGACATGCACACATCTGTGTTCAAAGTCCAATTCACGGAGCTCAAAACAGTTCCCTCCATCATTTTATTGTAGCTTACTGCCAATACCAGACATCCCAATTGTAGTGTAGTATAAGCTATGCTGTGGGGGTATTAATCAGAGAAAACAGTTTGAGAAGATGAACTTGACCCTGAATATTAGTCACACATGATGGTCTCTTTTATTAAAGATAAACTTTAGTACTGGTAATGCGATTGCATTGTGAAAGGATCAGAAACGGTTGATCATGTAGCATGTAAGTATTGGTGTGCACTGCAAGGTTCTGGAGTCATCAAAATCATAATAAATTTGACCGAGTCTTGGTAAAGTAACAAGCACTCCCATAGAAAGCTATATATGGGACAACACACATGGTGTCGGGGTACTACCTTGATTTCCTTGTCTTTCTATGCTCATTACTCAGCCAGTATACATTTTCTTCCAAAATTGTTTGGCACATGTCATTTATTTGTAATCTTGAACATTCAGTGTAAGTTTCGTTTGATTCTGTGAGAATTATTATTTTTTTTTTACCGGTACTGGAGTTTATCTTTAAAAATAGTGGAAGGAGTATAGGGGCAGGAGTCAAAGTTATAATAGGGCAAGAGTCAATATTATTATAAAATATCGGATCAAAGTTCCAGGTCTTCATTCAATATACCTATACAAGGTTGATTGTATAGATGCAAAGCCAAAGGTCAAGTATAGTTTGAAAAGCATCCTATTGTACCTGACATGTCCACTATGAAACCTTAAACCTCCATACTGGTAATATACATTGTACATGTACCTGTATATTATGCAGGGGTCCAGAAGAAAAACATTTAAAATTGAAAATTTAGAAGGAGTATGAGGTGATGTGCATGAAGTGTAAATCTCCTGTTGTCTGAGTCCAGGGTTAACTTACTGGCTCTAGTGTTTTCATACAGGTCAAGTGTAGTTTGAAAAGCATCCTATTGTACCTGACATGTCCACTATGAAACCTTAAACCTCCATACTGGTAATATACATTGTACATGTACCTGTATATTATGCAGGGGTCCAGAAGAAAAACATTTAAAATTGAAAATTTAGAAGGAGTATGAGGTGATGTGCATGAAGTGTAAATCTCCTATTGTCTGAATCCAGGGTTAACTTACTGGCTCTAGTGTTTTCATACAGGTTAAGTGTAGTTTGAAAAGCATCCTATTGTACCTGACATGTCCACTATGAAACCTTAAACCTCCATACTGGTAATATACATTGTACATGTACCTGTATATTATGCAGGGGTCCAGAAGAAAAACATTTAAAATTGAAAATTTAGAAGGAGTATGAGGTGATGTGCATGAAGTGTAAATCTCCTGTTGTCTGAGTCCAGGGTTAACTTACTGGCTCTAGTGTTTTCATACAGGTCAAGTGTAGTTTGAAAAGCATCCTATTGTACCTGACATGTCCACTATGAAACCTTAAACCTCCATACTGGTAATATACATTGTACATGTACCTGTATATTATGCAGGGGTCCAGAAGAAAAACATTTAAAATTGAAAATTTAGAAGGAGTATGAGGTGATGTGCATGAAGTGTAAATCTCCTGTTGTCTGAGTCCAGGGTTAACTTACTGGCTCTAGTGTTTTCATACAGTATTCTCTCTGTTGCAAACTGATTCATATTCAATAAGTTTTGGAGCAATTTAAAACAAATTCTATGACTATTTTCAGAAAAGATTTTGGTTGAAAGTGAATTTTTAAGTTGTCACTGATTTTCAAAACCTGTAACCAGCTGATTTTACAAGTCCTAATTAAAAAATTCAAAATTGTCTCGCTGTTACATGTTAAAACCCTATTTGGACCACTCCTATGCATTAAGCCTTCCGGATGCGTTTTTTCATGCCCTTCCATTTCCCTAAGCTACCTAAGTCTTTTATAAATAAAACAAGGACACTTCGCATCTTTAATCCATAGAATCTCAATTGAAGTGAAGATAATATGACAAATTCTTTTTTTGGGTGCTCTTTTGATAGATATCTCTCTGATGCTACTGCAGCTATTTTCATCTCCATCTGTCTCTTTATTTTCCCGGCCTATCCTCCATGGTTCATGAGGATCTTCAAGAGGTTTAGACAAGAAGATGGTATGTTTAATACAGTTGTACATCAAATGTTCCAGCCTCAATATCCTGGGGGGGGGGGGGGGGGGGGGTGTTTCATGAAGCTGTGCGTAAAGTTACGAATGACTTTACAAATGGTTTGAATATGAAGAGCCAAATGGGATACCCAAAGTTTTCCCTGACATTTTAACAAAGTGTGACTGTATTTCCGATAATCTCTATTGAATTGTAGCCAAAAATACACTTTGTATTAAAATGTTTTGTTAATATTGATGAGGTTAATCTACATCTGCATATTACAACTTTAGCTTATGCAATTAACAGGATTTGAGAATCCCATTTAGCTCTTCATATTTAAGTCATTTGTAAAGTCATGGGTAGCTTTACGCATAGCTTTATGACCCCCCCCCCCCCCCCCCCCCCCCGGAGTAACAGAACGCTTAGCTTAAAGTTTAACCGTTGACCAAACACTTTACCTAACCTTAACCCTAACATAAACCCATTTGCAACCCGGACCCTGATGCTTTATCCATGATGAAATAAAGCCCAGAGCAATTGAGGCAGAAGCATTTGTCAGAAGCATATGCCAGATACTGCATGTTATATATTTAGGAAATACTATGTGATATTATGGTATCATAGGGTGGATTCAATTGTTTTATTCAGCTTGCTTATTATTTCAACTTCTAAAGCAAAACTTTTTAATCAAAGTGATATTTCAGAATGAGTTTAAATTTTGTACTGCCAAAATCAGGGCAAATATAATGACCTTGTTCAGAGTATAATAAGGAAAAGTGACCATGAGAACTAGAAAAAAAGACTTATAATGTGTAAGATATCAAAAGAACATCATAAAAACAAATGAGACTACCAGTATTACAGTAATCATATATTTTGGAATCGTCTCTTTAAGAATACATTTCAATATGATTCCTGGAAATTATTAAACTTGAATCAATCTGAATTTCATCAAAATCGTACCGTTTCCTATAGTCTGTTTCAATTTGTGAGCATGTGATATTATGTTCTCAATACTAGTGGATCCCTCTATATCTGGAGCAATGAGCAAAGTTTGGGGAATCCCTCTGAATTTTGGAGGGCCATCTGTAAGTGTAGATTCCCAGTACCCTTTGCATTTCTGCTGGTAATGTTCAGCCTCATAAAGAACACTAAAGAATGACCGCTCTAAAAACATTATTATCATTTAGTCGTCAAGTTGTCATGTTGTCAAGAACTAGTGAATCCTTCTATATCTGGTTTACACCCCTGTCTATAATTATTATTATTACTCTTTTATGTAATTGTAGATAAGAAGCCTAAAACTCGGGATGCGCTCCTCGACTGGAAGACGACTCAGAGGATGTTGCCATGGAATGTCATCCTCCTGCTTGGAGGAGGGTTTGCACTAGCTGATGGCACAGAGGTAAGACCATGGAGGTGTTTCACAAAGACTAAGATCAACTTTAAGTTGGACTTATCTATGGCACGCCATTCATGCCACTGGTTGCTCTTACCATTGATCTCTCGATTATGAACTTCAGATAATATTTTTTCCTTCAATAAGTTCTGTAGATTTGTGACCATGATTTGTACATCCTTTGAGAGACAAATGCCAGTAAATGGTGAGAGCAAACAGTGGCATGAGCGGCCTGCCATAGCTAAGTTCAATCTTAGTCGATCAAAGTCGATCTTAGTCTTCGTGAAACACCCCCTATATCGGGCTAGTATCCACCTTTAATAGAATGACCCCCTGTCTATAAAGACCATCTTCTTTGTTTCCTTTGAAAAGGTTTTCTTTTGGAAGCTTGCTCTAAAGCAAGCAGTCTGTTACGACCCCTTGCCTAGGAAGCCCATCATTTTGTGTATGCTTTGAACATTATATTCTATGGAAACCTTACATACTATACCTGTTTGCAATGACCATCTTTTATGTTTTCTTTGAAAATTGTTTCCCATTAAAGCCTGTACTAGCAGCATGTCTGTATAGACAGATTTTCTAGTCTCAACTGACCAGTAGTTCTATCCAGCTTTCACTGTATTACCAAATAGCCTTATTACCTACAAGTACTGATGGCTCCTGTATTAAAGGAGAAGTACTCTGTGATAGTAAGTTAGTTTTAATAGGAGCAGAAAAATGAGAAAAATAGGTCAGTGAAAATGCTTATGGGATTGATTTTTATGTTACAAGGCCTAGATCAGACAAATATCTTGGATTTGCACCTTTTCTATGTATTTACTGGTAATGTTTTATCTTATAGGCCTCGGGTCTCTCTCAATGGTTAGCGGACCAATTCAAGGTGTTAGAGTTCTTGCCTCCGTGGGTCTTTGTCCTAATCATCACCGTCATCATCTGCTTCTTCACCGAGTTCACCAGTAACGTTGCCACGGCAACGATCTTCCTCCCCATTCTTGCTGCTTTGGTAAGTATTAAGACATCCTTGTGGAATTAGATTGCCAGCTTATCTGGATTTACGTATTTTCGTCCATTTTCAGGCAAATTTTAAAATGACCGTACTTTTAAAGATGTCAATGGAAACTTCCTCCTGTGGTTCTTTTTAGGTACTAAAACACATTGTTATACAACTCACATTAAGATTACCCCTCGAATAGGACGTTAAATGGAAGCCCCATGTAGAGGAGAGTCACTATCTTTGCACGTTAAGAACCCACAGCACTATTTGTATAAGAGTAGGGGGAAACCCCGGTGTAGTGGTTCACCTGCACACCCCAGTATAGTAAGACAATATAAAAGAGGGATGTACTCCAATGGAAGAATAAATACAATCATTCATAACATGTGAATGAAATAATTTGTAACAAGGCACTTCTCAAAGGTTTGTGCATTAAATTGATTACATTACGAAAATAAAGCTGGTCTGCACTAGTTTGGCCAGGGGGATCATGGGGGACCAACAGGCACCGATTAGGCATTGTTTGCTATATAGAGGGCGCAAGTAGCTATAAGTAGTGCAGTGGGGCTTTAAACAAGAACTAATACCAATCCTTGTCCATCCCTTTGTATTGTACAGGCTGAAAGTATATGCATCAACCCCCTATATATCATGTTGCCTGCCACCATCTCCTGTTCCTATGCATTCATGTTGCCCGTGGCCACGCCCCCGAACGCCATCGCTTTCGCCTACGGCTCCCTCACTGTTCCGGACATGGTAAGTTTCAGGATATTTATCGGACAGTTTAGCTAGTTCACAGAGTTGTAAAAAAAATTAAACATTGTTGCAATTCTTTTAAAAACTGTTTTTGCAGCATTTTCTTATTTAAAGCCCATCAATACTAGTGAGAAGGGGGGATTAGACTCCCCTGCAAGGTCACTGGACAGGTGGTTATCTCATCAACTCAGCTCTCAATTAACATCAGAAAAAGAGGATCATGGGGGACCAATGGTCACCAATTATGCATCGTTTGTTATATAGAAGGAGCAAGTAGCTATAAGTAGTGCAGTGTGGCTTTAATGACACTGGGCTGCAAAAGATGTTTTGGCATTGTATGACCTTGATTTCAAAGTCTACTTACAAATATAAAGCGATATTCATACAAATAATAGAAATAGTACTTCAAACATGACATGAGACTTAATCCAATTAAATATTTACACTTCAGTCTTAATTACAATGTGCTATGATCTGCTTGAAACTGCAATGTACATGCTATCTAGCTGTATCTTTTGAGCTGATATCGATCTCAAGAGGCAATTTTTTTTTCATCCCCTTCACACATAATGTACATGTAGCCCACACTCCTCTCTGTGGTAATATTAATTTACTGATAATTCATTGATCGATTATAAAGTCGTGTTTGAAGTATATTATTATAACTGATTTACTGATAATTTCATTCATTGTAATTATTTGAACATTAGGGCGTGTACAGGAAAGATCAAAGCACCATAATATTTTCTTTGTACATGCATAGCAACATTTTTTTCGCAAAAGCAAATATCATTGTTAGTGTGATAATGAAGCACTCGGTGTCAGACATTAGAGCAAACAAACTCTCCAACTATGTGCTTGACTTATCTCATTATGATAACAAATGGAACCTGATAGCAAACAAGATGAGACAGGAGGATGTTGCCATCTATTCTTTGTTTTTGTAGCTCGAGTACAGAGTGCAAGCAGTAGGCATAATAGACATTCCGTGTGGAATCCCTTAAAGGGATCGTTTAACAATGTTAAATCTGAGATACACGGCCCTACGTGTTATCAGTGTCTGTGATATGGTGTAATATTGAAGCCCTACAAAAATTGCGCTTCAAAATGATCAAGAAGTGCCTCAAAAAAGTAAAAATCTTTGAGTGACCGGTTTTACCATACTCATTTTCCCCAATAGACTGTTGTGTTATGAAAACCGTCAGCCGAACGGTTTTCAAAATTTGTAATTCCAATCATAAATATCTTGATAATCAGACAGGTGATCGGCATGTAAAAGTCATGGGTATCCTGACTGACCTAAAGGTTTATAATTATCATTGCATCATGAGCTAAATCCAGAATTTTGTTTCAGAATCTGAGACAAAGTTACCGGATCCCTTTAAAGGAGAACTCCTTAGTTAATTACCTGTAATAAAAATTGAAATCAGAGAAAAAAATCTGAAAAAAAAAAGAAATTTGAAGAATATCAAACTATTAATCTCATGGAGACATAGGCAACTTGACCACGAGCTTATCGATGTAATTCCCTGACTATCTTTTACATATTTTGAAAGTGTAAATTTCCTCATTTGTCCCTAATTTGAGGGCCCATCGATGATGTTGTCTTGCCTATATTTGTTTTCATTTTTTATGTTCTGTCTTTTATCATCCACCCTCAGATGAGAGCTGGCTCCATGATGAACGTCCTCGGCATCATCGTGGTCAACGTCCTCATCAGCTCCATGGGCATCGTGGTCTTTGACGTCTTCAACTACCCCACCTGGGCTGGCAACCAGGCCGTCTGTCTACCCAACAATACCATGACTACGACCTTTCCTGGACTCGTCACACCAAACGGAACTTGCGTATGCTAAAGGTTGTTGAAACGGTGACCCGAGATTTCCTCCTGGGACGATTTCTCTTCTTTGTCAAAGGTATAGGGTTAGGGTTAGGTTTACAATTGGGTGTTGGGTTAGGTTTAGGGTAAGGGTTAGGTAGGGTGTTTGGTCCAGGGTTGAAGTTAAGAATTAGGTTGGTGTTGGAAATTGAAATTGTTAGTGTTGGAAATTTTTAGTGTTGGAAATTGTTGCAGGAGCACAAGCATCGTACAACAGCCCACCAGCCTTGCTCTATACACGACGCACCAAACGGCACCTGTGTATCCTGAAGATCATCCATGTCTATCAAACAGTGACGTGCTGATCGTCAAACAGAACTGGCGTAACTTCTTAAGATCATCTTCGAAACAGTGACTTGCCTTCATATCTTACCCAGGAGTCTGAGGAAAAAGGTGTCTTTGAGCATTGACGTGGAAGGGGCAAGTTTACTACGTTTCTTAGCACGTGCAATGGAAATGCAGGGATACTACACAACTTTTATTTTTAAACACATTGTAATAGATTTAGCATGAAGTATTTGTACAATCCCATTACAAATTTTCTAGGAATACTACCAGGGACAGTTGATTACATAGCAAGTGCAATTAATGTGGTCTACCGAATCGAGTGATTTTGTAGCGAATGTGAATAATCATGTATAATTGGTCGACATTCCTTGTGATTTTGATGCTTCCAATCGGTGCTCCGTGTGACATTTCTATGCCAAATTGCAATTTTATCAGAATCATAATCAAATGAATGGTGGATACTGTGGATATAATTTTTGTTTGATTATTATTATCTTTTAATATCAAATGCAAAACTATGCTAATGCATTTTGGCCAACAACATGCAACTATGACAAGAATTTCCACACAAGGTTTCGCCATTAAAGACAGGAGCGGAGGGAGGGGGTTGCCTCTCCAATATTTTTCATTTGCTTGGCCATGTAAAATGTTTCACTTATTATTCTGAATGTGCATTTGGGTATACCCCTCCTTTTCACCATTCTGAAGAGGGATATATTTGTAGAAAAGGATCCTTGATTTCGTCTTTACTTTCAATATGTTGAAAATTTTCTTAGGGTGGTATTCTCGAAAGTGGATTAACTTTAATAGTCCATGGTTTAATCCTCGGACTAAGTATGGAATACCAAGTGTCCATATGAATATATTTTTGAATAATTTGATATGTCTCTAATTTACCATGATAACATAATTATTTCATAGTTATATTGTTGTTTATTAACTATGTTATTATTTAGTGACAGATTAAATTATTAAAAAACATATTCATATGGACACTGGGCATTTCATACTTAGTCGGAGAATTGAACCATGGAATAAAGTTAGTACGCTTTTGAGAATACCACCCTTAGAATTCAAGGGACGGTGGTGCTGAAGGTTGGTTGTGAGAATGTATAAGGAGGTGGATTGCCCTCAATTTGTTCTAAATACCTAATATGATCCATACCTATGAGAATTTGCAAACTCTCAATGGAGTGAAACTTTTACTGTATACAATGCAAAGCACAGCTCTTTCATACATCATTTTACTTCATGTCATTCAAATAGATATTTTACTTTTTTATCATTTTTTATATTTTTTCTTGTATTGTAAATATTCCTTTAAAGGGAAAGTCCACCCCAAAAATAAGTTTGTTTCGATAGAGGCAGAATAATAAGAAAATCAGGTGAGTGAAAGTTCGAGCAAATTCTGAATGAAAATAAGAAAGTTATGAATTATTGAAGTTGTGATCATTCAAACACAAATTGGCAACTCTATGACGTATCATGCGAGCTCAAATTCCATTTGCTCAGTACTAAAAAAATCTAAAATTTTCATTTTCCCTCAAGAAAAATTTCAACCATACATGCACCCTAAATATAATAATTGCAAATATGTTTCTATACTCCCCCTGCAAGGAACAAATATATATTCCGTCATCAATAACGAAGAAAACATGATTTTATGGAATATTATGCACAAAGCAAATGAAGGAGAGCTCGTATAATAAGTCACAGAGTTGCCAATTTGTATTTGATTGATCACAACTTCAATAATTCATAACTTTCTTATTTTCATTCAGAATTTGCTCAAACTTTCACTCACCTGATTTTCTTATTATCCTGCCTCTATCAAAACAAACTTATTTTGGGGGTGGACTTTCCCTTTAACAGAGAAGATCATGCATACTTATATCTAATATTTATATATTGATTACATAAATTTTATGCTTTAAAATTTGCAATATATGCAATTAACTTATATACTGTATGCAGACTACTGTTAGATTGGGATAAAATGTGAATACTGGTAATATTTGGTATCAGTGTCGAAAAACTTTGTTGAGATTTTCCATAGTATTAAAGATATTTTTTATTGTTTATTTGTTGTTGATTTGGGGATTTAAAATTTTTTTTTTCTTCAATTTTGCAGCGCTCTGTTGGAGCTTCCCACCACTCTCATGTTTTCCATTTAAACTGTTATTTTTATATTCAGACAGATAGAGAGAACTTCAGTTCTCCTGTCAAATTATACTCGAGTTATAAAGGAAATAGGCCATTTTTGTAATGTAACCAAATAGAATGCATGATCCGTCTTTGTCAAGTACATTGTACATACGTGCATGTGGAGTCAGAATGAAAATTGCATACATTAGATGTTGCTAGACAGGACAAACATGGTGGCTTGCATTACCCAACAACACATATAGGTTATAGTTTGTACCGAGGCACTTCACAAAGACAAATTCATTCAATTTGGTTAACGTACATTAGGAAAATGGCCTATTCAGTCTCTTATCAAAGATTTTAAAGACCAAAGTATAAGATGTATATTTTGATTCTATTTATCAGTTTACAGTTGTCTTCCTCAGAGTGAATGTAATTTTGTGGGCTACTCTTAAAAATGGAGCATTTCATGTATATCTTTCTTCACCTTTACAAACTAACAGAAATAATTTTACTTATTCTTGTATGTGTAAAATGTATGTGATAAGAATCGGCATTACATTTACACGTACAGTGCATCCCAGAAAATCAAAACCGAGAATTACTGATGTTTTATCATAACTTAATCACAATTGTAATTAATAAACGACACATATTTGTAAAGCTTAGATTGTCTTCTTTCATTTTTCCTGATTGAAGTGTAATATGAAAGGACAGAGAATGAACTTTCTGGAAATAAGATTTTCTCTTTAAAATGACTTTTTGGTACCCTTTCTTCAATTTTTTTTAATCACTCATGCGTGAAATATGCATCATATGATTTGCATCAAATTAAAGAGGAGGATCTAAGCTTCACAAATATGTGTCATTTATTCATTATAATTGTGATTAGGTTATGATAAAACATCGATAATTCTTTGTTTTGTTTTTTCTTGGATGCACTGTATATTGTTTAATTTATCAAATTGAACCTCATACTGTGTGTAAAAAATATATCAATGTCTTCCATTCAATAAATAAATGCAATATATCAATGCATATATTTTATAAAATAAAGGAGTTTTAATTTTGCCCTTATTTGCTCGCTGTGAATGAACAGTTCACATTTCATAACTATCTGAGTTGAGTATATCATTTGAAAATACAAGTATCATTACAACCATTCTGATTTTGAAAACATCCTACAATGTATCAAGCCAAGTAACAAAAAGTAACAAGTTTCTCGTCCAGACTTTTTCAAAAACGGAGGTGGCAGCGCTTTTATACTACATGTATTTACTATTTTTCAATTTTTGCTATTTTTTTCCAAGATGGCCGTCATGCGGAATATGGCTGGCCAAGGTATATTTATTCACAGATGTGCTATTTGAGTATACTGATGCAAGGTATGACAAAACAAAGGATTTGTATCATTTTAGAACCGGTGAAAAATGGACAATGTCTTGTGTTAATCAGCTTGAATTAGCTATAGAAGCTATTTTATACAAAATGTAAACAAAAGGAGGCGGCGGCCAAAAAGGAGGTGGGCGGGGACGAGAAACTTGTATGTTTTGTTACTTGGCCATAAGGTTGTTTTCTTGATTGCAGCTTATACAGTACTAAAGACACAGGTTTGTTGTATACAGCCTGAATAACACTGGGACTGCATGTTTTTGAAGTGTACAAATCACGAAAAATATTTAGTTCTGCGTATTAGGTGTTCCATGTGGCTATACACATACTAAAACATGAGCTTCATATATTATTTCTATACAAATAAAACACAAGTTTGCATACTCTTGATAAACATTGTTTATTGTTTATTACTCACGATGTGTGAGTAGACTACTGGCCATACATGTTTGATTTTTACCATAAAAGGGGATAGATACAAGGCAAAAGAAGCATCGACTATGACTGGGTCATAAAACGGCTTTTGATCATTGAAAATACATTGATAGTGCGATACTCGTGGGTCAACTCTACATCCAGATTTTCAGAGGTAGAAGTTTGTACAGTATGTTGCATAATGTTGATAGAATACTACTACCGGTACATGTACATGTACATGTACATATAACCCAGCCATAGTCATACACTAGTACACAAAATCACAAGTTTTACAGCTCTGTAAAAGCTAGATCATACCACCCAATACAAAAGCATAAAACCTGGTAGTAAACCAATACAATTACACAAGAAAATAAAACGTAGCGGAACATGTATGCAGATAACCCAATACATGAGAGCTACAAGCTGTTTCAGCAAAAAGAATTACAAAAATCTGACGATAATCTCTTGAACCAAGTAGAGGAAAGTAGTCCCTTCATTTTATTATAGGACTTTTTTGGTTTTGCTTACTTACAAGTTGCAAAAAATACCTGAATTAAACAAAAATGAAATACGCTTTTAGAGATGATATACCGATACATATGGCAGATGCATTGTATTTCTAAGGTTAGGTATACACATTACATAACCAAGTTATGAATAAAATGAAATGTTCTGTTTGATAAACTGTTAAATTAAATTTCACAATTTTCTACTCCTGACCACTCCGTATATCTATGCAATCTTTGCTTTTAAGAATCTCAGTTTAACAAATAAAAAAAGGAAAGAATGAATCACGAACAACTTAATTTTCCACAAGTTCAAGTCAAGTGAAATTCTATGTCTTGGGGACACATCTTATATTCACACATACATGTAGCTCTAGTTTTTAGACTGACCCACTATTAAAATGCTTGCAGCAATAAATACACACACAGACAAAATAGGAAAATACAGTTCTTCCAGGTACATAATTTTTCCTAAGACAGACACGAACGAAAAGGAACACAACCACATACACTGTACTATCAACCTAGGGTAATATATTAGATATATATGAATAAATATGTTTGCTTGTTGTTTCTGCCGGGGCTTTGAGTTGCATCAGCATTTCTTGCCCAGGCCGAATCGCTCATCTGTAAATGAGGCAAAACAAAAAAATGGTACTGTTATTTTATTTATTACATACTTCTGTACAGTGTAAAGTATAGATCTAAGTACAGAAATGAGACAGTCAGTTCATACTAGTTTTCACCTTTACAAGCAGCTTGCACTTGGTGGTTTGGGTAAACAACAACTGAAGGAATTTTCTCATTTATCATCAAGAAAAAAATATTGGCAATAAATTCATTTTACAATTAGTGCAATTGTCAATAGGTCTTTTGTTGACAGAATATGAATATTTTTTCTCTTATTGAAAATATTTTTTTGGTTTTGTTCCTTAAAAGCTCAAACAAAGCTGAATGTTGAATAGGTAAAACAACGAAGGGGGGGGGGGGGGGTATATCTTGTTATTATTGGACACAAATGGGACAGCAAATTATTAAATGCCTGTACCATGGACCCATATATGAAGAGCTGTTCCAAAAGGTACTACATCCATAAATCCAAGTTCTGAGAAAAAGATTATCATGAATTATCATAATTAGCAATGCCCTCAGTTTGGAATGATACTTTGGCTGATTATACTATTGTATGATTCAAGTATAAAACCACCCTTTAAAAATATCTAAGTCTGCACAAATATTTTTCATAAAGTTATGTTTTTTTTAATAATTTTGTGGATGTAGTACATTTTGGAACCAAAATTGGATTTAGTACTTTTTGGAACCGAAAGTCTTGCCTACTGTATGCAAGTTACAATGCATTAAACCTGAATGGATATAGTACCTTTTGGAAACTAACTTATTTTTAAATGCCATTTTTTACTTTTTTGGGGGAAATTCCTTTTTTTTTGGAAGTGTCCATTTTGATAAAAATGGATGTAGTACCTTTTGGAACCGAGCTCTTCATATATTTAGGATACACTTTCTGACTCCTGTCAGCGCAAGCCCACTTCTTGACCATTCCTTAATACAGGGGTGTCCATCATTGCTTACCTATGATGTCCATCTTGCATAGAGGACAGGTCCTTTTTCGTATAAGCCAACTATCCACGCATCTATTGTGAAACGTGTGGTGGCACGGCAGCATTCGTATTGTCTGGATCGAGAAAGATGACAGGAGAAACAAAAGAGCATTAATGTGAAGTAATACATAAGTTGATGAGTTGTCCTATGCAGAATTTTTCCCTGTATAAAGGGGTACCTGGTATTTGTCCTATTGGGTAGTTTCCCCATATGTGGTTGGCTTATGGAGTAGTTTTCCTATACAGGGGTAGATGTCCTAGGGTTTTTTTTTCTTCTAAAGGGGTTACTGTAAGGGATGTTTTCCTGAAAGGGTGTTAGTCCTTGGGGTAATTCGTGGACGAGTGGAAATGTCACCAGACCGCGGTTCAAGTCCCTCCACGGCACTAATGTCCTTTGGCAAGACATTGATCTACATTTGCGACTCTCCACCCAGGTGTTAAATGGGTACCCGGCATTACGAAAAGCTCTCGTTAAAACTATACCCCACCACTATAGCACAGCAGTCAATGTAATCTGGTGGGGTAGCACTACCCCAGATTCGTTTCTCTCGTTAAAACTTTGTAATCTGGTGGGGTAGCAATACCCCAGTTTCGTTTCTCTCGTTAAAACTTTGAGAGAGCTACTACTATTACACAGGCACCAATGGGAATCTGATGGGGTCTCACTACCCCACTTTCAATTCTCTCGTTAAAAACTTGGACAGAGCCTTGAGGCTTTGAGTGAGAGATTAAGATATTGGATTGCAGCTGGACTCTACATCATCTTACGTAATACTAGTGTAAACAAACTCTTACTGGGGTCTGCCTGAAAGGAAATGAGAAGTAGGAAATAAGTATTTTACTTGTTTTAAGATATTTTCATGTCCTAAAGTCACTAATAATTTAGATGAAGACCAAAATGAAAGTTCGAACGAAGCAAAATGACCCATAATTGGCGATATAACAACAATTTTAACTCTGGCAGCGAACCCCTGCATGTGTCTCTTTCTCCCTTCTCCCTTCCTTTCCCCTTGTATCGTGCTTATCTCTCTCTCGCTATCACCTCATCAAGGTCTCGGTGGGGTGGATTACAGCGCTAGTGTTTACTTAGGGCTTATCACAATCTCAGCTCTAGTACAAGTAGAAATGGTGAAAGTCAAATGGGGGTTTCAATTTTAAACGACGAGTTTTCGTCATGGTATGATGTGAAAACTTAAGTGCTTAGATTAGCAAGTGCGCGCTTGTAAAAACGATGCCTGGCTGGAATGCTCCCCAGGGAGTGGAGAATGTGCATACATTGTGTGCTGGTTAGCCTGAATCCGATGACCGGGGTCATAATATATATATCTGTAAAGTGCTTTGAGAGGGTCTTCGGTCCTGAAAACACCATATAAGAACTAGGTATTCTTATTATTATTATTAATTGTTTTTTTAAAGCTCCACTGTCCTACTTGTAGCTACTTGCTCCCTCTATATAGAAAACTTCCCCAATCGGTGCCTGTTGGTCCCTTATGATCCTCTTTTTCTTATGTTAGTTGAGAGCTGAGTTAATGAGATAGCCAACTGTCAGTGACCGCGCTGTGTGGTCTAATCCCTTCTGGCCCAGTAGTGTTGACTGTTTTTAAGACATTTGCTTTAGGGGTAGTTGTCCTAGAAAAGGTACAGCAGTAGAGGATGGAATAGTCTGGGACAAGGTAGTCTAGAGGTATTCGTCTTGATAAACACCAATAACAAAATTGTGTGTACAATTGTCAATAAAATCTAATGCAGCAAGAAGGACTGAGAGCTTACTTGTCCTTTGAAGAATTCCTCCAGGCACACTGCACAGCTGTCCATGGAGTCGCTGGCTGAAAACTCATATTTCTTCCTCTTATACTTCCATACTGACATCTTAGACAGGGACTGCTTAGCTAACCTCTGAAGAGTCTCCTGGTAAAGAGTAAATTCATCGTATCATGAATATTTCTTTATAGAGGTGTAGAGGTGTTGTGGTCTAGTGGATAAGTCACCCGACTGCGGATCACAAGGTACGGGGTTCAAGTCCCGCCGCGGGACCAATGTCCCTTGGCAAGACATTAATCTACATTTGCCACTCTCCACCCAGGTGTAAATGGATACCTGATATGTAAAGCGCCATGAGCGTCAGAGCCTGGCAGATATCGGTGCTACATGTATATCCATGTTATTATTATTATTATTATTATATGAAAAATAATTTGACGGATCACAAGGCCAAGTGAAGCTCTGCACTCTGAAAGAATGACCAACAGGATGAAAATAACAGCGCCAAACTGATTGTGCTGCGCTTATAATTTCCAGTCACCTAAAGAAATGCATTTTTGAAAGATATTTCATATTAATAACAGAGAAACCTCTAATTTGAAGCTTAGGAGAGCTTCTATTTATTTGATTTATGAACTACAGTCGAATAAAATCTGACAAAAGAAAATATTGAAAAAACAGACCCATTTTTGATATTTTTATCAAATTAGGATCCATGTTTAGGGATTTTTTTGTGAAAAAGTGACCCATTAGAGAGGAACCCCCCGTATATCCTAATATGTAAGTACCCACCCCCCCCCAACCCCGGCATGATAACTGGTATTAAATCAACTGCTCACCTCTAGATCTTCAATGTTGTTTTGTTGTGGATGTTGTGCCATCCCTCTCAGCATGCTTAGGATGTAAAATCCGATGATCAGGGACACCAAACTACGCCAAATCCAGTAGTACTCATGCTACACAAAAATATTCAAGCCATAAAAAAAAGTACAGAGAAAGATTTTAAAATTCACTAAAAAAATTCCTTTAAAGGGCAATCCAACCCTTATAATAAGTTCATTTGTATGAAAGCAGAAAATAAGTTAAGCAGAATAGTGAAAGTTTGAAATAGATTGGACCAATAATCAAAGAGTTATGAATGTTTGAAATACAAGATCACTTGGGGCCCTACTCAAAGTATGGATAGCATATTATTATAGGTCTACTAAAAAGAATAGACCCTCCCGAGCCATTTGTTTAAAAAAAAAAAAACTTGTCATTTCATGTGTTGGAACAAAGGGGAAAGTTTTTTTTGCCACTACATCATAGAGACGATACTGATTGAGCCAATTTGAAGAGCCCATACCTATAGTGATTACAAGTTTCAAATGTTTATAACTTTATCATATTTTGTCCAATTTCATCATATATCTTCTACTACAAACTTTTTGATATATTTTCATAGATCTTCTACTGGTAGGAATTTATTCCTTGAAATGCTAGAGCGCCGTATGGCAGCCATGCTAAAGCCAAGGTAATAGAATAGTCGGGAGCACCAGGAGGGTCAAATCTGACTGACATGAGCGCCATACAAGAACCCATTATTATTATTATTAGTATTACTACAAACTTTCTGATATATTTTCATCTATCTTCTACTATGAACTTTCTGATATATTTTTATATATCTTCTACTACAAAATTTCTGATCTATTTTCCACAAATTTTCTGATCTATTTTCATATCATATCTTCTACTATGAACTGACAAATTTCTGATGAAATGAAAATTAAAAAAAAATTGTGAAATGTTATTGGCAGAATGACGTAATCAAATTTGCAGGAAGAACAAATTAATAAAACAAAAGTATCAAATCTGACGGATACAACAGAATATCATTGTTTATTATATTATTATTATTATTATTATTCTAGTCGTGACGTACCTCTGACGAGGACTTGTGCTGGGAGAAGCATACAGTCCCTTCCCACTCTCTGAACTTGCTACCCCCGCTAGACCGGCCACAGGTTGACCAAAGGGTCAGCTTAGGGGTCGCCTTGGCTCTAGAGTCTGGTCTAGCTGTGATGTTAGCTCTATGTTTGCCATTCCTATTAAAAGAGAAATCAGAAATATAAAGTTAACAAAATGCATGAACTGACTTTAACTTGAATAAACATGGTATTAATAGTTTAGGCAATGCCAATACATGATAATGTTAATGGAAAATAATAAAATTACTCAGTTTTTACATTGATTGTAATTGCAAGGAACTATTTTTGGCATGTAAAATATCAATGAGAATGATTGAATAAATATGAACATGTGTAAACGTAAGTGCTGAGCATTCACTGCAGTCAAAACCTTCTTTTTTAATTTTCAGTTAATATACTGTTTATACATGTAGTTAAATCAGTCCATGACCATCAATTTCCAATTTGATACGCATATTTCTTTACTTTTTGAAAGAGTTAATTGATTTAATAATGTAAAAAACATACCAGAACCAATATGAAAGGATTAATGATGTTCCTTACTTAAACTATATAAAACGTTTTCTTCTAATGAGTTGTACTAGGAATATCTTACCTCAAATCAACATTTGATCTAAATTTCTTGATCTCTTTTGGGTCAGTGATGAGTATGATTGGTCTATCGGTAGTGAAGTGAAGCTCAATCTAGGAATAAAGAAAACACTCACATAAATGACATAATTCATCGCAATGCTCAATGTACCAACAACAAAATAATTCCAGGAGTGCAAGCAATAAGAATATTATACTCTATAAGACAAAGCTCAGTTTCAGTATGCAATATGCTCTATCCAAATTTTTTTATCATGGGTCAACTACATGTACAATTAGATTCACAAATAAACAAATAATACTTAATACCAGACCTACTTGGATGACAGCATTATTGCGAGTTACATCCAGTAGTTTATAAAGGATCATTTAGTTACTTCAAATGATATCAGCAAAGTTTTAAGTAGAAAGAAATTTAAGAATCATGTAATTTCTTTAAAAGATATCCTAAAAATAATTTTATAAAAAATAGTATATAAGAATCATCATAGTAAGAGATCAAGAAACAAAAATAAATTAATGATGTTCATACCTCTTTGAAGAGTCCAGGATTAAGAGCCAATACTAGAAGAGCTGAAGCACCAAACAGCATTGCTTGCTTCACCTATTAAAAAAAAGATCAATGAATGATATTTGGTACCAGTTTAGAGCGGTGATTCTTTAACAAGCAATATTCCATTTTGGTGCAAAAAGAAAAGTGGAATTGAATGTTTTAAACATAAATGTATTGTACATGGAGACTTATATTGTTCTACTTGTATTGAAATATACATATGCCAGATACTTGAATTTCCTCTCCAGCTTGAAATGCAATAAATATCAACACGGCAAAAATGTTTCTCACGGGGGGGGGGGGGGGGGGGGGGGGGGGGGGGGGGGGGGGGGATATAACTATACAAGGGTAGACTTGACACATTTACTTCTGTCTGTTGAGAGCCAGAAGGGAACAAGTTTCTGACTCTCAGCAAGAAATATATATATAATGAGTGAAAATTTGATAATTTTATTTTTTATTTTTAAGTCCTTCCAGAAGGAAAACAGCATCTAACTGGGTGTGCTTTTCACATACAGTTTAAGGGCCAGGGCCAGTATTCAATTCAATACTTAGCATAAGTAAGAAATTTACTAGGTAAATGGCTACCGGTAAGCTAAAAAAATTAATTATCTCGTATTCAAATCACATTTTAGACTTATACTTACGCAAGACAAGATCTAAGTAAAATACTTACTGATAAGCACTGTGACATCACATGGTCAATCAAAAGTAATGCGCAATTAATTTGTTGCAATAAATGCGTGCTGATATAATTGTGCGCAGGTTATAATACTGCCTAAGAAAACCATATGCCTGAGCTGCCGCCCCAATGAAGGCCTCAAAATAATTGGCTTAAGTCTGGTAGGCAGCTGTCTTAGATTTAGGGTAAAATACTTAGCCAAAAGTTTGCATCAGTTGAATACCCAAATTGGCTAAGTATTTTATCTAAGCCAAATACTAAGTAAAAAGCTTAAATTTTGTACTTAAGTATTGAATTGAATACGGGCCTAGAGCCTCCTAACCTCATCATTCATACACACAAAATTAAAATAGAAGAATAAAAAAACAATTTGAGAGGCATCTCACTTGCTCGAGAAGAGAGCACCCCGTTCCTCCTTGTGCTCCGGCAGATTCCTCTAGGGGTGGGAGGTAGAAGATCCCGACCCATTCCTCATCTTCAGACAGCTTCTTATCCTCTTCGGTCTTGCTCTTATCAAGCTCATCGGGTAGAGTGTCACCATCTTCGCTGCATGTACTTGTTATCTGCAAAAGTTGAATTAACCTCCTTAGATTTATATGTTTTAAATTGAATATATGTAGTCTGCCTGACAGTTCCCCCATACAGAAACTCTCGAGTCTTCAATTTATTGATCAATCCTTACATTTTATGTTTCATGTACAAACAATGCGTGTACCGGTATATGTAAATATACTCATCATGTTAAACAAGTTTAATACATGTATTAGATTAAAAAAATTAAGTGTTAGAGTATATGTACATCTACTGATAATAAATCACCAAACAACATCTGTATTTGTTTGTTTGGTTTCTTAGGAAGTTTTTGTTTTGATTTGTTCTTTTTGTTTGTTATTGTTTTTGGATAAATTATAACTTAACAACAAAGAATCATACTTTAAAAGTACACATAGATCTACACTAGATTTATATATTTTAACCTAAATAGATATGCAGTTGCACTGATACAGAAACTAAAAACATTTAAGATTAAACTCATCAATAAAAAAGCGGGACAATCGACACCAGTCGTTGCATCAGATCAGTCATCATGTAAATTGTCCTCCACTTCCCTTATTTCTTCTGAGATGATTGGATTTTCAACCTAATCACTTGACGATATACCCAATAGTAGTATGATCGTTTTTTATCCACAATTTTTTTTCATCAGTTAACTTTAATAACGGTAGTTTACTTACAGTCTGTATCAATCCTGATGCATTTATACCGTTGGGTCCACTGCGAGAATACACTCCACGCACCTCGATTCCGCCCGGCTGCAGGCGTACGAGTGCCTCCCGTTCTCCGGAGACCAGCTGCAGCAGAAGCGATAAAACGAAGGCCCAGCTGGCTAACTTACTGCTGTTGATTGCTCTTGCAATGTGCCGCAGCTTCACTGAAGAGTTGGAATGGAATGTTATCATCTTCACTCCTTCATTATCTAATCCTTTCAACTTCAATTTCACCTTCATTTTAAAGATTGAGTACCTGGATTTCCTTTGACATATTGATCAAAACAATGTTTAAAAGACTGGTGTATAGTCAGTACTTTGCATATTTTATGTTGCTTTTGCGTTGAAAAATATTTTGAGATAGGGTACCAATCTTTTAGCAATCCTGTATTACGTATCATAACATACAGCTAGCCTAGAAACTGTGTCGGAATATAGGCGAAGGGATGTAATTTGAAAGGCAAAGGAAAAAGTGCAGATGGAGAAAAGGAGGGAAGATTGTGGGGAAAAGGGAGATTGAATGTGGAAGAAGGAACTGGAAATATATTTATACAAAAAAACTTATTTGATAAACTGATTGTGTCCTTTTTTCCAATTAATTAAGAAAAAAAATTGACGACATTGGGAAATAAAAGTAAAACTTAATACCAAGACCTATAAAGGATAAATGAATGAGAGAATCTTGTACTTTCCAGACCTGGAAGGTAATAGATTTCCAAGACAATATTGAGAGAAAGGAAAATGAAAAGAAGTTATTTGAGTTGAAAGAAAATACAGGATCAGGAATAACACTCATTTTGTTTGACCTCAAAAGGGAAATATATATATTTGTTTTAATTAAAAATATGTCAGCCGCATAATTGGAAGACAGATTTTGAGACATATTCCAACAACAACAAAATGAGCATGGGATTTAGGAAGAGATACATGAGGAAGAACAGGACATTTAGGAAGAATACCATACAGGACATACAAATTTTTCAATTAAAGATTATTTCATCTAAGAACCATTTGGGTGCAAGACAATGCCTTTCTGGTGCTAATCACACTAAATGTAGTAAATACATAATAGAAACCAAACTCGGCTTTAAAATGTTTTAATTTTCTAGTCCAGGGCAGGATGCTGTAACTATTGACAACATGCATCTTTCTTTTTCAATGGCGTTTTTGTTGAAACAAATGATGCATATGGTTCATATGTTTGATGGAATTAGCTTGTTTATATCATATCAATGAACCCTCCACACTAGCAAAGGTGAGGGAGGGCAGTTGTTCTTCTCTCCCTATATTTTTGTCGTTAATTTTTTTGTCACTGTATAATATCATGTCATTGTACCATATGGAGTGTATTTTGATCAATGAAAGTGCCTCAGCCCCCCCCCCCCCCCTCCCCCACAATGAATCAACATTCCTGTAATACTGTCTCCAGAAACAAATGGCCTGACAAGCACACAAACCAACTTCATTTCATAAAAACAAACATAATAAATTGAATGCAAACAAACATTGATTCAAATTTGAACTTTCATTCAATATTTTCTTTAATAGAACTGCTTTTAAAACAGCAATCTGAGCTATGATTTGCAACTCTATGTTAAATAACAATCCCAAGCTCACTCATATTTTTACAAAATTCACTTTTAAGAAACTGTCCACATCATGTTTCATATACTAGCTGTAAAATATCTCTCCTGGGAGTTCTCAAGTTATTTATTTCTAAACAAACAAATGAATAACACAACTTTCAATGAACACACAGAATAAAAGGAAACACGATTTCCCCTATTTAATACGCTTTTTGGGTCAGATACTTTCTTGAAACTTTTTAAAAGTTCCAAGTATCTATCAAAAAAAGAAATTGTTCATAATATTTTCATCTGCACACAAATTCTGAATAATTGTCAGAAAGTCAGATATGATGAGGTCCTCTTTTCTTTTTCAATCTGAAGAAGTATATGTATTTTGAACAATACATGTTTGAGTGGTAAGTGTTATAAAAGAAAATAATAACTTTCTCCAGAAAAAAAAACTGAGACATATATTTTTTTAAACAAAACATTATCATTTTATGATCAAATCTGGCCACTACTTTTAATATAATTGTCTGATTATAGAAAAGTAGATGTATCTAATACATGTAATCATAACTAGGGAAGTACATTCAGTCTTTAACAAAACACAAAGCTAACGATTAAAATTGATAATAAATTTATGGAAGTGAATCTCAATTCTTATGTTTAAGAAATGTCAAACGATATATATTTATATCACAATTATTGACAGGACAACCAAAACCAATCTCAATGTCTATTAAACACGAAAATAATTATACAGTATGTTGTAAATATTCAACTTTGTAGTACTTTTAGAAAATCAAGCGCTCAGCATTTTGGGCCTGACCTTTGCAAGTTTGCTCATCAAACACGATTATTTGGGGGAAAAAAGATCAAGCAAGATAAAGCCTTGATGTCACCAATATCATAGATGCTCCAAGATAATCATCGGTGGTCAATCGTTTACAGAACACACAAGTAAGGAGTAGTTGCTCTCTCCCATTAACTAAAACAAACCTCCTATTTTCATTCTCTAAAACATTCACTCCATCTAAGGATCACCACTTCAAACCCTGTATGCTTACTGCATTCTAATTTGTGATAGATTAAACTGCTTATTTGTGACCTTTGCTTTAAACACCACACACCTATGTACTCCATGCATATTGTGCGTTAATTAAAGATAAACTTGAGTTCTGGTAATGCGATTGCATTGTGAAGGAAAAGGTGTGGAATGGATCAGAAAAGTTGATCATATAGCATGTAAGTAATAATATGTAATGCAAGGTTCTGGAGTCATCAAAATCATCATAAATTTGGCAGAGTCTTGGTAAAGTAACAATCACTTACACAGAAAGATGTATACACAGTGTGTCGGGGCTAGTACTACCCTGATTTCCTTATCTTTCTTCCAAAATTGTTTGGCACATGACATTTATTTGTAATCTTGAACATTCAGTGTAAGTTTTGTTAGATTCTGTGAGAATTCATTTTCTTTTTTTTTACCACAACTCAAGTTTATCTTTAATACATGACGAGATTTTTCTGATAGGATGACAACAATACCGTCTGTTCAGAGCCAGAACAGCATTAACTGTGCATTAAAAGCCCATATGAGTTACTGCCCTTCTAGCTCCAAGTAAATGATATTAATCATGTATTATAAGTTTAATAGGCCTACCAAATAAGCAAATATAGCCAACATTGGTCTGGCAAATACAACAAAACCATTCCCTAAATGGTTGAAATAAAGACTGTCGTAACATATGAATCAAAGTCTAAAATAATGAGAATCAACTTCACTTCATTGGTTTGAGTCTGATTTACTTTCTTTGGAAGTTCCATTTTTTTCCGTAGAATCTCCTTAAAAGGATAACTTGCTCCATTCAATGAAATAACAAGCTACAGCGTAAAGAAGAGCAGAATAGGTTTATCTTTAGGCAAGTTGTTTTGATTGATTTATATTTACACAAAATTTACAAGACTGTGATAGCATATATTTCTTTGTCATATCTTGGGGAACAACCAGGATGGCCACATCTGAATATCTTCGCTTGTGTTCATTATCATAACGTCCTTTCCAATGTAACTTCATCCTTTCATGAACTTAACATGCAAAACATTAACCGGTCTATGATTCACTGCCTAAACAAAGTTCATTCTCGCCTCCATTAATATGAAATAAAGCTGGAAATTGTTGACAATTATTGGGTGCCAAAACACACAAGAATGTCCCACAAGCCCGTGCAAATTCTCAGAGTACCGTTTATTTTTAGGAGAGAGGTAATACACCAAGAATTAATACAACTTTCTTGAATGCAAATTCTTTCTTCTGTACACAACCCAATTAACAGAAATGTTAATTAAACTTTTGTATACAAAATTTCAGATTACACTTTCTTAGGACCAATAATTAATATTACTTGGCTACAGATAACTTCATCCTCTCTACATACTCCAATGTAAAGACTTGTTAAGGAAAGGGGAAAACAGGAGAAGGGAAGCAGCCAGGTAGAAAACAAGAGGGGAAGAGGGCAGGAGAGAAAGGAAGACAGAAAGAGTGAAATAGAGGAAGAGAGAAAGAGAGGAAGAGGTAAAGAGAGAGAAAGAGAGAGAAAGAGAGAGAAAGAGAGAGAGAAGAGAGAGAGAGAGAGAGAGAGAGAGAGAGGGAGAGTACACTAGAGCGGCACAATTTACGGGTTGGAAGAAGAAAAGAGCTATGAAACTATCACCAATGCAATCCATTCCCACATCCGCTATTGGCAAGGCTATCAGAGACCTTGAATCCTCTTACTTTCCACCAAAGAGCATCAGCTTTATATTCATACAACCAAGATGTTCCTAATGAGATAACTTCATCTGAGCTGAGTCACTACTTCTGCGGTGAGCATGGCAGGGGGATCATTATCTTGGTTTCCATTCGTCGGATCAGAGGCACTGTAAGGGATTCAAAAGAGAGAGAGGTGATTTGAAAATAAATTGCATATGATTACCTCGTACCTGGCCCATACATTGACTACTATATTTGCTATAAAAATGTCATGCATTGTACCAGCTTTGTATTAACCCCCTCAATGCTGGGCTGCAATTCTGGACAAGAATTTGAATGTTGAACAATGTGTCCGCACTAAAAAGAAGGTCTACATTTAATATTTACCTAATGAATATGGAGGTGTGAATATAAGCTCACCAATATGACACAATGATTATGTCAATAAATATTTATTAAATGAAATCAAATGAGAGATGTATCAATTTATTTCATCTCTGTCTGGTATATTTACTGACCTGTGTAGGCTACACAATCATCCCAGCCGGGCTTTCTCCACGCTGAATCTCGAATCTCCTTCCTCGTCTGAAGGTCCTTGTAAGCTGTAGGCGGGAAAATCAAACATAAATGATGTATGATGTATCATAAAATCTGGGGTTCTGAAATGTTGTGCCTTCTTCCATATTATAATAATCCTGACATATGCCCATGAGAAAGGCAAGAACACATTTTTTCTTTTTTTCTAAGTTGTCTATTTTTGTATGGACAAAGGTTGTCCACACGCCCGTTTGCGTCCTTCTGTCTGGCACCAACAAAAAATAAATAATAATACATCTTTGTTGGGTCAAATTTGCTAGATGTGCCCTGGGGAGGGCGATGCTGTTTACAGAAAAGAATAATTTCTAAAATGAAAATTGCAAGATCTTTTTAAGCATGGTTTGAACTTTTTAAATACATACCTTATGGCTGCAGGATACTTGTCAATCAAAATTTGTTCCACTTATTGAAAACATATGCAGAGCCAATGCAAAGTGAATAGCATATAATCACTACCGGCAATTTTTGGAAATAATATTAGACATATTTGTCTTTTTTGGGTCTATTTTATTGCTAAAATGCATTTTTGAACAGTCGATGTAGAATAGAAAAGTAGGTTTAGTTCTGTCAAGTTGCCATCATTGATTCATTTTCACATGAAATATAGATGACTGCAGTTTCTGATATTGTCAAATTCCGTGTGAGATCCTTTGCAACCTACATATACATGTAGAGTATACTATACACCAAGAAATATGGTAAATATCATAAGTTAAGTTTCATGGATTAGTATGTAGGAATGAGATAGAATAAACTCATACCATTACACATCAAAAGTAATTTAGTTTCATTTCAAAGAAGGAATAAAACAGGACATACCCCATATGTGATGCACTAGATAGAGATCTCCAATCTGTGTGAAGAGGCCCAAGACGGATTCACTCTGTTCCCTCCGATGAACTATGCCCTTTGCCCTTGAGGTCAAAAAGAGGAGATATGGCATCATATGTTAAAGATCTGTCTTAAATTTTTGATAAAACATATCCCCGTCTGGCTGGCAGAAGGGCGTTAGCACGAATTTCAGGTATAAAATTAAGCGCTAAGCAGAAGGACGTTAGCACTAAATCGCCTCAAACTTTTATAAAACTGACTTATTCCTGAAAAAAATTTGTGGCCGTGTTCTACTATAACATTTCTATTAGTCTTTTAAATATCAAACAAATCTTTAAATGCGAATAATTTGAAAAGTAGTTTTTCGAGTCGCTAACGCCCTTTTGCCAGCCGGGTGAAGATATCATACATTCAGTGTATATTTTTTATCTGTCTTATAGAGAACTGTTAATACAAAAGAACAACAAGAGCACAAAACTCAATCAATGTATAGCAAGTATGTGTACAGCTAAACCAGCTTTAGTGACCACATGTATCGGTATTGATAACCCATTACTCTATAACGACCATATTTTTTCATTTCCCCCAAAAAAATTGTTTGTCATTGAAACATGTACTATAGGAACCTGTACATAAAGACTACCTGCATTCAAAGACTACTTTTCTTGTCGCCCTTGAACGGTCTTTATCTGCAGGTTTCACTGTATCATACAGGAGATTAATATGATATGAACAACTGTAAATATGCCTGTGACGATGCAAACCTATTTAAAATGCTTGATATTTGAAATTAGATCATTTAAGTATTATCAACATTATTTATTCATTTTGGAAGCTGACAAAACTTTGAAAAGTGAGTACTATTTGGATGATATTTGTCTCAACATTCTTGAAGTTCCATCAACCGATAGAAGTTACTCACCAGTTGTTGCCCCATTCAATTAATGTTCCAGGCTGAAAATATAAGATAGAACATTGAAAGTTAGACCCAAACCACAAAGTAGTGTTAACATCAAGACCAACAAAGAACAGTCACAACAGAGTATCATACCTAATTTCAAATCATTAATATTTGTCTTACAGCTTTAAGTTTAGAAGTGACCAGTGTGTTTTACAAATCAAATGCAAGACATGTGCAGATGCATTTTACGATTAATATTATATCAAATTTTTGTCGCCATTATATCTCTGTTGTGAACATCACACAGAACGCTAAAGAATATTTTGAATGAAGCTGTATTTAAAGCATAAAAGATGACAGGGAAGAAAAAGAGAGAGAAAGAGAGAGAGAAAGAAAAGAGGAAGAGAAGGAGACAGAGAGAGAGAGAGAGAGAAAGAGGGAAAGAGGAACAGATAGAGAGAGAGAGAGAGAGAGAGAGAGAGAGAGAAATGGAGAGGAAGAGAGAGAGAGAAAAAATGGAGAGGAAGAGAGAAAGGGAGAGAGAAAGAGAGAGAGAGAGAGAGAGAAAGAGAGAAGGAGAGAGAGAGAGAGAGAGAATACTCATACAGATCATACTAACCCTGAGATGATAACTCCTGAGTTCATAGAGATGGTCTGAATCTCTGTGAGGGGGATCCCCCAGAATGAGAAAGGCATGAGAAGTTGATTACTCCTTCCGACCAACATCTCACCACGCAGCTTCTTGTACTCTAAGTAATCCTGTATCAAACATAATTATCACAGGTTTGTTAGCATAACAAAATAAACGCTTGTTTTTGTTAAGTGATTCAAGAAAATTTCTTCTTCTTTCATGAGATTGGAGAGCCAGGCAAGAGCATCATCTGAGACAAGATGGAGTTCCTAGATGCCTCCTGGGAACCCTGTCAGCATGCAGTCATTGATGCTGTGCGACAAGGTCTGATCTGGGTGACCAAAGCTGCATGCTGCACTCTCCCTGTATTTCCACATATGGGGGGGGGGGGGGGGGGGGGGGGTCGTGTCGGGTCTGGCATGTTCAGTGCCAAACAAATGTCAAACCTGTCTATAGCGACTGCCCGAGGGAAACACAATAAGTGGTCTTTGTAGACAGGTGGTCACTAAATTTGGACGTCTTTACAAAGAATTGATTATATAATGTGATACTTTGATTGATTATATAATGTATCTATCCAACTTTTGATTTTTCATGACTAACATGACACAAGATATACTAGCACTTTCAACAACATACTATCACACTATACAATCACAGCAACCTATACTTTCTTCTTCATGAATAGTCGCTAATGACCATAGCAACAGCTAATTTATACAATGTCAATTTATCCATTCAATATTATGTCATTCTTCACCACAAGTTCTTGTGGTAAAAAAAAAAGTGTTACCATAATTTGAAGACATTTCAAAGGCCTCCTTAAAGACAATATTATTCTGATCTTTCTACAGTCGATGCATAAACTGTATCAATCGACCCATGAGACCGTCATTTTGGGCACTTTAGGGGGGGGGATCCATTGCTGTCACATACCTTGTCTTCCCACAGCAGTTCTGACATCTTTTTCACTTCATCGAAACCTTTGTACATCCAAATGTGCACTGTAAGAAGGGAAACAAACAAATCAACGCTCAATTTAAGGGTACCAAAACATGTACATGTATACTGTAAAGCCCATGTAGTGTACGAGGAGGAGAGGGAAATGGAGAAGAAATATTCTGATCATGTAGACTAGACAGGGACATCCACATTTCACTTTCTTGAACATTTCAACTCCGTTTCAAAACATAAAAGACTTCACAAAATAGGATCCCTCAAAATTATTGGGGAAAACAAAAACACTGAATTCCCCAGTCAGAATCAGGCTTCAGTCAAGCACTTAATTGGGTTACAGAATTTGATTAATCTCGATCTTACGATCAAGATTTATCCAGATTTTAGGACCAAGATTTACCTGCTTGATCCTGTGGCCCAAACGCTGTGCTCCAGCTTCCAAAGAGTTTGCATGGGTAGTCTGATTTCTCATGGACTCTCCTCAAATGATGGTCTCTGTTATGTTCAGAAGAAGTGTAAATATGAAAATAAATTATTTTAAAATTAGAGTAAAAGGAAGGGTAATCATAAAATACTGTAAATATCACACCATTGGCACATATTATCACAAGTATAAAGTTAAAGATAAACTTGAGTTCTGGTAATGCGATTGCATTGTGAAAGAAAAGATGTGGAATGGATCAGAAAAGTTGATCATATAGCATGTACTGTAAGTAATGGTGTGTAATGCAAGGTTCTGGAGTCATCAAAATCATCATAAATTTGGCAGAGTCTTGGTTAAGTAACAATCACTTACATAGAAAGATGTATATGGGACAACACACATGGTGTCGGGGCTAGTACTAGTACCCTGATTTCCTTATCTTTCTATGCTCATTACTCAGCCAGTATACATTTTCTTCCAGAATTGTTTGGTACATGACATTTATTTGTAATCTTCAACATTCAGTGTCAGTTTCGTTAAATTCTGTGAGAATTAATTTTCTATTTTTACCAGAACTCAAGTTTATCTTTAAGGTCAAAATGGTAAGCACTTTATAAGCACTGTTTTATTATTATTATTATTCTGTCAAATGGATAATAAGGTTCATTTTTATCTTCCATTTAGCAATGACAATTTTTGGTATTTAAAAGGTATATAGATACATAAAGCGACATGAATTCATATAAAAGACAAATTCAAAAAAGATATTTTGAGTTGAAGAAAAAAAAAGCATAGACAAAATTGTTGTTGTTACTAATATTATCATGACATCAACATCAGGTTATTACCAAATCATTGGTAATATCAACAATATATATTAGAGTTATCAGTGAGAACCAGGGCCCCATCTAATATAAAGAGTCGAGATTAATCACAACTTATTTGGGATAGATATCAATCGTAACTACGTACGAGCTAGGAGACTGCAAACTTGCGATTGATTTGGATCAATCGCTACTCTTTATAAGACAGGGCACAGAACTGCTTGCCCCTTGTACCCCACCCCTCCCTCCTTCATTCACACCATTGCCAGCTATAATCCAACAGTTTACAACATTACCAGCATCATTGTGGGATGTAATGGTTCAGTCACATGACTTTCATTTTTCAGATCAAGAGATTGAGAGTTCAAATCCCACACTGACCAGATGTCGTTTGGTGAGACAGTCATCTACATTTGCCACTCTCAAACCCAGGAGTTATATTAAAGGGATCCGGTAACTTTGTCTCAGATTCTGAAACAAAATTCTGGATTTAGCTCATGATGCAATGATAATTATAAACCTTTAGGTCAGTCAGGAGCCCCATGACTTTTACAAGCCGATCGCCTGTCTGATTATCAAGATATTTATGATTGGAATTACAAATTTTGAAAACCGTTCGCCTGACGGTTTTCATAACACTACAGTCTATTGGGGAAAACGAGTATGGTAAAACGGTCACTCAAAGATTTTTACTTTTTTGAGGCACTTGTTGATCATTTTGAAGCGCAATTTTTTTAGGGCTTCAATATTACACCATATCACAGACACTGATAACACTTTGGGCCGTGTATCTCAGTTTTAACATTGCTAAACGATCCCTTTAAAGCTCATAGCCTCATACCTGGGAAGAATTTATTCCTTCAATGCGAACCCATTACTTGTAGTATCCTTATCATAGTTATCATCATCGCTTTAATTACTTGCAGTGAAATACTATTACATTATCTGTGGGGATAAAGATGGAGTCTACATATTGCCCATACAATTTAATCTTCAAATGATTAAAAAATAACAAACACTATTCACAGATTACACAGTTAAAAGCATTTACTTACGAAAGTTTGATGTAATCACCCATGCAGTCTGGCTTGATATTGTGCACTGTTTGAGAGAAAATAAGAATGAAGTTGTAACTTCTCAGTAATGGCTTACTGGACATCTATCAAAAAATCAATCTGTTATTCATTGTTCATTGATATCTTGAAGATAGCAAACAACTACCGGTACTCAGTACAGGAGCTGAAATTGTACATTCAGCACTCTTTAGTATTTTTTAAAATTATTACAACAAAATGATATTATGAAGGCAAATTTGTCTTAATGATGCTTCATTTACATCTCAGTTTCTTTCAAATTTTGTTTGTTCTAAAATTTGTTCGATCTGACAATTTGCACGCACACACATGATCCCCCATCAATGTAAAGTTATGAATTTAAGAAAACAGACTATTTGCAAAACACTTCATATGCCAGTTATAATATCTACAATGATATTCAATGAAATTTACATTTCCAGTTCCCATTTGGCATAATTTATGAGGTTTGAGTTTTGATTTCATTACATGCTGGACCTGGGTTTGGATATAAAGTAACCTGCATGTTAGTGATTTCAACCTGCTTTCAATTGCTACTTATAAGCAACAAGACAAGTTCTAATTATAGTAAATAATTGGTCGGCGTGGATGAATGGCATATATATACTTCTGCGACAACTGCTCTATGTCAACTTTCTACACTTATCAAATTCTTAACTTTAACCCTGTAACACTATGTCTAACCCTAACCCTAATCTTAACCTAAATTTGAATTGCGACCCTAACCCTCAACCGATACTTTTACAAGAACAAAGCCCAGAGTAAATGTTGCCAAAGCAAATGTTGGATCACCAAATAATCCGTTCCTAGTACTTGGTATTTGCTGGGGTAATCCCTTTGGCAGCTCACTCAGGAAGCTATACTGGAATGGTAGGTGAGGCAAGTAACTACAAGGAGTGTCATGAATTGCAGGAATGGCGTGTGGAAAAAGCACTTGTTGATTTACAGTAAAATATGCTGAGTCCTGTGCAAGTAAAAACCAAGCTAGTAAGCTTATATGATGTGAGGAGCTACACGAACAGACAAATTTCTCACCTTGCATTTCATACACAATATCTTTGTTTGTCAGAGCCATAGAGTGAGATGTTGTAGCTGGCTCAACCCTCTTCACATGAAGTAATTTGGAAAGCCATCCTTCTCCTCCTTGGTCAGCGTAGGTCCTACACAGATACATGGAAATATGGAGGGAAAAGAAAATGTAAATTATTTTCATAAAAACTTTGACGAGAGAATGGAGAACTAATTTAGAATACCGGTAAGAGGTCTTAAGACCATTAAAGGTAATGCAAAGTTTTGGGAAATTTTTAAAATTGAATGGAAAGTCATTCTTTACAATTTTGATATACCTGGTATTTGGACGCCCCTGTGGATGGATTATAAGCCCTATTATATGGAGGGAAATGAAATTGTACATCTTTTTCATGAACAATTTGATAAGAGAAAGGAGAACTAATTTAGAGGTCTATCTCTAAGGTCCATTAAAAACTAATGGCCATATTGTTGTGCTCTTCTTCATCAAACATGTGCCCATGTTATTTCATGTCGTTCCTTTTTGGGTGTTCCAGTGAAAAGTCTTATGTCCCAAAACTGTGACTAAATCTTATGGGGAAGGTCATTTTCATATGCAGTCACTGATTACTGGAATAACTTGCCAGAATACCTTAAAAATATAAAACCATTCCACTTAGCCTAATTCCACTAGACCAAAATTTCTGTCTCTTGCGTTCGTTAGCCTCTTAAGATTTATTTGGGTAGGGTTGGCTCCTCTCTTTAAAGACCAAAGCCGGCCATAGGGTCTCCTGTGCGAGTAAAATATGCGCTAAAATTTGATTTTAGAGCATAAATGCATCAGAAATGCATCCACTAAAATGACATTTTACTAGTGCAAAGTTTATTGGCAAGATCGTGCCTGTAAACTTTGCACAGGAGACTATGGCCGGCTTCTGTCTGTAAAGAGGGGAGCCCACCCTACCAAAATAAGCATGTGTTAAGTTTGCCGTGAATCCCATGAGAAAGTGCATAGAGGGTCTATTATAAGTCTTCGTTTTTTTAATGAAAAATACTCTGAAAAAGATAAGAAAATTGACACAAAACAGGTAACAAACATAGTCTATAGACTTTTAAAGGTAAAGACCAGTATTGGAAACGCCCCAATTTCAAAAAATGAAATGGAAGCTCTTATTACCAATCATGTGAAAGAATATGTTTTGAATAATACATGATAAAAATTTTGACGGAAAACCGCCTACTAATTGATATATTTGGTAAATTAGTGTATCTCTTGCCTGTTGAGAGATACAAATGCATGTGTCGCGATGTGTGTGTAGTCCCATATACATCTTTCTGTGTACAGTGATTCTAACTTTATGAAGACTTGGCCAAATTTCTTATCATTTTGATGATTCCAGAACCATGCAGTACATCTAGAGTAAAGGAGCCGGTTTTCGGCCACTTAAGACAAAATCCTATTTTTGGACCCTTTACTTCCTATTTATTATCATTTTTTGTTCAAATCATGAAGCAAATATTATTATTATTTAAACAAAACAAGAATCCCAGAAAAAAATCACGAATTGCCATATTCATTTCAATTTTCACTGTTTCGGAGTCAGTTTTCGGCATAGCGTACCAGTTTTCGGCCGCATGTACAAAGTCAATAGGAAGCGCGTTTCCGCGCTGATCTATAGCACTAGCGGGCGGAGCAGATATCCCACGCCGGAGCTCGCCAGGCCGAAAACTAGTACTGTGGTGATCGGATATTGGAATCTGAATTAGACAGAGATATCCTGTGTGTGTTACGGTGTGCGGCTGCATTGATTTAATACATACGATGAGATACTTTTGAGCTTGCGACTAGCACAAAATCGGGCTCTAAATCTGAAAAATACTTGAAATAAAGCTCATTTTATGGTACCCATATTTCTTACAGACACGCGTAAGATACTCAATTTTTCAGATTCGGGTAGCGGGACCGCCGATTACATCGCTAAAATGTGATATTTTAGGATATATTTTTTATTGCAAATGTGGTTCTTCAGTGACACTGGCATGGTATGGTATGTGTGGGATATGTGTTATGCTATTATGCGATGTATTTTAGAGGGATTTTACCTTGCATCCAACCAATCGGCCGAAAACTGGAGCTGGCCGATTACCGGCTCCTTTACTCTATGCTAGATGATCAACCTTTTCTGATCGATTTCACAATGTTTCTTTCACAATGCAATCGCATGACCATAACTGGTCTTTAGCTTTAAATCATGACCTTTATTTGGGCATTTGATGAATATTTACTTCATTTTGGGTATGTTTTACTATCTCCAAGCTGGAGTCATGGGTCAAAGTTTGGATAAACTTCTGAACTAGCACTAGACAGCAATAACCATCTGATTTGGGTCATTTCTTTAATAAAACTGACATTTGTTGTCATTCCCCAATACAGATGGCAACCCAGAGATCTCGTACCGTGGGGGTGGCTATGTACATATTTTCGTCCACGACATTTTCTCCCCGATTTTCTTTATTTAGATCTAATTTCCTGATTTCTAAATCAGATGTAAATTAGGTCGGTATGTCATTTGTCCTAATTACAGTTATCAAAATTTGATAACTCAATATTAAATGGATAATTTACGGACTTACTTATATGAATTATCCAATTTGTATCTCCGAACGTTCATGCACTCGGAACATAGGGCTATATGACCCGGCGGCCAAAATATTTCCGGGTCAACCTACCAAAACATAGCCAAATGGCCAATCAGAGCACTCGTTTCGTGGGAGTTTGTTGGTCAAGCTGGGCTTACTCGTACAGAGCTACGGTAGCTATTGGACGTTCGAAAAGAAAAAATGAATATTCATCAACTAACACCAAGACGGATAATGTTGACGACGAGACTTTCTCGGATTAATCATTAATTTAGGATCTAAATGAGCAAGCTATCGTAAGTCAAATAAGCTACAGTGTATATATATGTTATTTTTAATTTGTGTTATAATTGCAGCAGTTATGAGGATGTGAGTGAAAATCTCGTTGCATATCTCATTGATCGCGGTCATGTCGAACCGAACCATTTATTCCATACAGTGCCTCACAGAAAGAGGTCCCCAGACTTCAGTCTCTATAATCGGAGGTCTAGTGGAGCCAGACGTAGTCTCAGTTGAACAACCGACGATTAGAGAGACTGAAGCTTTCGGTCTAAACTAGCACCTACTATTCCACAGAGCGGCGGGGCCCATCGGTGCCGCTGAAGTTCAGCAGCCAAAACTTTTATTTTATGATCGATTCTATTCAAGTTCCCTACAGGGCTAGCGCTAGCTCGGCTCGGCCTCGCATTTGGCTGGCAGCAAGGCCAAATTCACCCCCAAGTCCGAGTTAGCACGACTAGACTTCTAGTAGACCTAGGCTAGATCTATAGCCACAGGCTTAAAAAGTTTATCCCTTGCCTGCACGACTTCTAGTAGACCTAGGCTAGATGATAGATCTATAGCCACAGGCTTAAAAGTTTATCCCTTGCCTGCCAGTGGGCTTGGCTTGGAGCCCTGCGCTACTCCGCCTGGCCTGGCCTTACCCCTGGAGTGGCCCCTGGGAGGGGACAGTCGGGCATGTTGTGTGTACGACTGAACAGCCGTGCCGCAGACACACAGTCACTGCAGTCGACAACAGCAATTTTATTGGGAAGATAAATGACGAATTTTGATTACTCACCTACTAAGCACACCAATATGAGGTTTCACAGAAGCTTGTATGGCAAACCGAGATGCTTGTGACAGGAGAGAAAAGCTTGATTTCAATTTTGCAGCCATGTTTACGATGTTTCTGGGAAAGAAATCCCTACAAAATTCGTAGATTTTGTTTTGGGATTGAATCTATGGTAGCTTGAGTTTATAAATAGAAAGGAATTTTTTGCTTCAGTTGAGTGAATCATAAAATACAAGAAATGAAACAAGAGCTGGTAGACTGATCCGTCTTAACTTTGTCAGGATTAATTAACTGTTTGGTTAAGACAATTGTGGTTTGCAGAAGTCTTATTTTTTTACAATTTGAATACCTGTAATTATGTCCCCCCCCCCAAATAATAACTTGATCCAAAATAACGTATGATATGAATTATGCATGATGCAAAATACTTATTTGGTTGTTCAGAAAATGTGTAATTAAAATTGATAGAACCCCCAAGCATACCCAGTAATTTAAATACCTGAAAATTATGTCCCCCCAAAATAAGAACTTTATCCAAAATAATGTATGAATGATGCAAAATACTTTTTAGTTGTTCGATCAGAAAATGTTCAATTAAAATTGAGTATATACCTGAAAATTATGTCCCCCCATACAATAATAAGAACTTATCCAAATTTTTTTTTTTTAATTTATTTATTTAGAATGGTTTATTTCATTAAAAAACATTCGCGGCCCGAGAGCCGAATTGCAGTTTCTTTTACAAGGTATACATCAGTGACAAAGTAAAATTACACGTAAAACATTATGCATGGTAGCATTATGGTAGTAAAATTGGAATTCTTTGGTACAAATGATATATAATTATGCTTCAACGACCTTGGCAAATTACTTGGTACATATACAGAAATTCGAATTGTATTACCATATTTGCAATAAAATGATATATTAAACTTATACAATACATGAATAGCAATACATTTTTGATATTCAAAAAAATTAAATGTTTTGGTTGGAAAATGCATAGCCAGAAAAAAATCACGTATGAATGATGCAAAATACTTAATTAGTTGTTTGATCAGGAAATGTGTAACTAAAATTAAGTAGAATCCCTAAGCATACCCAGTAATTTAAATACCTGAAAATTATGTCCTCCCAAAATAAGAACTCTATCCAAAATAACGTATGAATGATGCAAAATACTTATTTAGTTGTTCGATCAGAAAATGTGTAATTAAAATTCAGTAGAATCCTTAAGCATACACGGTAATTCAAAAATGTAGTATTGATTAAACCCTAAAATTTAGGGTTTAATCAATACTACATTTTTGAATGATGATTATCATAGTCTATGCTCAAGAATTTCATTAAGGTCAGTCACTGTTTACTGCCTATGTCACATAATTGTGTGTTTTATAATCACCATGCATCATTCTCATAGTCCAAACAAAATACAAAACATAAAGATAAAAACAAAAGTTTGATTGTTCAAGTCTAATCCTGACATTTAAACTGCACACGCAGATTTATTTGGCAAAACTGTTGTATACTGTCACACAAACTAAACAGGATATGAAGTTACTGTTTTCCATGGTTACAATTTAATAGACATGTCATTGATGGTTGGAAACAGGGGTGATTTCAGTTCACTTTTGGAGCCTAACATTGGTAGGTAATACAATGGAAATATGTTGATATGAAAATTGAGTTATATAGCTCAATTTTCATATCAACATATTTCCATTATATAAATTAATAATTCAAAAATATTGAAGCTTTTATTTACTGCCACTAATATTTATGTTATTCAAACATACTTTCGACTAACACTGGTCCAACACTTGTCAGTTGTTTACCGGTATTACAGGCACCAAAGATATACATGTATCCACTGCCACTCCCAACATAATTTCTTTTTTAGTTCTTATATATAATACCGGCTGCCAACCTTTCACAGCAACAGAACAAAAATCTCTCAAGGCAAACTTCGAAATACAAAATATCTTTTGAATATATATTTATCACTGACACAGAATATTTCATACAAAAAAGAGGAATATAGGGTTCAAAACAATAGCTTGAAGGCCAAAAAATGGAATCGTTCCTCCAAAAAAGGAATGGTTGGCAGCTATTATATATGTGAAATAGTGAACAATAGGTATCAGTAGATAATTGGTAACAGCTTGCAGTGCCAGCAGTCCGATAAGGTTCATAAAGTAGAGGTGTTGTGGTCTATTGGATAAGTCACCCCACTGCAGATCCGCACAAAGTACGGGGTTCGAGTCCCGCGGCGGCACTAATGTCCTTTGGCAAGACGTTAATCTACATTTGCCACTCTCCGCCCTGGTGTTAAATGGGTACCTAGTAGCTAGATGCAAAGTTAATGTGGTTAGATAGTTAGTGTGCTCTTGTAAGAATTAAGCCTGGCTGGAATGATCCCCAGGAAGTGGAAAATGTGTGCATGCATTGTATGCTGGTAAGCCTGAATCTGATAACCAGGGTAATGATATATCTGTAAAGTGCTTAGACACATCGTTGATGTATTAAGCGCTAAAAGCAGAATATTATTAAGAAGAGTCCAAATCAAAAAGACCAATGGAATAGGTTCCCTGCTGCTCAGATGATGCTAAACATCCTTTTTCTATTTGAAAATTTAAAAAAAAAGTAGTTGTGAAAACAAGACAATGGAATGAAATATTGGAATGTATTTGACTATGACATAATAGCTAGCAAATTTCTCAGGATTTAACTTGCTTCTATGAAAATTCATCTTCAATTAACTTCATAAAGTAATTCAAGGAACCAAAATACATTAAAGTCACATAGCAGTCAGCTCTCAAGGGGAATTCGACACTGTTCGGGTTTTTACCTGATGCAGGTGTTGTCAATCACCAGGGTTAGCCTTCAGTTTAGCATGACCATTAGATCTTATGTAATGCTTCGCTTTTCCCTCACCGAAGCTCTCCCAGCGATTAGGGGGTAATTTTTGACTGGCCAACGGGTTTGCTGTGTGCAGATTTGTACTCCCATTAATGGTATTTCCACCAAGTCTGGTCTCAGCGAATTATGGCCTTCTACACATGGAAACTGCCGATCCAGTCCCTTTAAATGTACAATTGTACAATAAATCTTCTAATCTTATCTTCATCATAGATGACCATTCTATATTTGTTGTTACATTATTACAGTTAACTGTCCTACCAATATTGTTTTTTCTGAAAACTTTACCACATATCATCTACATATGAAAACAAACAATATATACTTTGCAAAGATATTACTTCAATATTCATAAAACCAACATCAAATGATAACAGAAATTGAAAAACGTGTAACAAACTCACACACACAAGGCTAAAGTTCAAGGTGAATAATTAACTGTTATTTATCTATACATCTTTATATTCATTAAAAATATTTAGAATGATCTATTGATGAATAAATAGGCAGATAATACAAATATGTACACTTTCAATTTACATACACAATTATAAACAAATATTGGCTTACTCTACAGACATGCAAATCAGTGATATATTATCCAATTATGAATCAAACTTTTCCATGACTTTGGACTGTTGTATAAATACATGCCTATTAATTTCAATACGAGAACAACAGCACATTACTTTATCAATATAACAACAGGAGTGCTTGCTCTCATCGACAGTGAACATACCTTTTCTGTCAATTTAGATTTAGACAGCATATTGGTAAATCAACATACTCTTAGAGATATACATCATGGTATTCAATCACAGTGATGACAGAGAACAAAATAACATTCTTTTAATGCAGCATCGCAATTAAAGAAAATTTACACAGGATAAATACGTATTAAGATAGAAATGGAATGCTTTGAAGAAAAAGGAAATAAAAGTGAGAACCACAAAATAAATATATTTTCACACTTCCGAAGCATGTAAGGCTTTCTAATTGAATACTGGACCTTGTATGTACAAAAAAGCATTATTAATACACCAATATTACTACTTCCAGAATAAATATACACAACTGTGAATTGAACATTAAACGTTAAAACCATCCAACAGTATCTCAACCAGTAACGTTATTACAGTTTGTGATTTTTTTAATTTTTTTTTTTTTTTTGGGGGGGGGGGGGGAGGGGGTCATCCAAAAGATTCTATCATGATAATATTCATTCATTTATTTAAAATCGACTGGGAAATTTTGAGAAAATTATTCTAGACTTCTTGAAAAGATATTCATTCCAAGTCAAGTTTTGTTACAGGCTATCTTCTATTTAAATACTGTCACAAGGGCTGAAAGTACACAGTATAATATAGTACATGAACTTAAGTTTTGATAATTTTTTTCACTATGGAATGTAATCCAAGACAATTTCATAAATCATTGTTTCCATATTAATTGTTACTAACACCATTTTTTTGCAGAGAATCATAAGAAATAACAAGCAGCCTATTATAGTACTGTAAATTTCACTGATTTTTACTACAATTTTGAAACCTATTTTTCTCTCACATCAAGTATACACAACACTTATCTTCAATACTCTCATTCCTAAATTATTGGAAAACAGAAAACACATCATACTCTGAAAACATTGTTTTGATAGAAAGATGAAATTTCAAGGCTGTGAGAAGTAAATCTTCAAAGTAATGGCAATACTTTTCAGTACATATAATACTTAGTACTGTAATTATTTACAAAGCTAATCACTTCATTACTTTACACTCAACTCACAATGTGTAATCCAAATCTTTTAAAGCCCCACTGCACTACTCAAAGCTACTTGCGCCCTCTATGTAGCAAGCAATGTCTCATCGGTGCATGTTGGTCCCCCATGATCCCCTTTTTCTTATGTTAATTGAGGGCTGTTTTGATGAGATAACCACCTGTCAGTGACCTTACAGGGAGGTCTAATACCCCCTGGCCAAACTAGTACAGATGGGCTTTAAATCTACAGGGTTGATACCATGTCAGCAGATAAGCATATAAATATATCCTATGTCTCTTTCACTGCCGCTGACCTCTAACACTTGCCTCTGGAGTAAATTGTCATATGGTCTACACCTGTTTGGTCAACTTTCAGTTGGTCTAATATGTTACACAGCGCATCTAAATCTCTTTTGACTACCATCCACAAGGACTAATGGAGTAGATAACACAATGAGTGGCCCAACTGGTCATTAGACCTAATGATTAAACAGTAAATCAACTGGGTACATACAAGATATAATAAGAAGAACTGGGTATAAGATAAAGTGGCTGTAGACCATATAACACTACTGTCCATGCTACACCCCATCTTCACTTAACCCATAGTCTATCAAATTCTTTCATTCCAAGAGACTGAATACAGGGACCATCTATCTCCCGAAGGCAATTGGTTAACAGTCGCCCTTGGCATTTATTTATCATCTAGCACTACCCCCTCTCTTGACGAGGCTCAACAGTTTGGAGGAATGGTGCGAAACTGCGCCGGCGCTGTTGCATTCAATCACATCAGCCTAACTGAACAGTAAACGAACTGGGTATATAGGCGAAATGGTATTAGACAAACTGGATATAAGACACAGTGGCATCCCTAGTCAAAATGGGCTCTGGAAAAATATATTTTTTTCCTATTTTTCACTATTTATTTCCTATTTTTATGTGAATGTACCCTATTTAAACACTATTTTTTTATTAAAAATAGATTAAAAATAGCATATGACAGCCTATTTTTTTTCTATTTCTAGGAATTGGTGGTTTGATAACTATTTTTTACCTATTTCTTCCTATTTTTTTACTATGTTTTTGGACTTGGATTTTTTTCTGCCATTTTCTTCCTATTTTTTACCTATTTCTTACTATTTTTTCCCTATTCTTTTCGACTTAGTTTTTTTGTCACCAGATTTTGTCCTATTTTTTCACTATGTTTCTGGACTTTGATTTTTTCACCCATTTTCTTCCTATTTTTTTTACTATGTTTTGGGACTTAGATTTTTTCTGCCATTTTCTTCCTATTTTTAACCTATTTTTTCCCTATTCTTTTCGACTTAGATTTTTTGTCACCAGATTTCGTCCTATATTTTCACTTTGTTTCTGGACTTTGCCCTTTTTCACCCATTTTCTTCCTATTTGGCTATGTTTTGTACTTAGATTTTTCTCTGCCATTTTCTTCCTATTTTTTTACTATGTTTTTGGACTTAAATTTTTCTCTGCCATTTTCTTCCTATTTTTTTACTATGTTTCTGGACTTTGATTTTTCTTACTCATTTTCTTTCTATTTTTTTACTATGTTTTTGTACTTAGATTTTTCTCTGCCATTTTCTTCCTATTTTTTTACTATGTTTTTGGACTTATATTTTCTCTGCCATTTTCTTCCTATTTTTTATGTTTTTGGACTTGGATTTTTCTCTGCCATTTTCTTCCTATTTTTTTACTATGTTTTTGGACTTAGATTTTCTTACTCATTTTCTTCCTATTTTTTTACTATGTTTTTGGACTTAGATTTTCTTACTCATATTCTTCCTATTTTTTTACTATGTTTCTGGACTTTGATTTTCTTACTCATTTTCTTCCTATTTTTTTTTACTATGTTTCTGGACTTATATTTTTCTCTGCCATTTTCTTCCTATTTTTTTACTATGTTTTTGGACTTATATTTTTCTCTGCCATTTTCTTCCTATTTTTTTACTATGTTTTTGGACTTAGATTTTTCTCTGCCATTTTCTTCCTATTTTTTTACTATGTTTTTGGACTTCAATTTTCTCACCCATTTTCTTCCTATTTTTTTAGGGTTAGGGACTTAATTTTTTTATCACCATTTTTTCCCTATATTTTGTTTACTATGTTCACAGACTTAATGGATTTTGTCACCTTTTTGCTTTTAATATAGGCCGATATTTGATTTTTAAGGTTGTTGAAACTTTTTTACACTTTATAAATATATATTTGTACAATTCAAAACATATTTCACAATATAACTATAATGTTAACAAAAATTGCGATATTTCGTCTTTTAAAATGAAAAAAATAAATAAATTCAAAGAAGATTTGGACAAATTACTGGCCCTCCTTAGAACTCAACTCTTCCTTTAAGGGAGCATAATTATTTCGTAGGCCTGTGAACATTTTAAGGGAGCATAAATATATCGTATAGGCCTGTGAACATTTAATCAAGAATTAAGAATGTTTTAATTTTATCTTTAAATGAACTGACTATCGATTTTGAATATTTCAAGTAAAAAAAGTATGTAATTAGCAAAAGAATTAGCTTACTACTATAGTGTTATAGTGACTAGAACTTATCCAATTGGATGTAATTGTAACAATTTTCCCCATAATAAATACAAAGGTGAAAGGGTACTCTTCAAAAATGTTGAATCATAATGAAAAACACAACTAAATGTGTGCTGCCATCTAGTGGTAGAAAGCGAATAGGCCAACCGGTAGTTTATTTTCAAATTCAAATCTTCACTCAGACTCTGTGATGATCAGCTCAACGGCGCATATTTCAATCATTACTTTGCCATTTCGCCAGACTTGTCTTCCTGTAAAACCCACAGTATGGGTAATAAGGGGTAGATTTACACCAGGAAAGGACAATTTCAAGAGTAATTCCAGGGCAAGAATTGAAAGAACAAAATGAAAGGATCGAATTTATTACCAAGATTAGGCCTACAGTCCCACACTAGCACTCTTGTGTTGGAGAAATACGATCAACTTGCTTTGCACTAGTCTACATGCACTGGACTGCTACTGCTAGCTGCTGGAGCTACTTTAAAGATCTTCATTTTGAAGGTGAGTAATAAAATTACACACAATTCAATACGAAATTGAGTTTGCTTTCTGTACAATTAAATTAGGAAATTGGTTAAGTAAATCTTGATTTTGTAAATTTATTTGGTTCATGAAAAAATCCAAACCATCATCAAACTGATCACAGTTGACGAAGATCGTAGATTATATTCCCTAGTAGTATGTCTACATAATTTACATAGTCACCTATATATCTGTGTTTACGTAAGGCTTTTCATTGGAAGTGAACAATCAAACATGACGAATCTCATTAAAGAATGGAATTAGCGTATTATAGTAGGTCTACTCATTCACAAATATATTTGAGCAAATTAACGCAGTGCAGTGTAGGCTAGATTCCGCCACATGCGCGTGCTGGCTGCATGGTAGTTGGTAAGACATGTGAACGCATGTGGATATATAGCATCTCCATTGAACACATGGCACAGGATCTGCACTCGTTTTGAATGAATTGCAATTCTTTACACTTTTTACAGCCAGGTAGAAATTTCATAAGCCAATAAATCATCCTAAATCATACGTGCAAGATTTTCTTGCATATTTTTAACAGAAATTGAATGGCAAAGTTGATTCTTAGAAGCCGTACATTTGTATGTCACATACACTGTATATATTATGTGTGTTATGATTTTTTTTCCATCACAATCCCGCATTCAATTGGCTGTGCAGATCCTGCATGCACATGTAGGTGTATTGCATCATGCATGACCATATAGTTGCAAAGTATAGCTCATCATTCAATCATCATAATTCATACATGTAAGTAGTCAAGCATCTATCATGTCATGAATTTGTGAAGGATGCAAGTAACTGTAGTTCTTACATGAATTTCATTTGTACAGTGTACATTCCACGTTCAACTCTTAAATTTTCCTAGATTTGATTTGAAAGCATAATAGAATACTACAACCTGCTTATTTTTTTTTTACTTATTATTTTTTCTTCTTCAGGGTATCTTAGCTTCGGCTGCTGGAAAGTCATCAACTTGGACTGTGTGGCACTGGCACCCTTGTCTTCTAGAGTACATGTACATACAGTCTTAATTTGTTAGACTGAACTGTCCAACACACATCTAGGAAATGCAAGACATGGGTGAAAGTATTAGAATCATACATGGTTAATGACTTATTGTTCATCTGTAATTAATGGAAAGCATTTCAAAATGATGCCAATAATGCCGTCCAACAAACATTCAGCAAGTACTTCCAGGTTGCCTCGCCCTGCCACAATCAAACATGTGTTCGCGGTCGGAATGAATCTGAGACATAAATCTTCAATACACAGCTTAATTTTTATGCCTCCGTTACGAAGTAGCCGGAGGCATTATGTTTTCGGGTTGTCCGTCCGTCCGTACGTCCGTACGTACGTACGTACGTACGTACGTCTGTACGTACGTACGTCCCGTTCTCGTGATCGCGTTATCTGAAGAACTGGTTGATGGATTCCTGCCAAACTTTGGTCATGTATGTATCTTGTAGAGCCGATGAACTGATTAGATTTTGGGGTTACGAGGTCAAAGGTCAAAGGTCACAGGGCTCATTATGTATGCAAAACGAGCTCGTGATCGCGTTATCTGAAGAACTGGTTGATGGATTCCTGCCAAACTTTGGTCATGTATGTATCTTGTAGAGCCGATGAACTGATTAGATTTTGGGGTCACGAGGTCAAAGGTCAAAGGTCACAGGGCTCATTATGTATGCAAAACGAGCTCGTGATCGCATTATCTGAAGAACCGATTGATGGATTGCTGCCAAACTTAGGTCATGTATGTTACTTGCAAAGCCAAAAAACTGATTAGATTTTGAGGTCACGAGGTCAAAGGTCAAAGGCCACAGGGCTCATTATGTATGCAAAACGAGCTTGTGATCGCGTTATCTGAAGAACCGATTGATGGATTGCTGCCAAACTTAGGTCATGTATGTTACTTGCAGAGCCGATGAACTGATTAGATGTAGGGGTCACAAGGTCAAAGTTCAAAGATCACAGGGCACATTATGTATGCAAAAACAGCTCGTGATCGTGTTATCTCAAGAACCGATTGATGGATTCCTGCCAACTTAGGTCATGTATGTTTCTTGCAGAGCCAATGAACTGAGTAGATTCTTGGTTCATAAGGTCAAAGGTCATGGGCTCATTATGTATGCAAAAATAGCTTGTAATCACAATATTCTGAAAACCTGTTAATGGATTACAATTGAACTTGAATCTGAAAAATTTCTTCTGTTTTGGTTTGTAAAATTGCTCTATGACGGAGGCATCATTTTCGACTGCGCGCAGTCGAAGTTCCATCTAGTTACCAAGGCAATCTTAACAAACACAAATTGAATTACCTATATACATGTATTGATGTATATATATATATATATATTCTATATCTGCGTATGAATATTTTTGTATAACTTTGTTTCACTATACTCTTTGCCTTGTCAGCTCACGTGTACTATGTAGTTGATGCCAGTATTATGTAACACTTTATAGATGTGTATTCATGTAACAGTAATAAAGCTTTGTCTTAGTATTCATTTAAAGTTTTAAAGACATCTGAAGACTATTCATGTTTGACATCCTTATGACACTTGACAGATAGACCAAGTTGCCAGTGCTATTAACACTTTTTACATTGTTATAGATGTGAACTATACCTTTGCCTTCACATGTTTTCATTTATAGACATTTTTAAAGATTTTGTTTAGACTGTTGAAACTTGCCAGATAGCCTTGCTACTGGTATCATGTAACACTTTATAGTCATGTATAAGCTGTTCAATACTGGTTCACATCCTGTATATATGCTAGTATTTTATTAGCCAAAAATGTGAAAATTCATTTTTTTTTTTTAAATTCTAATATCTTACATTCAGATTAGATTTACATTATAATAGTTTCGTTTACACAACTAATACATATATATATATATGTGAACCCAATATCTGCAATTTTTACCAGTGATTATATAGGGAACAATTTAATGAAGAAGAAAAAGATATATTTTTTTTCTTTCTTGCGTTTATGTTTACAAAGACCTAGTACTACCTTTGCGTAATATTTGTATCATTTATAAGACGGGTATATGCCAATCGGTTTGCCAAAGATACATAATATTTACCGGCCGTTCTTACCTCTAAATCCAAAATTTTCTATATGAAATGCTGCTCAAGTTTTGTAAGTGTGACTTTTGTAAATATGTTTTAATAGTTTGTGGACTGTTTGTTTAGTATTCTCATTCACCATATGGGTGTACATTGCATGTGATATTTTATGTAATAAAGTGTTCTAACGTTTCAAACTGAAATAAAAATGTGTTTGCATTTTATTTATCTTGTACATCTGGCAGCAGAAAAAAAGGATAGAAATATTTTAGTGTATTTATTTTCCCCCTATTTTATTCCTATTTTAGTTTTTACTCGGGTAATATGTGGACGGGGATTCGACTAATCCAATTATTTTGTACATGTGCGCATGACATGCACCTACATGCATATATTGTACAACAAGGTGCTACAAAGTAGAACTTGACAGAGATTTAATTGCTACCAAACAATTATACAGTACACCAATCATTCAATTAATATTCCATTTTTTTTAAAATAGATTTTAAATATATTTGGTTTGTAAAAAAAAATATGTTAGAAATATATTTCAGAAAAAAATATGTCTGAAATATATTTATAAACTATTTTTATTTCAACGCTATTTAAGTCTCCTATTTTTTTCCTATTTTTGTTCCAAAACTATGCTGTTTGAAATAGCTTTTTGGGGTATTTTTAGGGGACGAGAAAAATAGGGAAAAAATATATTTCAAAACTATTTGTGGCTTTATTTTTTTCCTATTTTTTGTTCCAAAACTATAGCAATTAAATAGCTTTTTTGGGGGATGAGAAAAATAGGAAAAAAATATATTTCAAAACTATTTGTGGCTTTATTTTTTTCCTATTTTTAGGGGACGAGAAAAATAGGAAAAAAATATATTTCAAAACTATTTGTGGCTTTATTTTTTTCCTATTTTTTGTTCCAAAACTATAGCAATTAAATAGCTTTTTTGGGGATGAGAAAAATAGGAAAAAAATATATTTTTGCATTTATTTTTCCCCTATTTTTTTTCTATTTTTTTCCTATTTATTTTTTACTAGGGATTAGCCCAAATGACACAACTGCTCCAACATTTTCCATTCAACAGTCACCCTTGGCATTTATTTATCATCTAGCACTACCCCCTCGCTTGAGGAGGCTGAGGAGTTTGGAGGAATGGTGCGAGATGGCGCCAGCACTGTTGCGCTCACTCCTGGCAGAAGAGGGCAGGCTTCCTGGCGTGGTGATCCCCGAGGAGCGGATACTGTCGACGAGGGTCATAAGCTTCTCTGGAGCCTTGGCCTTGAGTAGGGCCTGCATGGTTGGAAGGACAGCATGGAAAGAATTATTTGTAAAATGGATCAAATATACTTTTCAAATTCATCCAGTCTTACTAAATACTTTCAAATACGATAAATGCTTGTGTGTTTCTTGCATGATCACAACATTGCAATGCGCTGTAAAAACTCAGCTGAACTGGTTTGTCAGAGTTTAAAGTTGCCTATCAAAATATATTCTGATTCATGGCTCCATATCATATATTCCTAAAAATCCTTAATTGGCCAATTTGAACATCACTCAATTATTTCACTTTGATATAAAAGATGAATAATAAAACTGATTTCTACTGATACTAAAAAGCAACATGTACATCTACATAGTCTTAGTGTCGCATCCTGCTAAAACAACAGTTTTATAAATAAAGAATGATTCGCTTTTCAAACTCTATCTTCTCTGGTCGGAGTGTCTTTGAAAAAAAACAGCACACCAACCCCTTTCCTGACTTACCTGTCTGAGAGGGGCATGTCTGGCATGCGTCCTGAGGGCCACGAGGGCTACCTCCTGCACGCTGAGCTGGTTGTCATGGTGAGCCGATTCAAGGAGACTCTCCGCGACCTTGCACTTGAGGAGCTGGGAGCACAGCTTGGCCGAATGTCGGGCAAGGTTCCCAAGAGCTCCTGTTATGTACAAAAAACAAGATGAAGTTTTTGTTGAACCTTTCGCAAAGACAAAGATCAACTGTAAGTTGGACTTCTATGGCAGGCCATTCATGCCACTGTTTTCTCTCACAGTTTACTGGCACCGGTCTCTCAAGGGACGTACAAATCATGATTTTTTTGATAATTAATTATTGAACGGGAAAATATTATCTACAGATCATAATGGTGTGAGCAAACAGTGGCATGAATGGCCTGCCATAGTTAAGTCCAACTTAAAGTCGATCTTAGTAATCCCCTAGGATACAAAGTGCTTTTGCTAGTATGTGAATGAATAAGTTACATGGCAAACTCTATGATTCTTCCCCCCCCCCCCCACCCCCAAGGCTGTTTGGACTGACCAAGGCTCAGTCTCATAAAACTTCTTATCTATAACAAATGCTGGAATTCTATGACAAAATTACTCTCAGCCAATCAAATGCAATGATTTCAGTAGCTTATAACAATCATTGTATCTCGAACAATCAGTACTGCCGAGTCCTCCTTTGTACCCTTTTCATCTTCAGTTGTTGGCTACAAATTATCATCCAAATAACATCAGGCCTACATATTAGTGAAACCTGTATATAAAGACGACTCAAGGGAGACAAGAACAGCAGTCTTTATAGGAAGGTCGTCTTATGTACATTTTTCTTGAGTACAGGTTTCGACGAGAAGGGAAACCAAAAGGTGTGGTCTTTATAGACAGGTGTTTTCTAAAGCAGGTTTCACTGTATTATCCTCTTCTACTTGAGTTATTTCACAATATCAGATACAATTACAAGTATTATGATCACATCAATGTAGAACATTCAACTTTACAGTAAGCATAGTACATTTCAGGATGAAAAAATAAAAAATAAACACAAAGAAGAGAACAAAAAGAAACAAAGAAAGGCAACCTGAAAAAAGAGAAGAACGAACTCACATACAAAGGTAGAATGTCATGTGCCTGGGCGAAGATTGCAAACACAAATTTCTCAACTCTTTAAGATTGGTTGCTAAACTAATTACCTATCACTGTGAACAATGTATGATGTAAGCACTGAAATGTGTTGCGTTGATATTGTGAATGATTGACCGTAATTTGGAATTTTCCTTTCTTGAAATATACATGTAAATACTTTTGTCCATACGTCCATTTGCACCCCTTCTGTTTGGCACATGAGAAGATTCAAGAATTTTAAAACAATATTTGCATGTTCTACTGACCTGCAGCATTGGTTCTAATCCTAGTAACAGGATCTGATAGGAGTTGGACCAGGACTGGGATGACAGGGGCCAGCTTGTCATAGAGATCTCCGCTGTGATAGGCAGCATTTCCAATAGCATATGATGATGACTGCATAGAGGGAAATGCAAGAAAGTATATTAGTTGGTTGACCGGCTTGGAAAAATAACCGTCTCCGAAATCAATCATGACTCACTGATTTCATTTAATTTATTTTGTTCAGTTCTCAATACAAATAAGATCAGTATACATTAAAAAATACATGAAGAAATATGATATTATTTTAAACAGAACTGACCAGGGCCCCAAGATATTAAAGCAAAGCTTGATGCCTTGTACAAACAGACTCACTGATTGTTCAGTTTGACCATTCATGAGCTCACTTTCTTCATTTGAAGATTCCTTTTCAATGCCAACAGTGAACTCATTTATTCATCTATCAATTGTCCTGTGTTTACCTATTTTCTTTTGTAATTCATGTTCATGAGTGTATCAACTTTTCTCAACATCATTCATTTTTTTCCATTATTGTTTATCTCTGCTTGAAATCAAAGACTTTATATTATTCTGAAAAGTTTCTTGACAAGACTGTCTGGTTATTACTACCAATCTCTCCATCTCTTTATCTATCTATCTATCTATCTATCTATCTATCCACCCATCCATCCATCCATCTTACCCGTCTGATATCAGCATCATCGCTAGAGAGCTCAGCAATGAGGTGCGCTAGAAGGTCATCATTTTTTCTAAGGACCGCGTAGAAGGCTGGAGAGTGTCTCATCATATTGCCCATTAAACCACAAGCTCTGGATTTCACCGTCTGGTTCTTACTGGTCAGCAACCCATTCAATGCTTGATAGGATCCAGCTGTCAAGAGGGAATGATTAATGGAAAAAAAAACGACTTATGACGTCTCAAGAAAAGAAAATTCAATAACCTCTGTTCTATTAACACATTTCATCTTTCTGATGTCATTATGAGCATGAAATGTCATTTTGTGTACAGGAGTAATGTTCTTGTAACTGAACTTGACGGGAGTTTAACTTTGTTCCCCTTTTGTTTCGATTTTTTAAATAGCTAAAAGAGGGAATGAAAGAGTACATGTTAACTGACAAACTGTTTAATAAATACAACCCTGGATGAAAAGGGAACTGTAATTTGTTGATAATATAGCCCTACCATTTCACTATCAGAATAAACAAATATAAAACTTTGATTTACCCGACCTCCCCCCCTCCCCCCTCCCCCAACCATCAGGTAACCACTTCATGGACACCGACGCTTCCTTGACAATTTAAAGGGTGTAGCCTGGTTCCTGCTACTGAGGGGCGATTACATCATGGGAGGAGGGGGAGGGGAACAGTCTTTATAGGTTGATGTGATACCATAGAAAATGGCAAATGAAAGCAATTATGGCCGAGTGGGATTGGATCATCATTTTGTTTTCATGCTTTCTCTCTCTCTCTCTCTCTCTTTCTTTAACCTTTGCTACTTCATGTATTAAATGAAAGGCACTTGTGTCATTAGGGGGCACTGATATAACAAGTGAATAAAATGCCAAAGAATATGACTGCTGAAAGAGGAGAGAATCTTACTTCAGTCTTTATTTTCCACACTTCCCTTTCAATCTCTCTTTCTCTCTCTCTCTCTACCCCCCCCCCCCCCCCCCCTCCCACTCCAAATGATCAACAGGGAACCAGCCCCAACCCCACTCGGTTTCACCGCTGACTGCTCCGGCGCACACCTTTATCTCCTGACAGGATGGCTTTGAGCAGCATGAGATGATGTGCCCCACTGCGAGCGAGATGGCTGCAGATAGAGAGCATGTCACAACGGACCTCCGTCGGAGCATCACTGGACAGCAGACTGCTCAGGTAGCTCTCAGCCTGGAAATAATGGTAAGGAAGCATGCAAATTGTCAACAATCATTATTTAAACAATGGCAGCACACCATCTTGGCAGTATTCGTAATTCAGGGTTAGATTATCTATGTTTATCAATGTACTTGCAATGTTTGATACAGTAGACTACTAAGGAAGCTCTCAGCATAGAAATACATGGTCAAGAAATCATGCAAATTGGCAACAATGATACTTTAAAAAATGGCAGCACACCTGACTAGCAGTATTGCTACCAATGGGTCAGATTAAAAATGATATCAACATACTGGTACTTGCAATGTTTGACACCGACTATTTCGGCTATTTACCATGCATGCATATATATATATATATATATATATATCAATCAATCAACCAATAAATCAATGCTTACCTTAAATTTGGTGACACATTCACAGAATTGGGTAAGGAAAGCCTCCTCACTTAGAACAAGTCTTGAAAGAACTCCTATATGGAAACAGAATAAATTACCTAGTGTTAGTAGTGACTGGGAGAACGTGTAGGAAAGTAAACGAGATAAAGGTTTCAGCATGATTATAGAACATCCATACAAAATATGGATTAAATCATCAAATTGGCAACACAAAGTCCAATCCAATGTTGTTCCTCATGCCAGAAATTTGGGGGTTGTCTTTGACCAGCACATCACCTTGAAAGAACATATAAAAACTGTTTGCAAATCAGCAATGGCAGGAATCAGGTGCATAAGTAAAATCAGATGTTTCCTCTCGAAGCAAGGTGCACTCACTCTGGTGCATGCATTTGTGACAAGCAGATTAGACTCCTGTAACAGCTTGTTGTTTGGACTTCCCGCAATTGACATTCACCGGATCCAGATGATACAGAACATTGCAGCGAGACTGGTCACTCGCACTCCACACCAACAAAGTATAACTAGTACTCTTAACCCTTACTGTACTGGGCTATTTTGAGCACCCACTGACTGGGGGGGGGGGGGGGGGCCTGGGAGGCCCCCCCCCCCTATGATCTCGGCCGTCGATTGTCCGATGAACACGAAAATTTGCATGTTTGTATATATCTACGTAAGGAACAAGATGGTATAATTAGTTTTTTCTGAATATGCAAATTTTTGTCGTTAGCCTAATTAATTATGCAAAATGCGCTAATTTTATGCGTTTTACAGAAAACGTGTCAAACTCCACTTTTTGAATGTGATAACTCATTATTCATATGAAACTTCTTTTTTAACACAAAAAGGTTATTTTAATGTAATTAATAATGATAATTTATGCAAATTTTGATGCGATTTTTATTTTATTTATCTTTTTTTTATGACATGCGCATACTAATTGTTATGTAACGCCTTACAGGTGCATCCGATTTCGACGAAAATGGTATCAAAATGTGCGTAAGACTTGAGGGAAAAAAGTCATGATACGACAATTCAAAATTCCAAGCGGTTGCGGCGCAATCTCTGAAAATGTCAAGGGGGGGGGGGGCCTCCCAGGCCCCCCCCCCCCCAGTACAGTAAGGGTTAAGAAACTACACTGGCTTCCTGTAGATATGCGCATCATATTCAAACTCTTATTAATTACATTTAAAGCACAACATAGTTCTTCTCCTTCATACCTGACTGATTTGCTCAAACAATACCACCCATCCCGAACCCTCCGTTCAAGCAATCAAGCATTACTTTGTGTACCAAAAACCAATACTATATTCTATGGGGGCAGATCATTTGCAGTAGCTGGACCAAACCTTTGGAACAATCTCCCCAATTTCATACGACAGGCACCCACTTCTGCAACATTCAAATCTTCACTAAAAACGCACCTCTTTGGCCTTAATTAATTAGTTTAAGCTATCCTTACTTACGTTCTTTGTTTTGTTTTGACCAAGTTAGCTATCTCTTTATTATGTTATTTACTATGTTAAGTTAGTCATTTTAGTGGTATAAGATTTGTATATTTCTCTGTGTTGATTCATTTTATGTGATAATATATATGCTTGTACAGCGCAAAGAGAAACTTATGTTTATTTTGCGCTATATAAATATTGTATTATTATTATTATTATTATCTCCTGATCATAATTTTTAGCAAGGAGATTTTCAACTCACCCATGGGGACCTCGGTCATTTCCAGAGGGACGTATTTCTGGCAGGCAGAGACCAGCTTCTCAACCAGGAGACACTGCCTGAAGCTGGACAAGATGGCCGACATCATCATCTCGTGGGTGTCGAGGGCAAACGGGAAACACAGCAGCTGACACACATGGAGGACAATGTCCAGGACTAGCTCGGAGAGATTCTGCTCTTTGCTTTCACTGTGGAAACAAAATGTAACTAAACTTCAGGGGGGCGTTTCACAAAACTTGTCATTAGAGACATACCACAGTTTCTGTTATAAGCTACTGAAATCCTTGCTTCTGATTGGTTGTCAGTAGATTTGTCACTGATTTTTAACATTTATCATTGAAAAAATGCATTGTGAAACCAGCCCCAGTTCAATTCAATTCTGGGCAATGAGAGCTAATGATCTAAGATGGAATGAGAGAAGGAATGTACAGTGAAACCTGTATATAAAGACCACTCAAGGGAAACATGAAAAGTGGTCTTTATAGACAGGAGGACTTTATGAACAGGTTTCTTTTAGTACATTTTTCAATGAGAAACCATATTTGAGGGAAACAAAAAATGTGCTCTTTATAGACAGGTGGTCGCTCAAGCAGGTTTGAGTGTAGTAGGCTTTACGTGCTACGTATTAAACAACTATACAAATAAATATACAGTGGATGTGAAGAAAATAGGGGAATAAGGAAATTTATATAAAAAGGATTTCTGATGTGTTAAGGTAACATACAGGCAAGTGAATGCAAGGAAATAAAGTAAGAAAGATTTTGGTATTCAAATAAAGATGGTATGTGGGAAATGTCCACATGGAGGCATGTCCAATTTATCTAAATACTAGAATCTTGTTTTTCATTTTACCTTTCTTTGTCAAATGTATGTATCCATCATTTTGTACAATTGCTTATAGTGTTTTATGCTTTTAGTAAAATGGAGACAAATTTGAGAAAAGTGTGGGAAATCTACTAGGAGTTGAGAGGAGAAATAATGGGATGAAATTTTTAAAAAATAGATGAAGTACACTGGAAGCTGGAAGAAAATTTGAGTCATATCACGAGGATGAAAGGGAGAATGAGCTAGAAGTACAATGGTTCTTTTTATACCACAATAAATAAATAAATAAAAGTAGGTAGGAAAAAGATAAACGTGGGCTCTTACCTTGATGCTAAGATGGCAAGAAACTCATGTGAAAGCAGAGAACTTAGAGTCAACATCACCATTCCATTAGCATTGCAGAATGGAGGCACACAGTGGTATGGTTCCTGATAGGAACAAATAAGAAAAGGAAAGATACATTAAATAAACATTTATGATATGTACTGTAATTAACGGTGTATTAACCGCACGTTTTTGCTGCCGAAAAAAATTCAAAGTCGGGGGTGCGGTTTATACATGGTACACCAAAAAAAAATGCCCCTCCACCTGGCGCTATGCCTGGCAATGTCTCCCAGCTCAGTAATCGGTGTGTTGACTCACCACTCGGAAACTAGAACAACACTTAAATTTGTCTGTCATCTAGGTTTGAAAGTAATCTTTCTGATAGATTTCAATATGTAGTTTATAATAATAATTCCTCCAATTTTTCGTCTATTACATGGCATACCACAAGGTTCTATCCTAGGTCCTCTGCTGTTTTTTAAGTTTTTTTTTTTTTTTTTTTTTTTAGGCCGAAAAAGAGGGGTGCGGTTAATACACGAGTGCGGTTTATAAATCGTTAATTACGGTATTTTAATGTTTGTAAACATAACAGCTTTTCATATTTGATTATCATCATCATCATCATCATTATCATAATCTTTCATCATGATTAACATAATCAGTATCATCATCATTATCATAATCATCATCATCATCATCATAATCATTATCATCATCATTATCATCATCATTATCATCATCATCATTATCACCATCATCATTATCATCATTATCATAATCATCATCATCATCATCATTATCATCATCATCATCATGATTATCATCATCATCATCATCACTATCACTATCATAATCATTATCATCCTCCTCCTCACCATCATCAATATCATCATTATCATTACCATCATCATCTTCCTCCTCCTCATCATCATCACCACTATCATCTTTATACTGCTCCCCATCATCATCATCATTATCATCATCACACACCACCACTACCCCTACCACTATCATAACCACAACTGACCTTGGTGAATATAATCAGGATGACTTGCAATGATGCGGCCAGGCCAGAGGGAGAGACCAAATTCCATTCAGGGTTACAGATGACCTCTATGACCTGTTCGTCATCGTCATCGCCTTCATCATCCTCATCATCTTTAGGAAGGGCTGGGTTTTGGGGTATCTCCTGGACACCAAGTGTCTGCATCAACCTTCAGTCAAGAAAACATTAACAATCTTAGCTATGTCTTTGTACGTTATTTTTCTTTAATGGGACCTTAGACCAATCTCTATCCTATACATGAGCTTGTAAATATTTGTAAACTAGATGGAACTTTGACTGCGCGCAGTCGAAAATGATGCCTCCGTCATATAATAGAGCAATTTTACAAACCAAAACAGAAGAAAATTTTTCAAATTCAAGTTCAATTGTAATCCATTAACAGGTTCTAAGAATATCGTGATTACAAGAAATTTCTCATATATGACCCTTTGATCTTTGACCTCATGACCCTAAAATCTACTCAGTTCATTGGCTCTGCAAGATGTCCTGAGTTAAATAGTAATCCATCTGTCAGTTCTAATGAGAATGCGTTCACAAGCTATTTTTGCATACATAATGAGCCCATGACCTTTGACCTTATGAACCAAGAATCTACTCAGTCCATTGGTTCTGCAAGATACATATTAAATGATCTAAGTTTGGCAGGAATCCATCAATCTGTTCTAATGATAATACGATCACAAGCTGTTTTTGCATACATTATGTGCGCTGTGACCTTTGACCTCGTGACCCCAAAATCTAATCAGTTCATCGGCTCTGCAAGTAACATACATGACCAAAGTTTGGCAGGAATCCATCAATCGGTTCTTGAGATAACGCGATCACGAGCTGTTTTTGCATACATAATGAGCGCTGTGACCTTTGACCTCGTGACCCCAAAATCTAATCAGTTCATCGGCTCCGCAAGATACATACATGACCAAAGTTTGGCAGGAATCCATCAATCGGTTTTTCAGATAAAGCGATCACAAGAACGGGACGTATGTACATACGGACGGACAACCCGAAAACATAATGCCTCCGGCTACTTCGTAACGGAGGCATAATAAACTGTATTATAATGTAAATAGCACTTGAATGGACGTAAATTGCGGTTAACACACACAAACGCACATAGTTTGCAAGTAAATTCAGTCAATTGAAGGAGGCAGACTAAATCATCAGAAGAAGAAGGAGAAGAAGAAGAAAATAGCAGACTCAGAGCGTCTCCAGGTTCCGACGAAGGATGAGTGGAAGGAACCAAGAAGAAGAAAGGTCAAGATAGCAAAATTGACATCGACGTGTCAACAACGCAAAAACTGGTTAAAACACACACACACATCAAGCTCAGAGGATTTAGGGACTCCTTGATTTGCACGTCGACAAAGTGGACTGCTATGCGTGTGAAGTCCTTTTGAGGCACTTTTACGTCCTTTTAAGGCATTGCCAGTACGTGCCTTAAAATAAAAGGACGCCACCCGTAGCAGTCCACTATGTCGCCGTGCAAATCTAAAAGTCCCTATTGATGGATGACCTACCTGTGCCATATGAGTTCCCAGACACCCATCTCTATGAGGTAACGACTGACCATGGTTTGGTCTATGCTCAGAAACTGACACAGTAGGAGGAGAAGACCATCCAGGATCCCGTAGTCAAATGGACATCTTACACAGATCTGCAAAATGTAAACAAAACAGAATAAAGTAGAAGGCTGCGATAGATTACACGTTCAAACGGGCACTGGACATCGGCCTATGACAGATTCCTCTGTTCAGAGCCAGAAGGGCTTTAACTCTTTGTTAAAGCCTATCTGCACTAGTTTGGCCAGGAGAGATTAGACCTCCCTGCGTGGTCACTGGCAGGAGGATATCTCCTCATATCAGCTATCAATTAACCTAGTAGAAAGGGGACCATGGGGGATCAGCTGGTACCGCTTAGGCATTGTTGGCTATATAGAGGGCGCAAATAGCTACAAGTAGTGCAGTCCCGCTTAAAATACAGGAGTTAATGCCCTTTTGGCTCCAAACAGTCAAATTGAGACAGTAAAGAATACAAAAGGCAATGTAAAAATAGACATCATAAACTATAAATTGTAAATGAGACAGAAACGAATACTGAATGCTACCTTGGATCCCATAGCTAAATTGGTATCATACAATAGTCTATTATCGGAAAATGAGGCAGAATCAAATACAAAGACAGTCTTTCATTTTCATAGCTGAATGAGCATCTGAGTGTTTCAAAGAACTATAAATGGTGCATGAAAAAAATTGACCCACTGGTTAAATGTGTATTGTACACTGATCAATTACGGGAAATGAGACAAGAGTTGAATCCCGGCCCCCCCACTCAGTGTTATTTAGGGTACGCATATGCGTGTTCCAACCGACCCCCCCTTTTCAGCAAAAGTCCGGTGTGTAAAGTCAATACGGCTCGACCTTTTTCTTTTGTATACGAGCCTTTTTCCGCACCCCCCCTTTTCAGCAAAAGTCCGGTGTGTAAAGTCAATACGGCTCGACCTTTTTCTTTTGTTACGAAAAGGACATTTTGGCAACACGCATGCGGTCATTTTGAAACCTGAGTGGGGGGGCCGGGAGTTGAATACAGCAGGCAACCTTAAAGGTCCACTGCACTACTTGTAGCTACTTGCGCCCTCTCTATATTAAACAATGCCTAATCGGTGACCATTGGTCCCCCATGATCGTCTTTTTCTTATGTTAACTGAGAGCTGAGTTGACGAGATAATACCTGTCCAGTGACCTTGCAGGGCGGTCTAATCCCTCCTGTAAACTAGTCCTGATAAGCTTTAAGATCCTATATAAAATGGTATTGAACACTGGCCAACAAATTGTAAAAGACAGAATGTATGTAGAAATGTATCCTAGATCAGATAGATATGTCATACATGAGTATCATACAATGGGTTTTAACTCTGCACTGTTGCATGAAACTTACCACTGATGCTAGCTTTACCATCGATATTAACTACCAGGGCAACATCACTCAACAGCCAATCAAGTAAAGGTTTCCATGGAAGCTAGAATTAACGGCAAAGTCACCATCAATGCTAAGTTTTATGCAGGTACATATACAGGAACTGGGACAAAACAGCTTGGAACTAATGAGATCTTTCAGTAATAAAAGTTTTAAATGTACATTTCAGTTGTTACTTTTTACTTTTAAAAAAAATTTAAAAAAATTGAGAGTTAAAGCCAGAAAAGAGCCTAGCGCATTGAAGAGAAAAAGAATGAAAACTCAACAAAAATAGATTAGAAGATTGTGGTAGAGTGATGGAAAACAGCGAAAGTAACACAGATAGGAATTAGACGAAAGATTGATGTCTTCTTACCTGCTCTAAGTCATTAAATGCTGATTGGACGGCATCTAATAGATCTGGCGTGGGCATCTGTATTGCTACTCCATGATGTAATAGCTGACTGACTAATAAGGCTGCTGCAGTCTTTAAAAAAGAAGATATGAGCAATAAACCTCTTGTAATAAAATGCATATTTTTGTTAATACATATAAAGTATAGGCCAAACATACATGTACATTACAGAACCATACCATCAATCCTGCCTTTATTCAAATCGGTGCGCATGAGCATCACATACACATTCTTTGAAATAATGATCTAAAGACAATTTTCGAAACCGGGTAAGGTTTAAGACAAAGCAAACTTGCACATCACAATCAATGAAAGTGCAAGGCCTGTATAAGAAAACACCAATGATTATTTGTTTATTTCTCTTTTTCTATTTTACTTTTCATATATTTCAATTCTCTCTTTCCCTCTTGATTCTACTGTAATATTTGATTGATGTCTTTTAATCAATAAAAACAGAATTAAAACTAGATGGAATTTTGACTGCGCGCAGTCGAAAATGATGCCTCCGCCATAGAGCAATTTAAACAAGTTTGGAGTTTAAATCTCCAGTGGTTCTTGAGATATCATGATAACAATCTCAATGTATGGAATTTCATAAGTTGACCTCTGTGACCCTTGACCTTTGACCTACGTGCTCCAAAATCTAATCAGATTGTCTTCCTATGGTGATACACACTATCATTAAGTTTGAAGTTTAAATCTCCAGTGGTTCTTGAGATATTATGATATGGTGATACATACTATCATTAAGTTTGAAGTGAAAATTCTCCAGTGGTTCATGAGATATCGCGATAACGATCTCAATGTATAGAATTTCATAAGTTGACCTCTGTGACCCTTGACCTTCGACCTACGTGCTCCAAAATCTAATCAGATTGTCTTCCTATGGTGATACACACTATCATTAAGTTTGAAGTTTAAATCTCCAGTGGTTCTTGAGATATTATGATAACAATCTCAATGTATGGAATTTCATAAGTTGACCTCTGTGACCCTTGACCTTTGACCTACGTGCTCCAAAATCTAATCAGATCGTCTTCCTATGGTGATAAATACTATCCTTAAGTTTGAAGTTTTTACATCTCCAGTGGTTCTTGGGATATCATGATAACAATCTCAATGTATGGAATTTCATAAGTTGACCTCTATGACCCTTGACCTTTGACCTAAATGCTCCAAAATGTAATCAGATTGTTTTCCTATAGTGATACACACTATCACTAAGTTTGAAGTTTAAATCTCCAGTGGTTCTTGAGATATCATGATAACAATCTCAATGTCTCGAATTTCATAAGTTCACCTCTGTGACCCTTGACCTTTGACATACGTGCTCAAAAATCTAATCAGATCGTCTTCCTATGGTGATAAATACTATTCCCGAGTCTTAAGTTTAAATCTTAAATGGTTCTTGAGATATTGTGATAACGGTCAAACGGACGTACGGACGGACAACCCAAAAACATGATGCCTCCGGCACCACCTTCGGTGGCGGAGGCATAAAAAATATTTTCCTCCAAAATGCTGAACCAAACCGGCCCTTACCATTTCGGCCCGAAAGTTGAGATAACTCAAATTTTTCAATATTTGCCCCTACCCCCTGTTAAAGGGATATGGGGGTCAGGATCCATCTAATGGCATATACATTCATTGTGGGGAAACTAGCCTATTCAAAAAATATAATTTTTTTCCTCCAAAATGCTGAACCACCCCGGCCCTTACAATTTCGGCCCGAAGTTGTGATAACTCAAATTTTTCAATATATGCCCCTACCCCCCTGTCAAAGGGATATAGGCGTTAGAATCCATCTAATTGCATGTATGTACTTTCATTATGGGGAAACTAGCCTATTTCAAAAATATAATTTTTTCCGCCAAATTGCTGAACCACCCCGGCCCTTACAACTTCGGCCCGAAAGTTGTGATAACTCAAATTTTTCAATATTTGCCCCTACCCCCCTGTCAAAGGGATATAGGCATTAGAATCCGTCTAATTGCATGTATGTACTTTCATTATGGGGAAACTAGCCTATTTCAAAAATATAATTTTTTCCTCCAAAATGCTGAACCACCCCGGCCCTTACAATTTCGGCCCGAAAGTTGTAATAATTCAATTTTTTTACAATATTTGCCCCTACGCCCCTTTCAAAGGGATATAGAGTTCAGGATCCATCTAATCGCATGTATGTACATTCATTATGGGGAAACTAGCCAATTAAAAAAATATAATATTTTCCTCCAAAATCCTGAACCACCCCGGCCCTTACAACTTCGGCCCGAAAATTGTGATAACTCAAATTTTTCAATATTTGCCCCTACCCCCCTGTCAAAGGGATATGGGGGTCAGGATCCATCAAATGGCATGTATATACATTCATTGTGGGGAAACTAGCCTATTTAAAAAATATAATTTTTTCCTCCAAAATGCTGAACCACCCCTGCCCTTACCATTTCGGCCCAAAAATTGTGATAACTCAAATTTTTCAATATTTGCCCCTACCCCAGTGTCAAAGGGATATGGGGGTAAGGATCCATCTAATGGCATGTATATACATTCATTGTGGGGAAACTAGCCTATTTAAAAATTTAATTTTTTTCTCCAAAATGCTGAACCACACCGGCCCTTACAATTTCGGCCCGAAAGTTGTAATAATTCAAATTTTTACAATATTTGCCACTACGCCCCTTTCAAAGGGATATAGGGTTCAGGATCCATCGAATTGCATGTATGTACATTCATTATGGGGAAACTAGCCAATTAAAAAAATATAATATTTTCCTCCAAAATCCTGAACCACCCCGGCCCTTACAACTTCGGCCCGAAAATTGTGATAACTCAAATTTTTCAATATTTGCCCCTACCCCCCTGTCAAAGGGATATGGGGGTCAGGATCCATCTAATGGCATGTATATACATTCATTGTGGGGAAACTAGCCTATTTAAAAAATATAATTTTTTACTCCAAAATGCTGAACCACCCCGGCCCTTACAATTTCGGCCCGAAAGTTGTAATAATTCAAATTTTTACAATACTTGCCCCTACGCCCCTTTCAAAGGGATATAGGGTTCAGGATCCATCTAATCGCATGAATGTACATTCATTATGGGGAAACTAGCCAATTAAAAAAAATAATATTTTCCTCCAAAATGCTGAACCACCCCGGCCCTTACCATTTCGGCCCGAAAGTTGTAATAATTCAAATTTTTACAATATTTGCCCCTACGCCCCTTTCAAAGGGATATAGGGTTCAGGATCCATCTAATCGCATGTATGTACATTCATTATGGGAAAACTAGCCAATTAAAAAAATATAATATTTTCCTCCAAAATGCTGAACCACCCCGGCCCTTACCATTTCGGCCCAAAAGTTGTGATAATTCAAATTTTTCAATATTTGCCACTACGCCCCTTTCAAAGGGATATAGGGTTCAGGATCCATCTAATTGCATGTATGTACATTCATTGTGGGGAAACTAGCCAATTACAAAAATATAATATTTTCCTCCAAAATAATGAACCACCCCGGCCCTTACAACTTCGGCCCGAAAATTGTGATAATTCAAATTTTTCAATATTTGCCCCTACCCCCCTGTCAAAGGGATATGGGGGTCAGGATCCATCTAATGGCATGTATATACATTCATTGTGGGGAAACTAGCCTATTTAAAAAATATAATTTTTTCCTCCAAAATGCTGAACCACCCCGGGCCCTTACAATTTCGGCCCGAAAATTGTGATAACTCAAATTTTTCAATATTTGCCCCTACCCCCCTGTCAAAGGGATATGGGGGTCAGGATCCATCTAATGGCATGTATATACATTCATTGTGGGGAAACTAGCCTATTTCAAAAATATAATTTTTTCCTCCAAAATGCTGAACCACCCCGGCCCTTACAATTTCGGCCCGAAAGTTGTAATAATTCAAATTTTTACAATATTTGCCCTACGCCCCTTTCAAAGGGATATAGGGTTCAGGATCCATCTAATTGCATGTATGTACATTCATTATGGGGAAACTAGCCAATTAAAAAAATATAATATTTTCCTCCAAAATGCTGAACCACCCCGGCCCTTACAACTTCGGCCCGAAAATTGTGATAACTCAAATTTTTCAATATTTGCCCCTACCCCCCTGTCAAAGGGATATGGGGGTCAGGATCCATCTAATGGCATGTATATACATTCATTGTGGGGAAACTAGCCTATTTAAAAAATATAATTTTTCCTCCAAAATGCTGAACCACCCCTGCCCTTACCATTTCGGCCCAAAAATTGTGATAACTCAAATTTTTCAATATTTGCCCCTACCCCACTGTCAAAGGGATATGGGGGTCAGGATCCATCTAATGGCATGTATATACATTCATTGTGGGGAAACTAGCCTATTTAAAAATTTAATTTTTTTCTCCAAAATGCTGAACCACACCGGCCCTTACAATTTCGGCCCGAAAGTTGTAATAATTCAAATTTTTACAATATTTGCCCTACGCCCCTTTCAAAGGGATATGGGGTTCAGGATCCAACTTATCGCATGTATGTACATTCATTATGGGGAAACTAGCCAATTAAAAAAAAATAATATTTTCCTCCAAAATGCTGAACCACCCCGGCCCTTACCATTTCGGCCCGAAAGTTGTAATAATTCAAATTTTTACAATATTTGCCACTACGCCCCTTTCAAAGGGATATAGGGTTCAGGATCCATCGAATTGCATGTATGTACATTCATTATGGGGAAACTAGCCAATTAAAAAAATATAATATTTTCCTCCAAAATCCTGAACCACCCCGGCCCTTACATCTTCGGCCCGAAAATTGTGATAACTCAAATTTTTCAATATTTGCCCCTACCCCCCTGTCAAAGGGATATGGGGGTCAGGATCCATCTAATGGCATGTATATACATTCATTGTGGGGAAACTAGCCTATTTAAAAAATATAATTTTTTACTCCAAAATGCTGAACCACCCCGGCCCTTACAATTTCGGCCCGAAAGTTGTAATAATTCAAATTTTTACAATACTTGCCCCTACGCCCCTTTCAAAGGGATATAGGGTTCAGGATCCATCTAATCGCATGTATGTACATTCAT